CTTACCCCCCTTTTTCTTGTTTCTCTGCTTTGTTCTATATATTGTCGGAAATGTCCTCATACCAACACCGTCAAGACTATATAGAAGTCCGCATTACTGAGCCCCCAGAGGACTCGAGGAGACATAGCGACTCAGCCAAAGCCTCACCTTCTAGGAAAGGAGGCAGCAAAAAAAAGCAAGCAAGACGGCCACTGTGGAGCCGGGCTCCGATACAGAACAAGAATCATCCAAGATGGCGCCTTCAAGAACAACCAGAACAGGCTCCACCTCCACAGCCCCTAGAAAGGCTTCCAGCAACCGTAGATTGACAGACGACTGGACCGAGGTGACAGAGCCTGAAGAGAGGAGACGCATTCAGAACCGTATCGCTCAGCGCAAATTCAGTATGTTTGCCTTTATTGGCGCCTTCATTCTCAAAGAGACTCGACATTAACCTTAACGAACAGGAGAAAAACAGCGTGAGCTACGTGACCAGAGGCACCGCCAGGAACTCAACCAGCAATACGCCCACTGCGTCTATCACATTCCCGAGCCCGAAGATCTTGCCTTCGAGGACACTGACCTTGCCGGTCTGCCATGGGGTGGTCTCAGCATCCGCCATGTCGTAGCCCGCGGCCACGCTGAGGCCAGCACAGGAACGCTCAGCCATCACAGCGGGCACAGCGACACTCTCAGTGTGACGGCCGGTTTGCCCGGCAGCGGGATGATGACGCCAGCGCCGGCGTCTTCGCCAATGCCACCGCAGACGCCGAGTTTCTTCGATACAGCCGCCGATCAGCAACAACGAATGCTCTATGGACTGGACTCGTATGGCGCGTATAGCCCGGCTCATCACCATGCCGCCACGACAGCGGCTATGAACATGATGTTTGATTCGCAGAGAGATGCACGAGGTGGTCTTGGTGGAGATGTCAGAGGGGGATACTATGATTCGCCATATACCGGCCCCGTATACGGGGAGCACGACTTTGATGGGGCTAGGGCAGACGGGACGCAGTATATGTGATGTCCTTGGCTAGAGGTGAGTTTCCGGTTTGATGCATCTATGATTCCTTAAGTTTTTGATGGGGCCTGTATAGCTGACCTGGAGCAGATCACTACCGGGGTTGAGTTGTTTAAGCTGTCCGTTTCGGCCCGTCAGTGAGACACGACGGCCGGCTGACCTTTGACATCCTAACGAGAAGTGATCTTCTTTCGACCTCCCGTTTTCGAAATCTCCCAATGGGATGGGAATCCGAGACAACCGCTCCGCATACTGATTAACACTGGCCTTTCGGTTTTGGTTGGTTCAAATACGAGCTTTTCCCGTTTATATCTCTGGCTGTGAGCTAAAGGGTTAGGGTTGAAGACTGGGATGCACGCAACTTGGGCAACATGATTTGGCAACATCTGGGATTTCTAGAGCGCTGATTGCTCCTAAGATTCACATTGGGCTTTGGTCACGTTTCTGATTTCTGATTTCTGATTTGCAGTTTCATTCTATCCTCTCTCATTCGGTCGAGCGTTTCTTCACTTCTCCATATACCCCGGGGAATGGGCAGACTTGACAGACTTTGGGTTGTTTTCCTCTCTCGGCTTTGAACGGTTGGTGATTGGTTGGCCGGTTGGGGTTACAGTTGAACAGGGTGGAAGGACTTTTGGAGTTGCATCGTGTTTTTTGGGCCTCTCACTGGCTTGCATGAATATGGACTTCAAAATAGACTCAATCGTCTCTCAATGTTTGTTCATCATATTTTGTGATTGACTTCCAGTTGCCGAGTGGCCACTCCATCTCCGGGGCCTGAGTATCTCCGTCGGCTCGGGTTTGCTATCATGGCCGTTGACCGCTGTGACTCTTGTAGCATCATCACAAGGGTCTTCCCCACGGATCATGAACTCATGATGCGTCACCGGGAAGACACATGCGGGGGGATACGAGAAATTCAGGATTCTCTTTTTGGCTAAGGGTGCGGTGACATCCTGCCTGGCTGCCTAACGGTCTACCTTGAAGCACATAACGTCGCATCTCCAACGTAATGTATGCAAGATGCGCAAGCCAGCTGCGCCAGCGGTCAGGCAGCATGAAGCACGACTAAACGCAATCAGTCTAGGAGACGCGAGTTCAGCAAGCCACATCTGCGTGTCCATGTTGTTGATTTATCACCAAGCTTCCAGAAAGCTGCTCCTGATGACAAAACCAACCATTGTCACCTGCCTCCTGTGTCGTATGCCAAGCTTGAAATGACGGGCAAGGTATTGAGACCGCCACAAAGTCGCATCTCGCATCCGCTAAAAGTAGCGCACGGAGGTAGGGCAAGGGGACGGCGGCGGGAAACGCGTCCCATGGGATGCGCGAGATAACGTGACACCGTGCCACAGAAACAGGTGAGCCAAAGAAGCGAAAAAGAAGATTGATGGAAGGGTCGCACAGCCACCGCCAGCGACCTCATCTTGTCGACGTTGCGCTACCGAACCGTGCCATCGGTTGACCGACGAGACCGAGAGTCGGAACCGCGTCTCGGTGACAGGCTGGGGATCGCTCGGTGATCGGGTTGACCCGAGCTGCGAGGGAGCGTGAGATAAGATTGGCTAATATATTCACCGCCCGGCAGATATTGGTGTTCTTGCATATTGGCTCATCGGTGTCTCCACTGCTGACGCGATCTGAGTAGCTTCTACCACTGAAAACCGGAGTTTTGAGCTTCGGATCACGTAACAAAGTTAAGGACTTCGATATTTCGAATGTTCACGGCTGTTGATTTTCTATATATGACCAACAAGCGAACTGTCTCCTCGGTGAAGCAAGAGGTCGCGGAGCTTGAAGCATCGGGACGATCAAATGAGTACTGCAGCTGCTTCATATCTCCGCCCTGCCGCAAACATGCAGAGCACATTGACAGCCGAACAAGGGTATTCACGATGGATTCGACCATGGAAAGAGTTTTGACAATCCATCGACCCCAAAGGACTGAAGATTGGGCCACTGGAGATTGGGCCAAAACGTGCTGCAATTTTTCGGGGTAGCATCACTCTCCTTCTGTAACATCGAAGTCCGAAATTTGCATAAATCTTCGCATTACCTGTATAAATTCCCTTCCCCTTCAGCCGGTTATCGACCATCAGGAAGGGGGAAGCAGATTCGCATTGTCAAGAACACACTGCCCTACGGAAAACCCCGTGTATCATTCTTTGGAATTTCTGACCGCACAGCTCCCCCCTGGTTGGTCGCTAGTTCGACTCGTGCGGAACGTTCCGAGCCGGTTCTTCCAAATTTTCGCACTTCCTTAAGAAGGCTAAGTGCCTCAATGAGAGCCATGCTTCTTCGCATCCTCCATTTCAGCACAAGTGAAGGGAGCGAAGCGGTGACACAAAGCATGGAAGTTGAAGGTGTTTGATATCCCACTTTCCAAGTCGCCAGCGCCTCGCGTAAAGATTACATACTTGCTGCAAAGCATGTGAGAAAAAAAAAGAAGTATTCGTAAAGATCACTAAATGCAAACCCTAGGCACAGCAACCACTGGATGATTTTGCTTATGATCAGGTTGGAGGTTGGAAACCGAACACCCCCACAAGAAGCCCCACATTAACGTTAGCGGGGATCTGAAACGGGCCTTAGATGGGATGCCAAGCCTTCTGGAACAAGGGGCCAAGATGTTTGGGACCCACCTTTCTTTTAACGTGTTCAGAACATCAAACAGCAGCTTTATCGCCCAACATTGTGAGACAATTGGTTGTTATGGACACTTAGTCCTTGACAAGTAATTTTTGTTTCAAAAAAAGTCCAGTTAGACAAAGAGACGTACGGCCATGGCGTTCAAGCGCCAGTTGGGCTGGCTGCTCGCTGTGGCGTGCTACAACGCCATCTTCGCCAGCTCAGCTGTTGCCGCCGCCGATGTTGAGGGCGAGTCCATCCTCCATAGCGAGATTGGCCGCTTGAATAACCAGAGCTTACTCTGGGGCCCATACCGTCCGAATATTTACTTTGGCACCCGTCCGAGGATAGGAAAGAGCCTGATGACGGGGTTGATGTGGGGAAAGATTGAGAGTTACACCGACTTCCAGCACAGTATGTCCTCCCCCTGAGACCAGTGACCAAGAGTTGTGAGGCTGACGAGCCATTGTAGCCGTTCGGTACACGTGCGAGCAAAATGAGGGTATGAAGGGCTATGGCTGGGATGAGTATGACCCTAGGAGGGGAGGTATCCAGTCGATTCATGATATCCAGAACGGTCTTGACATCACCACTTCCTTTGTGAAGATCCCTGGCGGTGCTCATGGCGGCAGCTGGGCAGCCAGAATTAAAGGCACTTTGAATGATGATGCCCCTAAGGATCAGAAGACGATTGTTGTCTTTTACGTCAGCCAGGAAGGTGAGAACTCCGAACTCGAGGCAGTGCCGAGTGAGAACGAGTTTGGGTATGAGGGCGATGTGATTCTGAAGGGTCGTTCCGAGGCCCTTGGTAACTACAAACTGGTTGTCACTAAGGGCAAAGGTGTCATTCCTCAGAGCGATCACGACCTCTCCAGACTGAGGGGGCCCGGCCAGACGGTTGTTCAGTCCCTGACTTACCCCGATGAGGTGCTGTGGCAGGCGAAGCCGATCCTGTTCCAGCAGCTCAAAGCCGGCATCGACTGGCTTGTTGAGAACAAGTACGACGTCGCAGACCCCCCTCCGCCGTGGCAGGTGTACCTACTTGCCAACAAGCCTGGCTCTGGCAATGTCCACATCGTGCAGAAGGTTTTTGAGGGAGACTTTGAGTTTGATATCCTCTTCTCAAGCGAGTCTGCCGGCAAGGAGGTTACGAGCAAAGATCTGGAGAGGGAAGTGAAGCAGGCGACTGAGGTATTTGGCGAGCGTTTCGCCAGAGTGTTTGACCTCAAGGCCCCGTTCCAAGGGGACAACTATAAAAAGTTCGGCAAGAGCATGTTCTCCAATCTTATCGGTGGCATTGGCTACTTCTACGGTCACTCCTTGGTTGACCGGTCGTATGCCCCTGAGTACGACGAGGAAAACGAAGGCTTCTGGGAGGATGCTGCTGAAGCAAGGGCTCGCCACCAAGAGGCATTGGAAGGCCCCTATGAGCTTTTTACCAGCATCCCGTCTCGTCCTTTCTTCCCCCGTGGATTCTTATGGGATGAGGGGTTCCACTTGCTCCCCATCGCCGACTGGGACATCGATCTTGCTTTGGAGATCATCAAGAGCTGGTACAACCTGATGGATGAGGATGGATGGATTGCTCGTGAGCAGATCCTGGGTGCCGAGGCCCGGAGCAAAGTCCCGAAGGAGTTCCAAACTCAGTATCCGCATTATGCCAACCCTCCAACCCTCTTTCTCGTCCTCGATAACTTTGTAGAGAGGCTGCGGAAGAACAACGCAAGCCAGCCAGTGGTCAAGGACAACCTTTCACTTGATGAAACTCTGTCCACCGCGTCCGTCGACAACCCCGAGGTTGGGCTTGAATACCTTCGCCGCTTGTACCCGCTGCTTCGACGCCAGTTCGATTGGTTCCGCAAGACTCAAGCCGGTGACATAAAGTCCTATGATCGCGAAGCCTATTCCACCAAAGAAGCCTACCGTTGGCGTGGTCGGACAGTGTCTCACTGTCTCACAAGTGGCCTAGACGACTACCCACGTCCTCAACCACCACACCCAGGCGAGCTGCATGTCGATCTGATGTCCTGGGTCGGCGTGATGGTCAAGTCGCTCATCAGCATTGGCAGTCTGCTAGGCGCTACCGAGGATGTGGAGTTCTACACCAAAGTCCTCGACGCGATCGAGCACAACTTGGACGACCTGCACTGGTCTGAGAAGGAAGGCTGCTACTGTGATGCGACGATCGACGAGTTCGAGGAACACAAGCTCGTCTGCCATAAGGGCTATATCTCTCTGTTCCCGTTCCTGACGGGCCTCCTGAAGCCGGATAGTCCCAAGCTGGGCAAGCTTCTGGCACTGATCGGTGATGAGAGCGAGCTCTGGAGCCCATATGGCCTGCGCAGTTTGAGCAAGAAGGACGAGTTCTACGGCACGGCGGAAAACTATTGGCGCAGCCCGGTCTGGATTAATATTAACTATCTGGCTATCGTGCAGCTTTATGTATGTTGCTTACCCCTTCCCCAACTCTTACTCTCATTTCCCATGCGTATCCTAACCTCTCCCTCTAGAACATTGCTACCCAAGACGGTCCCTACAAGGAGACGGCCCGCGATCTGTACACACGCCTGCGTAAGAACATTGTTGAGACTGTCTACCGCAACTGGGAAGAGACCGGCTTCGCCTGGGAACAGTACAACCCGGAGACGGGCAAAGGTCAGCGCACGCAGCACTTCACTGGCTGGACCAGTCTGGTGGTCAAAATCATGGCCATGGAAGATATCAGTGGAGAGGGTGCTGGGGCTAGCAGCGGTGGTCATGTCAGAGATGAGCTGTAGGTTCCCTCAGCCATCGAAGTAAAGTTAGCAGTGGTGTTGAATGTAAGTGAGTGTTAGTTATGAAAGGAATGATAGATAGTAATAGACATATTTCCGTCCGCCATGTCTTACAGGTCCTCGTCGTGGTTGATTCAGGTTGAACCTGTAAGCAACGGTAAGTACCGCTTCAGGAAGATTTTGGATTGCGTTTATCCCACAATATCGACCTCAGTTTCCTCGATAGGCGTTGCTACAAATGTCTGAACCGAGAGAGGCGAAAATGTGGGGTTCCAGATGCTGTCCAGCCGCATGCAGGAACCCAGCCCCTGCATATTAACCCATGAACCCGTCTTGTGCTACCACGTTGCCGGGCTGACCCGCCACGTTGATTTCACAGATGACGGCCTGTAAAAGACCGAGCATGTTTCCCGCTGCTTGTGAGGAAACTATGGCATGATGCGTTCTGAACCTGTTCACTTTTTTTTTCAGGTTAAAAAACCAAACTTATTGAACAGACACCGTTCTTCACCAGAACGACCGCCCGATAAGCATATCCAACAGGATGACAGAAATCCAACAACCCATCAAAGACCCCGTCTCCCTCATGCTCCGCCTTCACAACATGGAGATAGGAGAGGTCACATCAGATGGGGACTCTGAAACCGGGCAGTCAACAAGCTCAACATCTTCATTCCGTTCCATCGAGGACCTTCCAGCCGAGCTCCGCGACGAAGTCTTCTCACACATTCCCGACCTCCCCACACTGATAGCGCTTATAAAGGCCTCCCCAGTCATGTACCACCACTACAGGCACAACCAGGGCAAAATCATCCGTGCTTGTATGTGCCGTGAGCTGGAGGGGCTTTATGTGGATGCTTATGCGTCTTTGATGGTCAGACAGATCCCCACCGGGGTTCATGGGCGGGATCAGCATGCTGTTGATTTTCTTGATAAATATAGGAAGTGGCTTGGGTCGGGGGAGTCCTTCCAAGATGCATTGTTTGCTGATTTGGGAGAACTATATCGGCTGGTTGAGTTTCATGTTCAGGTTGTGCATCCCCTCGCGAGGATGTACACTGAGTGGGCGCTTGCGAATCTTGGGCGTGATATCGGCGTTGGCTTGGAAGAAGAAGGTAAGGGGGAAAACAAAGCGAAGGGCCCTGGTGACGGCGATAGAGGGATGACACGTGTCTTGAGCCGAAGTGAAGAACGCCGCCTATTCCAGGCCATCTACCGTCACGAGATCTTCTCTCGGGCATTCGGCTTTCGAGATCTGCGTGCTGGAACTTTGCGAGCTGATCTTGTCAATACCTTCTTTTTCGGTCTTTTTGAGCCATGGGAGTGTGAGGCCATTGGCTGCTTCAACATGTTTCTCCGGGACAGATATCAGGCTGTGTTGGACCAGATGGATGAGGATGTTAGGGAGATTGAGCAGAAATTGGAGCGTCGGGGGGTCAATGAGACGACACATTCGGCGGGCAGACTTAAGAGTTCGATATGTCACATGAAAGATGGTATGTACCACACCGTGCCTGTCGCCAACCTACATGACTGGCTAACATAAACTTTCTCAAGATCTGAGTTTCCGTGAACACATCGCCGACCGCCTAACCAACGTCTGGTCCCTGAAGGTAGCCGTCCAAGTCTTCACCGCCAACGACCCCGCGCACATTCTCCGCCAGATGAAAGTGATAACCGGCATGACCGAAGCCTCTCTCCTCAAAGTCGTCACCGACCGGATTCTCAACAACTTCACAGACGCAACCGTCTACCACTGTCTTAAGAAGGAAACCCAAGCGATGAGAAGACGTGAAATGGCTGCCGCAGGACGCATATATCCCAGGGATGCGGCCGAAGGACGAGGGGATGCGTTAACGTTCACAGGAGACGAGCCTGTGCCTGTCGGACCGCCCATTGCGTGGGTGCTTTCATGGAAAGGGAGGTACTTCAATTTGTATGGGGGTTATGTGCCTGAGTCTTTGAGGAGGTGGGGGTATGTGATGTGGGATGAGAAGCGTTGGAATATGTTGGGAGCTAGGGGCTCAATCGCGGATCAGTGGGATGTGGTTCCAAAGTTGTGGGAGGAGATTAGGCAGATGCATAGGTTTTATGGGTGGAGTGAGAATCAGGATTAGGATGACTTATTCTCTGGGATAACTGGGGACTCAGTGATGAGCTCTAGAACCTATGATGCCTTATACCCATGAAAATTGCTGGCTAATGTCTAATGATATAGACTTCAGGTCATCACTGCTGCTCAACCCGTCTTTTGAGAACTTGAGCAGGATAGGAGCTTCGGAAAGCTCAACTAACTTTTTCAAAGTCTCAGTGGCTTGCCTGGGTAACTCATAACTACAATAGTTGTTAAGAACGACGAAAACTCTGAAGTTTGTGAGAAGCACCATCCATTTCCATGAACGGAAGACCCTAAAAGCAAGTTCTCTGAACCTCTCTTTGTTTAACCCCATGAGCTCCCCCGCTGCTCCAGAAGTGGACCCCTCACCCCCCGCAGCTTATCGCCGATAAACCCCCCCATGGCCCCTCATCGGCGAGCTCCGTCCTCCGTACCACGTTCCTGGGAAACACAATGGCGGCTGTGTTTCTTGCCACAGCCAAGGACATAATTTAAGACAGGGCCAAAAGACGTCGAAGTCTCGAGGTTTCTGAAGTTAAATTTTCTCTGCCTACAAGTCCTCAATCTTCCAGCTCTCGTCCAAACCCATAAACGGTATGTACCCCAGTCTAAGCCGTTCCCCCCTGAGCCCATGCTCACCTCCCGTTCTTCACCTCCTCTTGCCTGAACTTTCAAAGCTAACATTACCACAGCCTTTCAACCGACCAAAATCCTCCAATCCTCCAAGTTCTTCAATACTTAAACCTCCAAAATGGCCGAAGCTAAAGACCGCATAACCTGCCATGTCCTCGACACTACAACGGGCCAACCGGCGCGCAACCTTCGCGTCCAGCTCCATCTCTCCTCCCCTTCAGCAAACGCCACGCCAACCCCCGGCCCCGTCATCTTCGAATCCCACACCGACGACGATGGCCGCATCAAGACATGGCTGCCCTACTCAGGCGTCAATTCATCAGGTGACGTGCCCGTCTACACGCTGGATGATGTCCTGGGTGGGTTGGAGAATGCCCCTGGAGGGCAAAATGAGATGAGCCAGTGGACATTGAAATTCGATGTGGCGGGGTATTTTGGGGGGCTGGACAAGACGTTTTATCCGGAGGTGGCGGTTACATTCGTGGTTAGGAAGGGGCAGAGGTATCATGTCCCGCTGTTGTTGGCGCCGTTTGGGTATACTACTTATAGGGGGAGCTAAAGTGAGAGGCGGTATTGATGACGTTACTTTTTAGTGAAGGGAGAAAACCCTTGATGAGCATGTTACCGGGTAATGGGTAATGGGATTTGTTTTTAAACGGAAAGACTCGTGGGACTAGCATCAAGGCCAGCATCAGGTACAACCCAGACTTAAGCGAGCATCTCGCAGCATGAAATGACAACGCGGTTCAGTTGTCAATGCGGCGCAAAATAGAATGTGAAACACCGGTGTAGATGCGATGTTAGTCTTTATGTTTCTGGAACTGAGGAGCCTAGATTGATAAGCGTTGGCGGCCAAAAACGGGTTCCTTTCTTCCCACTGTTAGCGATTCCGTTCCGAACGTAGTCAAACGGAATGAATATCGGGGGTGAAATTTGGAGTATAGAGCAGCGACCATGTCGCAAGGGGCGCAGCAATGCCGTTCCACCGAGCTGCGTGTTGGATCGTGATTTAAGACATCAACAACTTGGCCAACGGCAACAGCAATGCAAATGCAGGAAGACTAGATATGTAGAAATCCTATTTATATGAACGAACTTTTCGAGGTCTTGCAGCGAATCCCAGTTGCAGATAAGTCAATTGCTCGATTATGTAAGGAGTCCGCAGAGTCAGAGGATGCCGGGGTTTCAAGGCCCTGTATAAAGCTACTTCCACCTATTCTTGTCAAATCCATGATCAACGGGAGACATAACACTATACAAATAAAGAGTATCAGTTCTTTCTCCATAATCCGACATATAAGAGGAAAAGAGTGATAAGTGTTCAGCGTCGAACCGCTTGTGCCTAGAAGGAATGTTTTATTGCTGGGTCAGATGTGTTCAGGCAATACTATCAGATCTTACAGCAATGCCATATTGGACTGCGAACTGTTTTTTGGTTTGTTGCACTACGCTCGTGTCTTACGTGGAGCCTGTAACATAACTGGGAGTATGTAGGCTGGTGGTTGGTAGTTTGTCAGGACTGAAAGTGCGCAAATGGCGACGAAAATGTGGTTTCAAGTTCAGAGCTATCGAGCCAGAATTCTGCCTCAAGATTGCTCAATGTTGAGACAAGGAGCTATGGAGGTCATCCCGTATTTATGTTTACGTTGTATCAAAGAATCACCTTTGTGTGAGAATCATCGTGGAAATTGAAGAAAGTATGTCGGGATGTTGGAGAAATGCTGGCTCTTGAAGCTATAGTACGTCAACTTTACATGGAGTTGAAAAGGGTTACTTAGCGAAGACAGCACGCGGCCTAGTGGCAAACTTTGTGTTCACCGGGAACGCTGCACTATGCTTAGACTATGGTCATGATGCCGGCGAGCATGAATGAAACCTAGTCTAGTGCCTACTTACAAACTGTATAAGGCTAGGAGGAAATTTGTGATTCGTTAATGTGGATATCTTGCAGGATCACCACCCCCAGGTTCTAGTTCGTCCTTACTATCCGAGATATCGGACAGCAGTGGGAATAATGGGGTAGGCGAACAATCCGGGAGCATATTAACCGGCTGGAGACAATCCAGCCAAAACCAGATGGGCAATCAGGCCATAGCTTTTGCCACCGGCTTCAAGGACAGTAACTCGGATGACCGCAGACGTAGACCATGGTGGCTATTTACAAGACATTTCTCGAGGCAAAGTATTTGTTCGCTTCACTAACAAAAGTCCGCTAGTGCCGCAAGATGTAGAAAAACCTTCATACCTAACCTAGTCCTGTGGCACATGATCGAACCGAGTATCGCCGCACGTGTAAATATGCATTCATCACTCGTCGGCCGCACACAGTCCAAGCCTTTCCGTTGCCTTACTCTCCTGTCTTATTGCTTTACTGCCACTGCACTATTTTATGCTTTGTCCTTGTATCTCCACCCCTTGAAACAACAGCCACAGAAATCAGACTCTATCACACGAACATATCACGCAGTTCAAGAACATCCGAATCTTCTGGCCCAGCCCTGGACAGTCATATGACACGAGATCCACCCCTCTCTGTAAGAGGTCAGGGTGAGCCTTCTAATCCAAAACGTCCCATATCTTTCGAGCAGGCCCTGCCAGAGCAGATTGAAGGAGTTCATTCTGCGCACAAAAGCGCGAAGCTTTTCAAAATCCTTCAGTTGCAAACAGCTTGCATTACAAACCGAACAAGGTCTTCGGTGTGAATATCGTTCCCTTTGGAGCAGTCGAGGAACTCTTTAACGGTGTCCAGACCTTCTTGGAGGAACAAACACCAGTGGTGTGCACCCATCATGATCTACCAAGTTTGGATCAACTTGGCCATTACATAGTAGAGCTTTAACCACCTCCGTATGGCCATACTGCGCAGCATAACTTAGCGGCGTTCGGTCATATTTGTGTTGCCGGGCCGGATCAACTCGGCTATCACATAACAGAGCTTTAACCACCTCCGTATGGCCATGCCCTGCAGCATAACTTAGCGGCGTTCGACCAAATTTGTCTTGTCGGTTTGGATCAACTCGGCCATCACATAACATAGTTTTAACAATCTCAGCATGGCCATATCGTGCAGCCCAACTCAGTGGCGTTTGGCCTTGATGATCTCGATGGTCAGGATCAATATCTGGGGCACTAGTAAGGAGCAGCTTGACTACATCGTTGAGCCCATAGACGCCAACCTATGTGAAATACATTCTGAGTTGGCCTCAAATACTCCGGACTTAGGTTTTGATGATCAAGGAGCCAAGGCCGCGCTCTGATTTCGGGAAATTTGTCACAAAGTTGTACCGCCATACTGACCCATTCTGAACTTATCAGCAGATCAAGCAGCTGAGGAACGTAAGCCCGACACGTAGATGTATGATGTCCCCAGCAGTCAACAGCATAGGTAAAGAGAGGTTTTTCGAGTCGTTTAGGCGCCTCCTCACGCGTTTTTACAGGGCCACCTGAAAAGTCCTTGAACGAAAGGTATAATACGCAGGTATTTGCGGTATCGAGATGGGCGGTCGGAAACCAGCGAGTCAAAGAATCCTGTAAATATTCCTGAAGTGTATAGTGAACAAGTCGAATGATTTCGCTTTCTTTGTCGATGACAACGAGCCCACAACATGCCGAAATCATGTCTCCGGCCTCAGGGATTGCGGTTTCATCAAGCTCGTCCGCACTATCCTTAACAGCCCATGCATACTGAATCTCTATCGTTTTCAGAGGACGTTTGGCGCAGATGATCCAGGATAACACATGGTTGGCGAGTTCCTTGTAACCATCTGGTTACTCATTGATTCGCTCCATTGCGTCGTTATATGCCTGGTGTAATAGAGCCAGCTTTTGGATCCCGTTGAGAGTTGTTGCGAAGCTTGTTAAGTGTTTCACGGATGCGCTTTGCGCTAACTTTATTCTTCAAGTACTTGAAGAAGAGGTAGGCAAGTAGCAACTTGATTTTGAAGATAAGAATATGCTCAATTGAATAAATGACCCATATTTTGTAGAAAATGATAACTTACATGCCATCTGCGACACTGGCAATACAATTAATGATCTCATGTTGGAGGTCCGGGTACTTTGAGACAGCGCGCCAATTGGACATCTGATTACGCATGTATCTCTCAATATCTTCCTTTTTGGCCACGATCTCAAGGTAGGAGTGTCCATTAGAGGCTTCCATGATATCAGGTACAGGGCGGGATGTGGCCAGGGGGTTAACGTTACTCTCCCGCTATTGAAGGCGCAATAATGCTTCAATGAATTCGGAACGAACATTGTCGCTCATTTGGCACTCGTCCAGCGAATCAACGTTAACGAAGACCCCATTCTTGTACAGTGCGGCAACAGCATGGAACATCTCCTCAAGGTCACTCAATGATGGCTGTGATCTGTGCTTCCTGTGTTGAGCATAGGCATTCAAGACTGCTGTTGGCGGTGGGAACTCGTTGCTGAATAGTTGCTTTACGAGGTTAGCAAGCAGCTGCTCCACAGTTTGGCCATCCACACGCCGGAAGTTACAGTAGAGGTATGCGATGCCAACGTCACGGTCTCTCAAGTTCCTTTGGAGATAATCGATGACGATCGATACAAGGAGAGTCTTCCCCGCACCAGGGATGCCGGGGCAGAAGAGAGTCCACTGGCTTCCTTGGCAGCCTGGTGGACTGGTTAGCCTGAGAAAAGATTGGAACGAGACAGGTTCGAAGAAAACAAGGATTATTATACCATTCCTGAAACTGAGGAGAATGTAAGAACCACTGTCCCGTGCCTGCTTGTCTTTGGCGTAGAAAGTCGGCTTGTTGTGACGAATAGTCCACTAAAAAGAGCCAACCGTGAATTTCAGCACCTTTAGCTATGGAACAGATGTCAGCTCAAGCTCAGCCACAAGACAATTACTCGCAAACAAGCTAGGTTAAGGTTTGGACAAACCTGCTTAGTGATAGTTGATATCACCAAAATTCTGCGCGATCTGGATACCGATACCCTTCAGATCTCCAAGGTGGGATATCTTCCAAGGTGGGATATCTTAGAGAGTGAGAGCTTCTCAGTGATCTTCGCCTTTCACCCCTGAGCCTTATGTTCCGTCACTGGGTGAAATCACGAGGATCCGTGAAGGTGCAACTGTTTCGCCTTTAGGCTCGGCAAAACAGGACTTCGGAAGTTGGCTCTGGTCTAGTCGGATGTACTGTCAATAATGAAGAAAAGGGGGCATGATGAACAGAGGAATAAGAAAAGCATTATGCAGAAAGCTCGCTCGTTAGAGGTGTTGACAGAAGAGCAGATCTAACATGGACAAGACAAATCTCAGCTCCGACGCGAATAGGATGCAAGAAGGCCTTTGGGGACGGATACAGCCAAGAGGAGACCGTTCAAAAGAGCGATATATTTCCAATAATCTGACACAGGAACAGTGCGGGAGTGAGGATGAGCCATATACCCAGCATGCTTCACACCAGTGGCAGAGAGTCCTTACGCGGTTGTGTGACCCAAACTATGCTCTGATTCGCGACAGACGCATCGACGCAGCGCTGGAGCTTCAGAACCCCATAACCTTTACTGGCTTGGCTTGCCGCTAATACCAACCACAAAGCTACTCGCCAGGTCGTTCGAAAGGCGTATAACACCTTATGCCAAAAAGATGGCCGCTGGTCGAGGCCCAGCGTGTACAATCCTTACAAAATTTATAGAGAAGTCGAGCGATCATACCACAATGATCAAGGCCAATAATATGGAAGAGCCGACATTGTTCGCTACATCGATATCTAGCGACTAACCGCGCGGTTGCAGGCCTGCAGCAAACTACGTAGCTTAGACACTGATAAGTGATAAACAAGTAATTGTGAGATAGATAGGCGTTTATCGTGGCTAACGACAGTTTGTGAGCCTAAGAGAGGCTTCGATACTGTAAGACGGGTTGGATAAGTTTGGTGCTACTCTTGGACCTTTGGGCATAGGAACTTTAGGCACCCAGCTCCATAAGAGTCTAAGGAATCTCAGTAAACCTGTGGGTGGCATTGTAACTTATGTTGCCTATAGGCTCTAAAAACCTGATGTTGTAACGATAGCCGGGAAAGGGCATTATGTGGACAGATTAAGGTCACTAAGGCGCATAGGTTGGCGACTCACGAAAGAGTTTAGGTGGTCTGGAATCATGCCTACAAACGGCAAAATCGAAAGTGTTCAGCAGGCGGGAACGCCAGGCCCAAGCGAACCTACGTACTCTAACCAGCCGGACGGGATAAACTGCTGTAGGTCAGGTCACTTGACAGCAAGCTACCCTCCGTTTCGGAGCCGTTAGGGCCAATCTAAGTTAGGATGATGCGGTGAGAGACTTGCAAGTGAGTTGGGCCTCTCAAAGTTATACTCAACCTATGACACGAAAAGACTAGTGATCAGCAGCAATTGGGAATATATCTGAAATTCCCACGGAGATGCCCCTATGCACATACCAATGCCCTGGATATCTCTGCCCGATACACCCCATATCCGTCAACCGCTGCGTAAACCCATCCCTAACATCAAAAGACACATATGCAAATAATATCATGTCACATTCCCATCCCACAACCATTACACATAGTCAAAGTGTAGGTGGTTGCTCATATGATGAAAGAAAAAAAAAACACCACCATGGCATTACCCAGTCCTCACTTCCCCATCCCCATCCCCTTGCCCTTCCCCTTATCCCCATCCTTATGCGGCACCGGCTCCCACTGCCGACTCAACAACTTCCTCAGCTCAGGGGTAATCACCCGTTCTGACTGATTCGGCTGTTGCTCTTTCTGTGACAAACCCGGGGCCTGACTCGGCAACTTCCCCCCAGCATTACTGCCAGTGCTAGCAACAGACTGCTGGGATGACGAAGGCGAAGGGGAGAAAAGTGGCCTTGGAGCAGGGAAGTTGCTCTTTTTGTCGACCGCGTCAACTAGGCGCTGGAAGCGCTTGAATAGGGCCTCAGCGCGGATGAGTGTCGATTCGAGGTCCATTGTGCCAGAGAGCTCGTTGACTATAAGAGGTCAGTATTTTTAGGCCGTAGAGGAGAAAGGGGAAGGGGAACATACTATATTTTAACACCTCATCAAACCGCTCCAAATGCTCCATTATCACCTCGCGATGCTTCTCCAGTATCGCCAATGCAACGAACAAATGAAATTGGCTCGACAAATAATCCGTCCACAGCGCCTCCCATAACCTCAACACATCCGCCCATTTAAACTCTCGCTTATACCACACCAACAGCATCCGGAAAAAGAAGAAGAAGTTCGTGCTCTCCGCCTTCTCCAAATGCTTATACAACGCCGAATCCATGAACTGCACTAGATGATTCAGCGCCGTCAGCTGCGCCCTCATGCCCGTCTGATCCCGCAAAAAATTTCTCTCCATCCGATCCATAAACCCCTTAAACGCCCAAAACGCCAGCGCATCATCCTGTAGCACCGCATACAGCGGCGCCAGCAGGTCTGACATCCCCTGCACATACCCCAAATCCTTGTTATACTCATTATACGTCAGCAACATATCCTTCATCTGCTCCAGATGCACGTTAGTCCCCACACTCGCGTAGGGGGAGTCCGGATCCGGGTGAGGGATATCCTCGCCCGCAAAGAGCGGCACGTTGCGGTCGGTGCGGTGCACATCCTTTTCGATGCGGCCGCGTTGCTCGCGCCACCACTCTCCTTCTTCTCCTTGGCCGCCAAGGTCGATCTGTCGCTCCCACCAAGAGGCTTTGAGCTTGAGGTAGGCGTCGCGCAGGGAGGCGGCCTGGGCTTTGCGCTCGTCGCGCGTGCTGTACCAGTCGTAGACGTTGAGCAGGAAGAGCCAGGCTTCTTTGCGGACGTCCGGGTCCAGGCCGCCGTGGAAGATACGCTCTTTGACTTCGTCCACTGTGACGAGGAGTTGGCCGGTGTGTGGGTCGAAGTAGCCGATCCACTCTTTGAGAGTCACAGGCTTCCGAGCTTCCTCTAGGGTGAGGCTGTTGGCCCGCTCGAGTAGCTCGAACTCGCCTACGTCGGTGTTCTCCAGCTCCATGACTTCGCGAGCGGTCCATATGCGTTGGCTTCGCTCACGCTCGCTCTGCTCCGCAATCCCCATCGCCCAGCGCGCGAGATAGATCCGCGCGCTATCAAACTCCTCCTGAAGAGTCTGTACCTCGGGGTTACGCAACAACCTCCTCACCTGAGGCGGCATCCGCGGATTGTCCAGCACATCCTGTGCCGCCTGCCTCGTAAACGTCGTCACCTTGCTAAACTTCTCCATGATATTCCACCCGGCCTCCTTAACAAACTTCATCAGAGGATCAATACCTCCCCCTCCCCTCCCAGCCCCGGCGGCAGCATTCGATGGTCCTGCCCGTGAAGTACTCCCCCTCCTCCCCCCAACCAACCCCTTCCCCCCAAGAGCCCCAGCTCCGAAAGCCTCGCTATCCTCCTTACTCGGCTCAATCAACCAAACCCCATTCTCGACACCACTCCTCTCGACCCGCACGTACCGCCTTACCCACCGCATCACCTCATCCCCTCCCCAGAAAACTTCCCCGTCCTCCCCAAACGGATCAAACCTCTCATGCGTCCTCTTCCTCTTCTGCGCCATCGTGCTCGCGCACTCGTTGTCGTGAAAGAAGAGCGGCGGGAAGGACTCCCCGCCGCGGACGTTGATGACGATGCTGCCGTGCCACCAGCCCGGGGAAGGGGGACGCAGAAGGATGGAGAAGATTGCGGAGAGGGGGATTGCAAATGGGGAATGGCCGTAGGCAAGGGAATTGCGGGAGGGGATGTAAGGGCTGGCGCTCGAGTTGCCCGGGTGGGAGGTGACGATGGGGATGGGGGGGACGAGATGTGCCAGGCGCGGGGGAGAATCGGAATCAATATTCATGTCGACTTTGGCGTAAGTCGGGGCAGCGGCGCCGAGCTGGGAGTCAGGGATCCAGGCGAGGAGGAGGTCGGCTGAGGAGGGGTTCGTGCGGGATGATGGCTCAGAGTCGAGAGAAGTAGTGAGCGGGGAGGGTTTCTGCTGAAGCAGGGCGATGTAGCCGGGGACATTGTCGCGCGCAGAGGGAGTCGGATGAACGTAGACCTTGGATTTGCAGAAGAGAAGCTTGACGCCGCGGGTCGTGGGGGGCTCGGTGTGGGTGATGGTGTTGTAGTCGTTTTCCTCATCGTCGCTCATAGCGTCGAGGCTGCCGGCGGGGGATGGGGGCCGATCTATTATTGTTGCTGTGGATGAGGGGGTTGTGGAAGCTGCTAGTGACGAGGAACTGGTTCGGGGTGTTGTGTTGGTGGCTGTTGTGTGCTGCTGATCATTTAAGCTCGACGGTTCCGGGACCGAATCCGAAGCGGCCGACGGCGGCGACGACGTCATTTTCGTGATACGCGTCATTGTCTGGGCCGCGCTCCCTGCAGGCACTGGAGAACTCTTCACAAGGCTGAAAAAAAAAAGGGGGGGGAAATAAAATCAGATTTAAGTTCAAAACCTGAAAAGTGTAAATCCTGTGTTTCAGTCTTAGTAAGAGAGCTCAAGATGCATCTCGCAGTTATGAATTGGATGGATGAAGGTCGACACACGGCCGAGAGCGGTCAGGTGCAGTCAGCCTGTCCATGAGCTGAGTCTGCCTGCGCTGATCCCAGCGGTCTACACGCCTGCCGCGGTGGGCGCTTTTAGGCTACGGGAGCTTAGCCCCGCGCAGCACGAGGGGCGCGATAGCGGGTACCGGTACTTTTGTTAGCCCTGGCTTTAACTATCATTGCGGAAGTATCTGTACCTCCAGCTAGCACGGCTGCCGCGTAACACTACCATGGCGTAGTCGTCATCTGCGCAAAACGCACCACGTTATGGTATCCGCTTATTCTTTTTTTTTTTTTCTTTAAGCGGCATTGAATAGACCGTTGTACGCCAAAAGGAGCTCCCGTTGGGTCATCCTTAGACACACCGAATGCAGGTATCATATCCCATGCTATCGACGCTGCGTATATCAAAAACCCATCCATGGCTCCCATACACCAATACACCAGCGCTCATTAGGTCCAACCAGTTCAAGCTTCCCGTTTCTTCCCTGACTATGTAAATTATGTCGCAAAGTGTCGTCGTAGGTAGTGACGCGGAAAGCAGACCAACATCTCCCCTCTTTAGGATCCCCTCCTGAACCACCATCCCCTCAATCGCGCAACAGGACTCGCCACCTTCCCCCATCCCCTCTCATTGCCCAAAACCCTTCCACATCCCAAACCCCGTACTCCCTCAAAACCTCACCTCGGCCTAGGGTTACTAGGCAACCCAGCCCGCGGCCCACTCGGCAGCCCATAACCCCTCCCGCTCCCCCCTCCCCCGTAACTCCCGCTCCCATCAGTCCAAGGCGCATTCGCACTCACCACCGGCTTTTCTGTCCCTCCCCCACTCCCACTGTTCCCCCAATTGCCCCATCTGTTTCCCCCTCCCGCGGCAGCCGCACTCTGTTGTGGGGGGGGAGCAAACGGGCCCGAGCTGCTCCCTCCCGTGCCCGAACTGGGACTAGCAGTACGAGAACCGCCCCACAACCGTTGCTTGAGCTTCTCCTGTGCGCTGGAGGGACCGGGAGAAATGGCGTCGTTGTAGCCGCCTGCGGAGGAGGTAAAGCTTCCTGCGCGTTGGGACGGAAGAGAGGGACGGCCGGCGTTCGTGTCGCCAGAACCGCCAGATGCGAAGGGGTTGCGGCTGTTGACGAATTGGTTTCTTGCCACAGCCGCCCCAGCAGCATTACTGCTCGTGTTGTTGGTGTTGTTATTATCCCAGAGACTGCTCAACCCGGTCGCGCCTCTGCCAGGACCACCGGCTCCGTAACGGCCCGGTTGGGAGCTCGCGTAGACGGGTTGTTGCGGGGGAGGGGCCTTAGGGTCGGGGGGCAGCCAGCCGGGGAGGGGCTGGCCCTTTTCGGAGTAGTAGGCGCGCAGGACGCGGCAGACGAGCGTGTCGTCTTCGGTGTCTCCGTCTTGTTCACTGCCGAAGAAGGTGCGCTGAAGTTTGGTCACGGATGCGTACCACGAGGACATGTTGTTGGTTGGTTAGGAAGGTGAGGTAGTTTTGTTGTGCTTATTAGGAGTTTGAGGGAAGTCGGTGAGGGGGTTGTGGGAGAAAGTCGGTGGCGGTGACTGAAGTCGAGGGAAGAGTCGTCGTCGCGATGTCGCGTGCTCGGAATTTCGTGTCCTCGCGGCGTATGTTGCTCTGGAGAAAGGCAGGGAACTAGGCTGGGCTCTGAACCTCCCCGATATTGTTCAGGAGTGCCGATGGTCGCTGGATGAGTCGGATGACAGGAGGAGGGTACGATGTTGCCGCAAGTCGCGACGCTTAGCGCCGCTATTAGGACTTGTAGGAGAAAAATCAAATGCGCCGCGCCAACGCTAAAACCAGGGACGAAATGATAGAATATTCAGGTGGTTGTCGTCGGGATGTGCGGCGTGGTCGGTGTCACGGTTTGAGGATAGTTCCAGGAGGCATGATGGATGCTGGTGCCGCTGCGGCACCCTTGTTTCAACTTTCAAGCTCCAAGGCAGGCCCCACTTTTAAGGCCAACCTGTGGACCAGGGGGCCGTATCCTCCTGTTGATCACGGTTCCGGGTTGACAAGTCCATTGATCGTCAAAAATGACAATTGACGGATCTTACACGATTCCTAAAAAAAAAAAATAATATATCCCCAAACTAAGGCTCCCAATTCTTGAGCCACATGCATTCATTACATAGCAGCCGATACTGCCGATGAAAATGAACATGAATGTATCCCATATCTGCCAAATAAGAACCCCTAAACTCCCTCAGCCCGACCCATGTGAATGTGAATGTGATGCCGTACAGTGAGAACCTTAGAAAGCCAGCAGTTTGGCCCGATCTGCCTCCTCCCTCTCAATCTCCAGTTCCTTTCTCTTCCGCGCCTTCGGCTTGACAGCCTTGCCTCTCTTCCGCTTGTCTCCCGCCTTCTTCTTCTTAAGCTCCTCCTCATCATCCTCCTCACTCTCATCATCGTCCTCATCGTCATCATCTTCATCGTCGTCATCCTCGTCGTCAAACTCCTCATCATCACTTCCCAGCCAGTCCTCGAGATCGCCGAGCTCATCCTCGCTCTCCTCAAAGTCCGACACGTACTCGACCACATTATCCTCCTCATTCTCCTCCTCGCGCTCATACTCAACCTCGCTCTCCTCTGCCGACTCCAGACCCTCCTCATCGGCCTCGATGCCCTTATCATGATCCTTATCCCGCACACCCTCGCCCTCCGCCTCAAGCGCATTAAGCACCTTCTTCCAGATCTGCGGGTTGCAGTTAAGCGGCTGGTCACCGTACGCACCTTGCCGCAGGCGGTCAAGAAGTTCGCGCTCGATCGTCCGCTCCAGCTTGGCCGCTGCCAGAGCCTTGCGCTCTCTGGCTTCCTCGCGCTTCTTGATCTTGGGCGCCATTTTGGGCACAAGCTTCTCGCCTAATCTGGCCTCCTCCGCGGCTATCCTGCGCATCCGGATCGCGACTTGTACGAGTCGGGTGAGGCGTTGCTTGCACTTGTGGATAAGGAACTTGGGGAAGAATTGGAGACGCTGGTCGATCTGCTCGAGAGCCTTTTGGTAGTTTTGCGAGAGCTTGATCTTTTCCCACCATTTGGAGGGCATGTGCGACCGTTCGATCTAAACGGTCACTGTAATTAGCCTTCGGCCATGTACCGTGATCCCATGTAGAAACGTACAGTCTTAATGTAAAGGTAGATTGTCCCCTTAGGGGACTGCCTCACTGTCGCATATCGACTGTTGGCGAGCGGGCAGCTCTGGCGATTGCACAGACCACTGACGGAGTACTCATTTCTGCAGAAGTTTTGGCCTTTTGTAGTTCTAATTGACGGTCAGACTATGTGTGCATAAGACGACTGGGGTCATGCGACAAAGGCGTACTTGAGCTTGAAGGCACAAAACTGTTCTATGCGGTTGTCAGTACAATACAGCCAAATACAGATCTATGGTCTTTCGAGAACAGATGAACTTACGGTTTATGATTTGCCATACGATTTCGTCAGACATCTTGAATCGTCCTCAATTAAGCAATGCAGCAGATCGGTAAGGGTTGAGTTAGGCCGAGGGATTCGGGGAGCTTTGGTCCATAAGAGAAGGCAAAAAAAAAAAAGATGATTCTGCTTTTGATCGTCAACATTGGAGGGGCAACCAGCTGCCATGGCGACAAAAAATTTGGGGACCGTTTGAGTTTTCCCTGTGCTGATTGGTCCGTGCTGGTTATTTATCTTATCTTATCAGTTTATCAACCAATGATTGTCGTTAGCTTCCTGAATCTCTCACACATGGCACTCACCATCGCGGTTGAAGCTCATCGTCAACGGTGTTCTTCCCACGGTCCTCTCGTTTCATTTTTCTTATTCTTGGTTATTTTCTCATGAATCTGTCTTCTCAGAGTCAATGTTTCGTCATGCATTGAGGACAACCTCGATCCGCGCCCTCCGGGGTTTGCGGAGCGTTACATTCGTTCAGAGGAAACCCTCGTGTCCTTCATGGAGCGTAGCTCTTCAGCACATTCACACTTCTAGCAGTGTTTCCGCAGCCATTAGTGGCTCACCTAGCTACACCGTTACAAATGAAACCATCTATGCGCTCTCGTCAGGCGCGGGAAGGGCAGGCATTGCTGTAATTCGTATTTCCGGAGCAGGATGTATTGATGTAGGTCAACCTTACGCTCTTCTCTACCCTGTCTTAGGCTAATACGCGCTAGATTTACAAAGCACTTTGCCCAACTAAACCCCTACCTAAGCCCAGATATGCTGGTGTGAGGACCCTTTTCGAACCCGGCACAGCCGGCGCATCCTCAGAAAACATCGTAGACTCAGATGCTCTAGTGTTGTACTTCCCGGCTCCCAAAACCGTGACAGGCGAGGACGTCCTCGAACTCCACATCCACGGAGGCGCAGCAACCGTAAAGGCTGTGCTGGCCGCAATCGCAAAATGTCCATCATCAAGCAAGATCCGCTATGCCGAGCCCGGCGAGTTCACCAGACGCGCCTTTCTCAACGGCCGTCTTGACCTGGCTCAGGTCGAGTCTCTTGGAGACACTCTTGCTGCCGAGACGGAACATCAACGGCGCGCCGCTGTCAGGGGGACGTCGGGCATTCTTGGCAAGACCTATGACAGCTGGAGGGAGCAACTTCTTCTCGCGCGTGGCGAGATCGAAGCGCTCATCGATTTCTCGGAGGACCAACATTTCGACGAGTCGCCGACTGAGCTGCTCAGTAATGTCACAAGGATGGTGGAGGAGATGCTGCGTTCTATCAAGATGCACAAGCTGGCCAGTCAGCGAAGCGAGCTGCTTCGGAATGGTATCCGGATTGCCCTGTTGGGCCCTCCAAATGCTGGAAAGAGCTCTTTGATGAATCAGATAGTTGGCCGAGAGGCCTCGATTGTATCATCCGAGGCAGGGACTACTCGAGATATTGTCGAGGCGAGTCTTGATATTCGGGGCTATCTTTGCTCCTTTGCGGATACTGCCGGCATTCGGACGAAGGATTCCGAGTCTGTTAACGATTCTGATACATCTCCCATCGGGGCTATTGAGGAAGAAGGTATCAGAAGAGCACGGCAGAAGGCGTTGGATTCGGACATCATTGTTGTTTTGGCTTCTGTTGAACCAGCGAAGTCCGGTGGCCACCGGATCAGCTATGATGTTGAGACACTTAGGCTAGCTGCTCAGGCAGAGCAGTGTATGGTTGTCATTAACAAGAGTGATGTTGTAGACCCAGACACGCTTAACAGCCTAGTTGAAGAGTTCAAGGCTACGGCCTTGACTAGTGTGGAGGGCCTGCGCGGCAAGGAGGTGCTCACAATATCCTGCAAGGCTGCAGCCTCACAAGCCCCGGGTTCAACAGACCCTGGGAACATACATGGACTCACGGAGAAGCTTGCGCAGTCATTCTCTGCTTTAACCTCAGTCCCGGACGGCATGCAGCATCTCCTTGGGGTTACAGCAAGACAAAATCAGCTGCTGTCAGAATGTGAACAACACCTCCTTGACTTCATGATGGAAGCACAGCATCCAGAGATGGAAGGAGAACCGGATGTCGTTCTGGCCGCAGAGCATCTGCGACTGGCTGCACTCAGACTTGCGGCTATCACTGGTCGTGGTGAATCTGGGGATGTGGAGGAAGTCCTTGGCGTGATCTTTGAGAAGTGAGTCTAGTCAACACTAATATCATATCACAACACACTAACGCACTTCTTCAGATTTTGCGTTGGAAAATGACCTCTAAATCATTTAAAACGATTGACAACATTCGGTGAAAGAACTAGTAGCGCATGAAGGACAAGCTATCATCGACATGAGGAAAACTCATACCAAACTAGTCCAATCCATTCAACGCCCCAGTTACTGTGCGACTGTGAAGTCGGCTTGGGGTCCCTGAAAAGAAAGCTGTTTGTCATCCTCTCAGGGGCCTCTCTAATGTACCTATCCGAACCAACCAGAAACGTTGATATCCATGATGCTCGACCCGAAGCAACCGAAATCCCGAAGACCATGATGAGAAGAAACCAAAACCGTGACGCAGCCGGACATGAAGCGAAGAGAAATCTTGACGAGTGGACGCCCCAACGCCCTGGGGATTGAGGTAAGGGTGTTGCGGCCATGGAGTGCTGAGGGCCTTTAGTTCGATTGGCCGCTCTCCTCTTCATCCTTGTCGTCCCTGATGACAGGTGTTAGTCGAGCTGCAGTGGTGACTGAAGGGGGAATGGCTACTCACTTGTTATAACCGGAGCGTCCGTAGTTAACAAACTTGTTCTCCTCGCCGCCGTCCTCGTTGTCACCCCTACGAGATGTCAGCCTGAATGTCCGATCAATCGATCTTTCTTCGGAAGGAACTGACTTGTTGTAACCAGAGCGGCCGTAGTTTACGGGGCAGCCGGTGGTGAAGAAAGCAGTTGTGGCAGCCATTGTGCTTGTTGATGAGGGCAGTTTGAAGGTTGTGGAAATTCTGATTGTTTAGAAGGGGTGAAGTGTTGAGTGCTTGGTAAAGAGCTGGCGAGTTTCCTTTGGTATTAATCACCTGCTGGCTTTTTGCTGATGAATAAGACAGAGTCCCATCTCAATCCCGGAGGGACTGGGGATTTATATCTTCGCTCGAGGACGGCGGCCATACTTCCATGACATCGTCATGAGCCCCAAGGGGAGTAGGCATCTCTGCTGCGTTGAGCCCAATGACCCTATTCGATCTGGCACGCCGCCTGCGCAACTGCGTATAATCTCTCTTTCCATGTGCCATTTTCGCAATGATTGGTGATGTCCATGTCGGCGTACGAGGCAGCAATGCCTCGTTGGAGGGCCCCCAAAAAGCTGCTGATGAGATGACATAAGGCAGATCTCCGGGCTCGCTCAGTAATTGTCTCCACCCACATGTCCATACATAGCTTCTGCGGTAACAAGCATGGCTTGGAAAAGATCTCGACATCTCACTGGGCACTGATATGCAAGATCTGACATTTCGCCCTGCACAAATCTGCCCCCAACTGAGTGACTCTTACCAGCTACATGGAACCTTTTTTTTCTTTCCTGCGTCTTGACAAGCGGTAAGCAACAGGACTTTTTCGACAACGCCGTCGATCTCTGCAAGCTACTTCTCTACGGACAGCGCAAGAGATGGGTTCATTCGAGGTGCTTAACAGAGCATGCAGCACCTTGCATACCCGAGGCCTATCTCAACCAGTAATACCCCGTTCCAATATGCAGCCATCAACACAATGGCACATACAACATCAACGACGTAGCCGCTGCCAGATTTACCAGAGTCCCAAACTGCCGAAATGGAGGGGTAAATGGAGGGGTGTTTGAATGGACATCTGGAACACATCTCTGACCTAGCAGCCATGAGGTAGTGTAGGGCTGTGAAATTAGGTTGTGCAACATGGGGGTTGCTACGGACGTACCCGTCTCTTTTTTCGATGCTAGATTAGTGTATATATGGATGCCTGGAGGCATGTCGTGTGTAAGCATCAGCCTGCTGTGGCTGCCAACGTTTTTGGGTCGTCACACAGAGATCTCGAACCTCGCGCCTGCAGCATCTTGAGGTGCCAAACGCCGCCATTTGCTCATCTTCACAATTGAGTGAACTATCCTTCATCCGCAGATACCCACTTGCTTGATGGTCGTTCTCACTCAATCGCGAACAATGCACTACCTAAACCAGTTAGTCTTCACGTCGCGTTCCATCATGGGCGCGAATGCATCCAATAGCTGGCATGCTTACTTCCACTTACACCCCTAGCCACAAGGTCTTCGCTCGTTCTCCTCAGAGCCCTGTTATTGGGGGCCTCTCCCGGCTGTGTGGTAGCGACAATATTACCTGGGACTGCGAACATGTTCCTCTCATCCAGCCTATTGGCTGGATCTTTAACGCAACAAATGCATAGCTCTACCAGTTCATCGATTACTCGCACCGATTTTCGATATGGGTTGATTTGTATACACATTGGCTTCATGAGATTAAATAGTATGATCACCGAAGGAGTCACGCTCATGCCAGGAGATCCTGTCCTACAACGCTCTCTCACTCCTCGCTTTTCTGTCCACAGCTTGCCACTCTAGCCTCGCCCTTCACCCACAAGCGCTGCCAAGCCACCTCAGGACCTGTTAAACGGTAGCCAGCGGTAACGTCGGTTCCTGGGCTTTATGTGCCATTGGGGGTGGATGGGTTACATCCCAAAACTACGGGTCTTCCGTCTTCCCTTCCATAATTGCAAGCAGGGAACTTTGGATCTTGCGAAATGCCGTGAACTGCGCCCACGGGGAAACCGAAAACGATGCTGTCAGATGATCGCATGCACGCCGCGTGTGCCCTGGGCTTATGGCTAGCCCTACGGATCTGGTACCAATCAAAAAGATGGGATAGGTACATGATGATGACGGTTCTCGAAGGGTCGGTGCCTCATTATAGAGCCGGAGACTTTGCAATCGGATAGGGCCAATTATTCGGCCCGTATATCGGCCCCACTCCGCTACCGGGGAGCCCGTGACGGAGCTCAGCCCAGGCGGAGGATGTTCATCAGTCCGTATTTTGAGCTTCTATTTTTTTTTAAAAAAAAAAACTTGGACAGGTTTTGCGCGATTTCCTCGCTTTCATTCTGCAAGAAGTTTTTTTGCTTTCTCTCTCATCTTTTTGCTCATGATAGGTCTCCTCTACTTTGTTCTACACATTTCGTGAGTTTGTGGCTCTTCCGTCGTCATCGGAAACGGAAAGCCTTGCAAGTTGTTCGGCCAGTCGGGCTGCGGGACCGAGGATCCTGACCGGTTTCAATGATCGATCGGGCATTGGACACTCAAGCAGTTCCGTTAACGCTACCTCAGTTCTCGCTTGTCTGAGACCGTAATCCCTTTCCCTGAGAGGCATGCAACTCATGAATAGCCAGCTTCAGCGAAATGGGGGCCCAAATGTCATGGCCTGGAACAAGGTCTCTGCAGAAAGAGTCAACAGACTAGTAGAATGGTGAAGCCCAGAACAAACAGCTGGTGTTGGGGAGCCTCAGAGCTACACATTTGATTGGGCAGCTTAGGTGATGCGAGTGGTTCCGTTGGCAGCTACCAGTATTCTGGCGTCTGGGTCTCTCATGAATGGCTTGTTAGCGAAGCGATGCCTAACTCTGCTTTCTGAAAGTCTGGAAAGCCCTTGTCTGATGCCTGTGACTCATGCCGCTTGTTTATTCTCGACCTTTGCTTAAACCTTGCGTTTGGAAAGCTTTGGAGTCTCGAGATGCCGCGGATAGGCGATTAGGTGGAGGAACTTCGAGTTCTTGGCATGAGAGCTCCCATGTAAGTGCTGCAGCTTCAATTTCACCCTGTACCTAGTCGTCGGTCTTCGAAAGCTCAAATCATTTGTCCGAAACCACATATATTCATGTTCGAGGCATATAGTTTTTTTTTAACTTCCCTGGTATAAGATGCAACAGCAGGTTACCTGGGTTTTTACGAAGGGTAAAGGGCACAGATCATGGAGACAGTGGCCCTGACTCCTGACAGTCCTGACATAGGCTCTGTTTGGCAGATGCTCTGCTTACGGCGGGGACGATGCCGGCAGGTTTTGGTTGCCTTTGATCGGAACGCCTTTTACTAGGACTGCTCATGGTACTGCAAGCTTTTTTCAACTTACTTCCTTGGAAACTTATATCATGGTGAGATGGGTTGCCGTGACCCTGGTCCAGAGAGAGGGCGGGGACGACAGTTGCTTCCCAGCTCAAGATGAGGCGTCCTCAACATTTTGTGCTGATAGTTGGTGATATTGAATTTTGGAATTCACAGATAGTCCATGGAATTATATACCTGCAAGGACTTTTTTTGGGCATGGACAAATGGGAAAAATAGTTTTAATGGATGGGCATCTGCCGCGGGAAAACTGAAGCTTGTCCCCTCCCTTGGGGTTGACGTCGTCTTTCTCAAGCCACCTGTCAGCCTCAACCCCGCCACCGCCACATCACCCTTGGCCCAAAATTGGTACACAGTGTAACAAAAGCATGAGTAGATTACCGCACTGTAGTACAGACATTGTTCTGCTCTTTCTGAGCCTCATCCAACTGGAACACCGTCTGTTGTTTTCCCCGCAGAAGCTGGGCTTTCTTTCGGGTTTCTGGTTCAATAATGGCGAGTGCCTGCCGTTGACAAACTCCGAGTCACTCTTTGAAGTCTTATCATTATCCCATCCCATCTTCAACACCACGTTTTGGTGGCGTGGAACCTGGGATATCGATCGATCGATAGTTGACAGTGCTAGCCCGACTGCTCGCTTCAGCAACAGCTGGGCATCTGTGTGTCTGCCAATCTGGGCATCTGCAACAGCAGTTGTGGATCAAAAGTCGCCAAACCACTCTAGGCATCGCGCATTCACCATCGGCATACCAGTGCCCGGCTCCGATCCTCCCGCACTGGCGATATCCAGTGGTCGAGCAGCCTCTGCAAGCTCCACCGAGCATTATCCCGTACTCAACCCGGTCTTGTGCCCGCGCTCGCACCCACCACCCGCACCGCAGCGACCGCAGCGACCGCAGCGTCCGGCCACGCGGGAAAGGACCCCCCAGCTTCCAGGCTCTGGAGTCGGCCGTGTTTTGGAGAGAGCTTGCCGCGAGCGTCAGGTCGTTGAGTGGGACCCCTCCTCCCTCGGTAGCCCTTCACGATGATGCCGCCGCCGAGTAAGTCGACCATCCCATCTTTAGTCTGTCCTGCTTGTTGCTATTGTTCCTGCCTGCTCTTTCTCTTTCTGCACTCCGTTCTGTCCTGCCAACCCCCGGGTTCGCCTGCCTGAAACCCGTCTTTTGTCGGTGGAATTGGAATGCCCAGGCGGCCAGCCTTTGTGTCCGATTGATCACGCCCCGCGTTCTCCTGGCACCGAGTTGGCCGCGACACTTTTCGGTTGCAATCCGACCACTGGCACCTCTCCAGGGCAACCAGCCTGGATCCTCTCGTCGTCTTGCCAGCTCGTTTCCAGACGAAGTTGACGGCTCGACGGCGCCGCACACTGCCACAGGCGATCCTCACTCTGCAACCGCTTCGAATCCTCCCGGGCTGGTCACCGTGCCAGTTTCGCAACTTCGTTTCTGCATGCATCTGGAGCATCTTCCAACCTTCAAGGACGCCTGCACTGGTGTGGTCCGGCTTGCGCAGACACTCGCGACGACACACACGTACTCTTCCTAGGCAACCCGAACTGTGACGAGCTGGGCGGCGGGCCAATTCTCTTTGCATTCGGACACACAGACGCAATTCTCGCTCGTTTTGTTGTTGCGGCCTCTCTGCACAGTCATCACTAACTGACATAATGGAAGATCTCACCGAGGACCCCTTCATCAACCAGGTCTTGTAGGTCCCTTCCCCAACTTTACTCAGCCTTCTGCCCCACCGATAGCTGACACTCCTGGTCCCTACAGGACTTATCCCCTTAGCGACCTCGAGGATTGTGCGATCGCGATCGATGCCACGTACTGGCTCCAGCTCCATCTCGATGTTCTCCCCGGCAACGAGCCCCTGCTGCCCGCCCTGGGTGGGCTGACTGGCATCCAGGCGCGTATCGAGAATGAGTTGGATCAGTGGAAGCTCAATAAGATGACCCCATTCTTCATCTTTGACGGCCAGGCAATCGTGGGACAGGACGAGGTGGCAGTTCGGCGTGGCCTGGATCTCAACCTTAAGACGGACGGCGCCTGGGAGCTATACTTCAACAGCCGTGCCGACGAGGCTGTCCATGCTTTCGGTCAGACCATCAGTATGTGCGCTCCTGCGCCTGTCTTCAGCTTCCTAAATCGTTCTCATTTCCGCTGACCTCTGCTTCAAGGTGCCTTTCCCACTCGGGCGCTTTATCCCCTACTCCAGTCCATCCTGAGGCAGCGAGGCCTGCACTTCCTAGTGCCTCCCTTCAACGCTGCTGCCCAGGTAAGCTTAGCGATCTGAAAATAAGGAGATCAGCAAGAACGGTCAGTCTGACAGTCTATGGCTAGATGGCATACTTCGAAATGATCGACTCGGACCAGTGTGCCGGCATCATGGGCTCGACCGAACTCCTGCTGTATCCCATCCGGGATTGCATTATTCGCATGATCGACTGGGATAACAAGATGGTCTATGCAATCTCCAAGAAGAATATCTTAAAGACGCTGAATGTCAGCGAGTCTCTCTTCATTGACGCGTTCCTTATGACTGGAACGTCCTTCCTGCCGCCTTTCCCTCCGCTGGCCGACCAGACGATCATTAAGGCGTCACGCTATACGGTAGTTGACGCATGCACCATGCTGCGCACCACTGAGAAGTCGGTCACCATAGCCTGCACCAGTTTCAATGATATCCTGAAGGCTCATGATCCCAACTGGCTGGAGAAGTACCGCAAGGCGCGCATGGCCGTCGACCACTTTATTTATATTGCCGAAAACGGCGAGGTCAAAGTCAATGACTATGACCATCTCACAAAGGACAACCACGAGTATCTTGGCTTGCAACTTCCTGCCGAACTGTTCCACTATCTCAACACCGGTTTGATCGGTCCTCGTGTTCTTACCTGGATTACCCATGGTCAACTGCAAGTCCTTCCTACGTTGGATGGGGTTGCCTCGGAGGAGTACAAAAAGTTGGTCACTTCACAATCGGTCCGTATCAAGGAGGCAGCGCTAAGCCTGGTCATTCCTCGCCTTAACCGCGGCATCGGATATAAGAATATCACCATGAAGGTCTGGTACGACCGCAATTATTCATACACTGTTTGGGATCGCCATGAGCCCAAGACCAGCTATGCTCCCCAAGTTAGCAGCTGGAGTGTGAAGGAGGAGTCATTCTCTGCACATTTCCCCCAGTTTTCCCACGGTTCTATTCTGTCTGAGGTGCTTGCGCTGCAGAAGCCCGAGTTTGTTCCCCTTACCCGCTCAAGCCCCAGCTCCAAGCTGAAGAGTGTTGAGTCGGCCGCGGTCATTAAGTCAATCACCCTCTGGAGGTTTCTGCACATCCGGGGCTATGTCGATGATCATCATGAGCTGACCGGTTGGGGCAAGGCCCTGGCTGCGGCCCTCGCCGCGATCAAGCCCACAGTTGAGAAGTTCCCTGATTTCCCCAACCTCTATGAGTCCATTCTTGTTGCATTCGAGCTGATCCGTTTCGATCTGCTCAATGCCAAGAACAAACATGAGGAGCTGCGTGGTCTGCCGCTCAACGGCTCTGAGGAGGACCAGTCGAGCCTGCTACTGATCAGCCGCTGCGCTACGCTGCTCAAGCTGAGGCACGAGGCCAATGGGTACACTGGCCCTCTCAGCAAGAACCTGCTGCACTTCCGCACTCTGGTCTCAGAGGTTCGGTCAGCTGATCGCGACTTGATCGAGGCCATTCTGGCGTCCATGTTTATGTATGCACAGGCCAAGCGGAAGCGCGATGACGGTTGGGAACTGAGCCATCAGTATGTGCCCTTTGACTGGCATGCGCTCTTCCGAAAGTATTTTGATACTGACTCTTCACAGGCTGCCATTCCTTTATGACCCCGACGTCGCCCTCGGCATCGCGGTCAAGACCTACTTCGACGACATCCTGCCCAACGACCCCAACAAGGCCCAGAAGAAGGCGGCCTTCCCTGGTACTTATGTGCCTTATGCCCTGAACTTCGCTGAAGACCTGGACATCGCCTGCAGTTTCTTTGATGCTGTTTATGCCGGCATCCAGACGCTGGATGCCAAGGATCTGCCTGTTGCTGATCGCGCAGTCTGGGATAAGGCCGCTAAGTACCTGGAGCTGAGGAGGTAAGCTGGCGTCGTTGAGGAAGGAAGCTGTTGGCTTGGCAGATGGGGGATGTTGCTGGGAGAGAAGGGGGTGTGTAAGGGGACGGTGTGGTGAGCAAGATATGACGGTATACAGCGAGGTTTTCATGGTCATGTGCTGGCCACTCTCCTCGCAGCTTAAACATAGGGGCCTAGTAGGGGGCCTTTGCGCGGTGTCCATGTCCCTTCATTACATTTCTCATTGAAAGGGACGTAGCCGGATGTCCGTGTTTGGGCCAAACGACGATGGCGTCAAATGAGAAAAAAAATTGAGGAAAACCTTCAACCGATGTCGACGGTGTGTGTCCTATGTGTGACAGGTTCGCCTTGTGTGACCGTGATCTGTACTGCTGATGCCCTGTGATGATCCCTTCCCAGGACATTCATCACATCTATCAATATACTTAAAGCAGCAGTTGCACGTATTAGATAATTTTGTTAGCTCCATTTACAGTGAAATACAAAACCCAAACCAACTCCCCACCTATGTAGTTTTAAAACATGGATATCATTTCCCATCTCCTCCATGCCCTTGATGTACAGCCTTCCGCCCATCCATCCTCCCCATCCATCTCTCGTTCATGATTATCATCTTCTCTTGGTAGGTGACTAGGTGAGCATTGGACGAGCATTGTCATCTAGCCACCTCGTCCCCTTGAAATAAGACGTGGCCCATGCAAGGTGCATGTCTGGCTTTGCCAAAGGCTGTGCGTTCCATCGGACCTCCATCCTCCCCTTTGCAATTGATACCGAGAAAAGAGATGAGCGAGCGACCGCTTGCTGTCGGCCGGCCTGTAGCCATCCATTTAATCGTACTTGAGATGGAACACGTTTACGCGCCGCCGACGAGGATGTTGTTCAAAGGGACATGGACTGGAAACGTGTCAGAAGCTGGGCTCCGGATTGGAATGATAATATGAGAGCAGGAATACGTACTGAGCTTGACAAAGTAACCAACAGCGCCCATGATCAGAAAGCCGACACCAACGGCCTGGGAGATCTTGATGAACTCGCGGCGATCAGCTATGAGGGTTAGTTAGCATCATCGTAGCACCATCTTAGAAGCTAAGTGCAGTGCTGATGCGGCACTGAAAAGAACGCATGAGGCTGGATTAGGGGACGTACGCTTCTGAGCGCGGTTGATGAACTGGATACCATCCTTGAGGAACTCGCGTGGAACGTCGAGGAGCTCCTGGATCTGGTCCGCCATGGTTGCTGATTGTTGTTCTGTGTGAATATGAAATTGAATTGAATGTGATTGGCAGCAAGAGACGTAAGTAGAGGACAGCGCCACGCTGGAATGTTTGTGTTGTTGCTGATGGATGATAAGGAAATGGGAAGAGGGATCAAGAATGCAGTCGCGTAAAATGGTAAAAGGGCGAGCTGGAAAGGTCACAGGTGTTCGTTGACTTGCCCAGGCCCAATGTGCCACATCGCCTCAACTTTCTCAACCCCCAGTTGGCATTATCTTGGCAAGGCTTGGCCCAGCTCCAGCGTGGTAATGTGGTCTGTGCGTGGGCATTCAGGGGTTGAACATGGTGGGTCATGTTATGAGGAATATGGGACTTCTCTTGGCGAGATATGGGAAGAGAAGCTCGGCAGCTTCCGATCGATCGATCGATCGAACAGAACAAGTCAGTCAAAAGGCTTGGCTTGTTTGTGGGCAGTTGGCTTCGAGAATCAACTCCAAGCATTCAAACTTCGAGAATCCAGAGCCTGTTCTCTGTGTTCAAGTTCTTAAGCGATCAGTCTCTGGAAAGTTGATCAATTAGTCGTCGATTTCCTCAAAAAATAGTCACGATATTAACCATCCATCATTCTTCTCTACTGTCTCTTCGACCTATCGACAACTGCAACAATGATTCGAAATACTTAACCACAATCTTGCGTTTGGTTTTTATACGGCCTATTGGGCAGATAAGCTTGGAATTTGGGCGTGAGCACTGTCCGAAACCATGCATGCCCGGGGACCACTGTGAAGTGCTACCAGGTTCAAAGATACCTTTGATCGAATCAGTGAAGGTCTCAGAGCACCTCCTCGATTTGCTATATTGAGATATAAATGCAATACTTGACCCCACGAGATTTCTCGGCTAGCCCGATTTTGACAGGTCAAATTGGCTATCTAACGAAACAGTAGACATCTCAATATCGAATTAGGGTTTCAAGTCAGCACAGTTCTAAGGTTGCTGAGCGCCTACGAGTAAGTTTTATGAAAATGCCAGCTCTTATCCAGTTCAAGTCTTCTCTTCATTTCACTGGCATCTTGGATGAGCGACCACCTAACTGGTGGGGGTGGTCCGGGCCGGTCTGCCTTGACGGTCACTTACTACGGGAGGGGTTAATGACACTGGGTCTCTGACTGTGCCTTGTGCACATCACGGCGACAGAGGAACAATCTTGTTCTCTCAGTTTGAGAGATCCCAAATGAAGATCTAGCCCCTCGGACATCCTGGGGAAGAGCTCACAGACCGATGACCCCGCAACAAATCGGCAGTGATTGTTCTTGGTCACGGCATATCACTCTACCCCTCCTCCAGCTGACCACCGAAACAGCTGCTTATTACTCGTTTTAGCCTGTCGGCACTATCTTGCTTAAGACTCCCAAAAGGTTACTACAACACTATAGGCGTTCGGGTGGGCAAACCGAATGAGAGGGGTTCCTCTTCAGAGAGCATTGTCCGCCTTTATAAAATTAAGTATGCCCGGTTCAGAAAGCACTGACCCTCTTTAATTCCTCTCTTCTGTCATTATTGCTGGAATCTTTCAGTTCCTAGCCATTGTGTTCTCTACCCGACCCCTCCCCCCAACCTAGACGCAAAGGCCCATTGACACTGACAGACCCGGTTATTTCATTCGGGATAACACCAAAGACTCGGTCCTTGTTTGACGACCATCGAACAAGGACCGTCTGATCATCGACTGGGTTGTGCTGGCTGGAGTATCTGTGCCTCTGAGGAATTGGCCTTGTGGGGTAGCCCCCATCACAACTAACGTCATCGCCTCCGGCTATATCAGGTGAGAGAATCCCTTTCTCTTACACACTTGCTGGCAATCGTGGATCGACACTTTCTTTGCTTGATGGTTCGAAATCATCATGACCGCCAAGGCCGCGGATCAGTTGATTGGGGACCATGGTCTATAAACCATTCCGGTGGTTGTTGGAAGCGAAGCATATAGTGTGGCCGCTGTCTCTATTGGCTGCCAGCCCTGACAGATGGTCAACTTCACCCGCAACCTTTTGCTGTGTTTGTTATCATCTTTTTCTTGTAAAAGTCACCCTAAAGACCATGAATGAAATCAGACACGGAAAGCCTGAACTTTAGAGATTTAACTCTCGTAAATTGGAGAACAAGATCTCCCCGTTTACAAAACTAGAAGACTACAGGGCTTAGTTGGCCTTGGTTCCCACTCTGCATCTTGCACTTTGTACAACACAAATTCGTTCTTCATCGGTCGTTGTTGCTGAAGAACCTTTTTGGCTGCCCGAGCTTTCCTCGTTGTGCCGGTCTTTCCGAGTTTACAAAGCCACGCTGGGATCCACCATCGAGGCGGGCAAAGACGCTCAGCAATTTGAGCTTTTCTGGATTATAAGAAGATTCACTGTGAAAGAGTTTTGAAGATTTTCTGGGCTAAACTCAGCGAAAATGAGAAAGTTGACGAGGAGATGCGCGCCAGTGAGCTCTATGGATATCGAGGCCCCGGAGCCTCCGGTTTTCCTGTCCCGTCAATCCACAATGGCGTCGCTCCGCCTGAGGGACACTGGGTTCCCGGAAGCGATTTGTGGAAGTAAGTAAATGGGAACTTTATGAATAATATGGAATTCTTTACTAACGATGAATCTTCAAGACCGCAATACAACTCTCCCACATCCAGAAGCGAAGTATGGACTGGATGCATGTCTAACTGAAGAGGATATCAACCCGATATGGCCTACTCCCCGACATATTAACTCAATCAAGATCAAGCAGCAACAGATCCAATCACGGAGTACATCTCTTCTTGGGGGCTTGATCGGCCCTTCAATGCCTGCGGCCGAGGACACCAATAGCCTTGGGTCCTCAGAGGGGATAGGTTCGAATAGTAGCTTGAGGAGCGGGAGCTCCGATGGTTCATGCAAGCACTTTCTCGGATCCAAGCCAATTAAAGATGGTCACAATAATCATCCAGATGAGGGTGTGGGCCTTCAAAGGGCAGGATTGTGCTGTAGAGGAGGGACATTTTGTTGTGCTAAGAGGAAAAAGAAGGGAGGTTTCTTTAGCAGGTTGATCCGCCAGCGGTAGATTGGGGAATTTCGCTAGAGGACACTGGGCTCGGCCTGAGACGGGAGTTATCCTGGTCGGAAGCTTGCAAACATTTCATGAGTGCTCAGCTCGAAATGAGGGAAGATCAAACCTATGGAAGGTTTTGAGAAAATGTGGGCACAGCATCAAAAAGCAACCATATTATGACGACAACGACAATGAATCACTGGTTAATCAGGGGGGTTTTGGTATTCATATATGGAATTGATCGGTTGGAAATTAAGGATGAGGATGGGTAAAACTCACTTGGACAACCACCTTCATATCACTTTCATGGTTTATAGAGCTTCATAACATGACACCTGTTTCTGGATGCCAGGACTGTCATGTGCATCGTAAATGTATTTTAGTGATGATCATTCAGAGTGAAGTTTCGATAGATGCGAGCGTATTCTAAGCATTGTGTCGTGGAGGATCAGGAATACTTACTGTCTGACTGATTAAGGACAACATGTGTGTGTGAAGCTGAGACAGTCATTATGCGAAGATCAAAGTTGGTGGAACTCATGTTTCTTAAGCGATAACTTTTGGAAGCATTTTAACATTGTGAAAGCAATACAATATGCAATAAGGTATTTTAAGGAAGTTGACAGCGTTATTAAGACATTCTCATAGGGAATGACAGTGAGATGGTTGTGAAACTGGATAAGGATTCATTGTACAGACCATCCTCCCTCTTGCCCTCACTCCCCCTCCTCCCCCCCCCTCCCCCCCCCAAAAAAAAAGCTGACACATGCTACACGCCAAGCGACGTACCGGCAGATCCCTGCTGCACGGGATCACTCCAGCCTGTGACGTGAGCAGTCGGAGCCCATCCGAAGTAACTGTCTGCTTCCAAGTGTTTCCAAAGGCGGAATTCCATCAACAGTGGCGGCAACAGAAGTCCGGCATTCTCTTCCTCTTGCACCAGACACAAGTGTTTTTGAGAAATCGAGGCTGCTTCCAGTGGATTCGCCGCCAAGAAATCTCCACGTCCACGTTGTCAACGCCTGCCCCTCGTTTGCTCGTCTCTAGTCGAGGGCCTGCCCCGCACCCGTTTCCGTTGCACCACCATCAACTCTTTTGCGCGCGCCCTCGTCCAAGCCCATATCCGAAATTTTGATATCAGACGCTCATCCCACCTCTCAGGCACCAACCAGCTCCGAACCCGCGAAACGCGACAATCTCTCAACTTCCCTCTCTCAACTTCCCTATCTCCTCAAATTACACAGTCCTCAGCCACCAAGATGTCGGCCGCCGTCGTCAATGTCGATGAGCCCGAAAAAATGGAGCCGACGCTCCAGTCGATCCTGGATCAGCGGTCGCTGCGCTGGATTTTTGTCGGCGGCAAGGGCGGTGTCGGCAAGACTACCACTTCGTGCAGTCTGGCCATCCAACTCGCCAAGGTGCGCCGCTCCGTGCTGCTGCTGTCGACTGACCCGGCGCACAACCTCAGCGATGCCTTCAGCCAAAAGTTCGGCAAGGAGGCCCGACTCGTCGAGGGCTTCGATAACCTGTACGCCATGGAGATCGACCCCAATGGTAGCATGCAGGACCTGCTGGCGGGCCAGACGGGCGATGGTGATGCTGGAATGGGTGGCGTGGGTGTGATGCAGGACCTGGCTTATGCGGTAGGATCTGGCGCATACCCTGGTATGGAGTTCTGGTTGCTGATGGCTGTGACCTTCTAGATCCCTGGTATCGACGAGGCCATGTCCTTTGCCGAAGTTCTTAAGCAGGTCAACTCCCTCTCCTACGAGACTATCGTCTTCGACACCGCGCCGACAGGACACACCCTGCGCTTCCTGCAGTTCCCAACCGTGCTGGAGAAGGCCCTGGCCAAGGTATCACAACTGTCGGGCCAGTACGGCTCCCTCCTGAACGGCATTTTGGGGGGCAGCGGTACGCTGCCTAACGGGCAGACGCTGAGCGATGTGATGGAGAAGCTGGATTCGCTGCGGGTTACCATCTCGGAGGTGAACGCGCAGTTCAAGGACGAGCGCCTGACCACGTTTGTGTGCGTATGCATTCCCGAGTTCCTGTCGCTGTACGAGACGGAGCGCATGATCCAGGAGCTGGCCAACTACGGCATCGACACCCACTGCATTGTTGTCAACCAGTTGCTGTTCCCTAAGCCGGGCTCCGACTGTGAACAGTGCACGGCCCGCCGGCGCATGCAGAAGAAGTACCTGGATCAGATCGAGGAACTGTACGATGAGGAGTTTAATGTAGTCAAGATGCCGCTCTTGGTGGAGGAAGTCCGTGGCAAGGAGAGGCTAGAGAAGTTCAGTGAGATGCTCATCAAGCCGTTTGTCCCGCCGGAGTAAGGGATGGCGATGGTGAGAAGAATGTAATAAGAGAATAAATACCCATATTAGCATGCCCATTTACATTGTCCCGTATGAAGCAAGGCTTGGTCTCAGGATCAGGGAGTTTGAGGACTAGTCGTCTGGACGATTTTCACATAATTCATGTACTCGGTTGTACGCTGTATAGACATTGCATGGTCCCAGTTATGATGAGTCACTTGCTGAGCTGCAACTTCTAAGTATCAATATACTTGTCTATTCGCTCCTCGCCCAGGAGCAAGACGATACTCTCAAGATAGTACAAGTCCAAAGAAATAAAAGGTCCTCAACCAAGCCCCTGAATTGTATTCCTCCCCTCCTTGAATGATTCGCTGAGGCGAGAAAGGGAAGCTGTCAAAGCTAAGGCCTATCTATCAACGTATCCTCACTCCTCTCCACAGCCAAAAAAAAAAAAGAAAAGAAAGAAATAAACACAAACGAAGAGGATAAAAGGAGTCGAGAGAAGAAAATAAAGTTGTTTATTATTCCCAACCACGCCTGAACCTCTTCCCAAACCAAACGCCCAGAAATGCAGATCCCCAACCAACCATCACCTTAGGTAGTAGTAGTGCCCTCCATTACTTTCTCTTGACCCATGTAAAAGAGGTAAATGAAACGCCGCCGTTGCGAATTGCCATGTCAAATCCCCTCTCTAGTTTGCAACCAACCCACCCTGATGTGATCCCATGCTATCCCATATCACCCATCCCATGACTCAACAGCCCAGTTTTTAATCTTTGTTTTCATGATGTTACCTAGCCCAGAGAACCGGATCATATCCTTTTTCCTTGTCTGATTGATTTCCATGATGAAACGTAACATCGAGTCAGTTGAGAGAGAAAGAATCGAAAAAGAACGAGGAAGGAGACCTAACGCAAAGATACGTCACAGCTCCCGGTAATCACTCGGCCTGATCCGCCGCTGGCGATTCATATGGCGGTGAGGATTAACCGGCTTCCGGAAGTACGCCTCTTCCTCCTCGGACGGCGGCGGCTGGTGCGTAAAGGTCTTGTGCTGGTTCGGGCCGCCGCTGAAACCCATGCCCGGGCCGCCCATACCCATACCGCTGTTCATCATGCCGTTGGGTCCGCCCCAGCCATTCATCATACCGTTCGGGCCAGGACCCCAGCCGTTCATACCGTTAGCCGGGCCGCCGTTCGGGAACATCATGGGGTTCATCATCGGGGGGAAGCCCATACCCATCGGGTTAGGGCCCATGGGGAAGTTAGGCATCATGGGCGGCATGCCGGGGTACATCATCGGACCCATGGGGCCCATCATAGGGTTGAAGCCCATCGGGCCCATGCTGGGCATCATGTTCATCATGTCCTGTTGTTGGTGTTGAGCTTCCTTCTGCTGCATGGCCTTGGGAGCCTTGGGAATCTTGGGATTCTCAAGAAGCTCGTCAGCAGGACGCTTTTTGGACGTTGATGAGGATGACGTGGCCGCCTGCTGCTCTCCATTAGTAGCACTGGCGGTAGAGGTTGACGACTTGTTCTGCTGGTTGGTGGACGCCTGAGTCGTCTGGCCATTGGTGGTAACAGAAGCAGCAGTTGACGGTGTTGGAGAGGGTGACTTTGACGTGGCCTTAACAGACTCTGCCTTCTCTGTTTTCTTGCTGTCATCGGTGCTTTCAGGCTTCTCATCACCACGGGGGCTCTTGGAGCCATCCTCCTTCTTCTTATTACTGTCCTTTTCTGCAAGAAAGGCTTTAATCTTTTCCACTGCTTCCTCATCAGGCTTCAGATCATCGATCAAAACTCCTTCTGTTTTGCAAGCTGGGCAGACGAAGTCGCTCTCAATGAGAGCATTCGTGATGCAATCATTGCAATACGTCTTCTCGCAACAAGGAGTCTTCATTGGCTCTATAAACATTTTCTTGTCGACCGGGCACTCCAAGCCCCGCTCCCGGATTTCCTTGTCTCCCTCGGAAGCAGCCGCTTTGGCGTCAGACTTCGCCTTGGCCTTGGCCTGGAATTGCTCCCAGGATGCCTTATCAGGCTCAGCAATGACAAACTCTCCATCGGCGTTGACCATGATGCCCGAGGGCACCTTGGACTCGTCACCATCAGCATTGTGGCCTAATGCCGTAGCCTTATCCACAGTCTTAAGGAAGGAACGCGGGATGCCTGTGGTCCGCTTGACACGTGGACGATTGTCGTACTCGGGATTGTCGTTGGTCGGGCAGAGTTGGATCCAATGCCCCTTCTCACCACAGCGGTAGCAAATGTAGCCCTGAGGAGGGTCGTGATCAGGGACATTGGCGGGTTTTTTCGGACCGCCCTTAGCCACATATTGTTGTCTATAAGCCTGTTAGCGACACTGTAATAATAGTCTAGCAGAGCCAGTGAAGATTACATACGTAGCCATCTCCTCTTCGCGAGCAGTAAAGTTCTCGGTTTGAGCCTGGAAAACTGCAGCCATCTTCTCTTCCTCGGTCATGGCACTGCTTAACTGGGCCAGGGTGCTAGATTGGGTCTTAACGGTTGGTTTAACAATCTGTTCACGTCGAGACGAGTTTTTTGCATGGATCGGCATCTTCCCAGATACATAACGGGCAGCATTTCCTTTGCCAGGGACTTTGGGGGGCATGCGACGGGCAATGACCGTAGTCGACCGGGGAATAATGGTAGTATCATCATCGTATACTGTTTACTGGTTAGCATTGCTGGAATACTAGCCGCAAACCTACAGGTATACATACCCTCTTTCATGTTCTCATCTGCGCAGATAACGAGGTCGAAATCGGTGCCATCTCCAAGGCCACTGCGAAGAATAATTTCACGCTTCAGCTCAAACACAGAAATGCCGGTGCCGTCGAACTCGACACGAGTCGGCTCTTTCTGGGACTTGAACTTGAAAAAGACCGAGGACGTCATAGTTGCTAATGTCGGTTATCCTCTCGAACAAAAAAAATTACACTGCGCTGTTAGGGTTGGATGGATTGGTGATTGTCTCCAGTCCCAAGAGCCACACGCAAGGTGCTCAAGCAAAACGCAAGCTGTGGATTAGATAGAGATCTCACACAAGGAGATGGGAGAATTGGTAATTGTCCTGTTTTTCTCTTGCTGTTGCTGATCTTGAGACAATTCCCTAGCAGGCAGAGCAGATTTGCTTCCTTCTCTCTTCTTCAAAGCCAGAAAGTTGATGGTACTCAATTCTGATTGTTATCGAAGAGAGATAAAAGAGTCTTTTTTTTTTTTTGCACTGAAGGTTAAGCAGAATAAAGAAAAATAGTACAAAGACCCGCCGAGCGAACCAATGGTAAGTGTGGTAGCAGCCTATTCAATGGGGTTTGAATCTCAATCCTGCATGAATAGTACCACCTCCACGGCCAGCTTCTGTTACAAACACCTGAAAGCCAGAAACCAAAGGGAAAATTGAAAATGCATCAACAGGCTCCAGCAGGTTCTTAATGGCGATGATCCAGTAATGGATCGAGGAGTCGGATAGCGGGTAATCGGATGGGTGGGTGTCGGTCACAGCCAAGGAAGGGCTTTGTCCGCCCGATGGCCGTGGTTAAATCGAGGGTCAAAGTCGCGCGCGCTCTTGTGCGGCAGGAAATGGATAAAAAGGAATGGAGATCACGAAAAGTCGATGGCGGCGATGCCCAGTTGTTGACCGATCGGGGCGATGGAGGTCGAGGGCGTCGTGGGAAGTTCGCGTTGGAAGAAGGGAGAAAGGGAATGGAGTGTTGGCTAGCGAGGAGTCAGAGTTGAATCTTGGACTTAGAATGCACGGACCATAAAATGCTATGCATTACATAAGCGGCACATGCACCAAAGCCACCGCTGGCGCTTGGGTCACTGGCGCTACCCGCAGACGGACGGCGGAGCGGGAAATGGAATTCTCCATCTGCCCACCTCATTGAGCTTTGACCAATCGGAAATACTCTCCGAACCCTCTGTGCATCACTGAAGGTACACGAAATACAAGCAGGAGCATTTTGATACAGACAGCCTACGTGGCAACGAATAACAGTTTGATGATATTATTTGGGTTTGAATCAAGTTTCAAGCACCTTCCAAGTGTAAAAAGTATGATTCACATGCTTTAGTTTGTGTGGTGTTGTTCTGACATCATTGGTCTGCGCACAGCTGTTAGGCGGGGTTGTCATTGCAGGTACCCCGCGATAACATTGCTCGGCTCCAAAGCCGACTAGATCTTCGAAGTTCGACGAGCCAACCACTAAAAAGTGCAGGCGAGCTCTTCCATCAGTGAGCCGACCATCGTCAGAGTTGCGTCCCCTCCTCTGGCAGAGTTTGGCCACCCTTTAAAGACGGAGCACCTCTCCTGTAACATCAATCAAGGGCTGGACTGATTAGCAAACTCTTAATTTGGTCGTCACTGCTGCGACCATCCTCGCCCTCAGCGGAGTCGGATTCGTCCGAGCCAAACCTTTTTTTTTTTACACCTCCTCTGTCACCTCCAGAGTAGACTCCCGGAAGCTCTGCCGAACGCAATCATCGGGCAAGGTCGTCATCTTGCTCGTGGAACATCTCACCCAATGACAAATTCCTCTACCTTTTAGATCGTGAGCAACACTTCTCACACGCAACCAACGTTTCACAAGCAACCCCGCGAGCTTCTGCAAGCTCTCAGGCTTTCCCGCTCCTACTTCGTCCCCAAGTACCTGTGCGGCTCTCATCTCAACTTTGCCTCCCAGCGCGTTCGATTCGCGGGATCCAAGCTCCCAGAAATCTTCCGACGAGTTTTTTCACGTGCTCAGCTTCGTGCTCAAACGTCACTTAACATTCAATTAGCTCAGGCTGATTGTTTGACTATCAACATCTCCCACTTTGAAGCGACCAAGCTACACGGTTCATCTTCCCTCCGCCGTTCACCATGGTGCTCACACACACCACGAACCATTCCTACTCTCACCCCTTTCCCGCCGTCACCCTCGCGTACTTCCTCCGTTACTGCAGTCCCCATCTTAACCCCTTCGCCAGCCATGTTATCAGCTCCGACACCCTCTCGTGCTATGTCGACCCAGAAACGGGCCGTCTGCACACTACACGCATCCACTTGAAGAAGTCACGTCTTCCCCCCGCTGTCATGAAGCTGCTCCCAGCCAGCCTGACGGGCGGCGCGGCCGACAAGGCGTCCTACATCCTCGAGACCAGCGTAGTGGACATGCGAGAGGGCTGGCTGGCGAGCGAGAGCCGCAACCTCAATTACGTTGGTATCCTCTCCGTGGTGGAGCGCCAGCTATACACCGTCCCCAAGACGTTCAGCGCCTCGACCGAATCGACTGACGTCGAGACCAAGGTTGTCTTCCGTTCACGGCTCGGCGAGCGCATCCGCGACCGGCTGGGTCAAGTGCAAGCGCAGGCGCATGCGGAGGCCGAGGCAGCCGGTTCTGCCGGTGGATGGTTTGCTCGGCTGGGAGCCAAGGGCATCCAACGCAGCATTGAGAGCCTCGCCTCGACCAAGACGCTAGACCAGCTGGGCAAGAGCCGTGAGGGCATGCGCATCGTCCTCGAGAGGCTACGGCAGACGGGCATCAACCGCGTACTGGAGCTGAGGAAGATGGCTAGGGAGCGTGCATTTGATGGTGCTGCTGCTTGAAGGACTTTCGTTCTATGGCATCCCGTTTTGTGGATGGACCACCGAGAAGACCTTAAGTAGCATCGGGCACCAATTCACGACGTGACGACAGGCATCGACACGTTGTTCTCTATTCCATCACTCACTCAGCCGTCGTAGTTGACCACATCTATGGAGTTCATGTCGGGGTTTTATCACACAACACCAGTGCTCTGGTCACCCCACTCAGCAACCTTGGGCAGAAACACACTTCTCCTGATCTGCGTGGAGAATCCTTATATTCTCCAATTGCGTTGCTTTTTTCTCACACCACTCCTCTTCCAGAAAGGGAGTCTTGGACAACTGGGAAGCCAACACTCCGGCGAACACTGACTGACTGGCGGCCAATGTTGTGTTGTATATTTATCTTTTCCAACTTCTCGACGCTGTGTTATTCACCTCTCGTTTTTTTTATCTCTTGAGATGAGCAAGGCGTCCGGACAAGGTGAACGAAGGAAGGAAGGAGGCTGTCTGTATTCCAATATTAACGAACTGCATTCTGTTGTTGTTATGAAACCACTTTCATGGCCACTTACTACCCAAAGGTGGATGTTGAGGAGGAGGGATAGCTCGTATGCATCTTGATCAAGGAAAGTGGCGTTAGGGGGGCAAGGTTTTCGGGACGGACGGTAAGGGAAACAAACCGGATGGGCATTTGGTTGTGTCCCTGAATTCCACTCATTGTAGGATTAGTGCTTTTAAAGTTGTTCCGATTTGTGGTCCTCGGAAAAGGCAAGGAAAGAAGAGACACAAGAAGTCAGGAAAAAACAGGACACACAACGGACGAAGGAAAGCGAAGGGATCGGAAAAGGTTCCGCTCATTACCGCTTAGGTAGCGATCAAATCTGATGCTGGCTTTCCCGTCTCCATGGTATATCATCACTACAACTACATGAATGTGACTTTGCCCTTGGGCATACGTGACATGATTAAATATATATATATATATATATATACATGCTAACAGAGATTTAAAGCTCCTTTAACTGTATCACGCCTCTCACTCCTTAAGGCCTCATCGCATTCCTCCTCCACGACTTATGCCCCTGCCCCTTCACCCTCCGAGGACCAGCATTGCTCCAACCCTGCGGCGCAGTGCCCTTGCCCAGCGGCTGGGTGCTCTGGGGCGTCTCCGGATCAGTAGTAAACGGCAGCGTGCAGTTCATGCACGGCACGCGGCCCAGCATGAACTCAACCTGGCGGTACGCCGCCGATGGAGCATACTGCGGCACCATGTGACCGGCTAGATCAACACTGACGTATGTCAGACCACGCTCCGACACCATACTGCCGAAGACGCCGGCTCCGGCGAGCGTCGACAGATCGGTCATGTCGTTGTAGGGGACGTAGAACGGCTGGTCCGGGCGGTGCTGGAAGCCGAGCTTGCCGCCCCAGGTCATGTTCTGCAGGGCAATGAGGGTGCCGTTGGCGATGAGGATCATATCAAGCGCGCTGTGGGAGACAATGACATTCTTGGTTTTGTCAATGACATTAGAGAGGACGCCGTTCAACGTAGGCGGCAGTGAATGGTCCTTGCCATTGACAAAGACGTCGATGGACGAGCACTCCTCCCAGGTCTTGTCCACGGGAGCGTGGATCGCGCGCTTGACGTCCTCACGGTCGAAGTAGATACTTGCGCCTTCGGGCAGGTAGGGCAGGGAGCCCGGGAAGCCGAGGACGTCCCACAGCAGGGGGCAGGTCGTGGCTACTTGGTAGATGTCGAAGCAGGGATTGATGAGCATGATAGCGTCGAAGATGTCCCAGTAGAGGTTCCAGCATTCGTCACGGGTCCTACCCTTCTTATCGGTGCCGGGCAGGGGCATCGGGATGTGGCCCTTAGGAGGATAGACCAGGTACTTAGCCATCCAGTCGGCGTAACCGCACTTTTTCTCGCGGGCCTTAATGTCGGCGCGGAAGGTGTCGTTGAAGGGGAAGAGGCCGGACCAGTAATCTACGAACTGGACCACGGGAATTGGCTCGTGGATCTCCTCGTGGGTGAGAAGGGGGTTGTAGATGATCATGCCAGACATATCGTAGTAGGTCTTGTTGTTGGCCTCGAGGAAGGCGTTGGCGATGTACGGGCAGTACATGCCACTGGCAGTCAGTTAGTCTCTCTCTTGTGTCCGGAAGGCGATTGAGCGTCAAGACTTACGCGTAAGACTCGCCGGAGATGTAGACCTTGTAGTCGTGCATGCCGAAAGTGTCGATGAAGTTCTTCCAGAAGCCCATGAACTGGGCAGCAAGCTCCTCCTCATTAGTGATGGTAGGAGTGCCAGTCGTGAAGCCCGTGCCAACAGGCTGCTCGACGTAGATGATGTTGGTCAAGGTGTGCCAGCTCCATGGGTTCTTGACGGGCTTGTAGGTGCCATATTGCCAGAGGAACGGTCCGTTCTCCTGAAGCAGACCTTCGAACGACGAGCAACCGGGCTATCTTTGTCAGTTTTTGAATTCGTCTTACGTGGAGCAGGAAAACATACGCCGCCATTGAGCCAGATTAGAATCTCCTTCTCAGCCGCTGGGTTCTCAGATGGAAAGAACCAGAAAAAGAGCTGGCTCTCCTCGCCCTCCTTGTCACTGATGGGCAACAGGCCGGCATAGGACTCGCCGACATCGAAGTCAACGTCCGGGATCTCTGTGCCATTGACGGCAAACTCTGTGTAACTGTCAGCAGAGGACTTTCTTATCACGTCATTCAGCATGTGTGTCACATACTTTGTGTCTTCTCATTCAAGAACTTGAACGTCTTCTCTTGGCGAGCCTCAAGCACGGGAGGGGGCCCCGGGGGCATAACCGGCTTGATCCTCTTGGCAGCATGCTCAACAAAACGTTTGCCAGCATGACCGAGGCTCCTGCCCAGGGCATCAACAGACCCCGAAAATAGAAGGGCCGGAAGAAGGCTTGTCCACCTCATGTTTGCGAGCTTCGTACTCCCACCGATTTTAAGATGCCGAAAGCTTATCTGTGCTGAAAGGCTTGCTGATGGACAAAAATCGTTACCGTTGGAAAAGGACGACCGGGAGATCCCCGGCCTTTTTGTATGCCGCCTTCCTTCCCCCAGCGTTTATATACAACCGTGGGCTACGTCATACCATACGGATAGAAGGCAACATGGCCGGGATAGTGTGACTGGGGTTGCTTTAGTGCAGTAACTCGATGGCATTCATCCGTATGGGATACCTACGGAGCTTACCTTCATCTTCGTCCTAACACCGAAACACCGGATGGCACGGGGATACATGGGATCGCGGAGAAACCAGTCTTCAGTAGTATCGCGCCAGGCATCACGCACAGGGCGGAGCTCGGACAACTCTGAGCACAGCAGGTTGCGTGAGATATTTGGCGCGGATAGTAAGTATAAAGAGATTCTCGCATGCAAGGAATACGCACCTACCACTCCGGGAAGTTACATCTATGCAAATCATTTCGAAAGCGTTCATTGAGTAGAGTCGGAGATCCAACGATCCCGTCAATGTAGGAAGGGTGCTAGTAAACTTTCGTCTAGTATCCACAGATAAGGTAACATGCATAACGTAGGCAAAGATATAGCACTAACCCAGATCAATGGATTGAGTTTAGAAACCCTTCCAGTTCCTTATCTATTCGCGAGGACGGCTTAAACTGATGATGTGAATATCTCGTGAAAAGCTCATCCCTTCGTCCATGTTATTTTGGATACCTTGGATAAACGTTGTAAATTATCTACCTTCACGAAGAGAAGCATCGAAGCAAGAGCTCAGCGGTCAGCAGCAGCAAACATCGAAGTCCTCCAATCTCCCCTGTCAGGCAGCTAACGGCGTTGAGAAGGTGGTGCTGCCCTGCCAAGGGCTTATTGTCCGCATTAGGGAGGTGCGAGGACCCATGTCGCAACCTGATTGGCTAATGGCTGGTCAACCGTTCGGATCCGCACCTTTTCCCCGTAGCTTACCTAACGTTCCGCCGATCTGATCATCGCCCGTTGCCGTTGTCTTGAACGCTCAGCCTTGCGCTCCGGTCACATCTGGTCACACAGGATTGCTGCCAGCTGAGTTTCACATAAAAAGCAATCCAAGATGCTTGAACAACGCTGAATATCGTCGATCCGTTTGCTGACACACATATTGAAACACCAGCAAATGCCGTATCAACCAAATCCTTTCCAGGGTATCGGTCTCTCTCATCTAGCCGTCATCTAGCAGTATAGAAAGGGTTAAAATACACAGCAGTTTATACAGTAGAATACACGCACGAGGTCTAAGCAAGCAGCTTCACTAAACGGCTATTTGCCCGACTTCTTATTCGCCTTAGCAGCCTTGGAAGCCGCCGCCTCTTCCTCAGCAATGAGCGCCTGAATATCCTGGTTGACCAACCAGACATGCACACTCTGGATGATCTTATCCAGGGTTTCACCGCCACGAAGGACATCAGGTAGGTTATGAGCATCCAGTGCACTCCGATGATCAGTGCAGCGGTCCTGCTGGTAGTTATACGTGCGGATCTTGTCGCCGCGTGTGATCTGACTCCTCGCCAGCACGCTGTCGCGCAGCTGCCGGGCCTGCTCCTCTCGGGCCTCACGCCGCTTCTGTGCGAGCCGTGACCGCAGTAGTCGCCAGGCCACGTCGCGGTTACGCTGCTGCGACCGCGAGTCTTGCATGCTGACCGTCGTGCCGGTTGGGATGTGAGTCAAGCGGACGGCCGACTCCGTCTTGTTGACGTGCTGCCCACCTGCGCCGCGGGCACGCATCACTTCGACCTTGACCTCGGCCGGATTGACGTAGAAGTCGCTTTCGGGGTTGTCCCAGTCGGCTTCTTGTTCGGAGGTGGTGTTTTCGGGGAAGGACGGCAGCACCCAGACAGCTACGGCGCTGGTATGGGTGCGTCCACTTTTTTCTGTGTCTGGCACGCGCTGTACCCGGTGCATGCCAGCTTCGCCGCGGAAGATGGCGTATGCGCCAGGCTCTTGGACTTCCAAAACTGCTTCTTGTAGTGCAATCTCGCCCTCGGAGCTGGTCTGCCCGTCGCTATCTGAGGCTTCGTACTTGACTACCCGATGCCGGTAGCCCTTGTTGGTGCAGTAGGCCTTGTACATTTTAAAGAGCGTATCCGCGAAGAAACGTCCCTCCGTACCGCCTGGCCCGGGCACAAATTCGATCAGGCAGGGCATATCGGCGAAGGGATGTTTTGGGGTCAAGGCGGCTGACAGGTTGTGCGTTGACTCGGCGAGCTGGGCATTGGTCGCCTCGAGGTCATCTTCGGCCAATTCTCGCAGTTCTCGGTCGTCTGATTGAAGTAGGCCTTGTAGTTCTCCCAGAGCAGCCTTAGCTTTTTCGAACTGCTTCAGGGCCTCGGCAATCCGTGAGATCTCGCCGGCGCGCTTCGCTTTCTTAGGGTCGAAGTCCTGCTCTAACTCTTTGGTCAATTTGGTGTGTTCGTCTGCCAATCGACGAGCGCGCTCGAGGAGGGCTGGTGGCAGCTGCGATATTGTGTCTGAAGAACGTCAGTCAGCATCTTTTGCCTATGTTTAATCCTATCAATTGCATACCTGTGCTAGCTCTCCTTACAAGAGGAGCCATCCAGAACGTGCTGGCGCGCTTCAGCGACCGCGCGCAGCTCCGACACACCCATGGTGCCGCCGCGAACATGGTTAGTCGCAAGACACCCAGCGGTGATGGGAGGTGGCAGGCATCAGCGCACAACCACAGTCCACAAACGACAGCATGAATCCGCCAAGAAGATCGGATCAACTATCGTCGCAACTCTTGGTCTTTGCACGCGAGCCGTAACCCGCACACAGCGAACCCTTGCCCCTCGGATGCAAAGGGCTAGATTTTTGCCACCTCCCACCGCCTGCCCCAATTAGACTCGGACCCTTGTTCCGTCGCTTGCCCCTCCCCCACCATTCATGCGTCTTGACACCGAGCAACCCGTTCCGTTAAAAGTGCGGCTCGAATACCTTCCGGGACTTGGGGTTCTGACTCACCGTGAGCGTCGCCGTTAGACTTTCGACTACTCTCCCAGAACCATATCTGCAACCTAATTACCCCAAGAAAAGGCACAGCAAACAGTTGCGACCATGGCGACCGAAGCGACCCCAGCACCCGTCGACGAGACGCTTCAGCCCGAGGCCCCCAAACCGCAGAAGCAGACCGTTGACCCGTACAATGCATGTTTCAGAATGCACCATTCCTATACAGAAACCGAATTCTGACGGTTTCGCAATTTGACAGGTCCAAGGCGAAGTTGGCGAGGACGGGCAGGTCAAGGCGATCGACTACAACAAGTTGATCGACGAGTTTGGTACCAAGAAAATAGACGCCGAGCTGCTGGCCCGCTTTGAGCGCGTCACTGGCAAGCGCCCGCACCACTTTCTCAGGAGAGGTATCGTCTTCTCGCATCGCGACTTCGAAACGATCCTTGATCGCTATGAACGGGGCGAGCCGTTCTTCCTTTATACCGGTCGCGGGCCGTCGTCGGATAGTGTCCATATTGGGCATACTATACCTTTTGAGTTCACAAAGTGTACGCGCCAGCTTTGATTTGTCAGATAGGAGGTGTTTTGTTGGATTGACGCTAACATACCTTCGCATAGGGCTGCAGGATACTTTCGACGTCCCGGTATGTTTGCGCTCCAGGAGTTACAGTAGCTCCCTTGGCTCGAGTCCAGCTTGTGTTAACACAATTATCTTAGCTGGTCATCATGATGACAGATGACGAGAAGTCAGTCGATTGCACTTGTCAAGGGGGGCATACGTAAATATACTGACGGCCGCCAGGTACCTGTTCTCCGAGAAGAAGACGATCGAGGAGGTTCAGGGCTATTGCCTCAGCAATGCGAAGGATATCATTGCCGTCGGCTTTGATCCAAACAAGACCTTCATCTTCTCCGACGTAAGAATGACCTTTCAAAAGAAAAAAAACAGAACGGTAACTGACGGACCTTCAGTTTGACTACGTCGGTGGCGCTTTCTACAAGAACATTGTGCGCTTGGCCAAGCACATCACTCTCAACCAGGCCCGTGCTATCTTCGGATTCAACGACAGTACAAATATTGGCCGAATCCACTTCGGCAGCATCCAAGGTACGCACAGAATTGTGTGAAGTGGCATGAACATGGGCTAACAAAAGTCTAGGTGCTGCCAGCTGGGCTTCTTCGTTCCCTCACATCTTTGGCGAGGATGAGTCTAAAACCGTCGGGATACCTGTGCTCATGTAAGTCAGTTGTTATCCTCTTGTTTCCTAGCAAGTAGCTAACTTCGTACCAGTCCTTGCGCCATTGATCAAGATCCGTAAGTCTCCTTCCCTAGACAACCCACAAGAGTTTTAATTCTGCCAAGCAAATCATGAGTACGGATATTGATATGTCTTAGATGTAAGCTTCCATCTCATTCATGCGCTGTTCATAGCTAACATAACCAGACTTCCGCATGACAAGAGATGTCTCCGCCCGCCTAAAATTCCAAGGCAAACCCTACGCCAAACCCGCCCTGATCCACTCCCTCTTCTTGCCCGCCCTCCAGGGCCCCGGCACCAAGATGTCCGCCTCGATCGACGAATCCGCCATTTTCATGCGCGACACGCCCAACCAGATCAAGAACAAGATCAACAAATACGCTTTCTCTGGCGGCCGTGTGTCTGTCGAAGAACACCGCCAATTCGGCGGCGACACCGAGGTCGACGTGGCCTATCAGTACCTGCGCTTCTTCCTCGAGGACGACGACGAGCTGGAGCGCATCAAGGTCGCCTACGAGAAGGGCGAGATGTTGACGGGTGAGCTCAAGGCGATTTGCATTCGTGAGCTGCAGAAATATGTTGCTGCCTTCCAGGAGCGGAGGGCCAAGGTGACGGATGAGACGGTCAAGTTGTTTATGACGCCGAGACCGCTTACTTGGAGGGGGAACCCCCGCGCGCCGATTGTGGTGCCTAAGGTTGAGGATGGTGTAGCCGCCGATAGCCAGGCTAAGGAGGGTGAAGGCAAGTTGACAAAGAACCAGCTCAAGAAGCTGGAGAAGCAGAAGCAGATTGAAGCGAAGAAGGCGCAGAAGGCGAAGGAGAAGGCTGAGGCGGCCGCGGCCAAGGCTGCTGCGACAGTAGAGCAGGCACCGAAGGCGGATGGAGAGCCGGCTGAAGGGGCGTAGAGGGATTTGAAGGGATTTATATGAAGTTGCTATAGATCTGGAGCATGGAGTATACTAAGCGTCACAACATGATGCAGTTATTCCCCAGGAACACTACGCCTCGTTTTCCTCTATTACCTTAACTCTTGTCTGCCCCCAAGGCCTTCACTTAGCCCTCAAATCATCCAAAACCCTCCTCCCTTCTCCCCCCATACTCTCCTTATCATGCACCTCCTCCCTCAACCTCTCCCCCACCGCATCCCTCACCCACTCCCTCACACTCTCCAACCCCAACACCCTCTCCACCCACCCTTTTGCCTCTCTCGAGAAAAACTCCTCCTCCAACCCGACATACGTCCTCAGTCTCAACGCCACAGGCGCATAAAACGCATCGACCGCACTGAATTCCTTCCCTACCAACCACGGCCCACCAAAGCGGGTTAGGCCCTCGGTCCAGAGGGTGTTCAAGCGCTGTAGGTCGTTGACAACGCCTGCGGGGAGGGGATAAGAGAGCTGAACGCGGACGCCAATGTTCATGGCTAGGTGGTCGCGGAGGGATGTAAAAGAAGAGTGCATCTCGGCCACGGCGGAGAGGGACCAGGCTAGGGCTTGGGGACTACTTGGGTAAATGGGTTTTTCGGGGTGGGAAAGGGAGAGGAAGGTGGTGATGGAGAGGGAGTCCCAGAGGATGAGGGGTTCGGAATCGGTGTGAGGGTTGTCAGGGAGGACATGGAGGCAGGGGACTCCTTGGAGTCGGGTGTGACGTGAGTTTGCTTGGGAATCTCATCTGACGAAGGGATGAATTGTGGAGTGGGGGAACATACGGGCGACAGGAGAAAACTCCTTCCATTGCGGCTGGCTGAAAGTGCCTGAGATCATGGGGCGAAACTCCTCGATGAAGGGGATGTCGAGCTGGCGCATGAGCAGCCAGACGCGAAGGGACCAGGAGGAGTAATTTTTATTGGTGATGTAGAGACGGTAGACCATTTTAGCGGCGATGTTGTGAAGACAACTTCCAGCTGGGGTGATTGATAAGTGAACGTTATTATTGAGGTTGTTGGTGAGACCGTTAAAGAATCATCGGCAGCCTGAAATATATGAAGGTTTAAAAGTAAGTCGAAAATTCAGGTGGCTCCGCTCTCTGCTGACTCACTCAGAAAATTTGAAGTCTACAGGTTGAATGAAGTAAGCGCACCCTGCCATTGATTGTTCCTTCCTGATGTGGTACCACCGTATCAGGGGTCTGGGTACCTCCTGCTCTTTCAGCGTAACCTTACTTCATGCATCAGACCAACAGACAGATTCCGAAATGAGTAGTCAATATCAGCTTTTACAAAATTAATCCCAATCACCGGGTTGGCCTGCCGCGAAGAGCAGTACATGACTCTCTTCAGATTTGGGAATGCACCTTTGATTGCTTCTTCTGAAAGGTGAACCAAGTTCGCATCTGCCTGGAGAGAGATCATCTCACACTGAGGGCCCATGTTGTCATTCACACGCAATGAGATGAGAGAACTGGGGATGTGCCGATGGAGGGACCTGAAAGTACACTTGTGCGGCCTGCTGTCATCGTGATTGTTCCACTGTTCTTGGGAGCACTTCTCGTAAAGCCAGAGGGAGCTGAGGGTGAGGTGGCGTAGGGAGCGGAATAAACTGAAGTCGGGAAGTTGGTATCGGGAAGCTGCTTTGTAGAATGTGGTTGTGGTGTCGAGACGCAGGCGTTTCAGTGTGCTTTTGTTATTGAGGATTATGGTGAGGATGCACCATGGGAATTTTGGATTGAACACACCGGCATCTCGGCACGAGTCTCTTAGTCAATTCTGAAGGCACGCAGAAGACAATAAGGGCGTCATGGATGCCCCCAAAAAGCAACTTACCACTTTCATAATCGAACGTTTCCAGCCCCTTAAGTTTGAACAGCCAATGATCGACGCCCTTGAGATTCTGATGCCCGATGCTGGAATTAAGAAGATAAAGGTGTCGCAAGTTAGGCAGCGGAACAGGTTCTATCAGTCGTAAAGAAAGATCCAATGGGTAATCCAAGGTCAATGAAGTAAGCGTTTCGGAAGCCATCTCGAGCACGTTGAGCGGATATCGGAGGAAACCTCCTGGTCTGCTGGCCCTGACCTCGTAGCTCTGGAGGACAAGCTGCTCGCGGCCCAAAAGACGAATCGCCTGCGAGGGAATGCCAATGCTCGGAAAGCCGTTTGGCAAGACAAGACTAGTCAGGTTTGGCAGCACAGCAAGCAGCAACAACACGCCCATTTCAAGCTTCGGCCCGTCTGGCGGCCTGCTGCCCGGCCTTACCCCAAAGTCTGAGAGCTCTAACTCCCGTTTAGCGATAGCATCGTACACAGGGCCGAGTTGAATGCCACGCGCCTGGAACACTTCCCTGACGGCCAGAGCAGCCAGTTCTAGATCACCCCCGCAACGCATACGGTTGCTGTGGATGCAGACCCTGCGCACATATGCCGCCTTGGCCGAGTCCAGCCCGACGGTCCGAAGGAACATGGCCAGGCGGTCGGCCCAGTCGGGGTATGCGGACGGTGACGGGTAGAAGGCCCAGAACGGTGGGAATTCATGATACAAGATGGGCTCGGCGATGGAACGGCATTGGCGGGATACGAGGCACAGGTTGTAGAGGGCGAGACGGTTGAGATAGTACCAGGTAGATAGTTCGGGCTTGTTAAAGTCACATTCGCGTTCGAGGTAGGTGTAAGGGATGATGCGACCGCGTTCGCGCTCGTGGCAGTGCAGACAGAGTTGTGACACGATTAGGGTGAGGACTTCTTGGGGGGGGGCAAGAAGTGTCAGGTGGGTGCCCGTAGAGGACTGCGTTTGCTCCATCGGCTCTATGTCGACCTTCCAGAGCCAGCTTGACACTTGTTTTTGAGATTGGGGAGATTGGGGGTAGTAAAAGAGACTTGGAGAAGCACCCTAACGTCTCTAGGTTCTCTTAATCACAACGTCCACGGTCCAACCTAACCGCCCAGCTGATCTCTTGCAAAATATGTAGGACAGGTTGAGGTTGGAGCCTGGAGGCAGACGTATCTCATTGCGTATGAAGTAAGATCATGAAGATGATGCAGCCTGTCGGGGCGATATAATCCCAAATTTTGCATAAATGCCCCGTTTTAACATAGGTCGTTGCTGCCTGGTCTACTCATCCGTCCAGGCAAACCGCAGAAGCAACGAAACAACGTAACCGTGTTGTCGTCAGCCATGCCAGTCTGGTCAGTTGAATATCCCTTTACGTGCTTTGGCCCCGGGCAACCCTGAGCTTGGGTCCGGGCCGGCGCTCGATCATCACATTACCCCGAGGCCAGGGTATCGGCTGCCCCACATTCGCGGAAGAGGCGGGGCTGTTCCCATATTGTAACATTTGTCACTCTGTTCTACACGAAAAGACGGTTTTGCGTGTTGGTGTGATGAATAACAATGTTCTTTGCTATGACGGTTTGTATGGATCTGAGTTGAAGTTGAGCCTTAGACGTTATCCAGTCGAATGTGTTTACTGAAACTCTCTCATCAAGCACTGACTCAGTCTCAAGACTCATGAGCATAATCCTCATTCTCTCACCTTAGACCTTAAACCCAGGTTCATATTCATATAAACAGTTATCAACATGCCCCTTCCAACCTCTTCAGTCTACCCGCCACCGTCCCGGGAGTTTATGCCATGGCCCAGCCGGCGAAGTGTCGTCCACAGCACCAAGGGCATTGTGGCCTGCTCTCAACCCCTGGCCGCCAAGTGCGGCATCGCCATTCTGAATGCTGGGGGCAATGCTGCTGTGGGTGTTCCTCTGATGCCTAGGTATCTCTCACTGAGACATACTGATGCCCCTTGAATCTTATCAGGATGCCGCCGTGGCTGTAGGTACGCTCATCATGTCTAGCCCATGTCAAGTCAGCTCATTCTGATCCCCATCCTCAGCTGCCGCTCTCAACGTGACTGAGCCTTCCTCAACCGGCATCGGCGGCGACATGTTCTGTCTGTACTACGATGCCGCGACAGGCAAGGTTTCGGCACTCAATGGCTCCGGCCGATCCGGTGCGAAGTACACTCCCAAACTGATGCGCCAAAGCCTGGGCCTACCCCCCGACGGCCCGGCCGAGATCCCCCTGACCAGCGTGCACGCTGTGACCGTCCCCGGTGCTGCTGCCGGTTGGGTCGACACGGTCGAGAGGTTTGGCAGTGGGAAGTTGAGCATGGAACAGATCCTGATGCCGGCGATCGAGCTTGCAGAGAAGGGCTTCCCTGTGTCGGAGGATTCTGCTTTCTCCGTATGTTACTCCTCCCTCCATCCATCTTGCAGTTGAGAACAAAAAAAAAGCTTATACTCCTCAAGTGGCAAAATGCCGAACATATTCTCCGCAAAGCCTCCCCCAATTACGCCGAGCTCCTCAAGCCCGATCCCTCTGTCCCCGATGGCGTGCGTGCCCCCCGCGCAGGAGACCTTATCAAGCTTCCTACTTTAGCCCAAACTTTCCGGACCCTCGCCAAAGAAGGCAAGAAAGGCTTCTACACAGGCCGCATCGCCCGGTCTATCATCAACACAGTTCAATCCCTTGGCGGACACCTTACACTGGATGACCTGCTACATCACCTCGAAACAGGCAGCGAAACAGTTGAGCCTATCTCCCTTAAGTTCACAGGCCAGGGCACTGGCGAGGACCCCCTCGGCGGCATCGAACTGTGGGAGCACCCGCCCAACGGGCAGGGCTTAGTTGCCCTCCTCGCGCTGGGGATCATCCAGGAGCTTGAAAAGCAAGGCAAGATCCCTCGTTTCACGCCCGAGCAACACAACAGCGCAGAATACCTCCATACCGTCATCGAAGCCCTACGCATAGCCTTCGCCGACGCGCGTTGGTTCGTCGCTGACCCGTCCACAAACTCCGCCCCTCTAAAGCAGCTTCTTTCCCGCGAATACCTCTCCTCCCGCGCAGCGCTCTTCAATCCTTCGCAAGCCTCGGCCCCCCTTACCCACGGCGATCCGTACTCTTACCCTTCGCCAGCCCACAACAGCTGCGACACAGTATACTTAGCGGTCTCTGATGCCCAAGGCAACGCCATCTCTTTCATAAACTCAACCTACTCCGCCTTCGGCACGGGCATCATCCCGACGCAATGCGGCTTCACCCTGCAATCCCGCGGCGCCAATTTCTCCCTCTACCCGCCCAATCACCCCAACCTTTTGGCCCCACGCAAAAGGCCCTACCACACCATCATCCCGGGTCTAGTCACCAACCTAAAGGATGGGAGTTTACACAGCGTGTTTGGCGTCATGGGCGGGTTCATGCAGCCTCAGGGACATGTACAAGTCCTCCTGGGACAGATAGTAGGCGGGCTGAGTCCGCAGCAGGCGTTGGATGCGCCGAGGGTTTGTGTTGTGGCGGAGGGGGATCGGTCAGTGTTTGTAGAGGAGGGTATGGCTGAGGAGGCGATTGAGGGGTTGAAGAGTTTGGGGCATAAGGTCGAGGTTTTGCATGGGTGGGGGGCGAGGGGAAGGCAGATGTTTGGCAGGGGGCAAATTATTAGGTGGACGGTGGATGAAGTTGATGGTGGGGGGGTTTGGTCAGCGGGGAGTGATATGAGAGGGGATGGAGCGGCTTATCCGGTATAGAATAGGGACAGAAGGATGGAAGAATAGAAAGCGGCATTGTTACAAGTTGAACCTATGTGGTATCGTATCTCATCTTATGCGTATGTATGCCTATGGTGTGTGCAGCCCTGTGAAGTCCCAACCTTCTATACAAGTAAAACAACAACAACAACGACAACGACAACGGCAACAATACCATGTCATCGTTAGTAGAGTGAGGCAACCATGAATATTGGCACAGTTCTTTTTGTAGATTTTCTACTCCTTCTTCTCACCCTCCACAGCAGCCGCCTCCTGCTGCTCCTTAGGCTGTTCCAGCAACACACCCTTCTCCTTCAGCAACGTAGCCAGCTCACCGCTCTGGTGCATAGAAATGACAATATCACACCCGCCGATAAACTCACCATCCACATACAACTGTGGGATAGTCGGCCAGTCGGAGTACTCCTTGATCCCTATTTACTCAGTTAGCATTTCCCCTTCCTCATGTTGCTCTCTCCCAACCCATTCGCAAGATGAAAAAAGACCATACCCTGCCTCAACTCAGGATCCTCCAACACATTATATGCAGCAAACTTCTCCGGGTCAACGCCATGCATGCTCAGCACCTGGATCGTAGCGCGTGAGAACCCGCATTGCGGCATCTCAGGCGTACCCTTCATGAAGAGTACGACTGGAGTAGAATTGACCGCCTGATCGATCGCCTTGCGCGTCTCTTGTGAAAGCAACCGGCGCGCTGTGAGCGAAAGGAAGATCTGGTTGGCTGTTTGCTGGGGGATGGGGCGGAGGGCGGCAGAGGCAGAAGTGGCGAGGGGGCGGAAGGCCTGGAAGTGCTGTTAGTATATTTTTTGAATAAGGGACGGGGATGTTCTGTACCCTTGCGAAAGCTGTCCTGGCGAACATGGTGACTGAGTGAGTTTGATGTGTGGCTTGGCGCAAAGGTGTTCACGGAGAGCGCGGACGTTCACCAAGTAGACGTCAGCTTCAATGATGATGACGACTTATCGCGACTTTTTTTTCGCAATTAGTTATAAAGGGTTAGGGTTAAATATGGGACTGAAAAGATACTGTAGGTTACGACAAGGTAAGACGCCACGAAGGTACCCCGATCATTTACTCCGCAAAACCCACACCTGCCCCGCACTACCCCACAGTGAGCGGCAGCCCGGAACCTCGGTAACGTTATTTGTATCGACTGCATAAAGTCCACGTGCAAGGCGTGAGGTAAACTTAGGAGATCTCACTTGGATCTTGCATAATGGAGGAGGCGTTGGTCTATGAAGAGTCTTGATTTCTGGTCCTTAAGGTCATAATTTACCTGTGATTGTTGAAACAAGCTCTAAGGCCTTTCCGGACCGCGCCCATCTCACTTGGACTTCCAACAATTCTTCCATCTTCCTCTCTTATAGCCACCATCCCACTTATACCCACCATCATGCCGGGCCAACCTCCCTTAACAGGCCTCAGAGTCCTCGAATTCGCCGGCCTAGCCCCAGGTTCGTTTTTCTTGCCTTGTTCCATCTTCTGTTCCACAACGACTAACTCTGAGCTTTTTCAGGTCCCTTCGCCGGCCTGCTTCTAGCGGACGCTGGCGCGTCCGTCCTCCGCATCGACCGCCCCCTTTCTCCTAATTCCCCACCCCCTCCCGCAGCCGACCTTCTAACCCGTCACAAACGCTCTCTGGCTCTGAACCTCAAATCCCCCTCTGCCATAAAATTAATCCACCAACTAGCCTCCAAAGCGGACATTCTAATCGACCCCTTCCGCCCAGGAGTTCTCGAAAAACTCGGCCTCGGTCCCGACGTTTTGTTGGCCATCAACCCCCGCCTAATCTACGCCCGTCTAACAGGCTTCCGCCGAGACGGACGGTTTGCACACATGGCAGGGCATGACATCAACTATCTCTCCATCTCTGGCGTTTTGTCTCTGCTCGGCCGGAAGAATGCGCCGCCCACACCCCCCGCCAATCTCCTAGGCGACTTCGCCGGCGGCGGAGCGATGCTTGTGCTTGGAATCCTGCTCGCCCTCCTCGAGAGGGAGAGAACCGGGAAAGGGCAGGTCGTAGAAGCAAATATGGTCGATGGGGCGGGGTATCTGGCGAGCTTTGCACGGTTGGCAAAGGCGAGTGGCACGCCGACGTGGGATAGGCCCAGGGGGGAGAATTTGCTGGATAGTGGGTGTCCATATTATGATACTTATCAGACAAAAGATGGGGGGTGGATGGCGGTCGGAGCGCTAGAGCCTCAGTTCTTTAGCGAACTGCTCAAGGGATTAGGATTGTCGGGTCAAGGTTGGGAGAGGATGCGGTATGATCGCAAACATTGGCCTGAGCTGAGGAGGGTGTTTGAGGAGACGTTTAGGAGTAAGACGAGGGCGGAGTGGGAGAGGGTGTTTGAGGGGACGGATGCGTGCTGTACGCCTGTTTATGAATACGATGAACTGTTGAGGGACAGCAAAGAGAAGGAGGGGGAGCAAAGGCCGCCTGTTACTTTGAAGGAGACTCCGCTTTTGGCTGTGAAGAAGGGGGCTGCGGATGCGAGTCAGGGGCAGGGGCCTGGTGTTGAGGGCGAGGGGTATGTGGGTATGCCGTTGGCTCCGGGGGAGGGAGGGGAAGAGATTTTGAGGGAGTGGCTTGGTTGGATGAGGGGGAAGGAATATGAGATTAAGGATGGGGGTGTGCTGGTGAAGGAGAAGGCAAAGTTGTAGTTGGGATATTGAGGGGGAAGTATGTATACCCATTTGGTTAATATATGTGGCTTCCATCTAGTTTTCATTTGCTGCAGTTTCGCTTTCTGTCCAAACTGACCAGCCTAGAATGGGTTGTAAGCTTGTCCCTCAGGTTTTCCCATCTTCTGTTCCAGCATTCCAGAAAACCGGGAAGACAATGCATGACGTCAGGGGCCTTGCTTCAGGACCGCCATCAAACTTTGCACATCACCTAAGACATAGGGACTCAGCTTAGAATGGCATCCTCATTCCCCAAAACATCCATTCAATAACCTAACAACCAACACCCAAAGGCCGACACGCTCGCTCCATGGTATGCCGACACACCTACCACCAGCGCCATCACCTCCTTCACTTAGTCTAAAGCCAACAGCACATGACACTATCCTTCCAAGCCATTCACCCCAGGCTACATACCAAAGCCAGTCCTATCGGGCGGGGGGGGGGGTGGAGGGGGGCTGGTGCCCCTTTCACTGCACCTGACTGACAATCTCAGCCGCACGTTGCAGCGACTCTACCATCTGCTGGCACTCCTTGCGGCGGCGGACGGTGTAGTCGCTCTCCTTGAGCAGGTCGTCCAGCTCGCTCTGCCGATACAGGTTCTCGAGCAGCTCCTTCTGCATCTCCTCCTTGGTGAACCTAACCAAAATTGTCAGCCAACTGCCATAATAAAAATCGTAAGGGCAGGTACAACGTACTGGACAAGGTTCAGCATAATAGCCTTCGGCACCATGTCGATCATGGTGCGCTTGACAATGTTGAAGTAGGACGAGATCAACAGCTCTGCATGCATGTCAGCATCAAATCACACTCATCTGCAATAGGGTAGTCCAGGGTACATACTAATAACCTCAACCTCAATTCCTTCCCTCTCCGACAGCGTGCCCGTCGCCTTGAGCGTCGGCGGCGGCGGTTCCATCGCCGCAGCCTTCTTCTTATTCTTGGCAGCAAAGAAACTACCAAAGAAGCCGGTATTCGAGGACTCCTCCGGTGTAGGGCTAGCCGCGCGCTGTTGGTTGAGCGGCTTGCCTGTCTTGGGGTCGACCTGCACCGGCTTCGAGGCCTGGTGCCTCTCATTGACAATAGCCATAGCACGATGACCATTCAAAAAGTCAGGGTGCGCCGTGTTGATGTAGCAGGCCTCCATAGCGACCAGATCACGCACAAGCTTGTTGGTCGGCTCCATCGCCTTCTTGAAGAAGGAGATGACCACCTGATGGATCTTCTCCTTAAGGGCGGGGTACCGACGGAACTGTTGCTTGCTAAGCAGTTGGGTGAGGATGCGCACGAGCTCGTCGTACACGAGCGACGCGCACTTGAGGCTGGGTTCCTCGAGGCGCTTGATCTGCTGCTTGACGATGAGCTCGAAGGCCGTGGTGCCGACGAACAACGCGGGCGACGAGCCGGACGAGTTGTACATGATGGTGCGGATGTCGACGTCCTTGACGTAGTCGAAGGGATCGACCGCCTTGATTCCGTTCGCGTACAGCTCGTGGAAGACAAAGCTGATGCGCGCACCGCCAGACAACTCCGTGCTGGACAGTTCGGTGTTGTTGCCATCCAGGACGGTGCGCCACTCATTCGTGAACTCCGTGATGATGTTCAGCACGATGTTCGCGCTGTTCCCAAGCAGCGACGGACCCAGCGCTTCCAACTCCTGCTGGTACTTTTGCAGGGAGCTGCTGATGCGCTGCTTGATATCCGGCAACGTCTGCTTGATGTGCATCATAAGAATCAGGTTCAGCTTGCGAGCGAGGTAAGGCGTACCGCAGTACGCACTCTTGTTGCGGTACGCCTTATGGTTCTCGAAGAAAGCCTTCTCGGCTTCGAGCGCGGCTGTAATGGGCTTCTTGTTATCAATGTCCCTCTGGCCGCGGTTGACAACCGGGACGTAGCCGAGCCGCAAGGGAATGATGCGTCCAGCAAGAATATCCACGACATCGGTACCCTCGTCCATGAGATCGACCTTTGTGAGCACACCGATGGTGCGCTGACCCTCAGGATCCACCTCTCTCGCCAGCTTCAGACCGTCTGAATTGGCTAGATCAACGTTGGCAGCAGTGACGGCCAGGATAATAGCGTTTGGTTTTTGGATGTACTTGAGGATCATGTCGCGGATCTGGCGCTCGATATCGCGGGGCTGATCGCCGACGGGCACGCGTGTCAGACCGGGAAGATCGACGAGAGTCAGGTTAAGCACATGGGGCGAGTAAATGCGCAAGTTAATGGGGGCAGGCGAAATGCCGGCATTACGGCCAACCTTGGCCTCGGTCTCGCGGTTGATCTCATCGCGAATCTTGTTGAAGTCGTAGAACTTCTGGCCGGGCAGGTGAAGGAACTCGCCCCACTCGTCGAGGTTGGCGGCCTTATCGGTGCTGTCGGCAAGTCGCTCATCGAAGCCGTTCGCATTTCCAGAGCTTTGCCTGTTGATCAGCTGGAGCACGAGGGGCCTACGAGTAACGATACCCTGACCACGTGGTAAGCTGCAGACAAGTCGTGATGTTAGTATTTAGAAGACATTGACCCCCTCGCCTTCACCGCCCATGATGGCATCGCAAGACGGGACAAACGCTAAAGAGGCTAGAGAGGGGGAGGGGGAGGGGGAGGGGGGGGTAAGGAATAGAAAACGTACAAGTCGCGGCCAACGATGTTTTCTAATACGGAACTCTTTCCGCTAGATTGGCTACCGACGACGACTATTTGAGGGAGATCGATTGGATTGTTGACGCCGACGGTGGTGAAGACGTCTTGGAGTTTGTTGACAAGCCTGAGAGAAGGTGGGGCAAGGGTCAGTCAACGCCCGACAAGAGGTTAACGCGGAAGCGGCATCAAAGGCGTACTTAATGAGGTTCGGATCCGAAATACCTCCTGGCTGTGCCAGCGTCCCGGCGGGAGCATCGGCTGTCATGTTTGGCGGTCGGTAGGGTGTGTGGTGTTTGTTGGAGTGGTTATCGCTGCACTTCTTGTTGGCGGCGGAGGATCAGGAAGGGTGAAGCGGACGTGGTCGGTATGAAGATAGGTTCTTCGCTCTTCAGCAGAGGGGAAACTCGCTGTGTTTTAGCGCCGCAAAGTCTCGAATGGAATTCCTCTTCGGCAACGCAAGTAGCAATGGAACCGCGATTACGTCGTCAAACGGCGTGCGGCTGCTCTGGCGATGTGTGGTGCTGGGGTCAGGTCGTCGTCTTCGCAATCTGGAACGAATGTGGATGGTGGATGGTGGTTGCTGCCTCTGCTTTCATGCACTGTGAATGGTTCGCTGTCCACTGTCCACGCCAGCCTCTCAGAACCTTGGGTGCCTCTCGCTCTCACTGGCCCAGGGAGCCTCCCTCACCCAAACCCGACGACTCGTGGCGCCGCCCCATGTCCCTTGTTCCAGTTTCGGCTGACGGGTGGGTCCTCTTGGCTTCGCCCGAAGCTCCACTGTGCAGCCAAAGGTCCATTTTCGAGGGTTGTCATCCACGTGATTCGAAAGGCTACTTGCGATGACATCAGACGGGTATGAGCCTTTCTTTCAACCCTGACCCTGAATCACGGTTCACTACCCTCAACGACGTTGAAGGCAAATCGGGTTGCAGTGCCGCTGACCAACTGCTAACTGCAAACCAGCGTCTTGGAGTGCATGTACAAGTGATTCAATGAAAGCCAACAGCACGATGTGTTGGACATGGTGCTGCGATTTGGGAGCAGTGGTGCGGGCCAGCAGTTAATGGGCAAGCACCTCATTCTGCCTATGTAGATAAGCTTCTAACCACGCGCTTTGTGTCTGATGGCAATCAAAGCTGATGTGCTACCCACAGTTTTCGCCCTCCTGGTAACAGCAGAAGATCATAGAGGAAAAGGAGCCGCCCGTTTGCTTGTCCAATGGGGGGCTGGACAAGCAGAAAGAGGCTACCTTGCCCTGTTTTGTGCAAGCATCAAAACAGGGGACGACGCTGTATAAGTGTTACATTACATGTTCCAGGACATTGATACACTCAAGTTCGACCTAGAACAACACAATCTTTGAGGTGTCAAGTATATGACAGAGATGATACGGTATCCGACTGAGAGCAGTAGGCTAACAAGTTAGCATGCATTGCGGTTATGGATAGGGATCCATCATGAGCATAATACATTGACATCTAGTGTTAACACATAGGTAGTGGACGTGAGAGGATACTATCAGTTAATTCATATAAGACCGAAACCATATCTTCGTCATAGTCAGTTTAGGAAAATTCAAAGAGTGTTGGTATCCCTTCCAAACGCAATACGTTCTCCAACCCCTACGCGACCACAATGGTTGAGCACCTAGCATCCCTTCCCTCGATAAACCGGCCTCAATCATCCCAAAAGGTCAGCAATGTACGCTGTCAACTGCCGCATGATACTCCTTCCTACGTGCTCACTGGACTAGCAACAGCTGTGGTAGAGAGCGCATGACCACGCCTAGCCAAACGAAACCACTCATGACCTTCTACCGTCACGCACCAGAAGCACTGTTCTCCTTCCATTTACTCTTCTAATGATTAGTATATGAAATATCTGGAGGATACCACTGCAAAACGGGACCCGACAAAAGCAGCCATCCTACCACCAACCACCCAACCACCATGCCAAATCATGATTCCCCTGATCTGACGACGAATGCCTGCCCAGTGCCCTTGTCACTTCCCTCCCTACATCTTCCCTACGTACTCCATCAACATGAATTGAATGCTAGAGTCCGATTGAAATGAACCACTTCTCCCTGTGACCGCTTCGCGAATCCGTAGGGATAGGGAAAAGCAAAACACTGAAAAGCAAAGAAATTGAACTTGAAAGCCAATACGCCAAGCCGTTCATTACCCCTTTACAAAAATCTCCAACTGTACCCGTCTGAAGAACAAAAATCTGATAAACCCTACCATATTCCAAGTTCAGACACGACCCTGACATCCTCGGAAAAACGCAGACACAACAGGAAAGACGCTCAGGATCATCGGTAGCTAAACGCAACCAGTTGGTTGTAGGTCTTCGAGCTGGGGGACACCTAAGCCCACATCTCGGGACCTAAAAGGCTGCGAATGTCGGAGACTCCATTGCTCTGCCGGCTCGTTCCCGGTAGCATCTTGGCCCGATCCTTGTACGACCAGCTACATGACAGTCCGGTTAGCTACAACTGGCAAAACACTGACATGAGTGACCACGTACATCTTGACTCTATTATCGTCACCGCAAGTTGCAAACATGCACGGATCTGTAGGGTGCCACGCCACGGCGTTGCAACGAGGCTGATGCGCTTCAGCTTCATGAACGAGTGTCCCTGTAATCTTGTGCCAGACGAATACGTGTCCGTCTAAAGATCAGACATTAGCAACAGGATAGATATTTTTTTAAAAACGAATGGAACATGTAGAGAACTGCTCACCGTCACTGCCACAGATAACAAAGTTCTCGTTCGCACCACCAAAGTCACTCCGGATCGTATACTGCCCACCCTTCTGGCCCGTATACTTCTGAACCGTCTCGCGGGTCTCAATATCGATCAGAACAGCCTCGTGATCAGTCTTGTTGACCAGCATATGCCGTGAGTCAGCGCTGATGCTGATCGACGTCGGCCGATTGGTCAACGACAGCTCGTAGACGTGCGAACGCGTGGCAAAGTTGTAGACGTGCAGCTGTTTTTGCTCGGTCATAGCAACTAGCCAGTGTTGGTCAGGAGAGAGCGCAATATCACAAGTCCGGTGTGACTTGGTCCATGTATGCAGACAGTTACCCTGAATGTCCCAGGTGCATAGAGGCTTGGCCTTGTCGAGAGACCCAGTGACAAAAGTTTGGCCATCGTCGGTCCATACACAGCTGCTGACAGGCTCCTCAAATGTGTCGGCAACTTTCAGGCACTCGCCCGTCTACAAGAAACAATCAGTTAGCCTCAAATGGCTTGCCCTATGACCGGAAAATGGGGAGGAAGACTCACATTCGTGTCCCAAAGCTTCCACGAACGGTCGAAGCCGCAGCTCACCAAATACTTTCCATCAGGACTCCACGCAACATCACCGATACCCGCCTTGGCATGCCCCTCTAGCTGTGTTACGAGCGTAAAACGCTCCACATCCCAGATGTTGATGGCCTTTTCCGTTCCGCAGCTGGCAAGCCGCTTGCCATCAGGGGAGAACCGGATCTGCCAGACCTCTTCAGCCTGTCGAGACGTCGCTTCCGATGCGGGCTTGGAAAGCTCGACCAAAACCTCCGTGGGAAACCGGCTCCTATCGCAAAAGTGATCCACGTACAGCGACGGCTGCTCGTTGCTAGTGTGGTAAAGGCAGTTATCTATCTGACTTTGCTTCACGCAGTCCAGAAGCACGGCGAGCCTATGCTCGGGAAGCATAGACGAAGGGGAGATGGATTCTGTTCACAATGTTAGCATTTGCTGCCGCAAGTATCTAATACTTGTAACCCACCTCTGAGCTTCGACAGCAAGATATGCCTGGATCTTCCATTTGCACCATCCCAGTTTGCCTTGTTCCTGAGATCCTCAGGCCCAGAGGTCATAAGGTAACGGGACAGAGCCTGGATGATCTGAGGCCGGTTGTGACAGATGGGGGTCAACTCTAGGCGGAGCACAGCAAGTGCCTTTTGTTTCTCGCCTCGCTCGAGGTGCTCGAGGAACTTCTGCTGCCTAAGTTCGAACTTCATAGCTGTCCGATCTGCCCCAGGAGCCAGCACAATCCCGCTTCCGTTTGAACCGCTCCCGCAAAGCAACTGTTCGGCGCGCTGCCAGTCGCCGCTGAGTACAGCATGCCGGAAGGCAGCCACATCTCCGCTCTCCACACTGAAACCGCTCTCATGAGCCACCTTCTCTGCAGCCTCTGTATATCCTAAGTCATCCAAGGCCTGGATCAGGATCCGAGTAACCTCTTCCCGACTGTGGCCAAAGTAGTCAGGCAACCGTCCGGCCGCCGAGTTGCTGCTCCCATTAAGCGTAGTATTCTGCATAGTGGCGGCGGTTCCCGAGTGTCCGAATGAGTCTGCAGTATCCCGAAAACCGTTCCCCACAGCGTGTGTTCCGTTAGTCACGGGGCGTGAGGCGTGACTCGAAGATGCGTGGTTGTTGTGGTCAGTCAACATGCTGTCGCGGCGCTGTCTCTTAGTAGCGGGTCGGGAAGCGTCGGCTTCTGAAGCGAGGGCGTTTCCTCCCCCGTCCTCCGGCTCTTCAAATGTTGACCTCTGTCTTCGGCCCAGTGTCTGTGCCGGAGACAAGCGATGCGATGGTGACGACAATCTTTCGATATCTTGAGGGGCGGTCCGTACGTTGGAGGACGAAGGACCGACACCTGAAATAACGGGCTGCTGTGAAGAGCTTGGCACAGGACGGGACGTATCGCTGCTAGGAGGGTCTGGGAGCTGCGGAATAGCAGGTTGGTCGGAGAAAATCTGGCTGATTTGGTCCGCCACGGCGAGAGCGTTCTTGGTCCGCGGGATCGTTTGGCGTTCCCGCAGACGTAGGTCTTGCTAAGAGCAGACGTAGGCTTTGCAATAGGCGGTGCCGGACTGGGCACAGTCGGATCAATGGGGAGCAGGAGGAGGGAAGAAGAATGAATAGCGTTGGCTGATATTGGATCTATCTATGGAATGCGTTGAGACCGAGGATGGATGTCTGGGGGTGACACTGTGACTGGGCCAGCTTTGGGATGGAGTTGACGGGAGATAAAGAACCGGGTCACGGACAGCGCACGACGCAAAGGACCTTGAGATGGGAACGGACGGAGCACCGGAAGCTTAGAAAGCCGTACGGGATGTCGACTGGATGAAGGATGGAAAACCGGGCTGTATCTCGGAAACTCAGTGGACGGGAGCTTCCGAATCAACCATGCCCGGAGCTGCCTCTCTCTGCTCGATGCTGCTGTTGCTTGTCAGTGGACGGATGTTCGCTTGGTCGGTGAATTGCTGCAGCGACAGCCTGGCACCAGCGGGGCCTTGGGGCGCGTTGGAGTGCATTTGCTGGCAGGCTGTGGCGGCCACCACTGCTAACATCGAGCTCCACTTTGGGTACGTAACGGGGCAGCCACCAGCTGGCCACCCCGCAGGCACTAACTGTCCGTACGTGTGATTGGTCAAAGCTGGCCATAGTGAGGGGCGCCCCAGACTCCAAGCACACCCGTGCCGTTTGCGAGGCCCGAGATGCCCCTCGATGTGTGTTGCGAGCTTCACACGTCGACAGACTGGAATCGAAGCCCAAGTTACACACAAGTTGTGCAATCTTTGCCCCGGGGTTCATCAAGCTGTGTGGTCGCTAAGACGTATTCGATGTTCGGCGTTCTTGCCTTAAGGCCAGAGTTCCTGATCATAATAAAATTTATGATGGGACTGGTGCTCCTCTCCCCCCACGCACTGTCAGACCTTGGCCCCCTCTCTAAGATGTGACCGCGGCCGCGTCCATTGATCGTCGGGGTTGGCAGGCGCATGACGTGCCAATACGGGCGCCATAAGCGGTTGGAGAGCGCCTGTGTCGTAGCACCCTGAGGGTCGGCCCGCTAAAGCCGCCATTGCACTTTGTGAGGCGATGCCCATCATAACCATAATTACAGCTCACCACGGGGACATCATCCCCTTCAGTCAGTATTGCCTCGACGTCTGTCGCCTTTTGATGCTATAACATTTCCGCACGACTCGTGTCTAACCTGAAGGCTTTGGAACAAGTTCGTTGGGATTGCAAGGCCGATCCCGTAATTTGACTCAGACCACATTCACTCCCCCTGTGTGCATGATTATGGATAACTTCGAGTTTGCGCCAGCCCCTCCTCAACGATGTCCTGAGGCTTACGGCCCCCGGGCAAATAACAACCAGAAGCGCTGCTTTCAGTTGGCACAGGCGTTCTTCAAAGATGGTGTTAGGAGAGCCCGCGAACGGAATGAACGGTAAGCATGACTACTCAAGATTGCGGAAGAGACACTTAGCTGACGAGAGATCAGTCAGCTGGACCTTGAACGACGCCTCGAAGATCCTGCTGTGGGACCACGGCGCGAGCAGCTTTGGAAGCTCGGGGGCATGTCAGAAGCCAAGTATCTACGTTTCCTAAGAACCAAGGAAGAGCTTTCCAATTACATCCCCATCAAGACAATAGGAAAGGGGTACTTTGGAGAAGTAAAGTTGGTTCGCAAGAAGCAAGATGGAAAGGTGTATGCCCTCAAGCGGCTGGCCAAGACAGAGATGGTCTCCCATGAGCAGCTTCCCCGAGTGCGCGCGGAGAGAGACGCCCTGGCCGAGTCTGACAGCGAGTGGGTTGTGAAGCTGTACACAACCTTCCAGGACAGCACGTCCCTGTACTTGTTAATGGAGTACTTGCCGGGAGGTGATTTGATGGCCTTGTTGATTAAGTATCAGATTTTCTCTGAGGATATCACACGTTTCTATGCTGCTGAGATGATCATGGCCATCGAGGCCATTCACAACCTGGGCTTCATTCACCGCGATATCAAGCCGGACAACATCCTAATCGACCGTGAGGGTCATGTCAAGCTGGCTGATTTTGGTCTTTCTAAGGGTTTCAGCAAGAGTCACGACCACAGCTACTACAGGGAACTCCTTCAAAAGCCGGCTCCTCCAAACAACAAGCCGGCAAACAGGAACTCAGTTAACCTGGATGAGATTGCCCTAACTGTCAGCAACCGTGCTCAAATCAATGAATGGAGACGGTCCAGGAGACTCATGGCATACTCAGCGGTTGGGACCCCGGACTATATTGCTCCTGAGCTGTTCACCGGTCAGGGGTATTCTTTTGAGATTGACTGGTGGTCACTCGGCGCAATCATGTAAGGGTTTCTGTCGGCTTCCTGAACGATCTGAGCAAGGTCGGAGAGCAAATTACTCACACTCTATAGATACGAGTGCCTCGTAGGCTGGCCTCCGTTCGCCTCGGACAACTCGTATGATACCTACCGCAAGATTGTCAACTGGCGTCAGACGTTCTTCTTCCCGGACGATGTCTACCTTCATCCGAATGCAGCCCACTTGATAAGAAGGTATGAGCTTTTTTTTTCCAGTCTAGCAGTTTCCTAATTAAGTTTCTTCGTTCACTTACTCAACTTCCTGACCTTCGTATTACGGTCATCTACTCTCTCTTTTCTTAAGCTAACACTCTACACTTTTAGTCTCATCTGTGACGCGTCAAGTCGTCTCGGTAGCCGCGGTGGTGCTGCCGAGATCAAGGCTCATCCATTCTTTGCCGGCGTGGACTTCAACTCCCTTCGCCGTATTGAGGCACCTTTCCGACCTCACCTAGAATCTGACGAAGACACTTCGTGCTTCCCTGTTGACGAGCTACCTCAGGGCGAAGGATTTAGCAATGGGCCTACCAATACTAACGGCACGAATGGCCATCAAGCCACCGCAAGTAATTTTCAAGAAGAGGAGGTCACCCCAGAGATGTGCCTGCCTTTCATTGGATATACTTTCAAGAGGTTTGAGAAGACATTCATGTGAGCTAGCTAGGTACTCCCCTCAAGGACAGGGCAGGTGCAAAATCGTACTTCAAGTGTGCACTCACCTCACTTATCTCATACCTCTTCTCATAGGGTTCCTCACCCTGGTTGCTTGCATGAAGTGAAGGATCCAGCCTTACCGAGTCCATCCACTATTTTCATGAAGCCAACATTTGGCGTTCGCTGTACATGGGACGACTTCACTTCTTATCCACAGACAACTATCTAGAAGAGAGCAGCGGGCGATTCTGCAAATTTAGAACCTGTTACTTAGACCATCAGCTATCTACTTCAAATATTGACACATCGACCTCCACAGTTCTCTTCCAAGTGAATCGCAGTGCTTTTAAAGGAGTCGTGAGCTGTCAGCCGCTGCCCTTGAATGTTTGTCAACACTTCCACCGAGATCAGGTGATCTAGGTTGTCGTCTCCAGCAAGATCGACATACAAAGACGGCGTGTTGGAGATGGTCAAAACGATATAGCCCACCTATACCGCAGAAATGTCTTTCATCAACCCGGAACACACGGACATCATCCTAACACAATCGGCCCGGTTCCATAACCCTTTTCACATGTTTACTTGCCTATTACCAGCACCCGGCCCTGAAAGATTGCGTGGCCTAGCCCAGCTCAAACCAAGGAACCCACCAACCTGAAGGTCCTGAACTCTCCAACAAGCTGGATCCCGAACAGACGGAACCTTTTAGCTTCACCTATTCCCCACAGAAGTCGCCGAATGCCCACTACTTAAGCTCCCCGATCACAGGGACCCAGTTAGTAAGTCTTGGCTGAATCTGATATCCACAGGAACGGTAAAATCAAAGCTAATCACTGCTTTCCCATCCTGTTTCTTTCCTCGGAGCTTGGTTCCAAAATACGGCTAGCCACACCCACAAATTCCCACGCGTGCTCCGAAATCGTAGATATCAAAGCTACGACCACGCGGCGATAGCTAGCTCGGTTGTTCGGGTACGACAACTGTTACCGGTCTCCGAGCTGGTGCATTGCTAGTGACTGAGCCCAGACCCGTCGAACCGGAAGAAATCAGACGCTAAAAAAAGTGATGACCGGTGATCGACGCGTAGTTCGCTTGTTAGTGGGTTTGTTGGTGAGTGTCCACACTCGTGGTAGCGAGAAAGATCGGTCTGGTGGGAGGGGCTTGCTTTTGGAAATCTCCAGTTTTGGGCGTTGTAGCCTCCTCTCGAGGATGCTCGACGATGATACGGGAATAGGTAAATCTTGTAAAGCAGTTGATCACTCTGTATATGCTTAGTAGAAGAAGCGGCTGGTATCAATACGCACTGACGGAAGTTCTTGTTTAGTTTCTCCGGGCTAGCTGCCAATGGCCGAGCTATGTCTGCATCTCTGTATCCGTCCCCATCGCCAGACTTCAGCTAGGGTTGACGTTGTCATAGACACGCATCATAAACTCTTGCCTGCTGGAGAATCTCGGCGAAGGAAGGCGAATCTAGCGCAAGCAATTGATCAACCTCGAATGGCGCCGAACAGGTGGAGTGTCTGGCAACGAGATGAGTGGTGATGGTAGACGTCATTTTTACCCCACAGCCCATGCGGCTGCATCAATAGTGCCTCTCCTTTGGTGCAACTGGAATCACCTGCGGTACTGAATGTGAGGTTCTTTCGGTTCTCCAAGGCTGGCTGCACTCTACCTGCGGTACGCTGCAAATAGTGTACAACTAGACTTGCATACATCTTTTTCAGAGAGCTCCAGCCTCGTGTGCTGGTCACGGCTGGGTGGTCTGATGCTGTCAATTTTGACCCGTGGATTCACACACATCCAGCGGGTAATGGATGTGAAAAATCTTTGAACAGTCATTCTCGAACGGATTGTTCGGTCTTATGGCTCCATTCTCACATTCGTTGTGTGTAAAACTCTAACATAGCTGAAGGAGCAGGTCAACAAAGAAAAAAAAGGGGGTGGCAAGAAGCTCTTTGCGAAACAAAGTCTAAAATAGGTAGGTAAACTGTACGTGCAAGGTAAGGATTACGTACAGCCGTTACGCCAAGAAGACCCATCTTTATCTTTCAATTCCGTAAAGGATCAACAAAATGGCCGTAGAGGACAAAAAGACATCGAAAAGTGTTCCTGGCTACAGTGCTGGTGACGATGCAGCCAGAGAGCCACACAAATGGGGTCCAGCTGAGCAAGGGGATTTGTCCGCCTTTCAAAATCGAAAACACTGAAAGAGTTTCCACCATCCGGATTTCTTCCGTCAACCACATGTTACCACACAGTGGTCAAGGTAGCTTTAAATGCAACCTCTCATGTTTGGTTTCACGAGAGCCTCATTCCAGGGCCCAGTTGCGGACAGGGGACAGGTAACAGAATGTTATGAGCAAGCGATGAGAGTGATTCTTTGGGGGGTTATTGCGCCCTTGTCCGAGGCTTTGTTTGCTCCTCCCCTAAAACTCTTAAAACCGGCATTTTGTCAACGCTTGTTGGTGGCTGCGACGGGCCTCGCACGGCCGTCAGCGGCTCAACTCGTTTCGAAAGACCTGTTTTGGATAAGACATTATTTAAACGAAACGGCACGACGAAGGCATTCATTCCGTAGTTGCTGTTGCTCCCCCCTCACAACTGCCACCCCGATCGGACAATTATGGAGTGTGTCTCTCAGATCTCCCGACGGGCCCAACGCCGCCATTCCTCAAACGGGGGGCCGGTTGGGCGTGCCGAAGAGGGACGGTTGCAGCAGATCATCCGACCGGTCGCTAGGTCGCAACTGACACTCTAACTTGGCAGCTGGGAAGGTGTTAAAAAGTTTTTCCCTTTCATTCCGCACCACGACCTGCTTTGTGGTTTGCTGTCGTCGTCCTTCACCGGTACTTCAACGGCCGAGGTAGATCGGTCTTACCAGCGATGACAAGATTCTGAGGGGAAACACGTAGCGCCGGATGTCGCGGGGTCAAACTTTTGCAGATGCCTAAGTCTGTGCCGGCGTGGCATCTCGGAAAGTGAGGACTGTTTGCAGCTTCTACCTTACCTATGGCTTTGTCCTCGTCAAGGTCAGCGAGCTGCGTGAGAAGAGGGAGAATCCCCCCCCCCAAGTCTATAGGTGTTAACATTTGAGTTGGCGCCATTGTTGAGAGCAACCACCAGAACTTGGATTAAAAAGTGAGATGAAACAGCACTGGCCTTAAGATCAGTTCTCTAGCGACTGGAAGCTTGGGATAGAAGCTCTTCCCCAGACGGCCCCAGCTGGCTGACCATTTGGCCTCGCGAGATGGACCAATCAACCAGATGGCTCCCTGCAAGATTCTCTGCATTAGGATATTAGTGGGACCGATGCGCCGCTAGCGTTCAGACCGGGGTCGTGCAGGTATCCTGCATGATCGAAGAAACGCTCCAACCCTTCCTTCCCTTGTTCACGACAAGTCTCAACGCACAAGCAGAACAGATCGCGCCAACGCTCGAAATGTCCCGGTATAATACGGCTAGTAAGATGTCTTCACCGCGCGGGATGGAACGAAGTTGCATCCTGCTACTTATCGCTAATCTCACTTATCGCAGCTTACAGCGGCTGTCCTGGACGAGAGAAGGGGGCGGGCAGTGTAGACGTCTACCTATTCGAAGTTCTGTGACAGGCCGAGTCTTGGATTTACTAGCCGCAAAACTATCCGTATGTGTGGTTCCGATTTGCCCTCTGGCGTCACAAGACAAATCCCCGATGTGTCAAACGGCTCAACGTAACCCTCCCGTTTGTCAATCCAGTCTTTGGGGAGAAACGGCACATCTGACGCCACTCGAAGAGAAACTAGAACAACTCTAGCTTAGGTTGAACTCGTTGTGCGTTCAGAGCTTTGACTGATCAAAAACTCCGCACCTTTGTGTGACTTTTTGCTGTTGTGGCGTTTGAAGGGCTAGGAGATCTCCGTGAGCCTACACGACTTTCACGTTTACCCCATCCATTACGACCTCGTGCCTGAGGAAGTTTGAGCTGGGAGGTATTCCGGCAAGTTGATGATCAAACAGACTTCTGCAAGTTCTACACCCTTATCTGGCAGCTGTCAAAGCCCAAGCCTGCTAGTGTACATCCTCCGACTGCTTTGCCGCGCTGGGGGGCTGCCCAGGGGCAAACGCCCAGGGGTTACATCCACATCTACCCCTCACTCGGCCCTCTTCTCCTCGATCGCGATATGTATCCGGTGTATAGCAGCCATAGTGTACCAACTCATAATTGCTAAATGGCCGAGTGAAGGCCGTGTGGCGAGCTTGTGCTGCTCCGATCACATGCTGGTTTTGCCCCTGTACTAGCTATTCCTTCGTACCTTCGTTGCTCACACCCTGAACTTGTACAAGATCGATATGCAAGTAACACCCTTACACTGGGTATCTGCGGTCTTCCCAGTGTAGGCATGCCGAGCGTGAGATAGGCCCCCGTTGCACCAGGGACGAGACAAACGCAGAAAGGCGCTGATCCTTCGGGAGCGCAGCGGAAACGGCGGCTCACTTACAAACTTTCTCTGTTTTCTGGTTCGGTGGTCAAAAAGAATGAGACGTAAAACGTCTACTCAGGAACAAGCTTGCAACGGTGAGAGGAATAGAGTGGGGGAAAGGGTATGCCCAAGGCGCGTGGAAAGTCATGTGAGACCTAGTTTTCGCTTTACAATGTCCCACTGATATATGGATCATAACGATAGAAGCAGCGGACGAATTGAGGTTTCCGCTCATCTGCTTTCCGGAGACAACAGCCTCCGAACACCAGGAACTCTCAGTTCCAGGTTTAGGAGACGGGGGCATGCAGATTGATGAAAGAGTGCAGGAATAGCAGGCCATAAGAGCGTTTGAAGGTTACTGCGCAGAGTAGCATTCTTTGCAGCAGTCCAACCAAGTCTGAGAGTCCATATGCAGGCAGCGTGCATGAGCAATCTACCAAGACCACGAGACGGGTCCCTTCGACACACTTGGGCGCACGATGGCCATCGAGCTGACCTTTGCCCCTCCGTCACCTAGCGTGATCATGATGGCCGTTCGCCCGGCCGATAGCTGCGATGTGATGCCCCTCCTTGCCAACTTCGCTGATCGGCAGTGAATCTCGTCTGTCTCCGCACAAAATCTATGCGGGAGCCGGGAAGCTGGGGTCAAGCGATTGACGGTGGCTTTGCTGTTGCTTTTTATCCAGGTGCACGGTGAGTGAAGCTAGCCTTGATGAGCCTAGCCGGATGCCGTGGGAGCGTGAGACCCACGACGAGGACCCCACTTCATCGATTGGCGAGCTGCGCGGGGGTAGGTACATGCCTTTGGTGTTATATTACGCACTTTCTCTCAGGGAACTCATGGAAGAACGCCGGGCATGAGTCGCAGAAGTCCATGGCGCTCAGCTAAGAAGCTGTAGAGAAAACAAGGCAGCTGTAAGAATAAAACTAGGATTATCTCCATATTCTCGAACCTGAGGCCACTGACGCTTCGATTCTTCGCTCGATTCTTCGATGAAAGGGCTAATATTGGGTCAGCCCGGGTCTTGGCGCCAACAAACGTAATGTACAAGTTCAATTACCTGGGGGCGTAAAAAGTTCTTGTAAAATACATCCGCCTGTTCGTCGCACGGCAATGGTTGATCGACGTCAACCGGGCGGCTGCTGTCGCTGCAAACAGCCAACAAGCCTCTGATCTCCAGCAAGATCCAGCGTGATGATCCAATGTTGAGCTGCAAGCAATGACCCTCTGGAAGGGGATCGAACACCCAAGGCGCCGGCAATGGACTTTTGGCGCTGTTCTTTTTTGGCCCACCGAAACAGCCCTAGGGGACGTGGGCGTCAAGCCCGAAGGAGCAACCATGCTCGGAGATTGACCGTCTTGAGCGCTGAACAGCCAATGAGAGAGTAGCAGCGCGCTGCCCTTGTGGGGCTTGTGCCCCTAGGTACCTGATCCCCTGTTGCCAAACTCTCCATTGTGCACTGCACCTGCAGAGTGCAGACAGCTCCAAGTGCAGCACCATTACAAGTGTGCAAGTGTGTGCAGTGCCCACACTGCTCACAGGATGCCTGTCCAGGGAGGCTCCAGGTGCGGATACTGACGCCGCGACGCTAGCACACGCTGCACAGCAGGCATGTCTCGCTGGAAAATGGCAAATACCACGCCTTGGCATGACTTTTCCAGGTTGCCTGGTCCACAATCCATATCCAGGTCCTGGTCCTGGGCTCCAGCTTTCCAGGGCACCAGGCCAGGCGTCTTTTTTATTAATCTCGCTCCAGACTTTCCGGCCACGCACACAGCTCTCTTGTAACCTAGCGAACCCCAGGTTTCGTTGTGTCGTTGTGGTTTTTCTCTTCCTTCTCTTCTGCCCACGTTGCCTTTCCTGCTTTTCCTCTGCCGGTTTGGTCAATCGCGAACGCTGTGTGGGCGAACGGGAAGCTTTGCTATCGACGGCGCCGACATCAGTGACGACTGCGAGCTCCGAGTGCCACGGAACCCCTCCCCCTTTTGCTTGGATAAGAGATAGGAAGTCTCCACCAGCGTAAGAGTGCCATTGCCGGTTACTATCAGCCATCCTGTCGCCCTTAAAACTGCCATTCGGTTGTCGCGACTTGATGCCTCGAGTATACATGATGCGTCTGCTTTAATGGCAACCGCGTTTGACTACGACTACCAGAGGGCGGCGCCCTTGCCGTCTCCTCTGCCTCTTAGGCGTAGAGGAAGCATTGCGACAATGGAGGGTGCTCTCACTGTGCCCCCTGATCGTACCATCATTGGGAGAGCTGCATGGAAGGTAAAACTCCATCTCGAGGTGTCCATGATAAGGTGACGTGCAGCCCATTACTGACTGTTATATCGAAGACTCGCTGGGTCATTGTTGGGCCTGCGTCCCGAGATCCATCCCTTCCTCCTCCAGGGTCTCGCTCAAAGAATGGGTCAACCAAAGAGGCTCTGAAGCTTCCCACGGAGGGGATCTTCTTATCTGTTTATAAGGCACAGGTAAGGTTTTACAGCTTATCGAGGGCTTCCTCAACCTTCTGGCATTCAAGCTGTGGAGTATCGTAAGGGAACTGTCTTCTCACCTTCGCAACCATAGGAGGATGTCGAGCCGATACAACAGTTCTCGGTCACCTCAATTGCCGATTGCCAGGTCCAAACACTGGCGCATCGAAAGCAAGGACCTCCTCTTCCGACACTGGTTATCAACATTCTCCCTGACCCCGTCTTGGACAAGCTCCGGAAGCGGCGCTCAAGCCGCACCGCTACCTTTTCCTCGTCTTCGAGAGATACAAGCCCGACGACCTTGATGTTCCGTCCTGGAGATGAGCGCTACACACTGAACGATTGGGCCCGCTTCATCCAGCAATTTATCCAGCCACAGCTTCTTGACCGAGTCCCTATGAGCCCGATCACCCCTGGCTCTCCGTCTTTCATCAACCCCTTCGCACCTCGCCGGGAACTCAGCGATACACAATTCAAACCTGAAAGTGGGAGCGAGAGCTCACGACAAACTTTCTACCCCAAGAGTGCCGGTCAAGCTTACCCGCCCCGTGATCGGCCTGTGACGTTCTCTGATACCCCGAGTCTTCGTTCGAAACGGAGCGATCTCTCGTCACAGACTAGTGTAACTCAACCTCCAGTATCTCTCCACAGCTACGGTTCTATAGTCCCTGCAGAACTTCCATCGCCGGCAACTACGATTGGGGAATACCAGGGTGACTTCATTGAGGGATGGACATCTGCTCAGGGGAGATCATCCGCGCTTAGTTCTCCTGTTAGGGGGCGCGACAGCGTCAGTTCACAACCGCCGAGTTCACTGCCTCCGATTGCGGACCCTCCCGGGCCTCGAGAGACAATCTTGGATAGGGCCTTCCAGTTACGCCGCATTCCCGGTTCCGAAAACACAAACCCAGGAGACGAGAAAATGAGCTCTCTTGCTCGTTTCGACGCCTTGATGGCCGAACTCGAGGAGAAGAGGAAGAAGCGTGAAGCCGAGGAAGCAAAGCTCCGGGGCGAAACCGCGCCGCCACCACAGCCGGCCCCAGAAACACAAGCGCCTCAGAGTGCCTGGGATTCGGACACCGATGATGATAGCGACGGCTTTGTTGGGGAAGGGGAAAGGGATATCGAAGACCGGTTCTCAATGCCAGAAACGAGCATTCGACGAGCCCCAGATTATGTCTCAGAAAGATGCGAGCCCCCTCCGAAGAACCCAGCACGGGCCCGGAGAGCACCGCCTGCATACAACCATGAGGCTCTAATGGCCTTATCAGGCAACGGTCCCTCAAGTCGGCCACAGACTGGCTACTCGAAATCTCGCAGCAACCGCCCAAGCATGTCTCAGCGCACCCACAGCCAGCCACACCTCGCCACGATTCTCGCCTCTTCAGCCCGCCGTGACGGCGCGGTTCCTTTCCCTGCCTACGCTGAGAACGACGACACCTTCTCTAGCATTACTTCCTCCCCACCAGCCACACGACTGCACCGCAGCTCAACCACCACAGGCACTACCTCATCTTTAACCCCTCACCACGAAAAACGTCTCTCAACCTCCTCCAGCAAGCGCCTCAGTTTCTCCGAATTCACCCGCCGCCTGAGCAGCAGTACCAGTAGCCTGTTGATCGTCCAGTCCAATACAAGCGGCAAGGATGGGTCAGCCGCCAGCGGCCGCGCCACGCCCAGCAGTACCCGGCAGAGCATCGTCAGTGATGGGGCAGACCACCACTCGCTGATTGCCCCGCAGTCACCGCCGCAGCATCTGCATCATTTGCATCCTCGGGCTGGCAGCCTGTCTGCTCATCGGGAGCGGGCGCTCGAACGGGAGCAGTCTGCTGCGAGTGAGCGGGCGGAGAGGTATGGTTGGAGGGGGAGTGTGGGAGTTTTTGGGGCGCCGGAAGGGAATTTCCTATAAATGTGAAGGGGAGTGATGCTTTGGATACCCGACTCGACTCTGGTCTTCCGGATACAACATTGACGAATGTATCTGCTGTGTTTATCATCCTTTGGATATTCTTTTTGAACTGTTTTTTTTGGCGGATCTCAGGAGATGCTTGACGATACACTACTTCATCCTACCCTTTTTACGACTTCTGTCCATCATTGGCATCCTCTGATACCTTCTTTGGATCTTCATCGACACATTTACCATCTACACTCTTTATTCCAGCCGACATGTTGACGCCTGCTTACATGCTTCGTTGATGTTGGCATTATTTTTCTTTTTTTGATTAACGAACTGAGATTCTTTTTATACTTACCACTTGTTTATGATACGGTCGTGCACCATACGTAGCACACTCTCATCATCATAGAAATGTTATTCTTTTGACTGACAGGAAGGCAACATGGGAGGTCGCTCGGCAGGCAGGCAGGCAGGCAGGCATTTGGAGGATAACTTTGGATGGCTGGCATATTACATTACTTTTATTGCATGTGTATATTTGAGTGAATTGGCATGTAGTGGCGTTAATGTTAATTGTACTTTGGATACTGACCATATTATCTAGCCTGAATGTTGAAGTGAGGAAATGAGAGCACCTTTGGAAAGACAGCATCGTAAGTGTCGATAACGAAGCCGTAGACATACCACCGCAGCACTCGTCGAACAAACATGTAGGCAGGTCGTTTCCTTTTCCCCGACTAGATATCTGTTTTCTTTTAGGTTATTCATGTCTATCTGCTCCCACCACCCTTTTCCAGGTGAGGTGTAACCAGGAAGGAAAGTTACCAGAACCTACACATAGCTAGTATTACCGTACGTACCCCCTAGACAGCAGCGAAAAATACTTTATGACATTCCCACACACACCCAGACAAGTCCACAGTTTCATGGATTTATCTGTCAACCCGTAGCCTTCCCATCCACCCGCCCTTCCTGACATAGTCTCCCAAACGCCACGGTACGTAATATCGATCCTAGACCCTCCCTCATCCGTCCCCATTCCCATCCCCAGCCTAGCTTTTTGTATTCCCCCAGTACTCAAACACCACAAGTTACTTCACACCTCAACTCCACATCCTCAAGCCAGGTACGGCACCAAAGCCGCCTTCGCTTCCGGCGTAAGCCTGCTTTCCACAAACCCAGCGATCTTCCCGCCATGACGAACATTCGCGTCCTTCAGATAAGCACTAACCCACTTTTCGACCTCCAACACATCGGGGAAATCGTCGCGTGGGCCACGTTTGCAGGTATTCAGCGGGGTAAAGCCGACGCCAAAGCCGATGTCATCAACATCCGCCTCGTTAACAATCTCATCACCAAATCCGGCCGTGACGCGCGGCGGGTTCTTGAGCAGATCAAGCAAGTGGTTGCAGGTGAAGCCCCAACCTTTCTGGTAGCGGTTGGCGAAGGCTTCGGAATCCCCGAGGGTCTTGGAGTAAGAGATGACGCCCAGCTTGCGGTCGACAGGGCGAGCGAACTGGCCGGTGGTGGGCAGGATGACAGTCAGGTAGAAGGGAGTGAAGACGTTAGCCTGGATGGACTCGGCGTGCCGGATGAAGTAGTCCGCACCCATCTTGGCCTCGATGCCACGGGCCGAGACGAGGTGGTAGAAGCGGGCGACACGCTGCTTGAGAGAATCAGTTGGGTTGGCCTGCAGGCGGGTAAAGACCAGAGCGATGATTTCTTTGAACCAGGGCTCGAGGATCTCGCTGTTTCGGGGTCAGCATGAGTTGCCATTGGGAGAACAAGTCGGTGTGCACTTACCCGTCGAAGGTGCCGACGATGGCTTCGAGAACATCAAAGGCGTTCTGCTCTGTCTTTTTGCCGTTCAGCAGACGCTGGAAGATGCCAAGGAATGTCTCAAGCTTGCCGCCGGCCTTGATCTCCTCAGCAGCCCTCGGAATAACGGCGGCGATGAATCGGCTCAGAGGCGGTACATTGCCCCTTTGCTCCCACCAGTTGGGAGCTAGGATGTTCTGGATGATGACCTTGAAGGTCCCAGGCACATGGCCAGACGGGTTGAGCTCAAGCAGGAGAGCAAAGATCTGGAACACGAAGGGGACGAATTCTGAAGCGGCATGTTAGTTACACTCGAAGAAGTCAAGAGATTATCACCTTTATTGCAACAACTCACCGGAGATATCCTTGTCGAGGATGTAGCTGAAGGGCTCCCAGAGATGGGCCAGCAGATCCACCCTAGGGGAATTGCTGCAATACCTGTTCTCAGGTTAGTCAACTGAAAGTCTGGTAATAAAGCCTTTAAAATAGTTACCTAACAAGGGCGCCGATAGCCTCAAAGTGGTAGTAGTAGAAGCGTGGGTTGCTCGGGTTCTCCCGGATGACATTGGTGATCTGGATGAGATGGTTGAGCACGCTCTCGATACCAGAGTCGATGATGCCATCCTTCATGACAATCAGGACCCTCATGATGCACCTCATCAAGAACTCGTTTTCCTGTAGCTTGGGAGCTGAGGTGTCCTTCTCGATCAGCTTGAACAGGTGCTCAAGGAGATCCTTGGCAAAAGGCTGGATGTCACTACGAGGGAATAGGTGCTGGCCTTGTTCATCCGTGAGGAAGAGCACTCGCTCGACGGCAATGGCAGCATAAGTGTAGACAACGTAGTTGTCTGAAGCAAGATTCTGAATGAGAGGCTGCATCGCAGCAGTCCACTGAGCCTTATTAAGCTGGCTGCGGAAAGTATAGAGGTACTTGATAGCATCAACCTTGGAAATGGCATGCTGGGTGTTAGCCAGCAGATCAGCAGCAATATGCTGCTCGAAGAACTGGACAATGTCGACATGGCTGTTGACCGTCTTGACGCCATGAGAAGCAGTGACCGCACCCTTGGCAGCAATGGCCAGGAAGAGATAAACAGCAGTGTCCTTGTCCTTGAAGTCGGTCCTGCCCTTCTCCAAGTATTGATTGATGTGCACGAAAACAACTTGAGTGACCAGGTCCTCGAAGTTTTCGAGAAGCTTGCGCAGGAAGTCGGTTGCTGCCCTCCTCCTGGAGTCAGAATCCGAGCCTTCCAGATCGCGGCGGATGAATTCAATCGGCTCCTCCGCGAACATGTCGAGATCGGACTCCCTCAACTTCACATTGGGAATCACAACTTTGAGCACGATCTCATTCAGGATCGAGTGGTTGTTGAAAGCCTCGGCGTGGCGCCGCACCGAGGCAACAGCAGTCAGGAACTGCATGCCCTTGCAAGCCAGGATGTCATATCTCGTCTTCTCATCGAGGTTTGAAACCAGGCCCCAAACGTCATTCGCAAACTCAGGAACGAGATGACCGAAATCCTCGTCGTACTTGTTGGTGAAAAGCTGGAGAACATCACAGATGTCGGCCTTGAGGGTCTCGAGCGGGGTCGCTGTATCCTCTTCGTCATCGAATTCATCTGTCTGGTATTTGTAGACAAGGTACTTGTGCAGAAGTAGGCTGATGGGCTGTAGGTGGGTTTCAATGACAGGAGGAAGGTCCTGGCAAGACAGGTCGTACAAGAGTCGGACAAGCAGGCTCATCGTCTCAAGCCAGCCCTTGAGCGCTGCTACATTGGTCCCGTTTGCTTGGATTTGCCGGTCTGCGAGCTACGTTACTGTCAGTATCTGGTCTATCGTGTCGGTCGTTCTGAAAGGGGAAGTCGGTCATACATCCAGCAGCTTGATAAACGGTTCGCCGAAATGTTCCACGACATGGAGAATTTCGCGGTTGAGGTCGTTGGATTGGAACAGTGGCCGCCACCGGACAAAGATAGAGTGGGCAACTTCCAGCACACCGTTGGTAACCTTGTAGTCGGTGTCGGAAAGACGGCTGACAAGGTCCTGGACCAGTGTGTCCCAGCGCTCCCAGAAGTCAGAATCGGCAATGATGCTGATGGCCTCGCCAAGCTGGGTCTGTATTGATGGCGGGGACGAGATCATCAGGCCGACCAGTTCTTGCTTGATGGTCTGAACCTCGTCCAAAGGAAGCTTGTAGTTGCCTTCTTCGTCCACATAGTTGTGACGGATGAAGTTTTTAAAGGCCAAAGCGGCGGCCAGACGGGTGTTTGTTTGGAACGCGGCATTGCTGACGATCTTGAGGAGAGAGAGCGAGTATTGAGGCTTCTTGGCCTCCTCTTTCAGCTTGTTCTCAGCTGCAACGTGAAAATATCAGCATATATGTTGACCAGCGACTCACTACTCGGTTGCCCGGGGGAAAAGGGGGGGGGGGACGCTTAGCTCACCCTCGCGATGGGTCTGCGCGTTCAACGTCTGGTTAAGCAGACCCGCGATCAGGTCTAGACTGGAAGCCATGGTGGACGACAATGCTGGAGGTAGGAAAAACCAGCTACTTTGTAGTGAGGGAGGAGAACAAACGGCAAACCAGGGGCAGTCAGATATTGACGCTGGTGGTAGCCGGGAAGAGGGTCGCGGTGTACGGCAGCAAGCAAAAACACCCGAAAAACGCAACGGTAGTTTGGTTTGGTTTGGTTGCTGGGATCCCCGCGTAGCCTTCTAGAAGAGCTGAGAGCCAGGCATGCGAATCGCAAAGCAACAGAGGGACTGGCTTCCCGTCAAAGTGGGGTCCAACGCGGTGCCTTCCGTGGGGAGCAAAAAAATTGGTGGGGCCGAGCATTGTGGTGCCCCACTGCAAAGTTCACGGAACAGTGCAGTCAACCAAGATTGGAACTGTGTAGGTGGCAGTGATTCCATATTGGTCTTAAAAGAGAACTGTGGGCTTTGTCTTTAATTGATCAGCCAGCTAGTCATATGATTCACTTCAAGAGACTTTATTTGTCTATTGGGGAGGAAATTATTTTGAGTAAACATGAAAAACGGCCGATCCAAAGCAGTATTCACATATGGGCCTGAAAGCTCAACCGCTGACCTCTGAGGGTAGAGACAGTACGAGGCACGGTAATGAAAAAGGCCATTTTATGGCCAATCAACGACCCTTCCTGTCAGGCAGACCCCACCAACCCAGTCAAGCTCTGCCCCAGATTCATGACCTTTTCGAAGCTGCGAGGGTGATCTTGGGCAGAAGCGGACACCTCCGTCATCCACCAAGACGCCAAGCCGATGCCCGATGCCCGATACCCTACTGGCCGAATGGAACCATTTCGTTTTATTCTTGGTCTTTTCCCTTACTTGCAGTGACATTTAGGCAGGTGATCAATCAGTTCTGCGGCCTGTCCAGAGCTAAGGTCAAGCTCAAATCGTGGCACATCTCGGTCTTGGTCACTGCTGTCCCAGAAGAGTCTCTACCCCCAAGGCTTCCTTTGGCTGGGATCCCAGCGTGCCACCAGGCCAATCATTTCTGCGCCCACAGTCGCACACCTCGCATTCCTACCCGTACATCTGCTACCTACCTATTCCATCGATAGAATTTTCACCTCGTGGTGTGAAGGTGGCTGCAAGAGGCCCTGATCTGGGCGGGGAAACTGGATCTTGGAACACAACACTGCGGGCATTCATATCCCTCAGGCTTGGTGTTATCGGGCTGCCAACTCACAGCGAAGGGAGCCAAGCAGCCAAAGGTTGCGTGGTGCTCGACTGACCCGAGTGACCCTCACTGTCTCTGGCTAGAACCGCTGCATCGGCACTTGGGGCGGGGAGAGCTGCAAGTTGCCAGCCGCGAGCTGTTTCTGTGCCTGACGTTGGGGCGCAACGGCTTGCGGAATTCAACGTCTCGTGGATTTTTTATGCAATAGCACCTGCATCTTGTGTGTAAGTCGCTGTCTCTTCCGTGTTGTGTCACATGTTCCCTTTACAAATTTTTGTCATTTTTTTATACCTGGGTTGGGTGATCATCCTCATAGCAGTAGTTGACTGCTCGCTTACCACCCCTTTTAACATCTTTCACCTCCCCGAGTCCATGTCTTTGTATACTTGTTCTTGTTCCCGCTCCCGTTCCCCTCTCTGCTCCGAGAAGACCGCCGACCCGCTCAACCACATCGGCTCCGGCCCCGCTCATTCTGGCATCCGCCACCCCGGCTTGTCGACCGGTCGACAATCTCCCCCCGTCCTCCCACAAGCTGCAGCCAGTTGCATGCGGCTCATGCAGGTCCCTGCATTTCGAACGACCTTCGATCTTCTCTTCTCTTTCGCCATCTGCATCTTAACTGCTATCGACCCCATATTCAATATATCCTCTTCTTTCTCCCTGTCCCTTCGGTTCTCTCCTTTATACTTACCTCGTCCCTTCTTTTGGTCGCCTTGATATGCCCTCTCTGCTCATGAAGTGGCCGCTGACATGCTACGTCGTCTAGCTGCCTTTGGCCACCAGGCCCCTAACGAAGAGCGGCCGATGTCGCCTTCTCCGGGAGAGGAGCAGCCTCCGCAGGAGCCCCGGACTGTAAGCGGCCTTGCCGGCGTCTTCAAGGGGCTTGCGGGCGGCGGGAAGACGAGCAAACCGCTGCCTCCCATCCCGCAAGTACCTCCTGTCGTGGGCTCTACTGCCCTCGGGAAACGGCCAGATGCTGTCTCCCAGGCAGTTTCTTCGCTCCAGGGCCTCTCCCCTGAGCAGGCCGACCTGGTTGCAAAGCTCAAGAATGGACACCTGAGTGAACGAGTACTTGCAGCAAACAAGCTTCGGTTCGCCGTCGTGGACTTTCCTCTGAATCCGGTAAGTTGCTAGCATATAGGCTGTGTTGATTCCCCCGTTCGAAGCTGATAACAGTAGGTTCACGCCATCTGGCATGCGGCCAAAGACATGATCCACCCGGAAAATCCAGATAATGCTCGCCAGGCGTCCTGGGAGCTCCTCATAGAGTGCGTCAAGTATCCAAACTCGACGGAGCTCGAACGGAGCGAGTATTTTCACACCCTTACCGGTCCAGCTCATTCTAAGGACTTCTGCTACCAGCTTGTGGCACTCGAGCAGCTCACAAATCACGGCCGCAATATTGCCGGCTTCTACTATGAAATGTTTCCTCTCCTGACCCTCTGGCTCAACCAAGCCTACAGAGCCGCGAGGGATGCCCGAAAGCTGGCACTCGCGCGTGGAGCGACTAAGAACTCCTCAAAAGGCAAAGCGCCGGCCTCGCCCGAGGATAAGAACTTGTCCCAGCTATTCGCCCTGGTCAAGGATGTCATCAAGTTTAACTTCAAGTTTGCGACAGATGACGTGATCGCAGGCCTGATAGATATGCTCCTGAAGATCTGCATGCTCACCAGCGTGGAAGACGACCTGAGGGCCTGCATCCACGTCATTGAATCTCTTGTCACCTTCGGCTCGATTCCAACCAATAAGTTGAAATACTGCATCCAGGTACTCAGTTCTATCCACTGCTTGGTCCCCAGCCTGCAGAAGGAAGCGTGGCACACGATTTCGATCATCTGCCGATCGCATCATGGCCAGTCGACGGTCCGAATTTTGCTAGACTTCCTCCGATCATACTCGCCGAATCCGGATAAGAATAGGGAGAAGGACACGGTCAGGGATGTCAGGGGCGCACTCTCTGTTCTTCAAAAACTCCTCAGGAAGACCGCTGAGAAAGGCTATCCGCAAGTACCTTTGTCCCTTCTCGTCGGCGGATTGGCCAACGTTTCCAAGAGCAGCTCTACGAGAGTGGCCACTGAGATTCTCAGACTGATCAACTCCCTGTTCCATGGCCGTGAGGGCAACATTAATCCCATCTTGGTCGAAGAGCACTGGGAGCCGATTTTCGATGTAGCTGCCCAGTGTGCCACAAAGGCTGTTACGCTTCCTCCTGCCGACGCCAGCGCCTCTCCCCTGCCGACAGTGGCCAAGGAAGAGCCGGTGGTCGAGGATAACGTGTCGCTTCAATTGAAGCATCTCATCCTTCGCGTCGAGAATCTGATTGTCCACCAAGGACCTGAACTCCTTCAGCGAGACGACTGCATGAAGTTTCTCATCAGGGTTCAGCATGCCCTTCCTGACTCGGCAGCCGCTCTCCTCGTTGGTTACCTTCGAGAAACGCGCGGCTGCTTCCCGTCCGAAATTGGCTGGAAGGAAAACCTCAACCTGATACTGAACCGGTTTTATCTTAACCGGGCTAGAGACCCCCTCACTCGAATGCGTGCTCTCGAGGTTGTCGCCGAGGTTTACGATTTTCTGTGCCTGGCTGAGGGCCTCGTCGAGCAGGAAGTGGTTGAGGAACCTGTGCAAAGTGTGTTGTCTGGTTTGGTGGCTGAGGATGATGCCCTCGTTCTGCAGGAAACTGTCTCGTTTTTGGTTACAGTTGCTCAAGCAGCCAAGCCCAGCCTATTCGACGATGTCTTGAACGGCTTCAAGGCGGTGCTTCATAAGGAAATGTCCCGATCTCCGGCAAGTGTGCAGTCGTCTTCTTCTCGGAACTCACCAGCCCAGCAGACGCTTTCTGTCGGCCCGAGCCTGTCCAACTTGGTTACCAGGGGATATGTTCAAATCTTCCTACGGACCATGAATGTCGAAGCATGGAAAGCCGTTAAGGCGTTTACGGCACTCGTGCATGTTGCGCGATCCAACTCATGTGAGCTGGATGCCCGCATCACAGCGATGAGACTCCTGTTCCGTTTGCGTGCCGATGCCGACAACCAGGTGTATGTCACACCTCTGATTGAGAACGAGAGCTTAGCTGGCACGCTATACAGGACAGAGTCGTCTATGGCCCGCAAGTTGGCCGACGAAGCAGCACAAGCAGGCCGACTATCGAGGCCTAGCATCGCTAACCGTCCAGGCCGCGGTCTGTCGTTCTCTCAGGGGCAGACAGTAGAGCGCGGCATTCCAACGCGATCGGCCTCTACACCGAAACCAACCTCACACGTGGCTCAGAAACTCTGGGTTGTTCCGGACGTAGACGCTTTGCCTGAAGCTCCTCCAGAGGCACCAAGTCTAGTTCTTCTGTCACACAAGGAAGAGGACTCGGTTGGCCAAGCTGAAGCTGAAGTTTTGGACATGAGCTCATGGCTTGACGCGTTGCTGAGCCTGTTCCATCACGGTTGCGACTGGGAGGTATACAGCTTCATTCTTGTCCATCTCCCAGCCCAGCTCAGCAATCATCCCATCTTCCGTGGCGCCATTCCACATATCCGGGAGCTCCGACGTCTCCTGTGTGAGATGTTACGAGGCTGCACCTTCCAGGAACCACCGTTTGTGTCGGGTCTCCGTCGCACAGACGTGGCAAACTGTCTCTACCATTCACTCACCATGATCCTCAGCTACCACCACCATTTCTCGAAGGTTGACGAGGACGATATTGTTCAAACGTTTACGCATGGCATCCCAGACAAAACAGCGAAGACATGCATCCACGCCCTCTCCGTCTGCTGCCATGAACTGCCCATGTCTGTGAGCAAGTCTCTGATCACCATCCTAGGCAGGATGTCGCAAGTCATCACGCAGCCCTTCGTGGCTATGCATATCCTCGAGTTCCTGGCCTGCCTGAGCCGTCTCCACTCCCTCTACTCTAACTTTCGTGAGGACGACTACCGTATTGTCTTTGGCATCTGCTTCCGATACCTACAGTATGTGCGTGAGAAGAAGCATGCCATGCGTGGCAGCATTGCCAGTGAGCCGGCAACACCCAGTGTCGCGTCTGCAAGCCAGCACGATGTCCTCGGGCACCAAGCTACGGATGACCTTCCGCAATACGTCTACGCGCTGGCTTATCACGTCATCACGTTCTGGTTCCTGGCCGTCAAGCTTCCCGACCGGCCAAACCACATCGGCTGGATTGCCAAAAACCTGTTTACAGATGTCGACGGATCGGCTAGCAATGAGGAGCAGGCACAAATCACGCTCGATTTCATGCAGCGTGTGGCATTTTCAGATGCCTCCGACTCAGCTCAAGATCCTCTATTCAAGGAAGAGTACTTTGGGACGATCCATAAGAAGCGCTGGATTATCGGGAACAGCCTAGTCACAATTCGGCAAGCGAAGGACAGCAACTGGGCTGAAATCACTCGTCGGTATCCCTCAGGAACGTCGTCCTACGCGGTGCGTGTCGAGTTCACCCCTATGCCAGGGCATGCAGCTCCTGATGGCTCTGATGCTATGGCATGGGATGGGCGCTTCCAACAGGGAATCACCATCTTCCCCAGCCATCTGTTAATGCAGTTGCTCGCCCCAATGCCGCAGATTTATGACCCAGCCGTCCGCCCAATCCCTCTCCCTGATGAGGAAGCCGTGGATCGGGCGATCCGGAGCTTTGATCTCAACTCTCCAGTTGACGGGCACAAGGTCGGCGTCATCTACATCAAGGAAGGACAGACGCACGAGACGGAGATCTTGGCCAATACCATGGGCAGCCCCGACTATCACCGCTTCCTTAAGGGGTTGGGTGCTCTGACCAGGTTGAAGGGTGCGACCTTCAACACCCAGGGGCTTGACCGGGTGAACGACATGGATGGCCAGTACACGTATTGCTGGCGCGACAGAGTCACAGAGATCGTCTTCCACGTGACGACCCAAATGCCAACGAACCTGGAGCACGACCCACAGTGCATCATGAAGAAACGGCACATTGGGAACGATTTTGTCAACATCGTGTGGAATGACTCTGGCAAACCATTCCGCTTCGATACTTTTCCATCCCAATTCAACTATGTCTACATCGTCATCACCCCTACTCCGAGAGTGCCCTTCCTTGCAGCTCGTACAGCTAGGAAGGAGGACGATGACGAACAGCGCTTTGTCATGGTCCAGGTCATGTCGCAGCCCGGCTTCCCCGAGATTTCCCCTGCAGCTGAGCCAAAGATCATCAGCCTGAAGGCACTCCCCAGCTTCGTGCGGCTGCTTGCTCTCAATGCCTCGGTCTTCTCGCTCGTCTGGGCCAATAGGGAAGGCGGCGAGCACGTATCATCTTGGCGTAACCGTCTCCGCGAGATCAATCGCCTGCGCGAGCGCTACGGCCCCAAAACCACCGGCTCAGGCGGCGGTGGTCCCCTCCAGGGTATCTCGCCCTCCCCTCCTCCTGGCATCCAGCATCACGCCCATAATCATCAGTATGGACATCAGTTCCATCTAGGAGGTTCCCATCACCATCACCAGTACCAATTCCATGTCCCGTCCATCACCCAGCAACCGATGACTCTCGACCTAAGCGGCACCGGTAGCCCAGGAGGACCAACTCCCTCGGCGCCAACAGGTCCCGGAGGCTCAGCCAGTGGCTCCATCTCCGGCCCCTCCTCCCGCCCCTCCAGCATGCCCCTCCGCGACAGCATCAGCATCAGCTCCCTCCGTCGCTCCTCAGTCGCCACCTTCTTCACCAACAACTCGTCCAGCACGGATCCTAGCACTCCCGTCTCTGCTGCCGCTCCCGGCCAGAGCCAGGGGCAACAAGGTCCCGGAGGTCAGCCGCATCGGTTATCAGCGGGGGCTGTGTCGAATCCGGCGAGTGAGAGCAGTATTGGAACGGTGGGGACGGGGGTTACTACCGTTAGTGGGGGTACTGAGGGTACGGGAGGGACTGGGGGTGTGGGCATTGTCGGGGCGACGCAGTATTTACAGCCTCCAGTGGGCACGACGGCGGAGGCGTTGGTGGAGAGTGTTGATTTTTCAAAGTGGACTTAGGCAGAAAGTGTGCCTAGAGGGACGTTTGCGATATTGTGACTGCCATTTCATGGATGCTCAGGAGGTTGGTCTACGGGTAGACGGGATGATGGACAGGACAATCGGGTGAAGGATGGATGGATATGGCAACAGTCAGGTCAACACGAACTAACTTTGGGAATCTTATTACAGAAAATGCTTGTACTATGACCACATGTTGCGGCTATGTACAGCTTTGGTCTTTATCTTGGGTTGTTTGTTAATATTTAGGTATTTTTCTGTTGAATCTAACTTTTCTCTGCCTTGTCCGGCGCGTGTATGAAGGAGGTTGTGAAAGACTCGAATGTATGGGTCCTACCTAGCTGAGGTATATACGGAGTTGGCCTCAGGGGCCCAACCTCGCTCTCAGCAGTGCGAAAGTAGATAGGTATTGTAACCAGGTTCCTGCATTGACAAAAAAAACTCGGTCATCGTCTGCAATTAACACCATAGCCGCCGAGTTTTCCAGACCTAGATACGTCCATACACCTACAACAAAGCCCTCATGGTCAATACAGTACATATCTCATGACCAGGCTTCGTGAATTACCTTGCATTATCGGACCTGCGGCATTTCCCCATCCATCTATTATTTTACCGAGAACATAGGATCATCAAACAAACACCTTAAGCACATGATGCTCGTCGGTCTCATCGTAATGGCCACTCAGCCCAGCCATAGAGTGGGAGTGGTGATCAGCCATTTCCCAGACATAAGTGGCTTATGAGACATGCATGTTGACCGAGATGAACCGTCGGTCAGATCTTTCTCTTGTTGTTGAGAGAAGGGACGAGATCGAGCTGCTGTGTGTGAAGCTGGAGCTGAGGCATATACGGGCGGTTGGTGTTGACATTGGAATACTTTTTGGTCGACTAGGTGGCCCTTGTACATATCCCTTGGCTCGGTATTTAAGCCAATATAATAACTTGGAGGTGTCCTAGGAATTCTTGCATGCCAAATATATCAGCTTCTAGAAAATTTGGATGGGGGAAGGGGTTCTTGCCTTTTTTGATGTCCCCCTGTTTTGGCCCCCAACATCTTAACTTCCGGACTCCGTCTTCTTAAGATCCTTCTTACACACGCCTTGTTCATCCCTCCTGGCCGATACGCCTTTAACATGCGGTCACTATTTTCTAGCACTCGACTTTCAAGCGCAGGTAACCACATCGAACAGAGGCTCTCTGCCGTCAATGTGACCAACTGAACCACAAAATGCCCAGCCAACAACAAGCGACGTTACACAACGTCCATCCTCCTCCTGTACGAGGAGCAAATGCCTGTGCATACATCGTTGAAATGTCTATGACTCCACGTTCTCAGGTAATTACAATGCTATCTTTCCTCAGCCGCGTCTGGTAGGACAAGAATGCCTCCGAATGTTTTACTGTGAAAGGCTTCCTCGCACTGTTCCCAATTCATGGACTTTTGTGGCATGTAACTGCATTGTGCTGTATGGTTTTTAGAAACCACATAATCAAGCCAAGAAATGATGTTGAGCAAGTTACACGTTGTGCACTGGTTACACAAACAGGCGAGGAAGGATTTTGGAGGGGGGGGGTGCATTACACCGAGCGGGGGATTGCCAGCCAGCCTCGTCTTGCGTTGGACAGATCAGAGTTAGTCTTCCAGATTAGGTACTTAATCAGCTATCTGTGTCTGCCTGCGGTTGGTGTCTCTGCATGACGACAGGTACCGGTAAAACATAAGGGACATCTAATGATGTCAACACGAGATGGGCATGACTTCGTTTTATCCACTTTCTTGACATTATACAGTTTAGGAGTCGATCTCAGTGATAGGTATATTAATCAAGAACCCCGTAGACTTTACAGATCGGAGCTTCTTCCTTTCCCAAGATGTTTTTGTACCCAGATAGATACTGTGAGCTTGAAGATCCCAACTCCCAATCCGATGCGGATTCCGTAGAGACAAATCATATACCATTAACAGTAAACCGAACACACATAAGGACCGCTGAACGAAGCTCCTAAACCGGACCATCCAACCATCTGCCACATGCACATCCATACGAAGCCCTAATTGGCGGCCAAATCGGAGAGTTGGATAACGATCTGAAGGATCAGCTGGCCTGCGGGATCGGAGACGCAGAACAAGGTCTCCTCATGGTGCAGTTTTCCCAATATATCGGTGTGGCTGGATCATTAGGGGGCACGTTCCGAGCCGTATCATGCACGACGAGCATACACATAGATATACGTGTACGTACAGAGATTGCCCGAAGCTGTCGGGTCCTCGGTAACTCCTTGACCATCAAGGTTCCCGCAGAAGATAGGTAGTTTTCTTGGTTCCTGGTGTTGCTTGGGTTAGTTCGTGCTTCTTCCTCGACAAGATTGGTTGGTCAATACCGTCTCGCGCTTCCCCCTGCGGTCGGAATTTCTTCCCCTTTTCTTAACTGGCTTGAACAGCAAAAGAGCTTTGAAAAATTCCAGTAGGCCCAGCAATTTACGCTGACGCGGCAGGCAAGGTGAACAGTATCTTAAGGTTACTGAAGCATACCGTGTAAAAAAAAAAATGTAAACTTCTCTACGAGGTAAACGTGCTCGCGGTAGTTTGCCCTGAGGTCTCCTGAAGAGACTCGCCTCTCAGCCCTACCGTCTTTTGCCTGCCGGTTTGCACAGATACGCCCCGTTTCTCGGAGATTTAGCCTACCTCACCACATTTCAGTAAGCAACCTTCCTGGCTTCACATTCTTGCCCTACCCATGTCATTTGGTTGCCTTCTGCTTACTACTACTCCACACACCCATGTATGTAACACAAACAACCTAACCTCAATTTCTACCCTCAAGTCTTCATAGTCAGCAATAAACGCTTGTGATACCTAGTCTCTGATATATCTCATTCCGTAGCCGAAGCCGGGCCGAACGGGACGGATGAGGGGGGAGGGAAGAGTTATGGTTCCTTTTACGGCCCCCATGGGACATTCGGGTTCTTGGACTGGTGTACATGTATACATGCCGGGTGGGGAGATCAGAGTTGGAAAAAGGAGCATATGCCCCGGTCGAGGGTAGGACAAACATCGAAGCCCATAGATTCTGTTGCATAGGAGGCACGATGTCGATGTCCGAGGACTCTAAGTGCCCATCCATCCACCCAAATCCCTTCCGGTGACGATGATGCAATCACATGGTCCAGACATAGGTATCGAAACAAGCATGTTTCTGCAGCAATGCGGGGAAGAGTCGGGCCCGAACCCAACGCAATGCAATCGCAATTCGGCCCTTAATAAGGACTTAAACAATGCTCCTACCCACTTTCTACCCTACGAGGTGAAATTTTGATGGAGCTGTTGCCGAGGGAAGCGACAAAACATATAGGTACTGCCTTCTATCTGGGAATGCTTGATAAAAATTTGGGTGCCTAGCCACGAGTCTCGAACGGTCCTCCAAGACTGGGGATTGATCTATATCGATCAAAATTGGCAAATCTGATATAACCTCCTCACACGCTGGGCAACACAAACATACCAAGCAGGGCCTCTTGGACTTGCAGCCGACGTGTTATCGTTTGTATTAACAATTATGATTGCTGGTTATAGAAGGCTGAGTATAAGCAGCTTTGGATCGTGAGATTGGGTTGAGGACCATTAAGGTTTGATATGTGAAGCAACGCTGAACTCAGCCGCAAGGACTTTTTGGACGTGCATTGGGCACACTCTGACGTTCACACTCTCGGGTATCCGCTTCTTGCAGGAAATATGGTGTCTGTGTCCTAGTATATGCTTGAAAAACGATTATAGCTGACTCTATTGGGAATATATCTAATAAACTCACAAACAGGAGTGGTATGCCTAACGTTACGTTCATTAGAGATCAGTAACAGGATCTGACGGGCATGTAAGTAGAATATGTTTACTCTGCCTTGCAGTAGCCAAGCCCATCAACCAAGAGCCCGGGTAAATAGGTAGATAAGCACTATGGCTAGGTAGTCCGTGGTCATTCCACGCCCCTGGCGGAAAGAAGCATTTTACACGCCGGTGAGCCGTCCAGTTCCTGCCAGACATCTTTGTATCTAGCCCATCGTTGGAATCCTAGTCCCCCCAAAAGTCGGTCAGCATCAACACAATCTCTGCATAGCAAGGGGAAGCAGACTCACCCATAGACTCAAACCCCTCATCCTCTCCCATTACCCCATCCACAAACATTACTTTTATCCCCTGCTCCGTCAGCACCCTAATACACGTCGCCAGCAATCGTATTATGACCGCATCCTTCTTAGTCGGGCTCTCTGACAACCGGCCTATTTCCCTGTCAGCCTCGTCCTTCCACTCCTCCCCTTGGGTGGTCCAAAACTTACCATCAACACAAACACACGTAACCCCCCCAATCTCCCCTCCGGGCCCTCCCAAAACCCCCACCCAAGGAAAGTCTTCCGCCACCGGGCCCCCTCCCGCACTCCCCGGAACGTATGTCAACGCAGCAGCAATGATCCTTCCATCCTCCACACCCAACACAATATCCTCCACCCGCATCGACCCCGCCAGCTTAGCATACTCATCGTACCAGCCCATTTTCCCGGCTCGTTTTGATTCAACCTCGACAAACTCTAACACGGCCTCAAACTCGGGGAAGGAACACTGCTTAAAGCTGATGCGTGGTAACAATACTTGGGTGATGGGCCAATTAGTGAAGTGTAATACCCAGTCGGTTACTTCTGCTCCTCTCCCAGGACCCGCCCCCATTCCGGAGTGTATAGGCCATCCCCTCTTGCGGAACCAATTCTCAACCTCAGGATCAACATCCCATGGCAGGCCGTACAACAGTCGGGGGAAGGTGGACCCCAATTGCACGCGACAGACTCCTCTAGTCTTAGTCAACATCTTCATGGCATGGCGATGCAAACTCAGCCCCACCCCGCGGCCGTGGTGGGTCGGTTTGACGAGGAGGAGAGCTAACGAGCCGAGGAGATGTTCGCCGTCGCGGTCGAGGTAGGTAGTATAGGTTGCGCAGAAGCCGATTATTTCCCTTTTTTCCGCTCCATTCTCAGTGCCATTGCTGGTTGGAGAGGAAGGGGCGCGGACGACGTAGTGCATCGCGTACCCGTCCCTCCGAAGGAGGTTTGTCAGCTGGTACTGTGAGATGCAGCTGAACTGGGGGGGTAAGCATTCCCTCCAGAGGTTGTAGATGGCAGGCGGGTCGAGGTGTTCGTTCCAGACTTCGACGGTCCAAACTTGAGGTTGGAGATGGGGTTTGGGCTTTGGATAGTCGTGATCATGATGGAGGAGGTTTTGTAGCGTAGGCAGACGGGGACTGTTATTGTTCAAGCTAAGAGGGGGGAACTGGAAGAGCATTGAAGCGGCAGACTGGAGGTCATCAGGGCAGAGGCTCGAGACCTGAACGATGGTCGGGAAGGCACTGGGGGAAAGGTTGAGCTCGTGGGGATTGCAAAGGGTGACGATGATCTGAGGACGGTGATTAGCAATAGATCGCACATAGTCTGCTAGTTCCACTTGAGAAAGCTGTCCGTGGCATGGGGGACCATAGATGACGAAGATGATGAGAGCGGCGTAATGGATGTGTGCTCCATGGGTAGGCGTGATGCCGTTGCGAGGGCCGTAGGGAACATGGTGAACCCATGGGTGGAATCTCGCCAATTCTTGACCAAATGGCTCAAATGGGTCCTTAGTTGGCTTATTAGGGTTCTGATTGAGAGGGCTCAGCTCAGGAGCGATGGCTGGGGTAAGAAGAAGGATGATGTCGCGGTCCCTGAGGAGTTTGGATAGTGGGATACATGACTGTGTGTCTTGTAGGATGGCTGATGCTCGCAGCTTCATTCTGGTCATGGTGCTGGGGTGGGGTATGGCTCAATGGGACAGATGTTTGAGTTTGCCTCACAGATAGCTGAGGAGTGGGATGCAATGCAGACTCAGCAAGAATTACTGGAGAAATTGTCAGCAAACCCTAGAATATGTATATGTATAGGACGACATATAAGAGAGCTAAGGGCCATACCAGCAGGATCTCACTTCTTTGTACCCCCTGTCCAAGAACGGGTCAACGGGCTCACTCCCACGCCAATTCACACAACTAACAACCCGGGCCAACTTTGTTGGCAGTAGACGCAAGGCATTGAGAGAAACTGTTGGCTCTTCCCCACAGACAGGACCCTCTCCTGTGGCCAACTATTGATTTCCCCCGCGGCAGGCTCGCGTGATACTCGCCTCGGTGGCAAGTTGAACTCGGGACGGGACTGGTTGATTCGATCGGGTCCTCTCTCTTTCTCTCTCTCTCTCTCTCTCTCCTTTCTTTTTTTTTTCCTAGCCCCAGGCTGGGCCTTCGGAAGAAGTAAGTGAGTGGTGAGTGGTGAGTGGTAGTCCGTCAGTGAAGTGTTGTTGGTGGAGGAGCAGCAGCAGTAGCAGTGAGTGGCCAGGACAGCATGGAGATAATGCCGGTGCGTATGTGTAGTATGTAAACGTATATGTCAACGTAAATGTAATGCGTCCCGGACCCTTATGAGCTCAGACACCGGTCCAAGCTAGCAGGCTCCGTCATTTGCAGTTGGATTTGCAGTTGGTTTGCAGCAGTAACCGGGGAGTATGACGCATAGAGGCCAGTACGAGAGGAGACTTTCTCAAGGATTCTACTGCTCTTCACCAGCTGAGGACCAGGTTGGTGCTTAATCGGAGCGGCAGCAGGAGGTGGTTGCTGCGTTGCCCGTACTCGTTCGATGCGGTGCGTGCTGATGCTGTGTACTGCAGAACGCGTCTAGATGTGTAAATTGCGTAGCAGAGCAGAGCAAAGTAGAGTAGGTTTCTACTTTACTGTCCTGATGCAATCCGCTACGTGTTTCCAGGGGAAGGTTTACTGTGTTGAGAGTAGGAGCGGAATGATGGATGAATGGATGAGGATCAACGTTCCCGTATTCCGTGCGCCGTCCCGCCTTTGTCTGCTTCTGCTTCTGCTTCTTCTTCTGCTTCTGCGTGTGTAATTCGTAGGTTACAGGCTACAGGTTGGCTAGCACAGTGACGTGGGATGACGGAGCTTATAAAGTAGAATGGCCACAGCTGTGTAGTGCACAATTACAAGGGATCCGTAAGCATGGTATACACTTCCAGAGTAGGTACGGATTGCGGAGGTCTTGTTTGGTCTCAGCTGTCCGTCAGCCGCCCGTAAGTTTCTCGGTCAGCAGACGGCGCAAAGGGTTCACCACAATGTTGCCGCTTTTGCTCGCTCCAGCCCGTTCCGAGGGCGTGGTGAGAGGTTGGTGGGTAACACGATACTGCGGGAGGATGGTCTGCCGAGAGTAAGAGCCACAGGCTGCTATAAGAGGGCGATGAGAGCGAACCATTGGTCCGCAGAGCAGGCTGGACGTCGAGGAATGTATAATCTGTACACCTCAAGCCTGAAAGCAGCCGGGTCGCACACTTTCAGCGCGCGGATATTGCATCAGACGTGCAACATGCATGGCCGGAGGCCTACTACAACATGCTGACTCTGTAGGAATTGCTCGACAGAAAGAGAAGAGTACAGTACAGAACACAACTCGGCATGCGTACCCTCGCTCGGCAGCCTTGCTCCTTGCTCGGCTATGCAGCCTAGTAAGTGGCTGCCCGCTGCTCAAGAAAAGCGTGCCGTCCCGATTAGGATCTGCTTCAGGCTGGCACGTGTAGGGCACAAGCTGGCCAGCTAAGTACGTATCTAGATACTTATATCGACACCTATGTGGTATAAGCTTGGCATGCAAGCATATGTATTCTTTGTCCAAACTCTGCCATAGCTGTTGATACCGTGCTGACCTCGCCGTTGTGTGTCGACAGCTGTATCCGTTCCGTAATCCGTAATCCATAATCCGCACATGAGGCCTGGAAACTGTGTGGCGTGCATTCCGTGCCTCGAGAAGACCAGCCGAGGAGCAGTTGAAGGCGTTCACACCTGGCGGAACGGACGAGGAGGGATGGTTACACAAGGACTTTCTCGTTACAATGACTTCCTCTTAGAGGCCAGGCCCGTTGGACCGCGCGGTAGTGGCGCCGTAACTCGCTGGAATTTTGCTGGCCGGGGTGGTTGGCAGCCGGGCATTTACTCAGCCTTTTAGGAAGTGTCCGCGGGGGTTCCCACTGAGGGCTGCACCACTTAGCCATCCGTCTGTTCCGCAACGTCCAGAACATCTCATCTGAAATTTGCTTCTTGACCGCACGGATTAGGTCCCGGATATCCGGATATGTTCTCGGGGTTTTTAGCTGAGGTTTGCGGCGAGAGCTTTTGATAACAGGACCCCCAGATTCTCGGAAAAGCTTCGAAAGGCCCAGAGGCTGAGACTCCCTCAGACAATCTCATAAGGCAACCGCCTCGAAACTCTTACGCACTCCTCTTGTCTCCTTGTATATTGCGTGGGGGGGGGAGGAGGGGGGAGGTTTGACTATCCGAACTTATACAGCCTATTCTACCCTGAATAGACGAGTCGAGTCATGACAACCTTAAGGTACTTTATGGTAAACCAAAACGCCTCGAGTTGATATCTCACTGCCCAATTCACAATCACAATCCGAACTCGGGGCATTAGGTCCGCCATCTCTGCCATATCTGCAGCTGCAGCACCGAACATGACAAGGTAGCGGGCAGGGACAATCCATGAAGGGAACGTGCTGCAGATTTTTTCAAAAGCAGGAAGAAAACGGGCCAATCCACGGGCACAAGTTCGCGGCCGGGGGGGGTGTGTTTGTGTGATGTTGTTACACAAAAAAGGGTCGGACCCTTTCTGGGCTGGAAGGATGAGGAAAAGCAAGAGTTGAGATCGGTGACACAGCGAGCTGAAGTTTTTGCCGGGACTGATGTTTCCTTCGCGGTTGGGGAGCCTGGCTCTGCATCGAATCATACCACCGTTGCATTCTTCATGTCTTCAAGCAGAAAAGAAAAAAAAATGGAAAGCTCATGCAGTGCCACGGGCCTGCCGCGCGCTACACCCCAGGTTGCAGCCAGCACGGCCAGCTGCAGGATTCAGGAGCGAGCTCAAGCGCTGCAAATTAAAAAGATGAGAGCTAGATGGTACACGGTTGGCGGTAGAAGTGGACGGTGAAACCATGTAGGTGAGGGAAAAGGAACTCTGGGCGGTGGCCTTAATAATCGCCAAAGAGGACGCGGATCGTGTAGCGCAGATTGTAATTTATCGACCAATCAGGTTTTGATACTTGATAATGAAATCCCCACATTGCGGCTGCTTTAGAACTCTGATGATGATGTCAGATTGTAACAAACGCGTTTACCGATACAAGACGCGTCTCATACTCACAAGAGCATCATGCGCCATGAAACTCACGAGCGACTGAGCGCAATTGGCCGACCAGAGAGAACTTATATCAAATTGAATTAATCAAAAACGTAGACTGAAAATGGTAAACACCGAAGAAGACGGCCTCCCTCGTCTGATCGACGCCATCGAGGAGGGTACCTCATCCCTTTTTCATCCTTACCCTCTTTCTCATCATCAAAACACTCACTAACCACGTATCCAGCCTCAAAGATCCCAGCAAAGCGCCGCCAAACCCCCATCAAACCCACCATCGAGAAACTAACCACCCACCTCTACACCCACGGCGCTTCCCCGGACTCCCTCCTCCGCCTAGCCGACCTCCTCACCCTGCGTAACCACCTCGACCAGGCCTCTCTCGCCGCCATCACCCGCAACCTGTACCCCTCCTCAACCGTCAGCGATGAGGTTGTGTTACGGTTTATCGGAGCACTGGGGCATGGGCAGCTCAAGCCTACGCTGGCGCTGCAGGCGCTGTTTCTGAGATGGCTAGTGATGGTGTACCATTTGTTGGAGAACCCGGGCGTGCTGGGGCAGGTGTATGGGGTTTTGTTTGATTTGTTGGATACCGCGGCGATTAGGTAGGTAGGTTGTGGATATGAGAGTTGGCAAGGATGAGGCTGACGGGTTGGGATACTAGGCCGCAGTTGTGTCATTTGTTGGCGTTGGTGACGAGGAGAAAGCATGTTAGGCCGTTTCGGATACAGGCTATGTAGGTTATCCTAGCTGGGAGTTATGCTGAGTGAGTCGGAGACTGACAAAAGATATAGCCTCACTCTATCTCGGCAGACCGGAGGTGACCCCAATCTGACTGGCTTGCTGCGCGTCTTCAAGAACTACTACCCTGAAATTATCGTTGGCGATGCCACGAAGGGCAGGGCATCAGCATTCAAGGTATGCACAATACTGACACCCTCATTCGCTTGACGACATACTCATTGTCATAGCATCCCGACCCCCAATGGCGGCAACACCTCGATGAGATCCAGCAACGACGCTCTGAGGCCCAAGAAGACGGCGTCCGCAATGGTTTTTCCGTCAACCATGCCCTTGGGCGTCGTCTAAGGGGCACGAAAGCTGTATTGCCGACCGTTCATACCTTCCATGCTCAGGAAGTAAGCGATCATACCCCTTTGGTGTCTTCGTGAATGATACTAAACAGCACAGAACTCGATAACTCTGGAGGAGATTGACAACGCCGAGGCATTCGTCAAGAACCTGGAGAAGTTTGAGCTGCCAACCCAGCTTGTGGCTGTCCTGGCAGATCCCCTCCTGCAGAAGCTGTTGCTGCTTAGGCCAAGTGCTGAGGCCTCGTCTCGCATCTCCAGCTGGCTCATGGCTTGTCTTGGGGATGTTGTCAGCGGAGATGCTGATATTGAGCTACTCCTTGATATGGTCGAGGTTATTCGAGACTATGTTATTGCTACCAAGGTATGTCTGCCCAGGACAATCTAGTATAATCAATCAACACTGACAGCTGTTTAGGGTTTCCCCCCCCTCCTGCTCACCTTCTTCGAGCAATTCCTCCACATCTGGGACGGTTTGACCAAACGCGACCTCGTCCTCGAGACCCTAAGCTACATTCCCTAATCGATTTCGACGGTAAGTTCTCTCTCTCTCTCTCTCTCTCTCTCTCTTTTTTTTCTTTTTTCTCGTTGTACTTGATAAGAGACAAGGTTAACAGCACAGACCTCTCCCCCCTCCTCAACCTCCTCGAAACAACCCTCCTCGACAACACCCCTTCGTCTCAACTCTCCCTCCTAACCTTCTACCACCGCCTCCTGCTCCACTGGACAACCCTCCTCCTGTCCTCCCCGGACCCTGGGCAATACCCCGCCGGCACCTCCATCCCCCAACTCATCAGCCATGTTAACAAGCTCGCCCTGACACTTTCCCAAACCAGCCCGACCGTCCACACACACCTTTCCATCCTCGACTTTTACGCTTCTTGCGCAAATCTGTACTCCAACCCGGCGTTGCTTTCGCATATTAGTATAACGATCCCGCATCCATTGTTGGTATATAATCTGTATTTTAGCCCGTCCTTGGCTGTGGTGTCGCGGTTGTGCGGGATTTTAGCAATGTACAAGAGGGCGTGGGAGGCAGTTATGGCTAGCCCGTCCTCCTCGAGTTCCGGGTCGGGGTCGACGGTCAAGAGACAGTTAACAAAACACGAGAGGGCGCAGGTCAACGACTTCAACGGTTTCCTCATGGACCTCTGCAACTGCCTGTGGCGCGGGCGCGCCTTCACCACGACCGATCTCAACGCGCGCGGCTGTCTCCTCCCTCAATCCGTCCAGACCGTTCTCGAGAAGTACGTCAGGGCAGTCGACTCGGAAATGTCGCTTGCGGTAGTCTTCGGGCTGTCATACGCGCCGACGCTGTGCTTGCAAGCGATTTCGTTCATGCGGGAGCTCGAGGACGAGGATGAGAGCGTGCAGGCTAGGCATGCGGGACCTGTGACGCAGGCTTCGTTGGCGAGGTTGGCGAGACGGGGGGGACTGGAGCTGTCGTGGCAGGATTATAGGGTGGGCGTATTGGAGTATTTGGAAGCGAAGGGGTTCGGGGGGATCAAGGAGTTGATGTATAATACGATGAAGAATCTGATGAAGGAGAGGAGGACATGAGGTTCTAAGGGAGACAGAGAACATGAGCATGATTGAGAGTGGTTGTGTTAGATACCCCATGGCTGCTGAGAATGGATTGCTGTTCACATCAACGCTGAGCACATCCCAGTTTATGTCCAGGCAGTTGATGCCACACTACCCACCTAGTATCTATCCTTTACCTGTCCCTATGCCTATATATGCCCATGTTAAGGTGGGCAAGGTATCGCAACTCCTTCAGAGCAATTCCTAAACGGGCCTTTTTTTCTTTTTTTTTCTTTTTCTTTTTCCCCACCCTCACCCCTACCTGTCCTCCTCCATGGCTGCCTTGCACTCCAACCCATACCCTCCAATCCCCCCAATCATATATGACCTCCCCTCGGGCCCTCGTCTATTCCTCGGCCCTCGTTCCTTCAAATCCTCCCTCAACCACCTCATAACCAGCGTCCCCAGCCTACTATTCCCTTCGACCCTCCCCACCAACTCATCCTCCTCTTCCTCATCCTCTTTAGCCTCCCCCTCCTTCAACATCTCCTCAGCCGGTCCCCATCCTTTAACCCTCCCCAAAAACAAATGTACCAAATGTGTCGGCCACCCGGCCAACCCATCCAATATATGCGTCGCATATACAATCGTGCACTCCCTCCCCTCCGTCTCCTTCTTCAAGAAGCCCAAAAACCGCGCCCGACTCCACACATCCAAATCCACGGTGATCTCATCCAGCAGCAACACCCGCCACGGCCGAATTAGCCCCATCGCCAGCTGCACCCTCCTCCTCTCCCCATCACTAACAGCATGCATCCTCCACGTAACATCAATATCCAACACCCGAACTAGTTCATCCCTCCTCTCGGGGTACGCGTCCCCCCCAACACTTTTCAATAGCTCCCCGACGCCGACGTCCCGTCTAACCACCTGATTTAAAACCCACTCCAACCCTAGATAAGTCACACCTTCAGGGGAATGCGTGAAAGGGTCGACCCCGGCAACCTGGATGCTGCCGCGGGGCGCGAGGCGTTTGCCGGCGAGCAGGCGGAGGAGTGTGGTTTTGCCGGCGCCGTTGGCGCCGATGAGGAGAGTGCGGGAGCGCGGGGGGAGGGACAGGGAGATGGAGGTAAGGATGGGAGTGTTGGTGTCGGGGACGGTGTAGGAAAGGTTGGTTGTGGTGATGGAGGGGGGAGGTGGAGGAGAAGTTGAGGTTGGGTCGGTTGACATCGTGATGACGTGATGAGTCGAAGCTTGGGAGAAGAAAACCTGTGATGAGCGAATTGATGTATGAAAAAGGATTGTCGGTTTGTTCGAAACCCTCGGTGATGATAAGAGGAGATGAATTGACCAGAGGGAGGGAGGAAGGAACGGAAATGAAGAAAATGTTAAGCGTTTGTTGTAGATTTTTTTTTGTAAAAAAATATAGCAAAATAAAAAAAAAAACAAAAAAAAATGCTTAACGCTAGATGTAGGAGCGAAGTTTAATCCAACAATGGCGTCAATATACCCCGCGATGTCACATAAAAAGCGGAGCCTTTTCCTTATCTCACTCCGCTTTCATCCTCATCGTCAACTTTGCCGTCTTCACTAAAACTTCAACAGCCTTCAACCTGTGTTACTGCCCGTTATCCAAACCTCTTATTTTCGCGCTCTAGGCGTCTTTAGGAACTTTATTGACAGCTTAATATGTCTCTTCCTCATCCAAAGAGGCCCTCCGTTAAAATATAACTGAAAAGCGTTCCAAGCTGGAACTGGCGGGATGGGATGCTCAAGGAGGACAAAATGGAAAGAACAAAAAAGGGCAACTCATGGAAAAGACATAAGTATCACAAATTTCTTTTCTTTTCTTTTCTTTTCTTTTCTTGGTTCGTTCTTATGATAAAACGCCTTCACCCCAAACGCATGTCAATCTCACTTTATACCAAGTCCACGAGCACACATACGGTCTCAAAACATGTACACACCATGACACCCTGCATCTCATCAATCCATACATTTAATGGAGGTAAATGCAATATCAGTACAATTGTAATACCATACATTTCCATACATAATATAGTAATCCCATACACCTATATGTGGTTAATCCGACACCAGGTCGCCCCATGCTGAAGTATATAGGTAATATGGCTCAACCCCGAAGAAGGATGAACCAAACGAACAAAACATGATGCCCCTCACCTTGGCGAGGGTTTCTCTATGTGATTATGATGTAATCCCTCCGCCTTTTGCCTCAAGTGCTCAAAAAAATTTTTTTTTTTTTGTTTTGTATTTCCCAGACACAAATGCTGGAAGATCACTCATGATGATAATGATGTCATCTTCGTCGTCGTACATGTCGTGTACATCATTCGAATCCAACCCACACAAATTCAACACACACATTTCTACAAATAGATAACTCTGTCCCAGATCTCATATATCACCAAACCAACGCGTGGAGGTCAACCCTCACAAACCCACTCCGCAAACACACACCACCGCGCACTTCGATCCGCAAGCACCAACCCCCTCCAAACGCCTCTCTCACTACACTTGATAATCGTCTCCCAAATACCCCCCTCCCCCGTATCCTCATCCCCATTCTTACTCTTGACGACCCCTTCCTTCTTCATCAGCCTCAAGATCTTGCCTCCGGGCGTCTGAATTGCCAACTTAGCCGGCTTCTGCTTACTGCCCGAAGCGGAGGAGCTGCTAACCCCCGACGCGGCAGCCGTGCTGGCGGAGGTGATGGAGAGCGCAGACCCGGGGCGGACAAACGGCAAGGGACTCGCGGAGCGGCGGCCGGATTTGGTGGGGGATTCGGGACGGGGGATGTCGACGCCTGGTGGAGAGGAGGGGTGTTGGCGGATGGAGAAGACGAAAGTGTTATTGAGCGCTAGGCGCTGGCATTGGGGTTGGACAACATATATATCATGCCTTTGGGCGTGGGGCGTCGGATGGCGGAGGACGAATTCGTACGGGGGATTCTCTCCAGTATGAATAATCGGCACGGCAAACGCCAAAGGATGGGGACAGTCCCGGACGGAGTGCATCAGACCTCTCGGGCCGGCATATACCTTCAGCACACCCGACCCCTCATCCCCCGGCAGCAAGGCCTTGATGACGTATCGCTTGACGCCGCCTACCCATTCTGCCTGCGCAAGCGCCCGCTTCTTGATCACATCTCCCGACTCATACAGATCGCCGTCTGCGTCGCGGGCGTAGGCCTTGACCTCTACCTCGGCCACGAGCTCCACGTCGTGGGGGACGTTGACCTTGAGGTGGACCATCTCGAGGTCTTCGATGCGGGTGAGCGCGGTGTTATAATCCACAAGCTCCAGGCCGTGCTTAAAGTAAGGGGGGCAGGCGCAGGGAAGGTTCATCAAGGTCTCGAGCGCGACGGGCGGGCACATGTGCTGTTGACCGTGATGCTCGGGGATGTGTGTCCAGCATATCTCGGACGGGCGCGTGAGGAACCAGAAGGGGTCGGCTTGGGAGCTGCTCCAGCTGGAATAAAGGGCTCGCTTGGGGTTAGAGGGGCTGGCCAGACAGCAGTCGATGATACGCCACTCGTTGTCACAGATGACCGCATTCCACCAGTGGTTCGGGCGCGGCATGATGCTGACGTCAGTGATTTCGCCAGGCGGCTTTAGATAGCCGCGGACGACTTCACAGGTCAGGCCGACGGCGGCACACATCTCCATGACGAGCGTCGCATACTCCTCGGCGCAGGCCCGCTTGGTCTGAATGACGCGGCGCGTGTCGATGGGCCCGTCAAAGTCCTCCTCCCACTTGATCATCTCAGATACCCAGGTAAAGATGGCTCTGAACCGCTGCACGTCGCTGCGGTACGGTCGACAGACGTATGTCGTGGCCAGCGTAATCGGGGTAATAGTCGGCGGGAGGTTGGTCAAGAACCTCGAATTCTTATCCACTTGCGTAAAATTAATCGCCGCAAAATTAATCGGCTCAGCTACCGGCATCCCATCAGCCCCTTCATCCCCCTCGATACTGCTGTACAGCTCATCGACGGGATCAATGGCCGGATAATCCAGCATTTGACACCTCTCTTTCCTCTCTAACAACTCATTCTGGCTGAGCGAGTTCGACCTGTTGATATCACGCCGAACCTGCACCCAGTCGACACTACTATGCGGCGTCTCCCTGCCCGGCTCACGACCCGTCTTGCTGGACCGCAACCCCGACGCAAATGACGGTATCGAAGGTGCCGACTTGGTCGACACATGATGCGCGGAGTTGGTCGACGACGACATTGCTATCCCCCTAGTGCTCGCAACGCCCGTCTTGGCCGAGGTCTTTGCCGACTCGAGAATGCGCTTGATGAAGTTCTGCTTCTTCGGCTTCGGCTGCACCAGGCCGCCCACGGCCGGCATCGGATCGTCACTGAATCCTATATGCGACTTGGACCGCTGGTGCCCATGTTGTTGTTGTTGTTGTTGTTGTTGTTGTTGCTGTTGCTGTTGCTGTTGATATGGATGATCCGAGGCGTGGCTGCTGTGGTAGGTGATGCCTGTGAAGGGCGTCTCGGGTCGGTCTTCCTCCAGGTCGCGCCCGGCAAGCATGCTCATAGCCCTACTGCGGTTCTTTCTTGCCAGGCTGCCTGCACTGGTGGCGCTGATGGCGCCGGCTGACACGCCGCTCATGAGACTGCGCTCTGTGCTCTGGGTCGCCGACGAGCTGTTGGTCGAGTTGGTTTTGGTGGTGAACGTCCGGTTCAAGTTCAGAGCCTGTCGAGGGATGTCATATGCCGACCTCCTATTCTGATACTTTGAAGGTTGTTCTAACGGCTCGGGCATTTCTATTGTGGACTTTGGCCTCTGGAACATACGATGACGCCCCTTTGGTGGAGGCGGAGGCGGCGGATCGTCGTCTGCTTCATCCTTCTCGACGTCATCTTGAGTGCCGGGGCTATGCAGCTGCATATTCCTCAGTCTAGACTCCATGCGCTCAACATAGTTGCTCAACCTCGAGATAGGCTGTTCCTGGTACCCTCCAGGTTGCTGCTGCTGTTGTTGCTGCTGCTGCTGCTGCTGCTGATGATGATGATGATGATGATGTTGTTGTTGTTGATGATGATGATGATGCTGATGACCCGCCTGCGACGACGCATTACTCGCGCTAAACGTCTCATACCCCTCATCAACTATGTGATGCGGGATACCCATCGACGTCTTGGGACGCAGCTGCGGCTCCTGCCTCGTCCTGGAGCGCCAATTCAACATATCAAAGGACTCGGGAGACCAGGGGTTCAACTGCTGCTCTGCAGGAGGGGCGGATGATCTGAGGTGCTCTGGAGGAGCTGGTGATCTCAGGTGTTCCGGAGGAGCTGACGATCTCCCCACGCCCAACGCATCCAGCTGTGACATGACGTCGTCCATAGCCTCTCTCAGCGGTGACGGCGTCATGCCCTCTCTGCCAATATTTGGCGACGGCGTCAGACGGTCCCTGGCAATGCCCGGACTCGGCGGGCAAGGCGATGGCCCCCTCGGCGTGTGATAACCCGACGCTGGAGCAGACGGCTCATACGAAACGGTGGAATCTTGGCGTGGCCGGTACCCGTACGATGCATTCGACGGCTCTCTGGACAGCGTCGTCGGCTCGCGAGACAGGCCCCCATAGTACCCCTCGTCATATGACGAGTGAACGGCATGTCGGATAAAAGTGCCTGACCGGTGTGGAGGGGGGCGCGGCGGGGGAGGCGAGTCTTCTTGGTGCGCACTGGGCGTCCAGGTTTCTGCACGAGCCGGAGGTCTGAAGGTGTTATCGACCGTGTCGAGACTGAGGTGGTAGGCATGCTGTCGCTGCTGTGGCGGACGATACGGTATGTACGATGGCGCAGGTGACGGCGCGGGAGACGGGCCTCGGGAGCCAAAACTAGGAGCTCGGGCTGGCGACGGCTCTCGTGAATGGATGGGAGTGCGCCTGGGCGAAGTCTCGCGTGGGACGAGAGCGCGCGGCGAAGGCGAGGGGTCCCGGGGCGGGATTGGCGAGGGGGTCCTTCTCGCGGGACTCGTGCTGGCAGCATTGGTATTGTCGAGAGAAGTGGCCGAGGCGTTGCTAGCGCGAGGACCGGCACCGTCCTTCCAAGTCTCGGGGACCTTTGCTGTCGTGTAATGCGGCGCCTTCGCATAGGCCTCGAAGGGTTTGCGGAAGGTACGCGACTTCTGGACGGTCGTGGCCTTGGTGCTGGGATTATTGGGCATAGGACTCGTTGAGCGAGGCGCAGGGCGAAAGTTCTCTGGCAAGACCTCGACAAAATTGGAGGGAAACAGGCCGATGGCCCTCCGGTCACGCCAGAGGCGGCCCGTCCACCACGAGCCATCGCCGGCATTCAAGCACTCAATCAGGTCGCCTTCGACGAAGCCGAGATCGCGTTTCGACTGGAGGTGGAGGTCAATCAGTATTGAGATCAGAATATCAGAGACCTGGGGAACACACCTCGCCGCCCCACGAGTAGATGGCCCGAACCCAGCACGGGAAGCGCGTGGGCAAAGGCGGCGGCTGTGGAGCCATTGGGGTCTGTCTTGTGTCTGGATCCTTGCTATTCGTTTATATTAAGTAGTTGTAGTTGTTTGTGTTATTTTGTGTTGATCAACGGCTGGCCCGGGGGGGGGGGCAGAACCCCAGGACAGGACGCACGAGATGAAATTGAACGCTAGCACCCAGGGGCCTGACAACGAAGCACAACCACAACTACAACCAAGCTCCAAGTTCATTCAGGCTGCTCGGCGCGTAGTTGTGGCTTTTGCTGAACGCGCAAGCCATGCAGCGAACCGAAGACAAACGAATGACTGATGGGCAGGTCGGATGCCGCAGATATTCGTACTCGTAGCTATTCGATCGGCGAAGCAGTCGTGAGGTCGTCGATTTGATGCAGCACGCAGCACACAGCATGCAGCACGCAGCACGCAGCACGCAGCGGTGTACGCTTAAGGGATCGTTCTCGTCGTGTCGCGTCGCTGACCCCCAACAGTCGCGATCTCTAGCTGACCGGATATACGGATTATACAATGTATAGTGCAGGTATTCGATGTCGTCGTTCGTAAAGGGACAACCTGGTTCCGCGCCGCGAACGGTGTTCGGGGAGGGGAAGGGAGGGGAGAGAGAGGGAGGGGGGGGGGGAAGAGAGAGAAGGGGAAAGGCGAAAATGCGTGTGGAAGAGAAAACTAGTGAAGTTTTTGGTTGCGGTCGTCGCCTCGACTCCTCGACTCGAGTGATGTGATCAGGTCAGCGGCGTCAGCGGCTTGGGGGCATCTGGCGTTTTAGCGGGCAGCACACGGCAGCAAGTGCACCAGCACTGGACACTGGAGCAGGGCAGCAGAGGCAGGGCAGCGCTAGCGGGACGGCCAAGAGCAACCAAGCGCAGGGCTGGGGCAGCCTAAGTCTTCGGTGGACCTGTATCGGTCAAACTGTGGACAGTGGACAGTGAACAGTGGGCGCAGTGGACGAGCAGTGGATAGCGTCTTAGCCAAGCTCACTGAGACCCCGGCGGGTTCCTTCCCAAGAAGCCAAAGCGCCCTATCCGCCCCCCGATCAACAGTTGCGAGGGGCAACCGTGTGTTGACCTTCCGACCCCACCTCCTTCGATAAGCTGGAGGAGGCGGATCGGGCCCGGATAAGAATCTCTCCCTTGTGGCACCCCCCGTGGCTGGGAGTGGGGCCCTCCCCGATCCAGGCTTCCCATACCAGGTCCCGTCCCAAACCCGTCCCAAGTGCCGGGCGCTATCTCCGATTGGCTGGATGCCGATGCAGCCTCGTCCCAGCCACAGCTGAGCTGTCAGTGAAACCTCAGTGGCTGCTGCGATCCGCTGGTGACCGGGGCTACTGCCAACCGGAGGAGGGCAGAGGAGCCGCCAGGAGCCGCCAGGCCAGCCATTGGGCAACCATTGGCCACTGGTTTGGCCCTGATCCCACTGCAGCGACGGCGCGCTGTCTGGAGTGCAGCGAGTGCAGCGCTGGATGCATCCATTGTTTGCAGCGAGCTGGTCCTGGTAGTAAAAAATAACAAAAAAATAACAGCTAAAGTCGCATCGATCTGCATGCACTTTGATTTCATACATACAAGCTCCGTAAAGCCCATTGGAGCGACGACATGTACAAAGCTACCAATCCACAATCTTTTTAATTTAAAAAAGAACAAAAAAGAATACATCCATCACATATCCCATCTTTCTTCGCAGCAAGCTCCGGTCGCGTCGCGCAGGTTTGCTATCCTTAGGCACCTCAATTTTGGCGGATCCAATCCCTGCGTCCTAAGACCCTAGCTACCTAGCCCCGAAGATCACTCGCTCCAGACGCCAGCCCCTGTTCTCTCCCCTTCAGCATCGCAAAGTAAACAATGGCCCGTGCTCTTCCTCCCAACACCCTGACAACCACCACAGAGCCCGACCAAGACATTGTCGTCTTCTAAGCTTCAGACAACGACATCGCGGCGTCTGCTTTTTTTTTTTTGGTTTTGTTTGCTTTGCGAATTTTGCTCGGCCAGGAACCCATCGCTAGATAATCGCAGCGTCTCCCCGACTTTCAAGTCGACCGACCTTCACCGTTCTGACCTCTGACCGCAAGCGCCGCCCCATCAGCTCACTCTGGCGGCCCCTCTCGGACTCCATCCGACCCACTGCCCGTCGTATCATCGCGTGCTTGCCTCGACAGACTCGGTGTGGCACGCGGGACGCTGTCTCGATATTAGAGAAGCATTGAAACGCTCTGTTGACATTCTTGAAATTCCTCGAGGGTTGAAAAAGTTGAGAAGCGCCAGCTGGGCAACCGGGGACGAAAATGGCGGATGAGGACCTTGCTAAGAACTATCAGGTGTTGGAGGAGTTAGGGCGTGAGTGTTCCCCATGTGCCTCCAGTGAATCAAGTCAAACCTCAAGGCTGGCTGACTGACATTATGCAGGTGGTAGCTTTGGAGTTGTGTACAAGGGAATCGAGATTGCGACGGGGGAAACGGTCGCCATCAAGCATGTAAGTGCCCTGCTGAGAGAAAGTCCGCCAGGACGGCCGCTGACTCTCTAGATCGATCTTGAATCAAGCGATGATGACATCCAGGAGATCCAGCAAGAGATCTCGGTGCTCAGCACCTGCTCTAGCAATTATGTCACTCGCTACAAGGCGAGCTTCCTGCGCGGCCACAAGCTGTGGATCGTCATGGAATATCTGGGCGGCGGTTCCTGTCTGGATCTAGTATGTCTTTTCTTCCGCGACTTGGATCGAGAGCTGGAGCTAACTGGGGGGCGGGGGGGCAGTTGAAATGCGGCACCTTTAACGAAGCTCACATTGCTATTGTCTGTCGTGAGCTGCTCTACGGCCTGGACTATCTTCACTCAGAGGGCAAGATCCATCGTGATATCAAGGCCGCGAATGTGCTGCTCTCCGACACGGGCCGCGTCAAGCTGGCCGACTTTGGCGTCGCCGCCCAGCTCACTTACATGAAATCCCAGAGGAACACGTTCGTCGGCACCCCCTTCTGGATGGCCCCTGAGGTCATCCAGCAGGCCGGCTATGACTTCAAGGCCGACATCTGGTCCCTGGGCATCACCGCTATTGAACTAGCCATGGGCGAGCCGCCTCATGCCAACATTCACCCGATGAAGGTGCTCTTCCAGATCCCCAAGAACCCGCCGCCCCGTCTCGAAGGGAAATTCAGTAAGGAGTTCAAGGACTTCGTCGCCCAATGTCTCATCAAAGATCCCGACTTCCGCCCGACAGCAAAAGAACTCCTCAAACATCGCTTCATCCGCAACGCCGGCAAAGTCGAGGCCCTCCAAGAGCTGATCCAGCGCAAGCGCCTAGCGGACGCCAGAGCCGAGCACGTCAAGCTCCCCGTTTACTACCAAGAAACCCTCCACACCATGGGCCCCAAGGACTCAGTCGACGAATGGGTCTTCGAGACCGTGAAGTCCGTTCCCCCGCCGCCCCTTAACGGCAAGAAGGTCACTGTCCGCTCGCGCAAACCCTCCGCCATGTATTCCCTCGAAGACGCCATGAAAAAGCTCGACCTCAAAGACGCCCCTCTCCACCCGCCCAATACCCCAACCGTCCGCAAAGCCCGCCGGCAGCCTTCTTCATCATCATCTCGCCGCAACTCCCTCTCGTCAAACCACAACCGACGTACCTCCCTCGAATCTCCCCGCCAACCCCTCGCCCCCGCTCCCGCAAAACGCCCCCTCCAACCCGACATGTCCTTCGGCAACTCGGGCTCAACCATGCGCCTCTTCCGCCGCGTGCCCTCCGATAGTTCTTCGTCTCATCATACTATCAACAACCAAGGAGGATACCTCAGCTCGTCTCCTTCGCCTACCAACAGCGAGTTCGCTACGAATAACAACAACGAGAACCGTCCTCCGCCTACGTATCATGCGCCCGTTGATGCGAATAGCAAGGAGGCGCTGCTTGGGCGCAGGCTCTACGCTAAGGCCGTGGAGCCTTCTTTGGATGAGTTGCATGCGCAGACGGCGAGTTCGGTGAAGAGGGAGGCTATTGCCAGGCTGTCAGATGCGTGGGGGTTTCTGGATGCGGTTGATCCGGAGGGGGCGTATCATTTCTTGAAGGGTGTGATGGCGGCTATTTCGCTGGATCCAAAGTTGAGCGCTGCTTTTCTTCCTCAACAGGTGAGGGAACAGCCAGGGGGACATCACCATCACCCGTCGACGCCCCAGAAGAACGGAAATACCGATGATCACCACCAACAGCAAAACCAACACGGAACGGTCCTGATTAAATCCCCCCGCCCGGTCTCCGTCCCCGCACCATCGGCAGTCTCTACCCCGTCTTCCCATGCCCGCTCCCCATCCGCTCCGAACAACCAGTCAAACGCAAGCCCAACTAAGTTCGTTCTCTCCCAAGACAACCCTTACTTACAGAACCATCGCCGACGCGGCAGTTCCATCGCCTCCTCCTCCTCCTCCTCCTCCCAGCAGCAACACCAACAAAATGAAACGCCCAGTTCCCGTCCCGTGTCCCATCACGAACGTGAAAAAGAATTACGTACGCCCCCTCCGCCGAACACACCCCACCATAGGGATGAGAAGCACCACCGCGAAAAGGAGAGGGACAGAGAGAGGGAGAGAGAACGTGAAAGGGAGAAAGAGAGAGCAGCAAATGCAGCACTGGAAGCAAAATTCCCTGGCCGGCCCGCTCAACCGGGGATGGAGCATTGTAAAGCGCTGTCGGAGCTGCTGTATGCGCGGTGGACGGATGGGTTGAGGAGCCGGTGGGGGGTTTTGGCGGGGATGTGAACTCACTTTTACTGAGATGGTGGTGTTGGGAAGGATTGAAACGGGTCATACATACCCTGGGAGATGAAATGCGGTGACTGCTGTAGTGGTCAGGTGCTGTTTGAGGGGGAGAGATATCGAGTATGTGGTTTTCGAGTTGTCGAGGAGTTTTTATCAACATGTCATGTCTGTCTGGTATGGCATGTCACATACTTATCATCCTCGTATCCTGTCGCTGTCAGTCAAGGGATGTGGTCGGGGTTTGGGGTTTAGGCGTTTTGGGTTGGGTTTATTTACGCTGCTTTTGAGCTGTGCGATGGTTTGTTTGATGGGTGGGATTCAGGGTCAGGTTGTTGGCTGGCATGGTTTTTCTTTTTGTTGTTGTTGTTGTTGTTGTTGTTGAAGGGGGCGAGGGGGGGGGGGGGCGTAGTTTGCTTGCTTCAGGTCAGGCGGGCGCTGGAATGGATTGGGTTACGGATAGGGAGATACCTGTCTTGGTTGGATGGACATATGGAGGGATTTGCTCAGTTGGCTGCAGGGACGGGTATCTGAGTGAAGGGCCTCAAGGATGTTGGGTGTGATTAGGAACTCCCTTGGAGTAAATGATCCAAGGATCCGGAATACATATGGAGGTTAGATTCATTCGCAGGTCACCCTTTCCAGGGGATACTGTAGGATTCATGGTCACTGCTTGATGGGATCGCCTGCAGTCAGGGCGAACTGGATCGCGAATGAGTCTGAATGCTTGGTGTTGAGGCCGTGACCAAGGCAAGGGGCAGATTATTGATTGGTTGTTGTTTAGCAGCATTTCTTTTTGTACGAAGTACTATATACCTACTTAATACTTATGAAGTTACCTTCTTGACTTCGACCTTTCCCAAGCTTTCCATTAATTTCTTATCACCCAACTTGAACTCATCGTTCATGTCATTCCTTGACAAACCCGGTCCTTGAAATTTTATCCATCCCTCGTCCGGATCAACCATCCGGCTTGTTATGTGTAGATCAAACCCCGTTTCATTCCAGCACCAGATGGGCTGTTTTTTTTTATGATAATGATGATGATGATGATGATGATGATGAAATGAATTTATGACCAAGTACGCCGTGGTATCCATGCCCTCAAATGCCTTCCTTTCCGCTCTTCCTGACTCTTCCTGACTTACCAACATACAAGTCCCCGTCTATATATATAAATACACACTGAGAGATCAAAAACTCTTGGCTACATGGCAGGCGATCATCTTATTGCCATCTACGCTGCAGCCGGCGCAGCCGCCTTCTGCCCTTCTTCCCCCTGGTCCTGCTTCCCTTCTTCAAGAGCCTGCTGCTTCGCCTTCTGCAAGTCAAGTTTAATGCGCCAATTCATAAACTCCTCAGTTATGATAGCGCCATGGCCAACTTGTTCAATCTTTGTAAGCTCAATACGACTGCCCCGGAAAGGACGGCGGATGCGCCAGACTCCTTCTTCGGTGATGTTTAGGCGGAGCCCTGGCGATATGTTAGTTCTCCGACTCCAAAAAAAAAAACGTTAAATAGCAAGGCGACATACACTGTAAGAACAACGCCGCAAACCGAATACACACATTGCCATCCCATTTAGCCAAGCCCCTGCGCCTGACCTCGTACGGAATATTCAACGTCTCATACTCCTCCATGCTGCGTAGGATGCCGTCCTGGTCGCGGAAGCCGACAATGATGCGTGGGACGCCGAGGAGGAAGGACTGGATCCAGTATTTGAGGAGTTTCTGATCAAAGGCGGTCTGAATACCCGTGTTGGTGATCATGCGGGACGTCTTGAGCTCGACCCAGTTGATGGGTTCGCCGGGGGTTTCTGGTTTGGCGTCCCAGACTGTTGGAGAATTAGCGTTTTGTGGAGTTAAACTATTAGAGGGGTGAGGACATACTGGCATCGACTTCACCGCCTAGACAGACTATTGTATTGCCAAACCCCGTGCGGACAACAGAGCAGTACTGCTCCATGTTGTTGACGATTTCGTCGTCGCGACTCTCAATCTCGTCTCTTGAGACCTCGCCCCAGGGGCGTGGGATGGTGCTCAGGGTCTCGAATTTGTACCCTAAGCTATTAGTTTTGGTTTATGAGCCGGACCGCAAGTGGGCGCTTACCCCAGTACTGCATCAAGTTGGGTGAGATGCCGTCACTCCGAGCAGGTCGACTGCTCTCCATCATCTTTTTCCTTCTGGCAAACGCATGGTTCTCTTCAATGAAGCTGCCTCTGTTAGTCCATATCGCACAACAAGCCGTTGAGTGAGTTGCTCACATGCAGCCCTATAAGTGGTTAGTCAGGAGTACGGATGTCATTAGTAAGCAAGACAACATACTCGGTAGAAGGTAGCATTCATCTCCCACTCCTCTTGGTCATACGGCGTGGCCATTATCTGTCAAAGTCAGCCTGTGTTCCTGACCATGGGACGTCGACTCAGCATACTTTAGTCATCATGCCTCTCCATGTCGTGACATGGGCATCGATTGGCTTGCCCGTTTGCTTCTCATAATCAGCAATGGCAGCCAACAAGCCGTCCAGATGCTCGTCTATACTATCATCATGCCTCTGCCAATTCTGGTAGCCCCGGGACAGGTCTGACGGGATATAAGCCGGATAGAACCATTTCAGGGACCTGTCGCCCAGATGGAACCTCCGCTCTCTGTCGTAGGAGAAGCAAGTGAACTCCCTGGGGCGCTTCACGGGCTCATTGACACCAGCATAGTGGTCGGGCGGTTGGATTGTGAATTCGATAGGCATGCTTTTGTCGGCCAAGACAATACGCCTAAGCGCGGTGCGTACTGCGGTGTGAGTTCTTGTTAGGGTCCTCATCCCCCGCTGCGTCCAAATTTGTAGACGATTTGGACGCTTGCTTGCATCGACTTGACCTTAAATTGGTGGGCGTGAGTGCCAATGGGATGAAATCGAGTGAATGAGATGCCGTCCAAGCGTCTTGATGGCAGTTCGAGGTGGGGCGTAAGAGCGAATAGCTAACCAATCACATTCGGACTTCTCCAAACCCACGACCGCGGGGCACGCAATGCTTGTAATTATGCGTTGCTAACAGGAACAACAGGAACAGCCAACTATTACAGAGCTGACCTTTAGATAATACCCTTACACCAGGAAAGACCGTATCAAGAAACTAGATTTCGAGAAGAATGAATCGAAGTATTAGAAGAATATCATACATCAGATGTAGCACAAATGCCGAAGCTGGCATTACGAAGCCGCCTGTGGGCTCGGTTTCTAACGGAGGTACTTACGGTACGGTGTCCGTTACGTGCATCTGCATTCCGTTTCGGCCAAAGCTGACAGGGGACCAGGAGGACAGCCAAGCTCATGTGGGTGGGTCTCTGGCCAGGGTCGCGCGAACCTGCAGCACCTGTCGCAGCATCGACTCGCAACACCGACACATCGAGCATCTTAATTTCAAGCGACCAACTGCTCTATCGCAAAGAGCAGAGTCAACAGTGGTTCAGGCTAGCTTGCCGACGACGTTTTTACACAAAACCAGAATCTCGGCAGAAACCACGCAGGCTCTGTCTCTCCTACCCAACCGATACCCTACGTCTTTAGCGGCCCATCACCAGCGACCACACACCCCGCGACCACACCCCGCGACGAGAATGAAGCCAAAGCACAGCTCGATCCGATAACGTTGTTACACAGCCTGCGCACGAAAGCTTCTACCGAGCCTCGAGCCCGACATGTCCGGCAGATACCAGCCCTACCGCGCCGGCGGCTACGGCAATCTCAGCCGCCCGGACGATGATTACGACTCCTATGGGGAGGGTTACGTGAGCGCCAGCGAACGCTACCGTCAGCAGGCTTCCCGAGCCGCTACCTCCTCGTCGTCGTCGCTTCGACCCGTCGCTCCAGCAGCAGCTCCTCCGCCGCGCTCAGCCCAGCGTCCTGGCACTAGCAGCTCCCACCAAGAGTCAAATGCCGAGCGCGAGATGGCCAAGGTGCTCGAGCTGATCAAGCAGGAGTGGCCGGCCATGCTGGAGAACGACTGCATCCCCGTCCAGCTGGCCCTGCAGTTGCTTGATACTAGTTCGGTCGGCCGTGCCCATGAGTACCGCAATTTCCAGCGCGCACATCAGTACCTGCAAGACTCGCTCAAGAAGATCGTCCATGAGTACCACCAGGGCTTCAACAGCTCTATCGGCACATTCCATAAGATCCAGGGCAGCATTCAGACATCTCAAAAAAAGGTTCGGGCCTTGAAGGAATCTTTGGCCGCCTCCAAGGCTGCTCTCTGCGCTACTGATCCAGAGTTAAAGAAGCTCCATGCTACTTCGCGCATGTACGAGGAAGTGCTGCGTACCCTGGATGAGCTAGACGAGTTGCGTACCGTCCCGGATCAACTCGAGGCAAGAATCTCGGAGAAGCGCTTCCTCACAGCAGTAGGCGTCCTGCAGAATGCCCTGCGTAGACTTACTCGACCTGAGCTGGAGGATATCGGTGCTCTGAGCGACCTGCGGAGCTACCTGGCCAACCAGGAGACCGCGCTCATGGACATATTGGTCGAAGAGCTGCACGAACACCTCTACCTCAAGTCTCCCTACTGCCAAGAGAGATGGCAGAATCTTGCCAAGTGCCAGGGCGCGCTGAGCGAAGCTTTCAAGGACGCCCCGGCCATGCCACCCTTCCATGCGGTCTTGGACTCGATGGACTGGGACCGACCGGTGACGGAAGACCCGCACAAGAATCCCGAAGCAGACACCTTCTACTATATCACTCTCCTAGTGGAGTCCCTCAACAAGCTAGGCAAGCTTGAGACAGCTGTCGATACCATCAAGCAGAGGTTGCCGGTCGAGCTCTTCTCGGTCGTTAACGAGACCATCGACGACATCGACCAAAAGCACCCCAGCTCACTACGAGGCAGCTCGGGCTCCCACGGCCTACACATCTATGGCCAGCGTGAGACCCGCATGCGGGCCGACGTTATATACGACCTGCTTTGGACATTGTATGGCAAGTTTGAGGCCATCGCCGAGTGCCATCGCGTCTTCCACGAGGCCATCAAGGCCCTGATTCGTCGTGAAGGCGCGGGTAACAATATTGCCCTGCTGGGCAGCTTCAAGGAGCTCTGGAACCTGTACCAGAACGAGATCCGCTCGCTGCTGCACAACTATGTCACTACCGACGCCGATGTCTATCATTTCAGGTCCTCAACCCGGCCCGGCCTGGGCCTAGGGTTGAATGGGAAGTCAGACTCAGCACGAGATCATCTCTTCCGCTTTGCTGAGGCTGACTCCAAGTCGCCGGAAATGGTCGCCGAGTATGAGGCGCTGGACAACATCATCCGGAATGCCGTGCCCGGTCTGACCTCCAATGCCCGGAAGAACAATGGCGACGGCCGCAAGACAGTCCTTGTGGTGCCGCGATCCGATCTCGCCGGCTCGAGGAAGGGGTTTGCTGGGTATGGCAGCCAACAGGGCAGTGGGACGTACAAGTCGCTGGTTGAGCCGAGCGTGTTCAACATGAGTCTGCTGCTACCGCCTACGCTGGTGTTCCTGCAGCGTCTGAAGAGCATCGTTCCTCCGGGCTCTGATCTGGCTACGAGCACGCTTACCTCTTTTCTGGACAATTTCCTCGTTAATGTCTTCCAGCCGCAGCTGGACGAGACCCTCGGCAAGCTGAGCGATACCGTCTTTGGCGAAACCGATGCCTTCCTTCAGGACCCCGACTGGGCTCGTGTGGCCAAGCGTCCTGTTTTCAAGGGGGCTACTGCTTTCTTCACCATCGTCACAGCCTTCTGCCGGATGCTGGGTACCATCCCACACGATCAGGCACTGAGCTCGCTCATCATCACGCAGATGATGCGGTACTATGACCGCTGCTTCAGCTGGTACAAGGCGCTTGTCACCAAGAGCCAGGCTGAGCAAGACGGTTCAGCCTCAAACAGCCCACAGGCACTCCGTGCGTCGGCACGCATCGCCCTCGAGCAATGCGACATGCACGATATGGTGCAGGAGCTGTGGGATCAGGAAAAGACGGGCGATCCGGAGCTCCTGGAGAAGGAGACTGAGATGCTGATCTCCATGGCCAAGGAAAAGCCGCTTCAGAACAGTGACATCATCCAGGACCGCGACACAATTTCGTCGCTGTGCCTACTGTATACCAGCATGAAGTGGCTGTCGGTCAAGATCCAGGGGCTGCGGTTCATCACGGGGAATGACACCGATTCTTCAAGAGCGCCGACTCCGGGGCCGGTGAAGCGCCGCTGGACGTTGCTCAATGATCCGAATAAGGCTACCTCGGAGGGCGGCCCGGTCTATTTGCCTATGACGCTGGAGACTGTCCAGTAAGTTCTCCTTCTGCCTCTCCAACATCCCTACGAAATGATACTGACGTTTTCCCAGGTCCTTCGACGGCATCCTAGCCTCCCTTACCACCCTCGCCACGACCGCGCTACACACCCTCCACCTCGAGCTGCGCTTCCGCATCCTGCACTCTCTCTCCTCCATTCTCACTCCCAACCCCCCAACCTCTTCTCCCACTCCAACTACCCCCTCTCCCTCTTCCACATCCTCCCAAAACCCAACCCCTTATCTCCTCCGCCCCCCCGTAACCATCACCGACCCAGATCCGCAAATCCTCTCCCTCAACGCAGATCTCATCGCATTCGACGAGACATTCTCCCGCCTCTTACGCGGATGCGACAGAGAAGTCTCCTTCCTACGAGACGGTTTAGCCCTGTTAGTCGGTGAATACTTGATCGCGAATGCCCCTCGCGTGGCGCCAATGAACCTAATGGGCTGCGAGCGCATGCTATTGAACGTTCGCGTGCTGCAACAGAACCTGCGGAATGTGGAGGGAGAAAAGGCAGATTTAGGACGGGTGAATGGGTATTTTGAATTGTTTTGTCGCGGGCCGGAGGGGATACTGGAGAGGGCTAGAGGGGATGGCGAGTTACAGCAGCAACAGCAGAGTGAAGGGGATGGGGAGGGACAGAGGAAGAGGGGCAGGAAGGAGATTGTGCCGGGACGGTGGAAGTATTCGTATGATGAGCTCAAGGCGCTCATGGAGTTATGCTTTAGTGAGCAGTTGGCGGATCCGGAGAAGGGGGTTGCTGCGGCGGCGAGGAGGCAGATGGCGGATCGGTTATTGGGGTTGAGTGAGTATATGTGGCAGAGTTAGGTAACTAGGGACGAGTTACGGTAATAGCTCTTGATGTGATACCTTCTCAATATCAGAAATGGTCAAGATTCAACGAGCGGGGTTGTGTGATGCTTCGTCACTCAGCCTAGTCATGAGCTTTACACCGATGATGGACAGATGTCACCCCTCCCTTGGTGTCCCCACGATCTACATCCAGTCTATCCTTGATTACTCATGTCGCACGAATGCGATGCTAACGTAGGTCTAAAGGGGTCACATTTAGATTTATATCGCCGTAGATCTCATTGGTAGTGTGTTTAGAGGGGCTTCCTGGGCAGCCCATAGGATGTCTCTGGCTAAATCGAGTGTCTGTAACCACGCCGTTTACACGAAGCTACACTTGCACAACATGGGTGAATACGTAGTGCGTACTACATACTCCACGCCCAAGAACATGCTTGGTCATCATCGGAGTTCTGGCACAGTGTTAAGGATACTAGTGTACTTTCTTCCCTATATCCAGCTCTGAGAGTCCAGATTTATCAAAGTATGAAGCAGGCATGCAAACTTCGCAGTAAGTATGGACCATGGCTCATGTACCTGACATGCGGCTGTGGCTCCTGATTCGAGATCTTTGCGAGGCAGACCGTTGTCCAGCTGAATCTAGGTGGGGCTTTTATTTATCTATTTATCTATTTATTTATTTTATTTTTTTTCAAATCTGAAATTTCTGGCTTGTTCCCGATGATCAGATGCATCTTCGTTTATACTGTTGTCCACAGTGCCGCGTAAAAACTATCCAAACACTCTATGACAAGATTATAACCCAGCTGCTAAACATATGTGCACGTCGACAATTATAGCCCACAGGATATGTCTGCCCTGGACTTTCACTTTTAATGATAGGGTGTTTCAGCAAGGATTCCGTTTCTCCCTCGCCGCTCTTCCCGGCACTGACGTTGTATCGGTGCATGCGTTACTGGGCTCCGAAATTATGGGGAATCAAGGTTATCCGTTACCGAGAGTAACATCGTCCATTCCAACCTTGAAAGCAACGAAGACTCATCGTCTTTCCACGTTTCATGTTCATGATTCTTTGAGAGGGAGGAAGCCAACTCGACAACAAGCTGCAGGCAACCGTGTCCAGCGTCGCGTGGCCGTCTTTCACGTGGCAGAGGCAAGCACCAACTGGAACAGGGCCCCCTCCATCCACTGAGCAGCGAGCGAGCAGCGCCGCGCAGCAGTTGGCGACCTAATAGGAGAGAACGCAGCACAGCGAACCAGCGAACCAGCGACAGCCAGCCCCTCCTTGGCGCGAAGCCCGGATGGGCAAGTGGGGACAGTGTGTGTGGAACCCAGGTCGGGTCCGCCCCCTTACCGGCAACCCCTGGCCCCATTAAAAATGCGGTCCACGATGCTGAGCGAGGGCCGGCTCGCCTGAACCGTTTTGAAGGCCTTGCATTGGCTGATTCCATTTCCCTTCCTTCCATTTCGTTGTCGTCGTTGTTCTTTCGCTGTTGACGGCAGACAAAGAAACGGGGAGAAAGAAGAAGAGAAGACCTCTGACGCTTTCATTCCAACAACTTGATCTCCAACAACTCCATTATCTTTTCCACTTTGTTGTCGTCGTCGATTCATGCACATGCATCGCTCGTTTTGAACTCCGCCTTGGTGTGATTCTGGTCTTCGATGTTCTACGACCCTTTTACGGGTACCGATACCACCACCAGCTCCTCCTCTGCTTACGAAGTACGGGACACCCGGCTTTCTGGACGATATCTTGCTTGAAATCAGCGCCCTTATCTATATCCGCCCTTCTGTCTCGCGGATCGTCCTCCCTGCCGGAACACCGGCCCTTCTCCCTCGTGCGACTCCCTTTAGGGATTCGCAGATCCAACTGATCTTCGCGGCCGGCACTCCGTTCACTCGTTATCTCCCCCAACACCCCCTTCACCAGAACTAAGTCCCTTGGTCGCCGGATCAGGTCGAGCAGACTGCCAAACATGGCTTCGTACGTGGCATCAGCACAATCTTGGTCTCTCTCTCTCTCTCTCTCCCTCTCTTCAGCTGGCTAACTGCCTCTCCTTGACAGCCTGTTACGCTCCTTCTGGCATGTTATGACCAGCAATGACCGACGTTCGTGTTCCCCTTACCTGATCATTCCTGACATTCTCTGACCCGATTTCCCCAGACTCCGATTACAATTCCCCGATCCGAACCGGTCGCCATGTCCCTCTGGGCGCTCGCAATCCCCTGACTTCGATCGCAACCGCCGGAGAGTCGCGCTCTGACATCACATCCCCATACCATGACGATGCTCACCATCCCGGCTTCGACCCAAATGGCGCTACCAGCCCAAGAAACAGCATTCCCTACTCGCCCGGCATGAGGTCACAGGCCGCCGCGAACGATGCCTTCGAGATCGCGAGTCCGACCGGCTCAATCCCCATGCAGTCCTTCCAAGATGGCATGCCGCCCCCACCCCCCGTCTCCGCTTCGTGGAAAAAGATCGACGCTTGGGCCGAGGAGAATTACCCAGAACTGTTTGACCAGCTCTGCGAGGGTTGCACCATCAACGACCTGAACGAGCTGGAGTACCAGCTGGATTGCTCGCTGCCTCAAGACGTCCGCGAGTCCCTTCAGATTCATGATGGTCAAGAACGCGGCGGCACTCCTACCGGTATCATATTCGGCCACATGCTGCTTGATTGCGAGGAGATTGTCCAGGAGTGGGAGAACTGGAGAAAGGTCAACCAGGATATTTTGATGACGGAGCCTCCGTTCAACCGGCCGCCACCAGCTACCGCTTCATCGTCTAAATCAGCAGCCGCCGGCAGCAGTCAGGCCTCAACCTCAGCAGCCGCTTCTTCCAGCTCAGCACCAACCTCACCTCGGCGCACCAACTGGCGCGAGGAGCTCCTCGCCCGCCAGAACTGCGTGCCCCCAGGCACGATTCAAAAGGCCTACGCCCACCCGGCTTGGATCCCCCTCGTCCGCGACTGGGGCGGCAACAACCTCGCCGTAGACCTCGCGCCCGGCCCGAACGGCCATTGGGGCCAAGTGATCCTCTTCGGCCGTGACTACGACACTAAATACGTGATTGCCCGCTCATGGGCCGCCTTCCTCGCCATCGTCGCCGACGACCTCAACAGCGGCCGCTGGTTCATCGACGAGGACTCGGGCGAACTCAAGCTCCGCGAGTTCAAGACCACCCGCGTCGAGCCCAGCTACTTCGACATCCTCCGTTGGCGTATGGACCAGAAGTATGGTCGTACCGCGGCCGCGGCTGCTAAGCGGAGGTCGATGGCGCCTAGTATTACGGGTGTGCCGGGCGCCAGCTCGCTTAGTGCGCCAACTTCGCCTTATGTCACGCCTGCGGATGGTCATGGTGAGCCCCAAAGGGGCAGATCCATCCAGAGGCTGAAATCGTCTATCTCGCCTATTCCGAGCCCAATTCGCCCGGCGGGGTATGGGAAAAGTACGCCTCTCGCGCATATTACGGAGGAGGCGGGGCCGAGTGGGAGTGCGGAAGGGACGAGTAGCCCTGTTGCGGCGGGTAAGGAGAAACTCGTTGAGGTTGATACGCCGCGGCAGAGTGGGGAGGAGAAGAAAAAGGATGCGGCTGCTGAGGGTCAGCAGAAGGAGGAGGAGGAGGGTAAGGCGGAGGCGTCGTCAAGTAGTAAGGCTGCGGAGGCGGAGGGTGATGGGATGAAGACTATTGAGATCTAAATCCCATTCTCGAATCTTGGATAACGAGGATTCTAACTAAAAACGTCCCGCCATCTGGGAAAACTCCCCCACCACCACCACCACCACACCCTTCCCTCTCTCTCAACAGGAATTCGCAAATCAGCTACAGTCGAGGATTGACCTCGTCACAGCCAACCGCCTGGATTAGGAGATTAGGAAGGTAAAGGAAACAGAAAAGGAGGAAAAGGAAAGGAATTGGCGCATTACATACAAACATTACATACTAGTTGAAGCCTGATTTACATCGACACAAGGGGGATATTTGTTTTCCACACGGCGTCTTTCGGGGTTGGGGATACAGTCGGTTGGGGGATCATTAATTACGTTTTCTGCTTTTTTTTCTAAACTTTTCTTGTTGAGTCGGGGGGTTGTCTGGGTATCGGCTCAGTGCTCATCTTCTCCGCAATCGATCATCCTGACCGTTGCTCTTGCCCTTCGGGAGGAAATGGAGGAGCACGAGTAAAGCATTGCTGCTGGATGCCTAGGTTACTTACCTACTTCTTGTTGCTGTACATTATACTTGGTCTAATTGTTTACTAATGACCTTGTTTTTCATCGGCTGTTTCCTTTAACTCCTTAATGGTGCTTTGATACTGTGGAGGATCTTGAGGGAAGATCTCGAAACGGGCTGAACCTTCAACGTGCCCGTAACCTAAGATAGCGTGGGATCGGGATAGAGGACGTAGGTCGGGAGGTTGGTGTGAGGTTCCAGATTGTATCGAATAGATCTGATGGAGGGCTAGGAGGGTCATGGGCACTCTCTCTCGATGAAAGACAAAAGGCAAAAGGGGTGAAGACAAGGAGAGTGCTGGCATGGTGGACAGTGATTCCTCTAAACTTCCTCACTAATTTTGGTCATCTCGTAGTTAGCAAAGCGATGTCTTTTTATTTTGAAATATCCTTCATCTCCTTCAAAGTACCGCGTCTATACATACATCGCACCAACCTAGGCACCGTCTCAACTGTAGCACAATTCCCGTGCCAGAAACTCAACCCCGAGGACCATCAAGGGCAGTCACGTGATATTCCCATTACGATAAGTTTTGCCCACCGCTTCCTCTGTTACGGCTGCCGCATTTAACCCAAGCACGTCAGCCTGCCAAGACATGACCGTGTGGGTCCAGCCTCCAACGTCGTCATCCTGGTGTGGAGCCTGAGACGACCCGGAGCTTCAAGCAACAGCTGCATCACCAGCAGCCAGCAGCTTCACGAAACGAACCTGATATTGGTTCAACGCGTACAACACAAGTGCAGTGGAGGAGAGCATATACTTAAGGGTACGACGCTTCGATATCTCAAGAGAGAGTCCGGATTTGGGAAGGTCAAAAACACAGCGACACCCAATCGTTCAGCTGGACCCTTCCCCGCCCCAGGTTCGACAACTTCTACCTCCTATTGAACAACATCCGGCCTGCGCGGCTTGATCGCTTTACGTTGAATCCAGCCCAAGTAAATTTCCATGATGTCCCTCCCCGAAGAACGTCTTTGGCGCTTCCGCAAGCCAGAATGGCTTAACAGCATTTGGGTGCGGAACGCGGGTGTTTATACGGCCGGCGGGCTGGTACGTCTTCCCCCTCTTCTCCCCTCTACTCCTCCTCTCTCTCTCTCTCTCTCTCTCTCTCTCTCTCTCTCTCTCTCTCTCTCTCTCCCCTATATACACTTCCTCTCCCCTTCAGAAAGACGATGTTAACACGTGATCCTCCAGTTCTCCCTCGCCTTCTACACCCTCCTAGACTCTGCCGTCTGGTCTAAGTCCTCCCGCAACGGCTCCACCATCCACGTCGGCTTCGTCGACTGGCTTCCCTTCATCTTTTCAGCTCTTGGCATGCTCGTGATCAGCAACATTGAGAAATCCCGCCTCTCCTCCGAGTCCTTCAGCTACACGGGGTATTCGTCGAGCGTCGCGTGGAAGGCGCGCGTCATTTTGTTTCTCGGGTTCGCCAGTCTGGCGGGCGGCATGGCGGGCGGTGTGACGGTTTTCGTGCTGAAGTATGTCGTGCCGGGCGTGCAGTGGCCGGCGCTGGGGATGGGCGTGGAAAACTTGGTGTCGAACTTTTTGGTCGGGTTGAGTACGGTTGTGTTGTGGGTGAGTCAGAATATGGAGGATGAGTATTCTTATAGTTTGGCGATTTAGGGGGAGGGAGGGGCAGCTCCGGGTTGGGCAGCTCCTCGGGGCCGAGCAACTTGAGCGAGACGAGGACGAAGGGGGTTGTCTTTTAATTGGCGTTGGAGCTTTGCGATCGATATGAGTTACGGTTCCTCTGCAGGCAGGACAAAGGATGGTTCTGGAACGCGGTTCATTGGGGCTAACGGGCACTGGTGTCCTTTACGGCTATGGTGGCTAAGGCTTGCTTGTTGGGATATGTACCATACATGATGGTTGATAATCCCTATGGTTGAATATGATTATCAAAAATATTGAATGCGTTGGTACGCTGAGGCATGGCTTTCTTTTAACAGGCCGCTGTCAGGATCCTCAGTGGTGGCATAACCCCATTCGACCTCGGCGCTTATTACTTCAAAACACCTACCGGCAAGTTGTACACGTTTGAATAAGGTTTTAATTGGTATATATCATAACTTATCTACACAAACGGCACTTTAATCACGCAGAAGCCAGAAGCAACGAAAAGACTCGCAGGTTGAAATACAGCAATGCCAGCAGTATAGGTATCCCCCCCCCCTTCTTTTTTCTTTGTTTATATGGCTCTAATAAGCATCTACCAGCCTTGAAATGATATAACATTACCATTCAAACCGTTCTTGGAGCTCTTGGTGTCATCTTCATAGCCATTTAGCGTTTGACACGATAGTAGCTACTTTATCCCATTTGAACTAGAATCAGCTCACAATATAGATTTAACGTACTCCAGACATAGTATATCCAATCATCAGCTACAGCTCGGCAAAGCCACTGCATGCTGGATGCTCTTGGCACTTCCATCTGCATCACGTTCTAGCCGCTTGCATGCAACATGGCGTGCTTTGTTTGACTTTGTGTTCCCATCTAAATGAGTCGGCTGATTTGAGTCTAATACTGTTAGTAGAACTTCAAGGCTAGGCTCTCAATCTTGAATCTAAGTTGAAGAGCTCAGAGCCGTCTTCATAGACTTGAGAGACAACATCATATTCAGCACGCTGTTGGATGACCAGTAGGATTATCGATCAGTCGGCCAATTCACGGTTCTCAGCGGCAGAGACAAGCGACAACGAGGCCCCCTCTTTGCAGACCTCAGCCAAATCTGACTCCCGAAACCAAAACAGGGCAGTTTTTCTCCATCAGACAAAACCCTGCCAACCTGCGTCTTACCGTCTTATGTCCTTGTGCGACCCTCCATGATGAGAGCCCAGCCGGAGGGACAGGAGTTCCTATTCCAGTAGTCCCAACTCGCTTACGTACAAGGCATTCCCATGGATTTGGTGAGAGAGTGAGCTTGTGGAAAGCTGTTATCGAGGAAACAGCTCACAGCTCACAGCAGTGTAACCAGCTAGGTGCCTAAATTGTCTCGTTCAAGTTTAAGTCAGGAGTGGTGGAATGCTTTCCGTCTCATCCTTAGCGGACCATGTTGATAGGGTAACTCTGTGAAGCAATGCGCTCATTGATAAGATATACGTACGATCCTAACAACAACAGATAGTGTCTCCAAGAACAGCACAGCAGACGACCATAAGGTGCTGTCATCTGACAGAGCATCATCCGGAGCATTTGCCGTCTTTCAAGCAATCGTACGACAAATCCAACCACTCTATCAGCCGTCACCTACACGAGACTCTACGCACCAAGTCAGGACATATCTAACGATGGCGAAGAACGGTTAACAATCAAATAGAAGGATGGATCCATCTGCTCTGTTTTCCGAACTCTCCAAGCGATGACGTCTGGATCTCAAGATTCTCAGATGTCAGCAACTTTGACGCGTGGTAACTGGTCGAGTGTCGTCGTTTCTGGCGTCAATCACCCCCGGCAGTGTTTCCACCCGATGATCCATGTCTCCTGCTTGGCATTGTTCAACCCTCCAAAAAAAACGCACGGATCACTTAAAATGAAGCCCTGGCCGCAGCCGCGAAGTGGAGCCCCGCCCGGCCATCGCGATGACTGAAGTCCCGCCAACAACCCGCCGGGCGTAGCGTCGTCGCCGGGCATCTTTTTGGTGGGTGGCACTGTGGGTTTGCAGATGGGACGCTGGTTCCATCTTTGCTGGTTTGTTGCTTCCAGGCCTGGCCGAATCTGTGTGGAATTCCATGAGAAGGATTCGCGTCGTCGACAATTTGTTGTCGTCCCTATCAATGGCGAGCTGGAGGAGACCAGGCTGCCATCATCGGCAGCAGCGGCTTTGTGACACCTCACATGGACTGGCGGTCACATGCCTGAGTGTTGGTTGATGTTGCTTGGCTGGGGGCCCTGTGTGATCATTCAATGATTAAACCTGAGTGGAAGCTTCTCTTCTACAAAGCCCTGTCCTATGTTGTTGTGCGTGCGTGCGTGCGTGAGTGTATGTGTGTGTGTCTGGGGCTCTTGTCTGGGTAAGATCCAGCGCCCGCAGTGCCTGAATCTGCCACAGCGGAATGTTCCGAACGCATTCTGCCGATTCCCAGCTTCTTGCTCTGAGAAGGGCAAGCCATTTTCGCTATGTTTAGACACAAAATTCCCCTCTTTCTATACCTGGGAATAGAAAAGGCGAGATCATTAACGTCGATCTCGCTGGCGTTGATATCTCTTGACAATCTGAGAACATTGTAGTTGATTACCCACCGTTTACCGAGCCCGCTCTTCCTCTTCTCCTTATTGTTTCCTTGATGGAGAGAATGCCGACCAATTGCGATGCTCCCGGCATTGTCAGTGGGTTAGCGTGCTCTCTCCGAAGGTCATGGGACCTTCAGAGACCTTGAAAAGATCCACCTTGCGCCCAGGCCGCAGAGCCGCGCTGTTCCTTTTGTCTCGGTCAAGGCCAGGTACACGTATGCGGCAGGAGGAGCAACATGCTTCTGTCTCTTCGTCGCTTAATACCATGATGGCATCTCTAAAAGTTGTCTTCATCAACTTCGCTAACAACTTGAGCGATTCGAGGCTCGCTGAGCCAATGGCACTAAGTCAAGCCAGACAATGCTGCACATGCGATTGGAGCTTCTGCGGTGCCGTGCGGTAGTATGCTGCAGACCTAAGTCTTTGGGCAACTTTCTTGAGTCTGGCCGTTCATCAAAAAAGTAGCCGGCCAAGACATCGGAGATTGGCTGCAGAGGATCCCACCCTGGGCGGTGTCGAGTTGTACCCGCTACAAAGCCACGGCGGTGGCACCAGCAGCAGCACCGAAGCAACCAAAGGAGTGGGAACGTTGAAGAAAATGATCGGCTGCGGATAGGCAGGTTCCAGCGAGAAAGGCGCGGGTAGGCAAATGCTTCTGTGATGGTGAGAGGTGTGGGTGCGGATCCAATCACACGGGATTTAGGATGATGTTATTCGACTAAGTTCTCAATCTGTCAGTCGTCAAGAAACAGCCTGCAACAAATTCGTCAACCGTCTCAGAGACGAGATGGTCGCCCACGCCGTGCTGCAGTGCTGCAGGGACACCGGCTTTGGCTGGTGGTTTTAGAAGCCACGTGTTGGGCGTAGCATGACTGCGCAGAGCGGTCCTTCAGGGGTTGTTTCTTGGGCAGATCAAACAATACCATGAAGATATCACCGGTATAATAAGATGGAGTCAAGTAAACTACCTCTCATTGGCGTAGGCTCTGCAAAGACAACCAGCCGTCTACTAGCGATGCCCTACGCAGGTCTCTCGGTTAACTGCTGGAGCTAGGATCTTTCATGCAAACGGCTAGAATTTAAACAATGGTTTCATTCTCGAGTCATAGTGATCCGAACGCGTCGGCTACTGCTCCCGTTCCTATAAAACTGTGGGCAAGATACAAACAAAAAACCGCAGGCATTTGAAGTAGGTAGGACAACCCACCACCGTGGAACGGGTATCAGAGTTGGGCAGCGCCCTCAAATTTTAGACGTTGCCCAATCGATCGTATTAGCCAGGCACCTGATGATCAAAGGCTTGCGGTTCAGGTCTCTTTGATCACATATTGCCACTGGATGATGGGCTAGATCGTGATGTTGTCATTCAATACAGTTTGCAGCTGCTGTCCGCATTGTATTCTTTGTCAAGTTACGTACGGGTGAGAAGCCAGGTGACCACTTGCAATGCGACAACCTGCCCCACCTTGGGGCTCAGACAAGGGCAGCAAGTCCAGGATGGTCGAGACAAGCAAACGCTGGCAGGCCAGCAGACGGCCAGGCAGACAACCCTGTATGCCAAGACATCCTCTTGCCACGGGAGTGAGGCTATTTCGGAGATGGCAAGGCGTCAGTAACTTCATCGGTTCTGCTGTCTACAGATGGTATGAATGTGCTTGTTGCTCAGTGTTCCTTTTCTGAGCTTTTCTTTTAAATTTCAAGACAGCTCTACCCTGTGTCAGACTCTGTGCATTCTTTTGCGCTGCCATTACTGAAGTCTGGACCCCAAGATTGGAGCTCAAACCCCCTTCAAAGCATTGCAGACTCAATAACGATAGGAAGATACTTCCGGCTGTCGTGCTACATTCCCAAACAGGACGACAAGCACAGACCGGCAGCTCATTGACATACACTAGAGCTCAGAGGACAGCATCTGTCAACGGAGATTCAATGTCTCTATTCCCAAAGTGTTTCTTTTGCCGGAGAAGAGATAGCTTCCAGAGATCTACAGGAACGGCTTGTCAGATCTGGAGCCTATTACCCGCGACTTGAGAGGTATAGGAGCGTGCACTTCCACAAATCATCATCAGAGTCGAATCGCGCGCTCGCAGAGCCAACAGGATGGAGAAGCGCGTTTCCCTTTCCATTTCGAGTTGGACACGGGCACACGAGCCACTACGCTTGTACAGTACAATCGCCTCTGCGCACTGCTCCTCCGTTGGAGCTAAGGGAAAACCCCAGCGAGCCTTCGACGGGCCGGCACGAACCCCTCACCACTGCTGTGGGCAAGCCTTGATCGCTTCGCCAGAACGTAGGCGTCTCTGACCTGCAGACGATCATCCCCTGCAACACAACACAGAGAACAACAAGCGCGCGTAAGTGTCAGTTTGACGTAGAGTGTTCCATTTTTTGCAAGTATTGGGTCTTGCTATGTTTTGCATCCTTCTGTTGCTTTTCTGCTGTCATTGCACTCTAACGTCCTCTGTTTTGCTTCGTGCTTGATGCGGTCCTGCGCCGACACCCGCACACCGAGCTGTCCCAAAAGGCTCACCTGCCTTGTAAACCCTTGCCCCCTTCCCAATCCCAACCCCTCATTTGGCCAGCCCTGGTTGGCTGGGTCGATCGGACTGAGCGCCAAATCCCCGGCCATCTGACCTCACCAGATGTACGAGCTGCAGGGCAGCATGCAATGCCAGAGGGCAGGAATTTGCGGCCAACGACAACGCCCGCTGCCCGTTGCTGTGCCCATTGATCCCCTCTGTTCCTGGCCTCCCATTCTAAGCTTGGAGCTAAGGGCCTGAATATAACACCGCTTTCTTCCCACATTTTTTACCTGCTTTCCCCCCCTTTCATCCTTTTGCTTTGCTGCATCGTTGCTCGCCCTCCCCTGACTGTCCTCTCTCCCTTCGGGCGCGCTTTTGTTCAACGGCCGGGGGCTGGAAACCACACTGCAACGCTATTTCCCTTGCGGACAAACCACAGCCCGTGGTCCCCTCGGTCCCAGGTTCCATCGCAGGAGACAGTATCGAGTTTGGGTTGCTACCTCCAAGCATCATCCGTACCCGACCACATCCAGCCTGCCCAGTACCCTGCTGCCCGTAACGCCTTAACGTCTTGGGCAGAACTTGTGTGAAGGCTGAGGGCTGGATTTTGGCTTCCAGTCGCTTCTTTGGAAAGTCAAACTCAAGTGAGTCGAGTCTGCAATCATTGATCCCATGCAATTGCACACACCACCCACAGCATCAAGTCGACCCTGCCTGGCCCGGGGAGACTGGAGAGAGCCGCTGCTGTGCGCGCCAGGCTTCCCTTGTGTGCGATCGCCACCACAGTGCCCTGTCATTCCCCGCCGTCATTTCAAGCACTCTTAGCTAGCGCGGACCGCCCCTCCAAAACCTCAAGCCACTCACCTTGCACTGCACACTCTGCTGCTGCTGCTGCACTTCCATCCACTCATACCAGCGCACTATCTTTGAGTCGCTGCCCTCGCCCCTTACTACCTTTCTCAGCTGCCCTCTGCACTTCATCAAACCTAACACTCCTGTCACGCTCTCCTACTGCTGCGTCAGTTTGCGCATCCATCTTCTTTTCCCTCGCACACCTTGACAGTCCTCGCAACCGGCCCTGGGACAGCTGGCATCTCTCTCCTCTACTCGGCCCATCACCAGACTGTTGCATGACGGCCAGAACCTGTACTGAACGTCCCTTCTGACCTTTGAGACTGTACAGTACCAAAACGTACCACAGCCAATCCGCGTCCGTCGCAGCCAGTCCAGCTGCATCGAGCCCCCGCCCGGTTTTTCTCCCTGTGCCGCCAAGGGCTTCGTTTCCCGCCTGAAAACCTACCACCTACCTTGCCATTCCAACAAATCCATACCCAGACCCCCGGCATCGGGCGACGAGGTATCAAAACCCAAGCAAGCCTTACCGGTTTGCCGCAGACCTCAATTCGATCTCCTCTTGCGCGTCCCATTCGCGAAGCTGCCACGCTTCCTGGGCCTCAGCAAGACACACTATACAGAGAGACCCCCCTCGCCGAATCCGGGCCCAGGCATCGAGTCCATCGACGACCGCGACCCCTCGCCATCACTCGTCGTCGACCTGTTGCCCAACACGGCCAGCTCCGACTCGCCCGACATCCATATCCGTTGTCGCACATCTCCAACATTCCCTTCAGTCGTTCCATCTGGATAGAACAAATCTGGACCCCACCTTGAACTTGATGAACCATGGCGTCCAATAGACCGGCAGCGTTCAATACCCTGCGGATGGGAGGTGAGCTTGCGCCATACAATCCCACATGCTATATGCTATATGCTATACACTATGGGGGGGTTTAGTAGGGGCATGTGCTGATGCATGGTTGTTCAGAGGTCATCCGCGAAAAGGTCCAAGATGGTGTTACTGGTGAGACCCGCGAGATCCAGTACACCCAGTGCAAGATCGTAGGCAACGGTTCGTTTGGTGTGGTCTTCCAGACAAAACTTGCCCCAACGAACGAAGATGCAGCGATCAAGCGAGTCTTGCAGGACAAGCGCTTCAAGGTTGGCTCCCGCACTCTGTCTTTGGATACCAACCCCTCTCCCCCCCCCCCTTCTCCCCCCTTTCCTCTTCCCCCATCGGCTTGACAAAGGCTAATCGGCCTTTTCGTGCAGAACCGTGAATTGCAGATCATGAGGATTGTGCGGCACCCCAACATTGTGCAGTTGAAGGCCTTCTATTACTCCAATGGCGAGCGGGTATGTCACCCGTAGTTGATGGCGACTAGTTACGCGGGGCTCAGAGCTGACTTGGGATAATAGAAAGACGAAGTCTACCTTAATCTCGTCCAGGAGTTTGTACCCGAGACGGTCTATCGGGCTTCCCGGTTCTTCAACAAGATGAAGACGACCATGCCGATGATCGAGGTCAAGCTCTACATCTACCAGCTCTTCCGTGCTTTGGCCTACATCCACTCGCAGGGCATCTGCCACCGTGATATCAAGCCTCAGAACCTTCTCTTGGATCCAGCTACGGGCGTCCTGAAGCTCTGCGACTTCGGCAGCGCCAAGATTCTGGTGGAGAATGAACCCAACGTCTCGTACATCTGCTCGAGATACTACCGTGCCCCTGAGCTGATCTTTGGCGCGACGAATTACACGACCAAGATTGGTAAGTGGCCCAAGACCGCCTATTATTCAGCCAGGCATTCGCTAACAGTATTTCAGACGTCTGGTCAACCGGGTGTGTCATGGCCGAACTTATGCTGGGGCAGCCTCTCTTCCCTGGAGAGTCTGGCATTGATCAGCTTGTCGAGATCATCAAGGTTCTCGGAACCCCAACCCGTGAACAGATCCGGACAATGAACCCCAACTACATGGAGCACAAATTCCCTCAGATCAAGCCTCACCCGTTCAATAAGGTGTTCCGTAAGGCGGATGCCAATGCCATCGACTTGATCTCGAAGCTTTTGGAGTACACGCCAACAGAACGCCTGGCCGCTATTGATGCGATGGTCCATCCGTTCTTCGATGAGCTGCGTGACCCCAACACTAAGCTGCCCGACTCAAGACATGGCACTGGCCAACTGAGGGATCTCCCCCCGTTGTTCAACTTTTCTCGTCATGGTAAGTTTTTTTGAGCTTTTTTTTTAAAAAAATTAATGTTTGATTCAATTACTGACCACTGGTTTACTCAAGAACTCTCTATTGCGCCGCACCTCAACCATCAGCTTGTTCCTCCTCACTACAGGCCTATCCTTGCAGCGCAAGGGCTCGACATTGACAACTTTAAGCCTATGACAAAGCAGGAGATGATGGCCAGGTTGGACTGAAGTGACGGGTGTTCACCACATTGGATTCAGGGCGACTTGCAATTATCATGTCAGGTTTATTGTTGGGCAGTCTATTTGCTGTACGGTTTCGGCACAGCTTTCTCAGCCCGGGATTGTGATTCGGCTGAAAGAAAGGCACTTCGACTCTGGTTTGCGAGCAACTCGTTCATGATTATCATGACCACAACACCAACAACAGAGAGAAAAATGGCATTAAGATACCCACACCGAACAAAGGCAAGCAAGAGGTGGCAATGAAGGACACTTCGAGCCACACACATGCCTCGGACTTGCGAGCTGCCGTCTGCCTGCCTGTTTTTGTTTGCATGCCTTCTCCCTTGGATTCAAGACAGATATGGTGTCGAGTCACTTGCTCCCCCCCTCTATTCATGCTTAGAGTTTCTAGCATTAACGGTGGGCAGCAAGCAACAAGGGCCGAGTGGCGAGCAGTATGACGGCAATTAATAGCAACAGTAACGAGATGGTCCATGAGCGGTCATCTTCTATGCAAACGGATATATGGGATCAAAACTGGGTTGGTGAATGTGTGATGGAAGGCCGCATCGGGAGAGAGGAAGTGCCAATGACAATCGCGGTTCTCCCTCCAGGACTCTTTTTTTTTTTTTTTTCCTTTTTTACGTTCTCTAGATTTCAGTTTGTTTTCCTTTTCCCTGCCTTACGCGAGATAACTTTTTTTTTCTTGCTTAACCTCTGCCCCTATCCTTGCTGGACATATAATTTGTTCTACTGGTTTGGGAGTATTGGCTCTTTCGGCTCTCTCTTTCTCCTTATTTAACAGCTCCGGCTACTCGTTAGTTGTTGTGGCCCTCCAGGAATTCATTCATCACCTCTCCTTCCCAGTTCTTTGATCTCTATAGTGACTGGCTGGTTGTCTTCGGTCTTGTGTTGTTGTTGTTGTTGTTGTTGTTGTTGTTGTTGTTGTTGTTGTTGTTGTCGTCAGGTCGCTTGATCTCTGGCTGGGAAATTATTAAACCTAGAACTCTTATGCTCTGGTTGCTTGTTGCCTCTTTTGTTCGCTCTTGGTTGGTTGGCCCCTCCTTATATTATTTTTTTCTTTTACTTTTTCCCCTCACCTCTTCGCGCGATGCTGCTTTTTATGGGTTGGACTACAGACAGGCAAAGGCATGGCATGGCATCATGGCTTGGCTTGGCTTCGCTGAGGTTTGACGCTCGTTGGACCTACCTTACCTACCCCTGCTCGAGTCTTGTCTCACCGCTTCTCTCTGTTCTCTTGGCTCTTTGTCTCTAGTTATGCTTTCTTCGCCGGTGTCCCTTGAGATGCTTGGGTTTTTCTGGTGAAAGGAGTATGACGGGAGAAGAAGAGTTAGTGTTGGTGGTAGTGATGTGTGGTGATGACACCGACTACGACAAAGAGAGGTCTGCCTAGGCAGCTACACAGTGTACAGCATTTTTATTACACAAACAAACAAAAAAAGAAAAGAAAAAGCGAGATTGAACACACACAAATATCATCCTGGAGGAAACAAACAAAGAGAGTATGTAAGCTTTTTTTGGGCGTGTGGATGAGAAAGAAAGCAAGAAAGAAACGGAAGACTGGTTTTTTCCTTCATGGCTTGGCTGGTTTTCTGGAAGAGGAGAGGTCTACTAGGCTAGGCAGGGTAACTAGGTTAACTAGGTACGTATTGCGAATGATGAAATGAATTAAGTGCTATTATTATTGGGTACATTGGGGGGGAAAAGGTGTGTTGCTTGACTATATTCCGTGATGGGCATCATCACTGGCTAGGTATCTGATGGTGAGTGATAGGACTGAGCTTCGTCTGGGAGCTAAATCTTCAGTTGGTCACTTCCTATCAGCTTTATCCCTTTCCTATTTTCTATCCTAAATCGTAGGCCACGGGAGTCTTAGTTGGTCACACATTTTGGGCTTGACTGTATCTTGTTGATCTTGGTGATGAGAGGCATGACAAGACAGAGTTGGTATACTATGTAGACCATGAACATCCTGCTGAGGGATCTGTCGTAGTATTATGGAGTTTTTCCCTCAATTGCTAAAGTTACTAAGAAGCGTCAAAACGATTCCCATGTGCCTTACTCTTACACCAAGCCAGTTATGAGAAGTTGATGACGACACGTCCGACCTCATCATCATGCATGAGCCTGAGATCTCAGGCATCAATCTTTCCCTGGGTAGCAACAGAGTCTCGCTAAAGAGAGTGTGCTTCAGACCCACTCTCAATGCTTGGCTCGTGTCGTCGCAGCAAGCAAGGGTGTTTGGATTTTAGGAAGTTCGCGTCGTCGCCGTGAATGCTTCTCTGCAGCCTGCCGCAGCGAAAGCCTTCTCCAAACAATTGAAAATTTCCCGTCAGCCATATCCCTCCGACTCTCTGCTGAAAAAATTCGGCGTCCCGCCTTCTTCCTTTTACAACACAACAAATTTGGCGTTGCGGCCGTTGGCTACCAGAGTAGTGCAAAGGCATTGGAAGCAAGTGCTTAGCCATTTGACTGCCCACCATGGCCGACTACGATCGCCGAGGCGGCGGCAGCTCGTATAACTCGAGGAAGCGTCGCTATCGTGGTAGGTATTTACTTTTTTTTTTTGATAGATTCCGTCTGATGGCTTCCTGCGCCAGCGCGTTGGTCGAATTTTGTTGGCGACGGCTCGATGCGACCGACCGACTTCAGTTATTCAAGATCTCGGCTTCGCACATCTACGACCTGATCAAGTTGATATCTATTGTCTAACTAACCCTCCATCACAGACGACGATGAGTACGAGCGTCGCGCCCCCCCTCGTCGCCGCTACGACAATGTCCCGCCGCCCCACGTGCGCGTGCGCAAGCAGCTCATCGCCATCGCCGAGAATCCCATGCGGCCGTGGCACGAAGAAGTCTACTCCATTGCGACCCTCTTCACAGACAACTGGGATGACGAGCTGTTGCGCAGTAACTTTGTCGACCTCGCTCTCCAGCTGGCCGTTGAGCAGCCGCTCAAGACGCCCTTCGTCGCCGCCGTCGTGATCGTCGCGAACGCGGCCCGCCCTGAGATCGTCGATATGCTGCTCGCGAAGCTGGCGAAATTGGTCGAGGAGAAGATCGCCGAGGGCGAATGGCGCCAGGTGAAGCTGTACCTGAAGCTTCTGGCTTGTTTGCAGGGCTGCTTGGAGGGGGAGGGGATATTCCCATTGTTGGAAGAGTTGTTTAATCGGGCTGTTGATTTGCAGACGGCTAGCTCCGAGGATGTGCGTTTCCCCTTCATCCGAGGTTTTGGGACGAGAGTGAGAAAACCGACTAACATTGGACCAGACGATTGGTACCGAGATTGTCAAGATCATCCTCCTTACCCTGCCATACGTAATGGTTGCGGCGCCGGGCAAGTGGAATCAGAAGGCCGCCGATCTTATGGAGAAAACGGAGGTCATTGCTTCGGAGCCACACACTTCTCAGGCGCTGGTCGAACCATGGCATCCCGAGAGCAGCGACGAGACTGCTCCCCAGTCACAGAGCTTGATCGGCTTGCTGCAGGCACAGCTTCAGAACGAGGCCAACAATGGGTGGGCTCTCCCGTACCTGCCCAGGCCGTGGGAGTTCCCTCCCAGCAACTCCGAGATGCAGACCAAGCTGCAGAATGCGCAGAAGCATGCCCTTCCTGCTATCCAGATCCCCGAGACCGTCATCGCTGGCCCTCGCCCTCTCTTCCCAGAGGTGTACTTCTCCGTGTACGCCAACCAAGAGGTTCAGTCCGTCCCCCCGACGACCAATGCCGCTGCGTCCCTGATCCGCGATGCTCTGCTTGATACTATTAACCAGTTGGACTTCAATCGCAACGTCACAGCGCGTCACTTGATCGACCTGGACTGCTTCTTCTCCCAGCGCACCTTCACCGCCCGCGCTACCCCGTTTGATAAGCTGCGCGAGATTGAACCTCCCAAATCGACCTGGAAGCCGGAAGATGTCGCCGTTGATGCCGTCTTCTCCCAGATCTTTACTCTGCCTAACCCCGAGCACAAGCTCGTCTACTACCACTCCGTCCTTACCGAGGCCTGCAAGCTGGCGCCAGCGGCGATTGCGCCCAGCTTGGGTCGCGCTATTCGTTACCTGTACCGTAATGCTCCCCGCATGGACTGGGAGCTGGCGTACCGCTTTATGGACTGGTTCGCGCACCATCTCAGCAACTTCGGTTTCACGTGGAAGTGGACTGAGTGGGTGGATGATGTTGAGCTGCCGGATGTGCATCCTCGCAAGGCGTTCATTCTCGGCGCCATTGACAAGGAGATCCGGCTTAGCTTTGCCCAGCGCATCAAGAATACCCTGCCTGATCCGTACAAGGTGTTGATACCGCCTGAGAAGGAGAAGGACGCGCCGGATTTCAAGTTTGCTAATGATGGTACGTCTCCTTCCTTTGTATCAGTCTGACTAAGTTGCTGACAACCCCCCAGAAACCCCCTTCGCCCCCGAAGGCCGCGAAATCGCCTCCCTCCTCAAGCGAAAAGCCGCTGACGAAGAAATCGAGACATACATCCAGCGCATCCAATCGCAAGCTGTCGACCGCGACATGGACGCCCTGGTCGCCAGCACCGACGTCTTCGTCACCTGTGTTCTGCACATCGGCAACAAGTCCCTCTCGCACGTGCTCGCGGCCATCGAGCGCACCAAGGACCGTCTCGCCGACGCGGGCGCGGCCTCCGACGCTGCGCGGGCGCAAATCATCACTGCCACCATGGCGTACTGGTCCGCGCATCCCGGTGTCGCTATTACCATCATCGAGAAGCTGCTGAATTATTCCATTCTGACACCGGCTGCCGTGTTGGAGTGGGTGTTGCGCGGTCGGGTGGCCGAGACCAGAGGGCGCGTGCTGGGCACGGCGTATATGTATGAGTTAGTGGCAAATACGGTTAATAAGGTCACTTCACGCGTGCGCGGGCTGGCGTTCAAGGTCCCCACGACACCGGAGGAGGAAGAGGAAGATGCCAAGACGCGCGAGACGGAGGTTGCGAGGATGAGAGCGCTGTTTACGGAGATCGAGGAGGCCCTTGCCCCGTGGGCGTCTTCCTCTGCTAGGGAGGAGCAGATGGAAGAGGATGGGAAGAATGAGGAGGATGAGAGGATGGTTCGGCGCTGGGCTGATCGCTGGTTGCGCGTGTTTAGGCGCAGGGCGGCGATTGAGGAGACGTGGTTGGTTGAGGCGGCGAAGGAGAGGGAGAGGAAGAAGGCTAAGGCTGCGGAGGAGAAGGCGGCTGAGGAGGCTAAGAAGGAGCAGGAGGAGAAGGAGGATGGCAAGAAGCCGGCCAATGGTGTGGCTGAGAATGGGGAGGGTGAGGGGATGAATGTTGATGCTTGAGCTTACGGTTCAAGCTTAGGCGTCGGTTAAAAGACACCAGCTAGACCGTCCGGCACCTACTGTCTCTGCCCTCTCCTTTTTGTGAAGGCAGATGACAATCAAAGATTCCTAGGACGGCATAAAAAGGCCATTTCCATGGACACGGCCCAGGGGGATTTGTCATGCTTCTCTACTGTACTTTACTTACATCGACAGTTCTTTGCCTTTTCCTCTTGGTTTTATTTTCTTCCTATGGATCAGCTTCGGAGGGTGCTAGGTATTTCATTCCCAATGGGAAAAACGGGGATCATGAGGAAGGGAGGAGGTAAAGGCAGGTTCAGGTTCTCCTAGGAGAGATTCAGTGAAGAATCAACTAAAAAAAAAGCAGCGTAACAAGAAGCATGACACAGTTGCAATATTTATTGCTACGGCTGTGTAAGCAGTAATGAATGAGTAGTAACAAAAATGAAAGCTGTTACCTGAATTGGTGGTTGTTCTTTGAAGTTGATCTGAATGTCTCAACAATGTGACAGTGTGGGTATCTTTCTTTTTTTTTTTGTCTTTCTAGACGATGTTTACATCTCTTCTTTGATTACATGCTAGCCATTTCTTCCACCTCAACACCATCCACATTATGCATTCTTTTGCTCTAGGAGCTTTAGTTAGCTTTCCTCATCCATCCAGAAACCAATCCAAGCCAGGCTTGTACATACAATAAAAGAGATACAGATGTTCGCCTGCAGTTTACGCATCCTCCTTGAGGTTTTATCCATCATAGAAGGGACAGGAATCCCCATATGAAAGACCAGCCTCCAGTGTAAGCGTCGAAGATAGGCACATTGATGCCTAGCTAGGTAGTAAGGGTAGAACCTTCGTTCCCCAAACCGAGCATAATTTGTCTAGCTTCTCATCAAAGTTCGCCGTCAAAAACCTTCAGGCTGGTCAAACACAGCCATAAACCTTGTCCTACACGGCAATTGGCAGTGTCGGGTTCTCAGGCAGGTAATGAGGTGGCTAGATCGTTCCATCATCAACCCAATACCAACACTGGCAACGGTTCCAAAATCTTCCCTAAACCCCCCCCCCACCGCTCCCCTAACGCCTTCCATAGCCTGCCGGAGGCGCACCAAACCCAGCCGGCGGTGGCGGCACCCCCGGCACACCAGGCATCCCAAACCCAGCCGGCGGCGGTACCGGTGGAGCCCCATACGGAGGCGCCCCCGGCCCGCCAAAGCCGGCCGGGGGCACACCCGGATACATTGGCGGTGTCCCAGCCGGAGGACCAAACCCTGCTGGCGGTGGCACAGGCGGCACACCATATCCTCCCGCAGGGGGCATGTGCGGAGGAGGAGGGCCGCCATAGCCGCCGTGACTTGGCGGCGGGCGGGCAGGGAGTCCGGATGGGGCCGGAGGAAGGGTCGGGGTTGTTGTGGAGGGGGTTGTGGGTGTTGAGGCGGGGGGACGGCCGCCATAGGGAACGCCGGGACGGCTTGGGCCGGTGGGGGGAATCGGAGCGTAAGGGGTTGTTGGGGTGCCCGCTGCTGCGGCGACTGGGGGAACGGGAGGGATGCCGGCTGCTGCTGGGGCGGGGGGGACAGCGGCGGCTGGGCCGGTTGGGATGGTGGGTGTAGCTGCTGCTGCTGCTGCGGCTGCGGCAGCGGCGGCAGCGGCGGCGGCGGCGGCAGCGGTGGGAGGGGCCATGTGGTAGGCGGGGGGAGTTGTTGTTTCTCGGGGAGGATGTTATGCTTCTTGCCTTCGGCGGCGAGACGGCGCTCGGCTGCGTCGCCATGGCGTTCACCTTTGCCGTCCTTTTTGTAGGCGTACTCGACCGTGATCTGCTTGGAGAGCAGGTACTGGCCGTTCATGTTGGCGATGGCGGCGTCGGAAGCCTCGAAGGAATCAAAGGACACGAAGCCGTAGCCCTTAGAGATGTTGTTCTCGTCGCGCACGACGTTGGGCTGGCGCAGGATGGTGCCGAACTGCGAGAAGGTGTCGTACAGGATCTTCTCGTCAACCAGCGGGTCCAGGTTGTTGATGAAGAGCTCGGCGCCGATGTCGACCGTCTTTTGTTTGTCGGCGCTGGCCTTGTTCACGCGGATGGGCTTGCCCCAGATACGGATACCGTTGAGAACCTTGGCGGCATACTCGGCCGAGGCGGGGGTGTCGAATTCGACGAAGCCGTAGCCCTGGTGTGTTTGCGACACGCGGTCCTGCGGCATGTGCACCTGGCGAACTGGGCCGACCTGCGTCATGAGCTCCGAGAGAAGCTCGTGGGTAAAGCGCTCATCGATATTACCCACGTAGACCGTGGCATCCTTGTTTTGTTCCCTGGGGGGAGGGGGGGGGATTAGTATGATATTTTTGTCCTAAATAAAGAGGTGAGAGGGTCTTCTTACCAGTGCCTGTTGGCCATTTTGGCTGTGTCCAGGCGAATTAGCCTGGAGAAGCAATGTATATGATGTCAATTACAGCGTCGAATTGATATCCAGGCTGTCTTGCTGCTGAGTTGGGTCGAACGTTGACAACTTGGATAGGATTGGTGTTGCTTGCGTTGAGGATTCTCGGTGGATCGCAACAGAAGCTTTGCTGCTTTGCTGCTGGAAGTTTTCTGGGCCAGACCCGCGTCGAACTGAGGCACTGCGCGGCCCGCCTTGGCCCGGGGCTCGTCGCACTGTGGGCCAGACAGGGGTGCAGCAGACAGTGGGGCACTGGAGTATGCCAAGACCGCAGCAACAAGATGACCGCCCAAAATTCATTCTGCCGCAACTCCACGGCGATGCCTCGAAGGTGGTGAAAGTTTAAAGCAGCCATCGTCCGGATATCGACAGCGCCATCACCGATCCTGCTAAAGAGCGACAATACCACAAACCTATTTACTCGAAAATCAGTCCATACTTCAATTGTACGAGTCTACTTGCACGAGCCACAACACCAATCAGCTTAACCTCCTGCACAGATTTCCACAGCCTCTAAAATGCTCGCCCTCTCCGAAGAGTCCAAGGTTCGTCGCGGTCCATCCCTCCGCACTATTCGGCTTGGTGCTGACAGCAAGCAGGAGCGCATCAGCAAGCTCATCGAGATCTCGCGTGTTGTCATTCATTAGTGCGTCATCCTGCCATTTAACTCTCAGCGAGTGCTGGCATACTGACCCCAGCAGTGGCTATCTCCCTATGATTCTCTATCTCGGTATGTTGTTCCATGAACTTCTGCAATGTTAAAAGGAATGGATATGCTAACTCTGTCTCAGGATACACTCGCAGCGAGCCTAAGCCCTCGATTATCCGGTATGTCCGGTCTTCTTTATCGAACCAGGAACTCGACCCGCTGACTCTTCCAGTCTCCTCTCTCCCCTCTCTTGAACGATATATACCCCTTCACAGACAAAGATCCCCATATGTTGTATGAGTAGTGTGGGCTGCAGGATGGACAATGTGTTCAGGGCCGGCTGGATTCTGAGACGGGGAGCAAGAGGAACAGGAAGAGGAAAATATGACAGCTGCCATCGTGATGTCACCATGGGCCACGATGATTGTACACTATAGTCACGAACCATCTCCAGCGCATGATATTCGGCTTGTACTAAGTAATGGGATAAACTGGCTTGGGTTCTTTTACTCCTTGGTAGTCCATACACAGGTGTCAGTCTGTAAAGTCTTTTGTGCCGGTGTTGCCCCTTTCGGCGTTTCGCTTTCTTCGGCCGAGGATTGCCGGGGTCGCACTCTTTTTTTTTTTTTTCCCTCTTGCCTTGCGTCATCCCAAGTCGCGCGCGCAACTTCTACTTCTTCCAACTTTCCCATTCACGCCCACGCTTTCACATGGACTTCAGCTAGAACACACCCAATACCAACACAACAACCAAGTCAACCCTCCCGGGGACCCATGTAGCGACGTACCTCACTCAAAACGTCTCCTATGACGGACACCAAATATGCGGGCCTCTCCCCCGCCCTCGTAGAGACCGTCGCCGGGCTCTCGGCCGGGTCCATGGCCACCCTAGCCGTGCATCCACTTGATATCGTCAAGACGCGCATGCAAGGTACGTTTACTCGCCTCTCTTCTTTCCTTACCCATTCCTTGATTAATACCAACCACTCCCAATGTAGTTTACCGCAGCACCTACACCTCCTCCCCAACTCCCCTCACCACAATCGCCATCCTCCGAGCTCTCCTCCAGACCGACCGGCCTGTGTCAGCCCTCTACCGCGGTTTGACTCCAAACTTACTAGGAAACGCAACGAGCTGGGCCTCATTCTTCTTTTTCAAGTCCCGTTTTGAGCGCGCCATCGCATGTATCCGCTCCTCAGCAACCCGAGATGGCCAAAAGAGGGGAAATCACCGATTAACCCCCCTAGATTTCTTCCTAGCCTCCCTCCTCTCTGGCATAGCCACACAACTCCTCACCAACCCGATCTGGGTTCTCAAAACCCGCATGCTCGCCCTCGACGCATCCGCCCAAGGCGCATACCCCTCCATGCTCTCTGGCGCTCGGCAACTCCTACGCGACGAGGGCTGGAAAGGCTTCTATCGCGGGCTGGGCGTCGGTATGCTAGCCGTCAGCCATGGCGCGGTACAATTCGCTGTTTACGAGCCGGGACGGAGGCTGTGGGTTGCTGCAGCGGAACGGGTTCGACGCAGTCGGGGGACGTCCGAAAGTAATAGAGAGGCGGCGCTGTCCAACGAGGCAACCGTTGTGCTGTCGACTGTGTCGAAGCTCGTTGCTGGCACGGTAACGTACCCGCTACAGGTACTGAGGAGTAGATTGCAGTATCACGAGGCGGAGAGGGTTTTTGGGAGGGGATTAAGAGGAGTGGTTGGGCAGTTGTGGAGAGAAGAAGGGGTAAGGGGGTTTTATAGGGGACTGGTGCCGGGGGTTGTGAGGGTGATGCCGGCGACGTGGGTGACGTTTTTGGTGTATGAGAATGTGAAATGGTATCTGCCGAGGTGGATTGGCGAGAGGGAGATTAGAGTCGTTTAGCAGGGAATGTCCTTAAGTTTGAAGGGTTTGTATTATTGTCGTGTGTTAGTAGGCTGGTTGGCATGGATGGGGGGGGAACCGGGGGGGGGGGGGGAGGAGGAGGGAAGGAAGGGGATATTTGGCGCTGGGGTTTGGATCATTGGATGTATAGAGAGATGCCTTGAACTATGGATATAGAAGGGTTCAAAAAAGGACTTTATCTGTTTTGTTTAGGAAATTTCCAATGTCAAACCTCTAATGAAGCCCATTTTTGGGGGTGGCGACGTTGCGACAGCTTCATGTATCCCCATCTTCCTATCAGGGTCGTTCCCAAGCTTTCGTTGAACAATAGTCGCAATCATGTAGAGTTCCTCCCTCGGCTCTTGTTGGTTTATTGCTTTCTATTGAACTGGTGATGACACTTGTTAACTCAAGTTGGCTTCGGTTCCTTCACCAAATTTCAGTCTTCACAGATGGATGTCTCCTGCCCATCTATTCCTCTACCAATCCGTCCCTCACGAAGCTCTCTGACTGTACTCTGTAGAAAGAAGGATGCTCACCCAGCTTTCATTACTCAGATGTTCACCTGGGCTTCGAGCATGCCACCTGGCCATTGGTCCTCTACGCTTTCAGGCTCTTCATGGCACCTTAGTGTTGGTTCATGACTCTCATGATCTAGCCAGTTTATCGGCCTCTGAGTGCGTGATTACATTTGTCCTTGTTTTGCAGCCCAAGAACATTCCTAAATTAGGTACAAATGCTATGTTTTCCAGAGGATTCTCTCTCATATCTAAGATCAAACTTGTTCTCTGTGTTATCTCCTCAAATCCCTGTGGAAGTTTCAAATGCGTTGGTCAGCTCTCTCAGATACCCTTTCAACTTCAATATATGCATGATTGTGAAAAAAAAAAAAAAGAGAGAGAATACATGTGTGGTTATTCTTTATTGCTTTGTAGAAATTATAGAATCTGGGCTTTAGGTTTTGCTCTTGGCTGTTGTATCTAGGATGCTCGGACTTACGATCAATACCCCTCTACACTCTAGTCTTTTTTTCTCAATATCCCCTAGCACCAACACACAAAATCATATCTCAATGTTACTTAGGTTATATCTGGCTCAGCAAAACATTAATTTCCGTCATTGTCTTGCAAATCGTGCAGATACCCGTCACAATCCCCCACATCGGACCGCATAGGACAGTGACAACATGACTATGGCTAGAAGAAGTGACCAGAGTGTTCCTGTGTCGTCCAACACTCTAAGATAGCAATTTTACACAGTTATCCAAGGTTTCAAGTGCTATCAGCTCTTCAAATCCAAATGAGTGTTGTCCATTTTCAAAGTTTGAACTCGTGCGGCTCGACATTCGACGCGAAATGACTAACATCTATTTGACAATCCAAGGTTAGGTGCCTATGTTCTCAGCTCGACAAGCACTAGGGCCATACCTTGAGTATCGCAACGACGGTCCATGGACTTCAAGCAGTCTGCATGTCTCAGATTATATGCAGCCTCAACAAGGATGCGCCTTCTACCTCGATGTGATATTATCACAGCTTGCCACATCTCAGCGAACAAAAAGTGGACAATGCTTTTTCCCAACAATGCCCAACCTCTTCATCATGATTTTTGTTCGCCATTGTGAGCTTTGACAGCGTATGTAAGCCATCAGCCTGCTGACCCCCATCCCAACCCGCAACCTGCATCCATATACTGAACACACATACGCATATCGTAACCAGCATCCGAGACACCGCGCTCTCGCCTAGCAAAGCCGACAGCCAACTGTTAAGCTCTGGGCAGCATGCAAGATCCCGATCCCAAGCAGGATCGTACAGCATATCACTTGGACTAGGGCGAATGCGCTTGCGAGGAGGCAATCTCCTTTCAACACCATTCCCGCCCAATTTCCAGACCATGACCACCGGAATGTGTCCGTTCAACTTTGAGGCGCACTCAGCCCTCGGATCTCGATGGAGGGACTTGTATGCTTCACAGGAGAGATTGATGCTGTCTCCGACATAGCGTGATGTCGCTCGGCCAACCAGCTGGCTTGGTAGGCATTTGCCGCTAGGGAGGTGGCGAGGGAGGCAGGTTAGCTCCGTTTAGACTTTGCAGCTTGCATCAATTGATACGGGCGAGGCTTAGAATTGCGAGTTCTAGAAGCAGAGCAAAAATTCAGGAGTTCTAGCCCACATAAGACTGGTGAGCTATCTGTATGAATCGCAAGCAACATCCAACCACATGCAAGGTTGTGTTGATCCTTATCGTGTTCCTTGATCCAACCCCATAGCTAGAGAGTTCTGGATTCAAGAAACTGCAGGGAGGGTGATGAGAACAGCTGACATGGTAACTTTTGATGCGTAGACGGAGTACATTATGGGTTAGAGGGAAATTGTTCCGTTGGTACATGCTGCGTTGAATACCTAAGTACCCCTCAAGGACTTGGAAAATAACGCCACTCCAAGATGAACAAGATCACTCAAGTTATGGCTGTTCAGACTATGGACTAGCAACTTAATCGTTCCTTGGCCAATGACCTTGTGACACTCAGGTCTCGCTCTTGGAAGAACTGTGAGACATAACCGGAATTTAGATACCGGAGTTCCTGAGGCGAGATGGCGACAAGGACTAGTCCATACTAACTTCTAGCCGAGCTTAATTTCCAAGGGTTAGCAGCACGTAATTGGCAGAGTCGAGTGCATAAAACAAGCGCCAGTAGCCCCTGGTGAGGAGTGGCAATCAGGGATTAGGGGGCGTGTCATCCTATTCAGTTTTTTATCCTTAGAGGCAATTGAGCTTAGACAGAATTTTGAGCGATTAACAATAATCTTACAACCCTAATTGTCATTCATCGAAAAATTGTTGGTTGGGGGGTGGGGGGGTGGCGGTGTTTGCTCGTAGAAGATTGTGGTAGTAGACAAACTCATACCACATAGAAATTACCACGAAATTCAGGTACATATCTGGATATACACGTATAAGAGTCTCAGTTTAACCGTTAGGTCAGGGGTAAGGATGAACGACATTGTTTACCCTCAGGCTCCAGGGTAAGGATAATCATTAGATAGACAACTGAGCACCAGTTTAACATGTATCACCTTCTCAACTTATAGATGAAACGAGACTCAGACCCTAACTCAAAAACTGTCCGTAGCACGGCCATAGCCGCCTAGGTTACTTAATCCCAATTATTGCTGACCAACTTTTGCTCGAGGTCCCCTTTTCATGTTGTGTTACGCGGCACAACATCGGGCCCGCTCAGCTTTCTAGGTATGCGTATCGTCCGTGCCATGCTCCCCCCTGAGCCAGTTGACTATGTCATGCAAAGCTTACTGGCAGCGGCGGCAGGAATGACGCTGGTGACTTACGTCGGGTTGTCATTGACTGGCAAATATCTGTCTCATTGTGACAGCGTGCAGGACGTAGCAAAGGGCAGAGCATCAAACAAGTTCTCTGATGCTGTAACTACACAGCAAGTCTTTCTGAATGCAGCCCACAGGAATCAAATCAACTTCAAGATGACAGAAAGTGTAAGAAATACATCATCATCATCATCATCACTGATAGACTCAATAACACTTGTCTCGTTCGAACAAGCCAAACCCCCCTCCCCACCCACCCTTTTCCCCCAAGATCCCCTCCCAAATTTCAACACTACAACCTCCCACCGGCCTCGTGTCCCGTCCGCCTCTCCCGAGCGCCTCATTCTGATCGTCTCGGACGGTCTCGATTCGTCGCAGAGCCGCAACCGTTCATCTTCGATACATGTCTTGCCCTTGCCCTATCCGCCTCCATCCAAACATAGCTCGAGGGCCCAAGTCCTCATCTGGCAGTCTGAAACGATCGTCTCTTTGCACCGGCCAGCTCGGGCAAGTGATAAACGCGGATTCATGGGCAAGCGATCGGCGTCCCGAGTTTGTCCGACAACCGGGAGTGTTTAGGTGTTAACAACACGCTCGAGCGTGGATGCAGTAGCGATTACGCCACAAAGCAGGAGGATGACTTTATTTTATTTTATTTTATTTTATTTTATTTTATTTTATTTTATTTTATTTTTGCCTGGATCTTGCAGATTGTACATATGATTTATGCTAAGAGGCTTTGGCGAAACAAAACAGCTTCACTAAAGAGTAATAACTACCGAATGTCACCTGTCTATGCGCCAGGATCGATGACGAGTGCAGGAAAATGATACCTAACATTGTCACTGTTACCCTTTGACAAGAGCCGCAGCCCCAAGTGTTCTCAACAAGGGACCCTTTCATGTCAAGACTGGAGATATCTCACTCTTCAATGTAACCCCCACACCAAAGATAATCAGGGGCTGAGGGCGGCAGTATCACTTGGGCAATGATGCTGTCGCAACAAGACCCTCCATCCTCTTGACCGGCACTTCTCATGATACATGAACCATCCATTCAAGATCAGCCACCCAGGCATGCCGATACGCTGTGCAACATCGTCTCAATAGTATCTTTCTTATATCCACTCATATATCCACTCATATCTCTCTCTCCCTCCCCCTCCCCCTTCCGGACCGTTGCATAAACGTCCCTCTACAACAACCGAGCGCTCCCCTGTCAGACCCTGCAGAGTGGCCCTCACTTTCATTGAGCTCCTCGGGATTGTCCAGATTGTCCAGTTCCTGCAAGGGACACGCAGAAGCCGTCCCTCGCCCTCGCCCTCGCCTATCGGATCGATACAAACCTTATCCCCACAGGCACGGGTGAAACATCGTCAAAGCTTGTTAGGAGGTTGAAGGTTAGGCATTGGTGGAGGGTTGGTCCCGGGAGTGACCCGCTCGAGAGGTCGTGGATCTGTTTTGGGAGGGGCCGATTCGCCTGTTGTTTAGATCTTCAGTGCTACGGGAACACACAATGGGAGTGTCGAGCAGGTTTGAGAGTTAGTTGAGAAGGTTGTTGATCGCCTCCTGTTATCCTTATCGTGGATGCCATTGACAGGCACACGGGATCTGTCTCAGCAAGCGAAACTGTTGCTTTTCTTACCACAGAGTCATATTGGTTGTTGTCAAGACTTGGCAGGTGCTTATCTCCCAGTCCAACCATCTTGATGCCCATTATCAAGCTGAGAAACCAACGCCCATCGTGGTTGTGGCCAGCGGCTGGATCTCTCACAACTAGTCCTCAGGCATCGGTGCAGCTGAGCATCCTGAGACCTTCAACAAGCCGTGGGATCTAAACCGGTCTAACTTCCAACAACACTCTTTGCTGCGCCGCATCTACACTCTAGTGTCTGTAATACGTAGGTGTAATCACGTTAAATTCGTGATCCCGTGGGGCAGAGTAAGCAACAGGTAATCGTGGAGGCAATGCTGAACGGGGAAACGTTTCCCTCACAAGAAGATTGCAGCATTTCACATCTAAGGCAAGTGCTTGAATCCATGGTGACCAATGACACGAGAGCAAGAAGCGAGCCACGCCCCTCTCCGACATCGCGGCTTCAGAAGATGCTGAAAATGTCCCCCACCCTGCTTATGATAGTGAGCGATGAGTTTCTTGGCGGTGTTGAGCATGTTGGACGGTTCTTGGTTGTTGTCGAGTGGTTTCAATGAAGTTCGCTATGCTTCTGTGGAGTATAGCTATTAATCTGAGACGTTGGAACAAGAACCGTTGTGGGTTTGTTAAACGGTCACGGTTCCATCGACATGACCTGGCCTGGTGACGGTTTGCTCTGCTTGGCTCCAGTTCCCCAACAACCGCCGCGATTCAGGACCTCGGTGTTGGTGTTGGGGATGTGAACTTTTGGTCGAGAAAATTTTCTCGGAAAAAAAAAATTCCCCACGCTTCTTCATCACATTAGTCCAACTCATTCTCCGCGGCGGAGCAAATCTCATAAGCCAACGGGGCAGAAGGATTCGTCTCCTGGAGCCCATGGCCATGGTACGGGGACAGAGATAGCGCAACGGGCGGGCTCTTCCGGTCGTCCTGGAGCATCTCGTCCTCTTCCCTCTCCCCTCCCCCCCACCTTGGCCCAAACCCCAGTTTACCCCCACGCTTGGGCGCCTTGCGCTGATGGGAACGTGCCAGGGAAACAGGGACAACCTTTCTGGTGGGATCATATCTGCATGCCATGCTCTCCGTATTCGCCAAGAGTTCTTACCCACGAGAAACGCAGATGTGCCCATCAAGGTTCTTGGTTCCTCTTCCGAAATCGCTAGCACTTGCTATGCTAGGTGCTGGCTTTTTGGAATATTGCCTCATCCCGCCGTATCCTCCCAATCGTGGTGCTGGTTCCACGGCACTGCCGGCGTTTCGGGAGTGCTGTTCGGCTCAACTAGCAAAAGTGATGGCGATAGTAAAATGGTGGCAAGACTGATGTTGAACGAGAATGGACGAAGCCTTTCATCGAAGTGGGAGTCGGGGGCTGGAGGGAGCTCATAGCCTGCCCGCCATATTGAGCAAGGCCAGCAAATGAGAATCACCTGTTTTTATCATACCAAGCAAGAAGTGGCGGGGCTAGCATGGATGGTGAGGAAAGGCGCGCGAGCGTAGAGTTCTGGTGCGCGGCGGCACCACGCCAAGGGTCGCGAACCAAAGGCGGGAGCCAATTCTGTGGGTATCACGACGCTGGTTTGGTGCTTGGCGACCAGCAACAAGGGTCCGGGGAGATCGCCTGCAATCCAGAGTACTGGAAGCGACAGAAGAGCAGGGGGTTCACGTTCGTAGGGCGCTCTATGCTGAAAATGGTTAAAGAACCATTTTAAAAACATTTAAGAGCGTCACCTGATTGGTTACCCTTGCTGCCAGCAGCAAATCATCCCATGATTACCGAACAATGCCAAGATGGTACGGTATCTGTACAAATGTTTGGTGCGAGGCGATAGCGAGACTGTGCCTTCGAAGGCATTTGTCTTCTTATGTAAGTACCTGGAAAACCCAGGGCAGAAAGCGAGGTGCAAGCTGTTATTAGCGAGAGGTTTCGAGAGGCCAATTCTTAAAAAAAAATTATGCTTACTGAAATAAACACGCTCTAGCAAACAGCACTAGGCCTAACCGATTATCAAATATGTGAAGAGTGGACTCTTTCTCTCGCTGCTTCTCACGCAAAGCTTGACTGCATAGCTGCCCGAAAAGCTGTTAAGTACCAACTATATATGGCCGTCCCGATCACTAACGACTGCTCAGTCCACTTCTTGCCCTTTTGATGTGACCGAGGAATCTTCTAGCGCCGCGGAAGTTTGGCGAGGGGAACCTGGAATACCGCCGTGATTGGCCCGATGAGGGTCCGATCGATTTCGCCATCTCCAGTTCCAGCACCCCTTAGCGCTCGACCCGTCACCGGGGAAGCTCCTCGGGAGCCTGTGCCGGCGGCAGTGATGGGGCCTGGGGACGCTCGCGGATGGACTAGCGAAGCGGACACCCACCAACGCTCCCGGACCCTTACCCTTAGCGCGGCTAGTTAGCGCGATACTGTACCTTGGGCGAGGATACGCAAACAGCGGGGATACTCTTTTTCTGGCGAATTTGATGATGAAAAGGCCAGGTGACACGCTTCCTTCCCGGCTGTCTGGTTTAAATATAACCAACTGATCGACATCCGTCCACCTCTCGTAAGCCCTTCCAGATCCGGATTTGCTTGCAGAACCGCTTCTTGTGAGAAATATATATGAGTCGTCAGATTCATGACTTGCATTCCTGGACCCTGTCCGATTCCTTGCGGCAACGGGTCACTACCGCGGCCATCGTGTCGGGCTGAGCCTTGGTTGGCTCGATTGCTTGTCATGTCACTGGTCTAGGTACGATGTATGGTAGGTACTTACTCACATAGCAGCAGAGTGTCTTGCTTCAACCGCTCGCTGCCCCTTACATACAAGCGCTACTGGGCTGTAAGTAGATAGACACCTAGGTATGTTGCCTAGGCTCAGTTTCCAAAGCAGTCTGAATCCTGATTTTGGTGAGTCGGTCGCTCTCTCGCGAGAGTCTTTCGGTCGCATTTGAATAGCTGCAGATACATTATCTAAGACCGAAAGGTTGCTGCCCCCATGAGATGTGTCCAATTGTGTAAGCAGGGAAAGACTACAGGTTCGCTTATTGGGCTAAAGGGCTTCGCATCCAATACAGTACGTGGATGACGAATATGTAGGTACGTCAGCTAGGAAGACGCAATGTGTACCTGCCATTCTTGCAGCATTTTTTGCCAACAAAAACAGGAGTCCAAACTAAATATACTTTTCTTGCAATGTTTGGGGTTTGTGAACACGGATCCGTATTCAGGTCTGTGTTAAGAAAACCGTTTGAGCATGCAGGAGCTGTCACTGCAGTGACCGGACGCCACATGAGAGCGAATATGTAGCCTTCTCCAAACAGTATAGGCATGTCGGTATCAACTAGCTGAATAGCCTTTATCCTGCTTCGTCTTACCAACACCAAGGGGATATGCAATATGCTAGCGTAGGGGGCCACTGCAAAGATGCAGTAGACTTAACGAAACAATGCGGCTGCAAGACTGCCTTCGTTCTTGCCGTAAACACTCTGGATGCTGACTTGTGTATCTCGAAACGCACAGATCAGGCCAATTGAGCCTCGAGCGCACGGTTCCCATCGTAGCGGACGCCCCGGATTTACGGTACCACAAGCAAAGGCGCGGCCGGCAACCGTGGTATTGGTAACTGCAGTACCGAGGCGGCTCGCTCGATCGAGAGCCAGTGCACACCAACTTTGCTGCAAGTAGCCGACGAAACAAGTCCTCCCGAAGGGGACTGAACATAGGGACCTGAATGCTGTCGAGGAGCAAAGCTGTACCCTGATATTTACCTAGGTATAGGCCAAAGATTCTGTGGTATTGTTGAGCAGGAACGCGATATGAGACCCGGACATACCTATCACTGGCTGATTGGAGGAGGTCAAAAAAACACATTGGTACTTAACAAACCATCCACCTGCAAAGCGCTTCAACAAATCACATGCCGATAGCAAGGGCTATCAGATTTCCTCTGTTTGCGTCTCCCGAGGTCAACAAAAAAAACATTTTTCAATTCTCATCTTTTGTGATGTGGTGCGATGAAACGCGGGGTCAGCGCGCCTATGAGATCTGATGACCAAAGGGCATGCAAGAGAGTTGCTGAGACGAATAACTATGGATGAAACTGACCAAATGAACAGTGGAGAATGTCCTTGGTCTTTCAGCATGCAATGTTACTTTCCGGGAAGCTACACGGCTGCGTCCGGGCTCGGTTCCGGTGCTGGCGCCCAATCTGAAGGAAGAATACCCTGTCATTCTTCGTCTTGGCCTGGCTCGAGCCCCCTATTGCTCTGCTGTTTCGCCTTGTCATTACCGTGCCATCTTACATACGCCATCGATTTCACACCCACTGCTACTTATCTCTTCTCACCAATCTTTCTCCATGGAACTTCGCAAAAGAATCGTGCATCACGACGGCGTGACTCTGGAGCTGCTCCTCAGACTCCTCTTGCAACTAGCAATCATGCTAACTTACTAGAGCCGACATCAAAGACCTGATGTGGTTGCGAGCTTTGAGAGTCGTCGTACCACGCTCACTGGACCTGCGATCTTGCTCCTCTCAAGCCAAGATCTTGCCAAACAGCTGCTACCCGATCTTCAGAAACAAGGCACAACAGGGCTCCCATATCTCGATATGAAGGCAATGGTTGCGGGAGAAGACGAGATATATTAAAACCGGGGAACTGAGAGATCATCCCGAGGGGGAATTTGGAGACGTGTTGACAAGTCCGTGATGGGGCGGAATTATCCGAGTCCTCTTTCGGCTCGGCGTGTGTCATCGCAACGTAGGCTGCCGGCTGTGATCTTGTCTCACCGTCAAACCTCTCAACAGGAAATGGTGACTTGACGGTAGCCTGCCTGGCTAGAGAGGGGTCCAAACGAAAGGGAAGGGGGTTGCCCCATCAGAGCCCCTGCGGCCCGGCTTGGTCTGTTGCCTCTAGCCCGGCCCAAATTCGCGGGTAAGACTCCCCCGGGATCCGTTGCATTGGCTGGCGGTGGGGGTTTGGCCTTGGTTCGAGCCCTCTCATACGACTAAGTGCACTATGTAGAATATGTGCCCCAATGGGGAAAGGAACTAATACAAACGCCCCAGTTTGATGGGGACTTGCCCTTCCCAAACACGATTCCAAAGAGTACCAATCGACTGGTTTGCCTTAAACTAGTGTCGATCGGAAAGACTGGGCGTTCCCGCCTGCTCGGGACCAGCTGACGGGATCTGGCCCGGTACGCTACTGATATATGAACCGGGTCTCCTCTCCCACCCCTTCGGGATGCTCGCCCCATCGTCTCGTTCGCTCCATCAAGTCGTGGCAACAGCCAGGGACAACCTGTTGTACTAGTTGTATTGCTTGAAGGCTGTCGCCTGTTCTGTGTGTCTGTGATCATCTAGCGTCATCATTTCTCGTGTATCGCTCTGTGTTGCTGTCCAGACTTATACATACGCCAATACAACGACCTTGCTGAACGCTCCAGACGAACACATCTCTATTTAAGATGGCCATCACCTTTCAGTCAAACACGAGCACCGACGGCTGGGCTCGTTGGCCTCAACAATCCCAACAACCCCACGCCAATCCCGACCAATACCCCTTCCTCGAGACCGGCATGATGTCCTTCGAGTGCCAGTCGGGGTCACCAACAACGCCCATCCAGCGTACCAACTTTGCTCAGCCCTTCATCACGAATGCCTTCAGACATCACCAGTTGTCCCCTCCTGCCTCTCCTCCATACCAGGGCCCAGTTGCCTACAACGAGCCTGTCCCCCTGACCCCCCAGACGCTCCCCGACTCATCCTCTTCCTTCCGCGCCCAACCTCGTCCCGAACCCCTAACCCAACCAAGACGCCAAGACCGCTGGGAGGTTATGACACCCGTCGAGCGCAGCCGGAGTCCCTCCGTCACGGTCGAGGAGCGGCGGCCATCACCAGATTCTTCCTCTGCTTCTTCGCCAACATCAACCACATCAAAGGAGATCACACCAAACGTCAGGGTTGGGGGAGCGCCCGTGTACGAAACACGGACTGCTGTCGACGATCTCATGAAGGTTCTTCAGACGCGGGTGAAGACGGCTAAGCTGACGGAGAAGAGTCGGAAGGAGCAGCAGCAGCAGGCAAATGGGAGTAGTGAGGAGGGGCAAAAGGACTCACAGCAGGGGGCAGCAGCGGCAGGGAAGGCGAGGAAAAAGAGATTTGCTTGCGATATTCCGGGGTGCACGAAGACGTTTGCGCAAAGGAATAATCTCGAGACGCATCGACGGGCGCATACGGGGGAGAGTCCTTACGTGAGTAGCCTTGGAAGGAGATGAGAAACCAGCATTGTGCTGATTGGGTTATAGGTCTGCCCTATTCCTGATTGTGGGAAGAGGTTTACTCAGGGGGTTAACCTTAGGGTAAGTTGTCCATCTTAAATTGACACTCTTGGAATGTCGCTGACAGAGTCTAGTCACATGTGAGCCGTCACCTCGGCCAAAGACCATATGAGTGCCCTCGCTGCGGCAAGGCCTTCCCTCAGCGCTCCAACGTTAAGTCACACATGAAGATCCATGAACCCCGGGTCAAGCTTATCTGCCGCCTGGATAATTGTGGCAAGGCCTTTACCGTCAAGGGCAATCTTAAGGTTGGTCTGACAAATTCCCCAGCACTTCAAAACTCTCAACTAAACAATCCTCCCCCCCCCCCACCAACACAGACACACCAGAACCGCTTCCACCTCGAAACAATCTTGTCCCTCAAAGAAAAATTCGCCTCTATCGAAGACTTTGACGCGCTCCCCGAAGAAGAGAAAGAGTTCATCGAATACTTCATGACCCTGCACAACAACGCCAACAAGGGCATCAAGGGCCGCGGCAAGAACCGTAAAGTCAAGCGCCTGCAGCTCGACCAGCCCTTGACTTCTTCTCAAATCCAGGCACATCAACAAACCTCACAGCCTCCGATGCTTCATCAGGTCTTGACCACAGCTGCTCTGACGCCTGTTACGACACCAGCGAGTAGCCCCATTGAAGGGCCCTCGCCGCATCATCACCAGTCGATTCCGCAGCCACATCCTTTCTCATCGCCGGTGGCGATGGTGGCGCCGAATTCTGCTGCCCATCATCATGGGCTTCCGCAGATCCCGACACCGATTTATCATGATCCTTATGGCAACGAGCCGAGAGCTGAGGGGTATTTCGTGTTGCCTTCACAGCCCCATACTGTGATGGGGATTCCTCAGACTAGGCATCCGGGCGGGGAGTGGCCCGCGCCATATGGAGTTTGATCCAAAAGCATCTTTTTTTGGATTCTTTGATCACTTGAAAAGTTTTGCATTAGTGTTGTGGGTTGGCCTTGTTGATTTTCTTCAGGGACATGTAGATCTATCTCTCTGTTTTGTGTGGTCATTTGTTGAAGTGCCTGGTCATGTACACCATCTATGGAGTTCTGGGTCGGCTGTCTGCTTTCAAGGGGGTTTTGTTGGTATGTACTGAGGGTGGGGTTGGCTTGCGCTGTGTATTGGGAAGGTATTCTACTTTCACTGGCATAAAATCTATCTCAAGGCGTAAAATGAAGGGATTCATCAACCCACAAGGCTCCCAACTCCAGAGTGATAATGTTTGAGTTAGAACCAAGGAAACAAGCATGCGGAGGAGGCGTCATTTGCACGGAACTGCTCAACCTGTGCCCACAAAAGATGGGATTTTCCACGTTGCTCAAATTGCAACGTCTCTACACCTCATCGATCTCGATATCAAGGATAGAATTTTTTTTTTTCAGCGCCATTCCTGTCAAATCCGCCTGATGACAAAGCGAGATCAACAGGGAAGATGTGACACAACCTCCACACCCTAACTTCCTCAATCTGCATTCTGACACATCTCCCACTTCTCCTTTCGGTATTCGGTATCTGATTCGACTGTTTGCCACGCCCCTATCTCCATTGTTCAAAGTTTGTTTGCAAATGGTCTCTCCTGGACTGTGTGTCCTGTGATCAAGAAACAGCAAAATGGTCGGCGACCTCGCGGCCGGGCTACCAAACTGCTGGGTCCAAAGATGTTCACGGCTGAACCCGTACCATATCACATCCCACATCCCTAGCCATCGACAAGCACTGGGACGGGCGGACAGCGGTGGCCCCCTGTCCGTACTGGGCGACTTGCATCGTCGATCGATCTGCTCGGTTGCCTTTTGGGCATCAGGATAGTTGAGAGTCTCCCTAGCCCAAGTCCAAGGAGAAATACTTGTACACACCTACTGAGCCCGCCACATCAGAATTGCTGGTAACTAGTTATCAGATTTTATTTTTTTTTGCTGGATGCGTGAACAAACAAAACCATTCTTAAGGGGAAAAAAAATGTCTCTTCTGATATGCAGTGTGCATATAGGTACTTGTGTTGTCACATTTTCCCTTGACAATGACATGCATTATCATGGTCTCTGACAATTCATATTATCTTCATCTCTCATCGCGTCAACATTTAAAGCACATTACAGTGCCCTTTCCGTAACTCAAACCCTATCAGTACCCCAGTAACCCCCTCACAAAAAGACTTTGACTCCTAACGGTCTCGACCTGGACCTTTCCCTCAGCCCAACATCTCCCTCCCAATCTCTACCCTTTTTGGTGATATCATTCTCGAATCGAATCGGATTTCCCGATAGCGTATCGTTACCAATCCAAAAATAATCCTCCAAACCATTGTACCTAAACCCGTCAAGAATCCCCAGCTCGGTACGGGCAGGGCTTGCGAAAGAACAACGTCGATCCTCTGTTCTGGCAAGGCAAGGCAAGGCAAGGCCAGGCGGATCCGTTTCTCGCTTCATGATTCCGTTTTGCAACGGGAGCTTGCCTGCCCTTGTTGCTGGAATTGCTCCCCCCCCCCTCTCCCCACTTTCCCCGACCTCCGGTTGGGACGGGTCAGCCCAGCCCCCGCCGCTGCCCACTGCAGAACAGACCCCGGCCACCGGGACCTGCTTCCGGCGTCTGCACCCCTGTCTACTGGAGACTGCAAAGGCGGCTTTGTGGATAGCCTTTGCCCCTGGCATCGTCATCTGACATGTTCGTCTCTTCTCTCCTCGTCATCGTCCTTCGTCTGCATCGGGCTCGCTGGGGTAAGCAGTCTGCAGGAGATGTTCGAAGGGCACATTCAGACGCGTCTCTCGTCGATGATGATATCGGTTTTACACTTAGCCGAAGTTAGCAGCAGCCGCGACGGTGCCGGCTGAAGGAGTGTCGATGTTGTACCTACATATGTACACTAAAAGGGGAGGTGGTTGACACGATGGATATGGCATCAGGTCATGTCTTTATGTCAAGGCTCCACAGATTGGTTAAGGAATCAGCACATTGTACTTCTGTGGACTTTAAACTTCGTCTGAAGCACTTCCAACAATGGCAAACAACGAACACTTCGTAGGTGAACCGACTTTTCTCGGCAAAAGGAGAGAGTATGGCGGTGACAAGGGAACAACATGATTGTTTGGGAGCCGTGGTGTTATTCATTGATATGAAGGACCTGACCGTAAGAAGGGCCGAGGTAGAGACCAACGATCATTGTCATATGAAAAGTTGAAGTTGAGGTGAGAGGAGATGCGGTAGAAACCGCGTTGCATAGGTAGCGGTGGAATATCAGAAGGCCTTGGAATCAACTTTGAGTTTCCGTCTCTTCAGCCATTGATTTGACGCCAAGCACGTCGTTGGTAAAATGTATCAATACAAAACAACATGTCATCGAGGCATGATAGAATCAATCACATCTTTCAGACCTGATCTGAAACTTCCCCGTATTCCATCAAGCCTGATCCTCATTGCTTCCGTGACGAGCCACGCCTCCAACGGCGTTGTGTTACCTTCCCTTCACAACTCCCTTCGTCATGGAAGATTCGGAACATGGCTTGCTCGTGAAAGGGAGGACTTGCATGGTGATCAAGTCAGGCGATTGACAGGGTGTCTGTCTGGCTGCTTGCTGTATCCAGCCTGTTCTCATAGGGATCTCCGCGCAAGGATGAGAAGTCATTGAAGAAACTAGCCAGGGCCTAGAAGATGATTAATTCGACGGGCGCGGAAACTCGGAAGAAGAGTGTCCAGCCTTTACTGTGCACGATCACAATAGGCTAGAGGATGGCATACTGGGCCGAATGTGAGAAGTGTGTTCCGGACAGCCTGGATGTTGGGAACACCACAATTGACCGCTGGCAAGGAGCCCTTGACGTATTGCTCATCAGTTGGGAATAGGACACAAGAGGCTGTGCTGAGCTGTGAGAGCCCTGCCAAGAGAGATGCGGAGTGAAGCTTGAAGGAGAAGTCTGCCCGGGGGGGGGGGGGAGAAGGCATTCGGACTCTATCCTCCATGCAACGTTGAAACAAACAGGATATTGTCGTTTGGCTGAATTTCGTAGGCCTCCTCACCCTCGAGTTCCCAGTCGGCATCGTTAATCAGCACCAGGATGCCAGGCCGGCTGTACTTCAGTTAAAAAGCTGTCGTCACATCACGCTGTGTATAAAAGAAACTGCTTACATGTGGTTATCTAACACAAACAGATCGGTGCGGGGGTCCTTCATGAGCTTCTTGCAGATATAGTCGATCAAAAATGCGATGGTGACCGGCTTTCCCTCCGTATCCTTAGCAGGCAAGGAAATAGAGTGACGACGCTGATTGTCGAATAGCATCTCAAGACCGCCGCTACATCGAGTCGCGTATGTCAGCCGCGTGCATGGAAGCGGGGTGAGGGCAGTGTGATGAGAACTCCTTGGCTGCAAGGGGAGAGCATCACCACGCGCCCAGGTGAAACCTGACGCAGGGGAAGTCTCCACTCACGAGAAATCTACGGTGATGGGGATCTCCTCAAGCTTTGCTTTGCTGGACATGGTGATGGAGACTTGTCTCGTATGCCCGAGAGCTGTTGGCGTTGTGTTGGTTGGATGTGGGGTGAAAAGGGTGAAGTTGAAATCTGAGCCAAGACAGCCCCCCCGCCCGCGTTGTGGGTGGTTCAATGCTGTTAAAGTTACACAGGGACAAACTTTCCGCTAGTGGTAAATTACGATATTCACATACGGTTATTTTCTGCTGTTCGGTTGCCTAAAATTTCAAACTGAAACAAGTTTCATCCAATAAGAACGCGTTTCGCCCATCCTTACGTTACGGAACGCAGAGCAATCTGTCTGGGCCTCCCAAACACCGATGCAATGGAGGGGCAGTTTAATGAGGGGCCAGAGCCAAAGTGACGAGCCTGGTTGAAGCGTCAAGCATGGCTCAAGACAACGCAAGAGACATTGTGCAAAGCCGCTACCTGTCGGCTGGCGCAAACAGATACGCTTGGGCAGCAGACTGGGGCGATGATGGGATTGTCGCCTTTGGCTCAGACACGAATGTTTGTCTGTGGAATCCCTCGGTAAGTTAAAGTTTTCATTCTCATCACTGATCTTGGTGAGGGCTCATAGCTCACACAACGCTAGAATTCAGCCGGCATATCACACATCCTAAGTGGTCATACAGCTCATGTTAGGGCTGTCAGGTTCGTACCGAAGGCAGATGGGGACCAGTTTAGCTACTTGATCACCGGCAGTGATGACAAGTCGCTGAGGGTTTGGGCCATCAACTCACGAGATGCCGGCGCTTCCTGCGTTCAGACCGTTCAAGAACACACAGAGCCTATCAATTGCATAGCTGTCCTACGAGTTCCAGGGTTTGGCAATGGTTTAGGATCAAGATCCATTGTCGCCACGGGGGCTGCAGATGCTACCGTAAAGATTTGGACCTTGGACCCGACAACAGGACAACTTGCGCTGTTGCAGACAATCAGAACTGTCAAGAGATACATGCCATTGGCAGTCGCCTTTTACCCCCTAAACAAGCAAGGAACCGAAGTCATCTTAGCGGTTGCGGGCACTACCAACGTTGTCCATATCTACACTTCCTCAACCGTGGACGGGGATGCACCTGTTACCGAGTTCACCCTTCAGGCTACATTGCCCGGCCATGAGAACTGGATTCGTTCCCTTGACTTCATCCGTGAAAAGAAGGAGGCAGGCAGTGACCTACTCCTCGCGTCAGCCAGCCAGGACAAATACATCCGTCTCTGGCGGATTCACCAGGGCAGTCCTCTATCAGCCCTGAGTTCAACCGGCCTGGATCTCTCAGTTGACTCCCTGATGCCAGGCCAGAAGCTCCACAAAGTCACTGCTGGTAGCACCAAATACTGCATCATGTTCGAAGCCCTTCTCCTCGGCCACGAAGACTGGATCTACACCGCCCGCTGGTCCCGCTCCCCTTCCAGCAACAAGCTCCAACTTCTCTCCGCCTCAGCGGACAACACCCTCGCGATCTGGGAAGCGGACCCCGACTCCGGCATCTGGCTCACGATCGCCCGAATGGGCGAAGTCAGCCGCGAGAAAGGCGCTACCACAGCCACAGGCAGCATCGGCGGGTTCTGGACGGGCCTGTGGTCCCCCTCTGGCACAACGGTCATCACCCTAGGCCGCACCGGCAGCTGGCGGAGATGGGACTATGATCCGAACGAAGACACCTGGAAACAACACTTCGCTGTCTCAGGCCACACTCGCGCGGTAACGGGTATCTCCTGGTCCCCTGACGGGGTGTACCTCCTCTCAGCCAGCTCCGACCAAACGACCCGTTTGCATGCCGAATGGACGCGCGGAGGCGAGGGAAGCGATAACAGCTGGCATGAGATGGCGCGCCCCCAAATTCACGGCTACGACCTTAACTGCATCGGCACGCTGAGCAACACCTCCTTCGTCTCCGGCGCAGACGAAAAGCTCATGCGCGTGTTCACCGAGCCCAAGGCCGTGGCGCAAATGCTCGCCCGTTTGACAGACGCGTCTCCCGAGGCTGCCAATGCCGCCCCTGATGCAGCAAACATCCCCGTGCTTGGGCTGTCCAATAAAGCCGTCGAGGTAGTCGACGACTCTGCCGACCCGACTGCTCCTCTTCCAGCACAAGATACAGTCATCGACCCGAGCAACCCCCTCACCTCGCGGGAAGACGCCTTCGACCCGGCGACAACCATCCGCGCGTCGGCGCTCGCAATCTCCCACCCTCCGTTTGAAGAGTCTCTTTCTCGACACACGCTCTGGCCCGAGATCGAGAAGCTCTACGGGCACGGGTACGAGCTTTCCTGTCTCGCGACAAGCCATGATGGCGGGGTGATTGCCAGCGCGTGTAAAGCGTCATCGCTGAACCACGCTGTGATAAGGCTATTTGAGACTAAAACCTGGACGGAGGTAAAGCCGCCGTTAGCGGCGCATAGTTTGACGGTGACGAAAGTAAGGTTTTCATACCCTGATGACAGGTTACTGTTGAGTGTCGGGAGAGATAGGCAGTGGGTTGTGTTTGAGCGTGAATCGGACGAAGAAGCGAACGGGGCGAAGAAGTACAAGTATAAGCAGATCCAAGCCAACGCGAAGGGGCACAGCAGGATGATTTTGGACTGTGCCTGGGCGCCGGTTGTCCGTCTTGGCGAGGACGGCAATGAAACAAGACTGTTTGCCACCGCTGGACGCGACAGGAGCGTCAAGCTTTGGATCCGACGTGCCGGTGAGGGGGAATTTGTTCAGGCTGCGGCTATCCCACAGGAGCACCCAGTCACAGCGCTGGATTTCGTGCCGGAGTTCACGGAGGATGGGTTGATTCTTTTGGCGGTGGGTACTGAGGCGGGTAGGCTGCTTGTGGTGTCTCTGAAGGTAGTTTCCGGCGAGGAGGGCAAGGGCGATGTTGAGATTGTGTCGACGCTAAATGTTCCGGCGAAGTTGTGTCTTCCCAAGGCTGTGATGCAGCTGGCGTGGCGGCCGAGGAGGGAGCGGCAGAAGGGGCGGGAGCTGGCGATTGCGGGGGAGGATGGGTCGTTGAGGATATATAGGTTTGGGTTGTGAAGGGGGGGTTAAATTGGATGATGGAATATGTAGTTCAATTAAAGGAAAAAAAAAATCTCATCGAAAGGGAGAAGTAGCTAGATTTAAGGCTCATCGTCAGATATTATTAGTCTATTACGTGATCGCGTACTTCATGCCAGTTCTATCTGTCGTAACTCACCCTAAACGCCATACCTCTTTATCCAACGCAGCATACATCCTCATCCGGCCAAGTTCTCACCCAGCCAGCCTTCCCGTCAGACATTAGATAAGGGTTCGTCCAAACATGACGTGCCTTCACTTTTATCATCACCTCCTCCCCATTATCAAAATCCAGCATTATATATGAGGAAAGCATTCACAACTCCCCTCTCCATTCCCAGCTTCATCTAATCTAACAACTCCGTATAAACCAGGTCAACCCTCCACCGATCAAGATACCCATCAGAGCTCCCTCCTCCCAGCAGCAGCCGCCTTTTCCACCGCGGCAGCCGCGGAATCCATCACCCTTTTCGCCGTCGTCGCGAGGAACGAGATATCCGACTCGGCCCCTCCGAATGGCGGCGCCTCGCCGTGGATGTAGTACCAGGCGCGCGAGATGACGAAGCGCACGTGGCGCGGCAGGTACAGGATGGTGGCGGCCAGGGTGAGCGAGATGAGTAGGAGGAGCACCATGTCTTTTAGCGTTTATATTAGCAGTGTGCTCAAAGATATATCAACGCAAGATACGGGTATTTCAGAACCTGAGAGAGTGTTGGGCTGAGTAGGGAGTGATGTGATGGGAAACGTACAGAAAAAGACTTTCTCTCCCCTAGTGAAGGTGTACACCGAGAAGGTGACCTCGAATTGGTAGTGCTTGAGCTTGAGCCAGTTCTTGAAGGCCTCCACGCGGGAAGAGGCCGGCTTGGTCGAGATCGATGGTGGTTGGGCCATGCTGGACGAGAAAGTGATGGAAAGGGGATGGGTGTTGCGCTGGTCGCGAGGAATCGGTAGGAAGGGGATTTAGATCAAAAAGAGAGAGCGCTTCGGAATTTATTTGATTTGTTGTCGTGTAGTCTAGCGCATCCGTAGTAGGACGTTGCCGTTATTGACGTTGTCGTTGTCGCCGTCGGTGTCTGCAAATCCGAATCCCGTGTCTTGTAGTTGTCAAGGAGGTTGTCGAGGTTCGCGGTGTGTCGCATCACCAAAACTATCGGACGAATTCCCACCGCCCGCCCACCGCCCCAGTCAGCGTCAGACCAGGAGAAAGCGACGGGGCCCCACCCAGGAGGAGGACGGACTGCGGAACAGCCGGACTGGGCCAGAATCTCAAACTTTAATTGGTCAATCGCTGCCCCACCTTATCGGCACTGCCCCAGACCTTCGATCCCTGTCAGTTCGAGCATCATCGTCTTCGGCTTCAATATCGCGAGAGAGATGGTGGGCCTTTTGTCCTTGTTGATGTTGACCTAGGGCTGCTATTTTCAAGCAGGGAGACTAAAGCTCTTTTGGACATAGGACACTATTCATAAGTCATGCCTCAACACTCTAGATGAAGTGAACAATCACCAAACCAACCGAACAACCAAGCCCTTCGCACCTAACGCTACAATGACGAGATGACACCCGCTACCACTCCTCTCCTCCGGCGAGCACTGGTTGCCTTTCCAGCAGCAAATGCCATTTCACACGGACTAAGGAGCCCCAAGAATGATTCTATCCTCCTCCCATCTGTTAGGGGACCGTCTCTCCTAGGAACCCTCTCCCCAACCGTTACTCTCCTCGGTCGATCCGTACCAGCAACAGCAGCTCCCTTCACAACCTCTCCCCTCCTCCACAAAAAACCCCTCCCCCCTCGCCCAAAACCCCCTCCCGAATCCGAAATCGAAGAATCCTTTCTCAAGGGCAGCGGCCCAGGAGGACAAAAGATCGTAAGCTCTCCCCTCTTTCCCTAGTATCCCCTCTTTTCTGCTCCCCTTCCCCGTTTGGTTTCCCCCTCGGTAATGTTTGCTTTCCCTCCCCACCACCAAGACCTTTTCTGACCAACACATCTTGGTGTCTTGTAGAATAAAACCAACTCCGCCGTGCAACTCCGCCACACGCCCACCGGCATTGTAGTCAAATGCCAAGCGACCCGCTCGCGCGAACAGAACCGCAAGATCGCCCGCGAACTGCTCGCCCAAAAACTTGATGAGCTGATCAACGGGGACAAGTCGAGGACAGCAATCGTCAGCGAGATCAAGCGCAAGAAGGCAGCTAGCAGGGCCAAGAAGGCAAGGAGGAAGTATAGGAAGCTGGAAGAGGCGAAGAAGCAGGCGGCTAGACTAGAGGAGGGGGGGAACGAGGGGAAAGAGTTTGAAGAGGAGGAGGAGGAAGAGGAAGAGGGAGAGAAAGATGAGGATGAGCTGGACACCAATACCCAGGACAACATCAAGGAAAAGGCAATATGATCTGAACGAGGCATAGACAGGTCAGGACATGGACCGGAAACCAACGGGGTAATAAGCCATGGTGAAGAAGACGGGCCCCTCCAATAAAAGCTTCTACGTTTTACGATTAAAAACACGTAGTAGTCCACGGATGGACAAGTTAACAAGTGTATAAGACCTGGCCCTACTTGTAACCATAGTTCTCAGTTTCCACCTCTAAACCAGGGCACACACACGCGCCCATCCGCCTGGGGAAGAACCAAGGGCGTGTGTCGCCCATGTTGCATGTCTTGTGTGTTCCAAACAGCACGAAAGTATGCTCGAACATGTCTAGCCCACCTATCCTTGTTGTTTTTGACCAAGGTCAAAACTTTTGAAAGATACGAGGCTCGTTGTTGTTGTTCACGAGATACATGCGCGACGTCCGACTCTTCTCCGTCTTTCTTCAAGACGCGGCTGTTGCAACCGCCGCCGCCAGCTCCGTCTCGCGCCGATCCGGGAAAGTGCCCAAGCCCTGCGCTGAACAAACTGTTAGCCTCTTGCCTTTACACTATCATGATGCATTGGGTTGCGGGTGCCTACTTTAGAAGCACTTGCGGTGGACGATGGACGGGCCGCTCTCGTCGTACTCCTGCTTGGAGATCCACATCTGCTGGAAGGTCGAGAGCGAGGCCAGAATGGAACCACCGATCCAGACGGAGTACTTGCGCTCGGGAGGAGCAATGATCTTGACCTTCATGGACGAAGGAGCAAGAGCAGTGATCTCCTTCTGCATACGGTCCGAGAGACCAGGGTACATGGTGGTACCACCAGACTGGGTACGTTAGCGTCCGCATGGGTCTGAGCAAGATAGCAGGGTGCCTACCATGACAATGTTGCCGTAGAGGTCCTTCCTGACATCGACATCGCACTTCATGATGGAGTTGAAAGTGGTAACGTGGATACCACCGCTCTCGAGACCCAGGACGGAGGGCTGGAACAGAGCCTCGGGGGCGCGGAAGCGCTCGTTGCCGATGGTGATGACCTGGCCGTCGGGCAGCTCGTACGACTTCTCCAGGTGGGAGCTCTGGGCAGCGGTCTGGATCTCCTGCTCGAAGTCGAGGGCGACGTAGCAGAGCTTCTCCTTGATGTCACGGACGATTTCACGCTCGGCCGTGGTCGAGAAGGTATAGCCACGCTCGGCAAGGATCTTCATGAGGTAGTCAGTGAGGTCGCGGCCGGCCATGTCGAGACGGGCAATGGCGTGCGGCAGCGAGAAACCCTCGTAGATGGGCACGACGTGGGTGACACCGTCACCCGAGTCGAGCACGATACCCGTGGTACGACCCGAGGCGTACAGCGACAGCACGGCCTGGATCGACACGTAGAAAGCAGGGGCGTTGAAGGTCTCGAAGACGATCTGGGTCATCTTCTCACGGTTGCTCTTGGGGTTGATGGGAGCCTCCGTGAGCAGGACGGGGTGCTCCTCGGGAGCCACACGCAGCTCGTTGTAGAAGGTGTGGTGCCAGATCTTCTCCATGTCGTCCCAGTTGGTCACGACACCGTGCTCGATGGGGTAGCGGAGCGTGAGGATACCACGCTTGGATTGCGCCTCATCACCGACGTACGAGTCCTTCTGCCCCATACCAATCATGATACCATGGTGACGAGGGCGACCGACGATGGACGCTGGCGAGTGTTAGCTGGCCGCTGGCATGTGGTCGGGATGGCCGGCCCAGCTACGTAGGCTGGACTGGACAAAAGAACCAGGAGCTGACTTACGGAAAACGGCGCGGGGAGCGTCATCACCGGCGAAACCGGCCTTGCACATGCCGGAGCTGGAAGGCGTCAGCAGTCATGTTTCTGGATGTTTTGTGTTCTGTTCTGCCGCTGGAAGCGCTGTTGGCACGCGATGGGATAGGCGGCACGCGTGGGCCGAACCCAATCGAACCCCGCTCGCCCGTCGATCAGGATTTGGGATCGGAGCCGAAGCTTACCCATTGTCGATAACGAGAGCAGCAACCTCTTCTGTAGCGAGCTGTCAGCATCCGTCAAGAGAATCAAGAGAGCTCAAAAGCAGCCATGTTGAAACACCGCGTCGCCGGCAGCGGGGATGCGCTGCAGCGGCGGAGGGCGAGGTCGGGCTGTCCTGACCCAGGGATCAGGAATCACGACGCTCGGGGAATCAAGCAGCAACGTGTCCAGGTAGGCCAACTTACCCTCCATTTTGAGAGAACGAAACTCGGCGAATTAACAAAAACTGGAATTAAGATATCAAAAGCTCGTGCGATCCCCGGATCGTCAGCGCGGGTGTGGATGGAATGGGTATGTGGTATGCCGTTTGGCGGAGCAGAGGGGAAAAGAAAAAGACAGCTGGTTGTCGCGGCGCGAAGTAGGAAAGGGGAGGTGAATTTAAGGCCAGTGCTCCAGTGCTCGGGTTGCCGTGGGTTTGAGCCTGGAGAAAGGAGGGGGGCCAGAAGGGAGACTGCCAAGTGGGAGGGAACGAGTGGCTTGGTCCCTGCTCGAATGCCTGGGCTGCAGCGAGAGCCAGCGAGAGCTGCGAAGCTTGGTGGGGCAGCCAGGTAGGCGGTGTGGGCTCCGGGTGGGTTTCCGTGGGCAGGCGGGACTGCCTCATTGGAAGAAACAATCATCTCACTTGCCGCTTTTTCATTGGGAGCAACGGGGCCAAGGGGGCCCACAGGGGATGGTGGCCAGAGCTTCGTCAGCTGTCAGTGGCTGGACCGCTGGGCCAGAAGTGGACGCTGACGAATGGCATTCTGGCTGAGCCGTCAGGCGCCAGCTTCTTACGCGCAACGGTGACAGCCAGCAGCACTGATAAAAGCAGAAGACAAAGACTTCTGGAAGCCTTCGAGACATTCTGCTGGGATGCTTTTGATCTGTTCCAGTTTCCCATGACCGCCAAAGACCGTACGTGACACACAAGACACGGTGCGGCGACATTGCGCGAGAACAGCGCTTGGCAGATCCTGGCCACTACCCAGGGGCTTGACAGGGTACAGACACAGTATGGATTCCATCCATACCTTCCAGAGAGCAAAAGGGGGATGTCGGACAGCAAATTCCAGCTGACGACGCTTTCATCAACCACGACGGCATCGTGACGCCGATCTCGAAAGACACGCCACTGCCGAGGATGGTGCCAAGCAGGCATCGGTTTTACACGGCGCCCCAGTGCTTCGATGGAGTCGGGACCAAGCGCCTGACTTATGCAACAGGCAGATGTCGACGACAGAAGCATGTCATCATGGACGATGAGCTTTTGGGACGTCGGAAATCCGAAACAGCATTCAACACAAGCGACTGCGATGAACTTTTCAGCCTGAAGTCGGATGGAATGTGATTCGTACGAGGACCCGGTCAGCGATCAAGCTAGGCAGGCCTTTTTTTTTTTTTGGCTCTGGCTTGCTGTTGGCTTGAGGCTGAAAAGGCTGTGTTCTGTGCTCCTGCGGGATCGGTCCTACATCCAGCTTACACTACTCCTCCACTACATACATGTTGGTACAATTCGGCCATGCGTCACATATCCCGTGCCTGTCTTGTTGATACACGCGGCGCCCGCTTTCACTTACCACTCCCGGACTCGTATTTATATAAATATGCAACTTCGACGATGGTGCATCCCGATTCCCATCTTGACGTTGCAATTTCCGGTCGACGTGCTGCAGTGGAGCCACGACAATCTCGGGGTCGGTGGGGATGAGACCAAGACACCAAAGTGCCAAGTGCCCCTGAAACCGCCGCCTATGTTCCCCACATCGGCGGAGACGGGGACACGGGAATGAGGACAGCTGAGCACCGGTGCGCTTCATTCATCCTATCGGCGCCGGTGCTGTCTCCCCGGCCGCTTGCCATGTCCCGGGGCTATTTGTGGAAGCCTGTCGACGGGGAGCAACATTTTAATTTCGGCGTTACCGCTGGTGTAGTGTGCGGGTTGATTGTCTTTTGCTTACAGCTCGTTACGAAGTGCCAGCGTTGATTTTTCATGGCTTATCACCTCGAATTCAGGGGTGCAGTGCTCATATGTCTCGAACCCATCATTTGTGTTGAACCCGTGGCTGATCGTAGCACTGTCTGCCAGCCAGATGAGCATATATTGAGAAGTACGGCGGCTGATTGTTGGAAGGTTGCCATATTTAGCTCGACGAGGGTTTGGATGTCCACTTCACTATGATGGGCAAGGCAGCAGTGGTTGTTATCTACAGCTATGGTACACTGATGACTTGGAAGTTCAACCAAAGGTTGGTTTATGAACGTAGCCATCATAATCTGTTGCTGGATATCCGTTGCGTATGAACGAATGAGCGATGGTTCAAATAAGCTCCAACCCAAGTGTTCAACCGTAGTACCGGCATATCTGATGAAGACAGACCTCTAGGCCATCACAAGAACAACCTCCGAAGCAACCTGTACCACAAAACAGAAGGCTGGCCGTGATCCCGGCAGCAAACAGAGTCCCGTTGCCATCTGACACCTGTAGGCCGCTGCTGTCTTGTAGCTACATTGAATTCTGGATGATATAACTATTCGAGATGGAATATGATGTCACTTTGGACCTCAACACGCGGGTCACCGGTGGGCTTTGCCGACTGTTGGTTGGATGACGGCATTATAGACCCTTTGTGCCACAGGCCTTCATCCCACCTTAAGGGGCGAAGCACAGACCTCCTGACTATCTCTAACCATTGAAAAGGTTCATGATAAGACTTAGCTGTTGGGGATAGACTTTATGAATTTTCCAGAACAGTAAGAAATTGCTTACACAAATCTGCTTAGTCTACCTTTGCTCCGCCTCTGTTGGGTTCTTCGGCGTGAGCCAAGCCTTGGGCGGCCTATCGATAAGCTCAGCCCAGCACAGCCTTATTAGCGCTAAACCGGATTTGGAAAGAACTTTCACGAAAGTTCGCGAAGTCAAGATGAAACCTCGACTTTTTGGAGGGGCAGGTTATCTTTGACAATATCTGCAAGAAAGACTTCAACTCTAGTCACTTTTTATTCGCCAATTTTCAAGTTCCGAAGAGCTCTTCTTCTTAGACTAACATTTAAACCTTCGGCATAAAACCATACTTGAGCAAAGATTTTGAAAAAGAACTTTATCAAAGTCAACAACTGGGCGAAACTGCACATTACTCCTCCATCATCACAATGAACAAGAAACTCGCCGACCTGCTCCGCTGGAGCATCGAGAACTCAACAACGAGCCCAGCCGCCACTCAACCACAAACTACTCAATCTAGCGATGCCCAACCCATGGGCGAAGACCGAATGCTCCCGGAGGCCACGGGAATCACGGTTCACCCTTCCGATGCCAAGCCTGAACGCCCCCGCCAGCTAGACCGCGACATTCTCGAGATGCTCTTCGGCGGGCCCTCAGAAGCCGAGCTCATGAAGGCCGCAATTGAAGTGATCAACGACCCCGAAACAACCCTCGAAAACAAGCTCATCGCCTTCGACAACTTTGAGCAGCTCGTTGAGTCCCTCGACAACGCGAACAACCTCGAACCTCTCGGCCTCTGGACTCCCTTGATTAAGTTAATGGAGCATGAAGAGGAAGAGATCAGGAAATACGCTGCTTGGTGCGTCGGCACGGCAGTCCAAAACAACATCAAGAGCCAGGAGCGATTCCTCGCGATGGGGGGCATGAAGCCGCTGGTGGGGATGTGCATGCGGGAGGGGGAGACGGAGGGGAATCGGAAAAAGGCGGTGTATGCGATTAGCAGCGCGGTGAGGAATTATCAGCCGGCGTTGGAAGAGTTGGTGCGGGAGTTGAAGGAACACTTGGGGGGTGAGGAAGAGTTTCTGGGGAAGTGGAGGGGGAAGCAGGTGGTGGCGACGGACATGGATTTGGTGGATCAGATATGTGGGTGGTTGAAGAAGAGGATTGCTGAGTCCGTCAAAGCGTGAGGGATTTTGACTTGTATATTTTCGACTGGTTGTTTCTGGCTTTTGTTCATATGGGCGGCGTTGGGGTGGCTATCTTGTCTTTCGACCCGCCAGGGATATCTTTCGGAGACTTCACGGGATACAGTGGAATGGACATGAAAAGAGATAGAGAAGGGTGAAATGACATGATTTTATGATTCCGCCACACCCTGCTCGTTTCGTGATGTTACAAGAGATATACACACAAGTGGTATTGTTACAAGGTCTAATAAATCAAGGCAGCCTTCTAGTCACGGATTTTGCCGGTAAACGGCAGGCCCATAGCCTGCAGCAGCAGCCTTGCCTGTCTATCCGAAGTCGCCGTCGTCTTGACGAAAACGCGGCAGCCGGGGAGCATCTGCGGTCACATTAGTTCTGTCTCCAACAAACATTTGAGCAGGAAGCCGGATATGTGGAGATCATTACCTTTGGAGGATACAGCTAGAGTAAAAGTTAGCCGTGCTCTCTCTTCCATTACTGTAGACACAGGATGCTTACCCAATAGTTAACCTCAATCTCCGGGAAGAGCTTCATCTGCTCGGGATCAAAACCCCAGGCCAGATTGCCCGAGCCATCGCCCGTCGAAGCTATCCCATTGTCAGTCCACATCTTCCCTTTTTCTTCTCAGATCTTCACTTACCATTAATTCCCTCCCAATCCTTAATCCTTGGAAACACCAAATGAATACACCGATCCAGAAACTCATACGCCGCATTCCCCGTGAGCGTCGTCTTCACGCCCGCCTTCTTCCCCTTCTGAATCCGCCACTGCACCACGTTACTCTTGGTCTTCGTAATTTCGGGTGTCGTCCCTGTCAGTGCCAGTAGCATCGTCCGCGCCACAAGCAGGTAATCAGGCTCCTGGATCGCCTCGGGCACGTACGTCGCAATGGTGATCTCCTCGATGCGCGGGATGTTATTGAACGTGATGGGGCGTTCAATCAGGGGCAGGGCTGAGCCGCCGCGGGGCCCGCGAAGGGGACGATTCTTGTGGTAGGGCGAGGAGTCGTCCCAGCTGCGCAGGCGCTGGGAGTAATCTTTTTCGGGGGTGCCGGGGGGGACGTGCATATAGGTGAGCGTCATGATGTCCGAGGCAACGGTGCTATAGTAGGTCTGTCGCAGGCGCGGGTTGTTGAAGGGACCGGGGACGAAATCGCGGGCGATGGGGTCCGAGGAGGGAGGGACTTGAACCGGATGCAGAGGACCGCGGTAATACTTGGGGGGGTGGTACTGGTATCTAAGGAGCGCGGTCAGCATATCTAGGGCAGATTTCGAATGAGTATGGCGGCTCTACCTCTGTGCAGGGAGCCTCATCTTGCGGTCCTTCGCGCGCTTCCATGGGCGATACTGCAGCTTCTCCTCATGACTGAGCTCCGGCACATCCAACGATGTCTGCTCGAGCTCATTCAACACAGGAGCGGCAGCCTCGGCGGCCTGCGACGAGACGCATCGTCTTGACCTGAGACCACCGGCAGTTTGGCGGGCTAATTGAGCGAGCGGAAGGCTGCGAACCGGTCGTGATAACCCGCGGAGGCTCGCCATGGCTACGGTGCGACGGGGTCGGCAAAAAGAGAGAGAGAGATTGACTTGGACGACAGAGTGAGCGACTCCCGGCTCCGGCCAAAAGCGCGGCTCAAGGTCGTCGCAAGTGGTGTCGGGCAATTTTTCTGGCCAAGAGACTACCCCGCGATACGGGTTAGGGTTGGCTGTAGCGCTTGCATCCCCCAAGGGACCCCCAAATAGTCAGCACAAGACAGATTACCTTGGGGTTTAAACCTCGAAATGCAATAGCTTTCTGTTTAAAAAAATGAGACAGGAAATAGAATATTCTTACTGTTTCTGTTTTCTTGTGGAGTTCATATAGATCAGGAAATTACACCAAGCAACCCTTATTCTCCCCAGAGTGATATACGACCCCAGGCGAAGAAACAACAAAGAGCAATGGATACTCATCTACAACTTTTAACAGCCGCCGGGGCTATACAGACATATGACCATGTTATACCCATAACAAGACCCTATTCTTCCCCGGTCTACTAATCATCATCCTCCGCCCTTCCCCCCTTCTTCCTCCCCTTCGGGCCCCGCCCCTTAAAATGCTTCTTCCCCGTCGCCATCTGCACGTCGCTTGGATCAACGCCCTTCTCCAATGCAATCATCGTCCGCAACTTCCTCCCACTCAGCTGTTTGCTCCCCGCCACCGCCTGCGCCGACCCCTGCTGCGAATACAGATAGTTAAACGGCATGGACATGTGCCCGGCATTCCCCTGCGCCGTCTTGAAGAACGCCTTGTCCAGCCTCTCGGCCTTACTGCTTCCCGCTGCTGGCAAAGGAATCATGTCACCTAGGGTAGAGGTAGCGTCGTCATCGTCGAGAGCGAGATCTTGCACAGCGGAAGTAACGGCTGCAGCAGCGGCCTTCCGCTTAACGGGGAGTTTGGACAAGTCGTACAGCTCGCGGTTGAACTCGGTCGGATCGGGGCCTCCGGGGGGAGGCTGAACCCAGACCAGCTTGCCGTTGACATAGTCTTTGAGAATATACCGCGCAGCACGCGACTGATCGGGCTGGCCTAATCCCTGCGTCATGAACCCCCTGCGTCGGGCATACGCACTGAGTAGCTCCTCGCCCGTCGGAATTCCCGTGCCACCTTCTTCGAGAGGCCGGGTGCGTATCTGAATGCCGTACACAGCCTCGAGGTAAGCCTTCGGGATCCGTTGCGCGACGAGAGCGGCTGGGCCGGTATACTCGCGCAGCTGGTCGATGGGCAGCACACCATTGCAAACGAGCTCGGCCTTGGTGCTGGCGAAGTTGGGGAAGACGAGACCCGGACAATCGCACAAAACGACCTTGTCGCTGAGGTGGATGGTTTGGAAGTGTTTGGTCTTGCCGGGAGTCGAGGACACGGAGACTTTGTTGGCGCCGACGAGCGCGTTGATGGTGGAGGATTTGCCTACGTTGGGGTAACCGACTAAACCGACTTGGAGTTTGCGGTCGGGGCCTGCTGGTATTAGTATGGGAATGTAGATAGTACCGGGGGGAGGGGGTTTACTGACCTGCGTCCTCGGGAGCGTATTGGAGAAGCATTTCTTCCAGCTCGTTGACAGTCAAGATCTTGGTGTCCTCTTCGTCATCGTGGAGCTTTTCAGCGCTAGCTTCCGTGGAGGTCTCCTCAGCCCCCGTTTCGACCTTCTCCTCCTCCTTCTGGGCCGCAGCCTTGCTGGGACCACCCTCGCTTTCCTCCTCGCTCTCCTGAGCCTCCAACGACTCCTTCGCCAGCTGGGCTGAAAAGAACCGGTACGCAATGCCCGCCCCTTTAAGATATTTCGCCCAAGCCTTTCGCTGCTTGTACGTCATCATATCCGCCTTATTGATCAGCAGCAAATTCTGCTTCTTCGGATCAACATCCTTCACATACTCCTCCAGATCTTCCGACCGGAACATCAGCGGATTCCTCGCGTCCACAATCTGCACAACCACATCCGACCGTTCAATAACCCGCCACAACTGCCGCCACACCTCCAAATTCCGCTCAAACGGCGTCATCAGCAAATCATGCGTCTCCTGCAGCTCTGCTAATCCCTTCCTCCACTCCAAAAAGCTCTGCCTCTCCAGCCGATCTAACTCCTCCGCCGTAGTCGTCGCATCCCACTTCGGCCGCCTGGGCACCGTCAGCCGGCCCTTATGCTCCTTCTGCTTACCCAAGACCGCCCTCTCCTCGGCAGCCGACAGCAGGTAAGGATTGCGCTGGTCGGTATGAATAATCTTGACGTTGTTCATCTTCTCCGCGGCAAAATCTGTGCCAGCTAGCTCGGCCGTCGCCAGGAACTCGTCGAGCGCGTCCTGCTCCGTGATGGAGCGCATCTTGACCCAGGCGGCCTCCTCGCGGTCATTGGTGATGTATTCCTGGCCCGTGGTGTGGTCGATGCGGGTGACGGCCGAGACTTTCTTACGGTCGGCGCCCTTGCCTTTGCCGAACCGGTCTTTCATCAGCTGGTTACCCAGACCGACGGTTTTTTTGGATTTGGCCAAGACCATGGTGGCGATGCTTTCTCTGCAAAATTTGGGGAATTGATTCTGTCGTACGGCCCTGCAGACAGCGCCGTTGATGGGTTGAAGAGCAGGCGGGGGTTGATTTGTAACGGTCGAGATAGAGGGGCAAATTTGTGATTGATAAGCACGAATGCTAGCAGGGGCTGTCAACTTCCATCAAAATCAGTTGGCATAAAAACAAATCATATGTACGAATTGAGAGAAAAATGATAGGGTACTTTTTCAAATACAAGAATTTAAAATACAGGGTCTCCAAGATATCTAGACAAAATATACTGCTCGCTCAATGGCGCTCACTTTGTTACCGTTGACAGTGCACATGCACATGTTGTTGCCCAGGCCGTTGTTGTTATCGATAAGATAAGCTCAATTACCCCACCTAAAATTTCCTGTGCGCCTGATTTGACGGTTGCACCGCGCGGGACTGCCGTACTCTTAAGAACATCAACTGCTTCCTTTCCATTACTTGACTCTCCATCACCCAATTCGTCCTTAACATCGTCCCTTCATACACTCAACATGGCTAAGGGAAAGTGGATGTACGTTCTCCCATAATCTCTAGTTTTACTACTTCTGCTAACGTTGCTCAGTGACAAAAAAACAGCCACCCACTTCCAACTCGTCTACCGCCCTCAAAATGATCCCCTCATCCACGACGAGAATGCACCACAAATGGTGCTTAACCCGACCCAGCCCCCAAACAGCAAAGGCAAGGGCAAGGGAAAAACCCTCAGCGAATTAGCCAGCGAGCTAGGCGACGATGTGCGCAGCGTCCGCGCCAATGAGGGCGAGGCCGCCAACTACGGCATCTTCTTCGACGACACGGAGTACGATTACATGCAGCACCTTCGCGAAATTGGGACCGGCGAAGGGGAGGCTGTGTTTATTGAAGCTAATCCCGTGATTAACCGGGGGAAGAAGGGGGGAAAGCAGAAACAGAGTCTGGAGGAGGCATTGAGACAGCTGGATCTGAAGAATAAGAGCGAGGAGCTGCTGGATCCAGAGATTTTGCCCAACAAAAATTTGCAGCATGTGAGCTATCAAGCCCAGCAGGACGTGCCAGATGAGATTGCGGGCTTCCAGCCGGATATGGATCCGAGGTTGAGGGAAGTTCTGCAGGCGTTGGAAGATGATGCGTATGTGGATGAGGAAGGAGGGGAGGAAATTTTTCAGGAGTTGGCAAAGGATGCGAGGGAGTTGAGTCAGGATGAGTTTGAGGAGACGTTTGACGATTTTGAGGAGGATGAGGGGTGGGAGTCTGATCGGACGGTGAAGGCAGAGAAGAAGCCTGAACCAGCACAGACTGGCGACGGAGACGCACAACCCGCTTCAGACACAAAACCCGGTCAACAGACATCAGGTGACACAGCTGAAGGGGAGGTACCCCCCGAAGCAACCTCCGATGCCTGGATGGAAGAATTCAAAAAATTCAAATCCGACCAAAAAGCCGCCGAACGCAAATCTGCCAAAGCCCGCGCCGCCCCCTCGGAAATCCAATCCTCCATCTGGACTGTCACGACCAACGGCGGCCGGCGCAAGCACCGCAAGGGCGCTTTAACCAACCCTTCGACCTACTCCATGACCTCGTCCTCTCTTCTCCGCACGGAACAGCTCAGCATTCTCGACGCGCGCTTCGAGAAGCTGGAGGAGGAATACAACGCCGAGTACGACGAGATGGCGTCGATGTCGGCAGTGTCGACGGCGTCGACGGTGCAGGGGCCGACGAGGCAGGACTTTGATGGGCTATTGGACGAATTCTTGGACAATTACCAAATGGCGGGGAAGAAGCGGGTTAAGAAGGGGAAGCTGAGTGGCGTGGAACAGTTTGATGAGATTAGGAGGGAGTTGGGACCGCCGAGGATCCCGGCAAAGTATTTGGGGAAGGGGAAGGGGAAGGCTAGGGTGTAGGAGGGAGGGGAGAGGTAGAGCAGTCTTGATACCATGTTTGTTGTTGTTCGTAATCTAACTTTTCACCAGCATCTCATCACATTGCCTTGCGTATATACCATGACCCAACAAACCCCTATCTCAACACCCCATCCCAAATGCCCCTATATTCCAAACCTGCTCCCCATCAACACTATCCCCATCAGCCCCCTCCGTCACCAGTTTCTTAACAATCTTCCAATCTCGCACCCTCCAAAACCCCCTCACCCCCTCCGCAAACCGTCTCCCCGCCTCCTCCACCTTGTCCTCATCAACAGCCGCAAAACACAGCCTAAACCACTTCCAACCTTCCTCCCTCCGTATCTCTTCTGTCGCAGCAAACATGCTCCCTGGTGCGGCCAGGACACGGTAGGGCTTCCGCGTGAGGTAGATCATTAGCGCCGAGGAGAGGAGTTGGTGGGGGGTTAGATCGGGGGGAAGAGTACGCGGGGGAGGGGGGATGGAGTATAAGGGATGGGTGGGGAAGTTGAGGCGAAGCCAGATGAACATGCCTCCAGCGGGATAGGTAAATGTGTAGAGGGGGGATTTGGTGACGAGGAGGAAGTCATCGTCAGGGGAGGGGACTTGGACTGTGGCGGAGGGAGAGGGCCCAGGGGAGGTGTTGAGCAGATAGTTGTCTCGGTCCAGCGCCCGACACATACGCAACATGCGCGATTCGTACGCCTCGCGCAGGCCGGAGAGCCAGTGGATGAAGCCTGAGAAGTCCCAAGCTTTCTCATCACTTGCATTCCTCCTGCTGCTGGCCCAGAACCAGCCTGGTTTGGACGACTGCTGTTTGTTACCCTGCTGCCCGATCAAGAGCTCCGCTACCAGACCCTGCACAAACCCCGACGGCTGTTGCGTCGTTGCCTCGGTAATGCGCTGTAGCCGTTCAATGATAGCTGGTTGAGCCGTGACCCAACCTAGACGGCAGCCTGGAGCGACAGTTTTGGAGAAGGTGTCCAACCTGATCACCCTCCCATCCGTGTCGATTGACATGTAGCTCGGCGTCAGCGACTCCAAGAACCAATCCCCCGACGACGGCTTTTTAGAAACATTCTCTTCTGCCCCCTTTGGCACAGCCAACCCCCTCCCTCTAGCCTGTTCCTTCTGGGCATTGGGAAACTGCAAAAACCAGTAAGGCTCATCCTCCACAACAACCACGTCCCACCTCCTGCAAACCTCATACACCTCCTTCCTCCTCTCCATCCCCACAACCGTCCCCGTCGGATTCCCCCCCAATGACACGGTGTAAAGCACATTCGGCCTTCTCCCCTTGCTGGCATCCCAACCTCCCAAGACACTCTCCAACCCCCCTTCCCCGTACGCCACCAACCCTTGTTGATCTGCTTTGACAGGAACGATGTTAACTCCCAACGGACGGGCTTGTGCAAGCACGTTGCCATAGGTAAATTCTTCCACCAACAGTCCCGGCCTGTCCCTATAATCATCTTTACCCTCCGTCCAGGGGTCGATCAAGAGGGAAAGGACCTTAGCGAACCCGTCGGTGGAACCACACGTCAGAATCACATCCGGCCCACCTTGGTAGGGCGCGGAGGGATGTAGGTGCTTGCGAGTAAAATCTCGGATCCAACCTAGTAGAGGGGGGTAACCTTCGGGAGTACCGTACTGAAGGGCGGTGGAGACATCGATCCGCTTAGTCGGGTCTCCGTCCTTCGGAGGGGCTGACGTCGGCAGCGTGATATGTACAGGGGAAGAATTTGAGGAAGAAGGAGGAGTAAAGCGGGTGGGCTTCGCGGCCTGGGCTTCCAGGGTGTCGAAGGGGAAGTAGGAGGGGTTGGGGAGACCTTGGGGGCAAGTTAGTACTAGTAACGCTGAGATGGGAAAGAAAATGGGAAACTCACCGCCAGCGATGTTCAAAATGCCCGGGATGGAAAAGAATTTGTAAGCATCTTTGATTTCGCTGGGGGCGCGGCGCTTGGTGATGGAGGAGAAGTGATGGCTGAGGTCGACGGGCGGGGGGAGGTCGGAGTCGGTATGGGAAGTCATGGTGTTTGTTGGCTGTTGAGAATCTTTCCTTTCCGAGTTTACAGTCTAGGCTAATGTTTATCCAGCTATGATGATTGGTTTGCTGATAGTAGCTCTCAACAACCTTGTGCTATGACGACCTTTTTTTTCGTGCTGTTTCTATTCCAGCATGCGTGTTCAATGTTGACGTATGGAAGAGGAAGGTGATTAGAAATCGGCAACTGGACGTCGGCATGATAAGTGATAACGGCCGGCACGAGTGTCATCAACCAGGCTAACCGCGCTGGGATTGGCTCCGGGCCGGTCGGCTCGGCGAACAGGGGTTGTGCCGATCTCCTGTTGCTTCAATCCGGGGATATGACGCCGACTCTGCGGGATGCTGATATCTCATCATTCTTTATTGGTATGATGGGTCTAGGTAGGTGAGCATCTAATCCATGGGTATCGAGCTGTGGGTGAAATGATTCCATGTGTCTAAGCAACGAAAAAAAAAATCCAAAAAGAAGAAAAAAAAAACATATCACTCTCCCTCACCCGGATACACAAACCCCAGCTCTTCCAGACTAGTCGCAGTCCTTCCGCCCAACTCAAACGCTAACTTCGCCTTCCCATAAACTGTCCTCTGCCAAACCTGCTCCGGACTCCATCTCGGCGGCTTCTTCCCCGGCGTTCCCGACCTCTCAATAGCCTCCCACACCTCATTAATATACCTCGAGTCTTCCCCCTCCCCCCAAACATGGAACTTCCCCTCCTGCCTAGCTTTCTCCTCATCCTCTTCCCACTTCCGCATCACCTCCACTGACGGCAGCGGCAAAAGGTTTGCCCACGTCCTCGCCACCAGCGCCGCTTGGCTCTCTGCCACGGGAAAGGGCACCACTTTGATCGGTAGGCCGATGAAGGCTAGGGTTGGCTGGTCAATGCGGAAGATGTGTTGATACAAACCGCACACTCGCCGGCCGTCTGTCACGATAGGGGGGTTGGTAAGGGAGGAAAGGAAGGGGTAGGCGTAGAGGTAGCCTGTGGCGAAGATGACTGCGTCGATGTCGTGTTCGACGCGGCCGTTGCTGAAGCGGATGCCGCGCTCTGAAGGTAAAAACTCCTCGATGACGGGCACCTCTTCAGCGCCGCACCACTGAAGGCTGGGTTCGGGGGTCGGATGCTGGACGGAGAGGAGAACAGGTTTGCGGCAGACGGTGTTGATCTGGGAGGCGATGTCGAGCCCGGAGGCCGCGTTGCCTACTACCACGACCTTTTTGCCGGTGAAAGGGGTCGGGTTGCGGTAGTGCTTGGAGTGCGTGATGACGCCTGGGTGAGCGGCGTGGAAGTCGGTGATGCCAGGGACGTTGGGGATGTAGATGGTCGCATAGTGACCCGACGCCACAACGACGGCATCATACGTGGTTGTCCTCTTTTCGCTCGTCTGCAACGACAACACTTCCACATCCCAACGCTCCTTACCGTCTCCCTCATCCCGCCGCAACCGCACATCAACAACCTGGCTAGAAAACTGAATGAGATGCCGCACCTCCTTCGAATACTCAACCAGATACTCCTGGATGTGCTCGCGCCTAGGATAAATAGGTGTAGGCTCGGGGATGGGCAGGTCGGAGAAGCGCATCAGCCCTCGGGGGATATTGGTGTGCAGGAGCTCGTACATGGGCGAAGGGAAGACGGGCGGGTTTTGAGGGAGGGGCGGGTCGGGAGGACAATCTGGTTTTACTTGAGGGACGGGGAGGGTCTGAGGAGGGGATGGGCTGTAGTACCAGACCCCGCCGACCTCGGGCTGCTGTTCGTAAATGTCGATCTTTTGGAAGGCATTTTGGGCAAGGAGGTACTTGGCGGCAGCGAGACCACAGGGGCCGGCGCCGATGACGGCTATGCTGGAGATGGTGAAGGGATGTTTTTCGTAGGAGCCCATGGTAAGAAAATGAGAGGACCGTAGTTGAACTTTTGAAGAGAGAACGAGGGACGAAAAGGGGATTAGATTTCGAGGCTGGATTCTTGTGGCGATCCCATGGCGGATTATTAATAGAAGCATTCAGGCACTGAAGTTCCCCGTCCCGAGTCTCGCGATATGAATTGAGCGACCCGCGGCGAGGGGCAAATGGTGCAAGAGGCAAGGGCTCAGGTGTAAGTGGACTGACTGATAAGATAGCGTAACGTGTATCGATAGACAAGATGTTACCGTATCGTCATTGTAACCTCGTAACATTGGAAGATATCCTCGCCTCGGATCTTTTTTATAGTGTTGCACGTAATTACAGCCCATTACAACTGTCACGTCGCCTGGCGAGCGCGCCTCCACCGTCGCGTCTGCCGGAATCTCAGCTGGAGCTCAGCATGTGCCTTCTGCGTTTGGAGCTCTTTATGGCTTCCACCTCCAGACGTTGAAACTTTGAATTACTTCCCCCGTTTAGTAGCTCACATAATGCTACATATTGCTGCCTAGTCAATCCGCCTCAACTTCTAATTTCCCCAATCAAGAGAGAAGAAACCCAGAGCAAGCAATCCGCCAAGTTCGAGTTCAAGTTACGCACACAAATGCCCAGAATTCCCTAAATACGGATTACCTCGTGCGCCAAGTCAACAACAATCTTTCACAGCCGCGCCTCCTCCCATTCCCCCAACCTAAATTCACACCGTCTGCCATGGCATCAACAGACGGCGACGACCCCATCGCCGCGCAGCTAGCATCTCGCTCCCTTACGCCCATCGCCCAGCTCAATCCCGACCTGCCCGACCAGTCTACTCGTGCCGTCCGCGGCCAGGTTACCCTCACATGGCCCTTCAATTCCGTCACTAAGACCGTCGCCTTCCTACTGTCTGAGCCAGACGTCCGCTTGCGCCGGAATAAGGGGCAGGTGCGCGTTGAATTTAGCGGGCCCTGCGCTAGGGCTGTGGCTGAGCTTGGTGTTGGCGCCTTTGATGAGGTGGTCATTGGACTGGAGGGCACGGAATGGGACGAGGATAGATCGCTGAAGAGGCCACTGGAGTCGCGTGTTGGGTGGCAGGTGGGATTTAGAAGGAGGGTTGTTTTGCAGGTCTGTTACCTCACTTATGAGCATTCGTTGTCATTATACTCCGTACTCCGTGCTGACACTGCGATAGGTCACCTTCGGCGAGTCGGGGGAGAAGCGCTGTCTCAACATCGACCATTCCGAGGAAGAGGGCACTCCAGAGCCACAGCCAACGAATGAGATACAGAAAGCGGCTACCCCAGAAGCCGACCCGGTCACGTTCGTCCACTCTGCCGTTCGCCAGATCACAGACCTTCCCGCGAACGAGTACCCTTCGCCAGCCTTCCTCAAACGCGCTCGCCTCTCATACGGTGCTCTGTTTGAAGGCGACTTCGACATATTCGAAGAGGATGGAGGCATCAAGGGGAGGGGTCGCAAGAGAACCAAGTTTTCCCGTGAGAGTACGTCCTGGCGCTATGCCAGTCAGTCTCCCAGTCCGGAGCCTGAGCCGGCTTCGCCTGTTGATGAGGTCATGACGGATGAGGAGTCTGAGACGAGGGCTGCTCAGACACCGAGTAGGCCGCTGATGATGGATGAGGGTTGTCAGACTGTTGACGTTGAGGAGACTTCGGGTGTTGCGAAGGTTGGCCATGTAGAGGAAGCCCCGTCGCCGACGCCATTGCCTAAAGAAACCGCGGTTTCTGAGGCTATGGAGAAGACGCCTGGTCCAAAACCTGCTCCTACGGCTGCCTCTGGGCAGGTAACCCAGCCTGCTGGTTCTCCTACGCGTGAGCCAGAAAGCCCTCAGAAGGAGCGAGAGGGTGTCTCTACACCCCAGCAGAAGTCAGACCTGCAAATTCGCATCGGAGAGCCACATAAACAAAACTCGGCTCAGCAGCACGATCTGCCATCGGCAAAGAGCCTTGGCGGGTTCTCAGATAGTCTCTTTGGAACCCCCAAGTCGTCTACTTTTGGCTCCTCTAATTTGGGTACAAGCATCTATGGCACGAGCGCTGCCCAAGTTGCTCCGTCTGTGAATCTTGCGGATCAGGTCCGCTTCGGATTCTCCCACGTCCCGCATGAAGCCCCTGCATCTGCTTCACACGAAGCTGTTGCTACGACGGGCCGTGGACATGAAGCGACCACTACGACCAGCTACGCTCACGAAGCAGCTTATCCCGTCTCCTACCTCGATCAAGCTGCCCCTACGGATGCCATTCATCCCCCATTCACCACCTCCGACACTCAACCCCCCGTCCCCGCCCACGACCAACCCATTCCCCCTGTAATCGAACAATTCGCCCACGGCCACTGGGAAATGGCCACCCAAGCCCCGCAATACAATCCCACCGAAGGCGGGCACTTCGGCCCCGGCGCTCTGGTAGAAGGGTCCCACGTCGATATCGGGCATCCTTCCCTCCATTCCAGCGCCATTTCCCCGCACGATGTCCCCGCTGGGTTTGCTAGTTACGGACCTGGACTTCCTGCTGCAACTGCGGAGGAGTCTTCGAAGCATGAGACTCCTGTACCAGAGGGGGGGAGTAATAAGACGCCTATTGTTTTGTCTGATTCCTCAGATGAGGATGATGACAAGCAAGAAGAGGTTGAAGAGGAGGAAGATGAGGAAGAAGATGCTGCGGTCGATGATGAGAAGGATGCTGAGGCCGAAGAGGATGAGATAGCTTACAGGGAGAAGCTTGAGGAGGGGGACTACGATCAGAGGATGTATTCCGTTCCGTCGGATGATGATGAGGGACTATCAGAGGAGGAAGAGGAGGCGGAGTTAGAAGAGGAGGGAAGGTATGGCAATCCGGAGATGTATGATGAGGATGGGGAGAGGTGGGAGGACGATGAAGAGGAGGGAGAGGGAGATGAGTGGGGGGAGGAAGATGAGGAGGTTGAGGATGACGAGGATGACGAGGAGGAGAATAAGAAAGAGGATCCGGACTATGAGGAAGAAGAAGAAGAAGAAGAAGAAGAGGAGGAGGAGGAGGAGGACAAAGAGGATTATGATAGGTATATGCGGCGGTATCAGCCTAGGAAACCGCCGGCCCCCCAGAAGCCTAAGGATCCTGTCGTCATCAGCCTTCTTTCAGATTCCGAAGACGAAGAGCCGGCTCCGACTCCAGCTCCGGCGGCGAAGCCCTCAACTACTACTACTCAGCAAGCTCCTTCAGCAACACAGCCAAAGTCCGAACCTGCGGCAGTCTCAAGCTCCCCAGCCGCCGCTGAAGCGGCCGAGAAGCCCTCCAAAGAAACTGCCGCCATAACGGCACGCCAAAAGTCCCCTACTCCTGTTGAGCTCTCCCAAAAAGACATCAAATTCGTCGAGGATGAGAAAGGTCGACTCACCAGCAGCCTGTATGGAGGGACGCAGGTGATTGACTTTGCTCCGCATCCGGGCGACGGTCGATCAACAGGATCTCGCGCAGAAATTGAAGAGGATATTAGTTCGAGGGAGGAGTCTCCTGATAAGGTGGTTGAGTCTGTCGAGGGCAGGGTGTATCAGTCTGTGGAGAGGGAAGACGAAGAGGATAGGGATGTGGAGATTGTGGGAAGTGAGCCATCAACGAGTGAGAGTTCCGATGAGGGGTTGTTTGTCAAGCAGCCCTCGTACCAGGCATCGATTTCTTCGGAGGGAGAATCAGCTGAAGATGGGTCTGCTGTCGGTTCTAAGAGGACTGACGATGGCCAGGAATCGGAACTGCTGGAGGAAGAGGAGGAGGAGGAGGAGGAGGAGGAGGAGGAGGGAGGGTCTGAGGAAGAGAGTTCTGATGAAGGCTCTGGAGAGGAATCGAAGGAGATTATTGAGATTGAGGATGAAGAGAGTGAAGAGAGTGCGAGTGAGGGGGTTGAGAGTGTTGACGGAGAGGTTGAAGAGGTTGAGGATGAGGAGGAGGGTGAGGTTCAAGTTCTGGACAAGAAACGGGCAAAGGATGAAGGGGGGAAAGTTGAAAGTGTGGCTGCTGAAAGCAAGGTCCATGAGATCGTAGAGACACAGGACGAGCATTCCGAGCCTGAAGCTGCTGAGAACAATGCCGTCGAAGACGCGACTGTCAAACGCTCAGAAGATGAGGCGATCAAGTCCCCCGAAACTGAAGCCCCCAAACGAGAGTCCATCACCGAGGACAGTACCCAATCCCAGCCCGCATTCTCAACTCAGCCTGACTTACCTCAAAGCCCCTCCGACAAAGAAGAAGACGAGATCATGGCCGAAGCCGCCTCTGCCTCATCCCCCGATATCCAACCCATGCCGATGGAAACTGAACCCCTCAAACCCCACGAAGATGAAGACGAAGACATGGGCGACGCCGATGCATGGTCAGATACGCAAGAAAAAATGGATGAGGATGCGCAATCGTTCCATTCTGCGTCCGAGATGGAGGTCGTGCATGAGAGTCATACGGGCGCGGAGGATGTTGATATGGTTGATGCGGTTTCTCAGGAGGGGGAGGAAACTATCGTGGGGGGGAATGCAGAGGAGAGGATGGAGGATGCTCCGGAGGTCGGTGTCCAACCTGCGTCTGGCGAAAACGTTGAGATGACTACCGAAACACAGACGCAAACACTGACACAGCCTATGGCTGAGGTTACTGCGGAGGAGATGAAAGCCCAGGCAATGGAAGGCTCCGATGGTTTTCCTCCACCGGAACAGAGTCAGGTTGTTAGGGAGAAGATGCAGGAAGTTCATCAAGGGCAACAGGAGGGCGAGCTGGTGCCCGAACAACTCGAACCTTCGGTGGTCGAGTCGAAGCCCGAAGACAGTGCGCGCGTCGAAACCCAGACCGACAAGCAACACCCAGAGTCTGGTGCCACAGGCGAGGTTGAGAGTGCTCCTACCCAACAGGCTGAAGACCATATTACGCAGGCTAAGGCTAGGGAGGACCCGCAGAAGGCTGAAGAGACGGCAGATGAGTCTACACAGTCTCAGGAGGCTGGCCCAGCTCCCGGATCCAGCGCTCAAGCACCCATCACTCTCGATGAGGACGCGCACGCTGAGGCTTCAGACGAGGCTGCTTCTGTTGACGAGGCTGATCACGGGGACGACGAAACACAAGAATTCGAAGAGCCAGAAGAGGACGAGGCTACACAACTTCACCCAGAATACGACGAAGACGAGCTAGACGACGAGATCGCCATCTTCGAGCAGCTCACCCAAGAAGCTCAGCGCTCCTTCGAATCATACTCAACTGCCTCCGAGTCCCAACCCCGCGAGAAATCTCCCAGTCCCGATCTTAGCATTGACCTCGCCCGCCAAGCCGTCGCAGCCCGCTCTTCCGAAGCGCACTCCTCTTCCCCAACCGCAGCAGGTGATGCCACCCGGCCTACGGCCCCCCTCGGCGCCTCAAAAGGGCCCCCGAGCCGGTCGGGACAAGCCCCCGTGTCACCCGCGCTCGCTGCCTCAGCCCCGACCACACCACCTCTGTGAAGACAACACCAACCCCCGAAAACCCCGATGACAGCGTCGCCCTCGCCCGCGCAGCCCTTGCCTCGCCCTCTAAGCACGGCCGCGAGACCGCCGACGGCAGTAACCCAGGCTCCCTTAAAACAGAAATAACAAAACACCTCCAAACCCACCATCCTGATTTCGCTCCCCTCAAATCCCTGCGCTCTCATGCATCACAAGCCCTTTCCCTCCTGGCCGTCGTGACCACACCTCCCTTGGCCCCGCCCACTAGGGCAAAGGGCGGGCCGAGGGAGTACTTCCTGGCGTTTTGGGTGACTGATCCCTCCGTGGCCCCCAACAACGTGGTAGAGGTGCAGATATATCGCGCGCATAAGGACAGTCTACCGGTGGTTAAGACGGGGGATGTGGTGCTGCTTAGGGGGTTTGTGGTGACGGGACTGAGGGGGAGAGGGTGGGGGGTTAGGAGTGCGGGTGAAGGGGGTGGGCTGTTTGGGATGAGGCCTCGTTTAGCACCCTCCACGGGAATAATGATCATGGAACAGAAGGGAAGGGGAAGGCAGAAGAGGTTGAGGTCGGCGCGCCACAGATCAGAGGACCTCCCGTCGAAGACTGGCAGGGCTGTGTTGAAGTTGTGGGGATGTTGAGGCGGTGGTGGTGCGGGGTTGGACGAGGGCACGAGGGGTAGATTGGAGCGGGCGGGACGAAGGTTGGGTGAGGCTGCGGGGAGTGGTAATAATAGTGGGAAGTAAGAGGGAATTGAGGTTTTGGGGCATATTTGGGTAACGGGTGAGAGTGTCGTGATGAGGTGGCGTGGTGGTGGGGGTTGCAATGGGAGGAGACAAGTGGGATGTCAGATGGTTTAAAACACCAGGTGAATGGGATCGGAAATAAACAATACAAAGCATGATGGATGGAATAAGGGTAAAATAAGAAAATTGGAGTTTTTTTTTTATGCATGGATGAAAAAAGTACCGGTACTTCTTTGCGTTTTATTCTTGCTCTTGGTTAACCACATTTCTGGCCTGATCTGGCGTGGTTGGCACTGGGGTGAAGAGATGCTTCAGGGGTGTAATGAGTATCTAACTACCTACCTAGGTATTGGAATGAATGGGAAAATGAAATTATATCCATGGGCTTTTTTTTTTTTTTGCTGAGTGAATCTGGCTATTTACTTTATAGCCTATGTTCACTGTGATGGTGCTGAAAAGTGCTGATATTGGGGGCGGTTGCTTTGTCGAGTAGGAGGTCAGCTAAACAAGGACAACACAACAACATAGATGTCGATCACTGCTCTAGGCGAGCCAAAGTTATGACACATCGTCATTTCAACCCAATCTAAGTCAATTGAACTACCCAATTTAACCTGCACTTGACCATTTACCCTTTTGCCGAAAGCAGCAGGAAGTCGAAACACAATACATGCTACATGTCTGAGATCTGAGTTGACGAAGATCAGTTCGGATTCATTGACGCAAGAGTGATGATGAACCACTTAGGTAGATAGATACAAAAATATCAGAGAATAAGATTGAGACGAACATTAAGAATAGCCTATCCAAAGCCTTTGCGATACTCAACGATTTCCAGGCTGAATTGGAAGATTTTTTTTGTAGGTACAAATTATATTTGTTCCATAGCTGAGATGGTGGTGTAGTCATTGACATATCGGCACATGCATGATTCCCCAGAGTTGGAACAAGGTATGACCATTTGATGGAAACCACTTTCAACTATGATCGACGACGAAACAGCTTGATGGAATTCCTCAGAGGACCCGAAGGGCATAATCACTTCCCTTGACGGATAAACTAAATACATTTGCGTAGCTGACTCACTCTCCAAGCTTTACTCTCTCTCCCCCCTTGAAAAAAAGAAGGATTCAGGAGAGAGAAACAAAGGCGAAAGAGATCCCACGGTCTCTTGTTGTTTTCCTTCCATCCATGAACAATTTTTCATCCTTTTTTTTCCCCCTCTACCCGGGCAAACGGAGAGAGCTGTTGGTTGTTTTGCTTACTCTACCCTTGCCACACAGTATTACAGAAGAGAAACTCTAGTTGCAACTTGCAGGCGCTGCAAAAAGACTTACATACAAGGGGGAATGGAGTCTACGATGATGCCAACTCTGCCAAGCCGGGTTTACGTTGACTCACACGCATGGACACGCCCATATGTATCCACAACCCATTGCATACCAAGAAGCAGCAGAGCCGCCGGTAGTGTATCTGTAGCCGCGGTCTCTCCACCGTCCACCCCGTCCCACGGCACGCCCGAGAATGTTTGCGTGCTTGTGTCTAAATGTCCAGTGTGCGCTTGGCCCTCTCCACCCACCGCCGAGTCACCGAAGGAATGGCGAAAAAAAGCCAATTTTTGTTACATACTTTTGCCGAGGAGATGTGGATTTTCTGTGTTGCGCGTCCCGATCCATCACGTTTCACTTTCTTAGTCTTTTTTCGTTTCTCTGCACACACTCTCTCTCCTCGCGTGCTTGTTCCTCCCTGGAGTCATGCCCTTGCTTTTACTTACGCTTACCCTCCGTTGAACATACATCCCGGTCGTACGATACACAGCTTGTGTATTCCGTACAATACTCGTCTCGTCTCATTCACGTTCCTCAGGAAGATAGACCGAGGTTAATTTTACCGGGAGGTGGGTGTGTGATGCCCCTCTCTCACTCCAGAATCTCGTCACTCGGAAGTGTGAGATCCTGTGAGGAGGAGGCAGGCAGGCTTGTGAAAGGCTTACTCAGACGGTTCGCCTCTTTCTGACGTTGGCTTGTGATGATGGACGGTTGGATGGGTTCGGATGAGAACGGGATGTTGGCCAGGATCGGGACCAAGCATGATGAACCCCCGAGCACCTGTTGGGAGCCATTGAACGAGTTCGTCGGTTGTTTGCCTGCGTACAGGTAGGTGTCACAATGAGGGGTAGAGTTCCGTGAGGTGTGGATGGAGGAGCAGCCCCTCTCATCCACGACATGTGAGGAGGATACACTCCATACTATATCTGGAGATTAAGATGAACTTGCTAGCAACGCAACGGCGAACAGAATCCAGAGATAAGATCGATCGCCCTACGGCACCAACACTAGGCCACGCGGGATGAAGATAAGATCTGGCATATGGTATCTAACAGCGGCTTCTCATCGATCTGATCTGAGATTGTCTCTCACAAACCCAGAATCCGGGGATGGCGGGGCGAGCATTCCCGCACTACGCGGGCCGGAACAGCCCAGGGCCCAGAAGCCAAGGCCGTTGGGGGAGTCAAATTGAGGCTCGCTGGGGCTGGACAGGGTGTGTGAGCGCTCGTCCGGGCCCTGGCTTGCAATCCAGTGGCGGTGTGAGGGTCTTGACGCCTCGTGGCTGGTGTGGAGAAGATGGCTGGCCCAGGTGACCATTCTTGGCTCTGTGGCAGGCCCAGGTTGGTGGTCTTTGTGGGGTCCGGGGAAAGGCCCAGGTGCATGGTTTGTGTTTTGTTGACCGTGTCTTCGACTCATCGTCGTCTTGCTGCACGGTCAAGAGATCGCAACGCCTCTCCATTCTCTCAAGTTGCGTAGTCCCGTCCAGGAACTCCCTGGTCGTGTACCTATCCACACTGTCATTTTTTTTCCCCGGCTGGAGAAGCTGAGGTCTGAGGATCTGGGAATCATATGCTCCCGGGATCCTCCGAGTCCGCGGGGTGTCCGATGTTCGGAATTTGGAGAATTTGGAATTTCCAACAATAACAATGGGGACGCGAACAAGACAACGGGCGGACAGCTTGTGGGTGTGGGGTGGATGCCCCGGAGGATAGCCGAACAGCCCGACAGCCGGGGCACCGTCGGCGGCGGCGTGGGTGTGGAGGATGTGGCACCATCGGCGGAGCAAGCAGCATGTGCAAGATGAAGACCGACGACGGTGCTCCAGTGGGGCCGGGCGTGAGGGTTGGGCCAGCTGCTGTGACACCGAAGCTCGAGATCCACACCGGCAGAGCGTTTTGGTGGACGAGGACTTCGATCTCAGGATAAAAGTGCTTGGCATCGACCGAGCATATTTTTGTTCTTGATTTTTTTTACTCCCTTTGCCGCTGCAGGATACCTTTTTTTTAAAAAAAACCAAAATAAAGAATGTTGCTACGGAACTACGATGCAAGATCTCGTAGGATCTTGAGGTTGGGGGAATCCTTCGCTCTGCTTTGCATCGAGAAACACAAGAGATTGCCAGTGGCGGCCGGACTGGGGAAATCCAGCTGAATGGATGCTTACTCTTACTTCTTGCAGCAGCCGGTTTTGGAATCACTGGCAGATCGTCATCCAGAACTGCGGTCTCGACCAGACTTCAGGAAAGGGAAACACTGTGGCGTACCTGATGAGGCTGGGGAATTGAGTCAGGGATTCTGGGGAAGTCCTGGCAACAAGGAGTCCCCAGACAAACTGCAGGAAACCCCAGAAGCAACACAAGAAAAAGAAAGGGGTGCCTTGGCGGTTTGCGAGTGTCATTAGAAGCAGTAGCATGCTTCGTGCTGCTCTCTGGGGTTACCAGGACTGGGATGGGATCTGGGACGGTGAGAGAAACATTTCGAGGGGGCAGGTTCGGACGAACAAAGTGCGAGATGCCCAAAAAAGAAGAGAGAGAGAGAGAATTTAGAAGTCCATAAAAAAACCACAAAAACTCGATCGTTGAGAATAAGAGAGAGCGGAGAGCCAAAACTTGGTCCTTCGTCAGAGACCGGTGGAGGCCGCCCAAGCTCCAAAGGCACCCAAGGCTTGCCGACGGGAAATCACACATCAGACACAAGCGCGACTGGCGGGCTGTCTCAACCCCCTGGTTGCTTCTCGAAGCGTTCGTTTCGCTGGGCATCTGAGTTTTGCTCGTTCCCGCTCTTCCCCCAAGAATTTGTCCGGAGTTGACCCGAAGGGGGAGACCTAGGCCGTTCTTGCTTCTCTGGGCGATGCTAGCGATGGCTGTGGTCACGTTCGTCGTTGCGACGGTGTCAGATCCCTGCGCCTGCGGCAGAGCATCCATCTCATCAAAAGTCAAGAAAACACAACGAGCATCAACAAGCATCGGGAGAACTCGGGGGGAAAAATGGACTTGACTTTCATGGCTGCGACCTGCATTCTGCACACCCCCGGCGAGACCCCTGGGAATCCACACATTTCGATTTCCCATGTCGCAGGGGCCCACTGAACCCAATAAAGATCCACTGGTTCCACTGGTTCCACCGCTGCCCGATTCCCTACTGGCGTCTCTGTTTGGTCCACTGCTTCGGACCCATCGCCGCCAGAAGCCAAGACGGTCTCGAAAGAATGGAATGTCAACACACGACGGGATGGCAGGTGGAAATCCGTCTTTTTTTTTTACGATCTCTCGGCCACACACCTGACTTCCAGAAGTTGAGATGATACCAACCCGTGTGCAACGTTGCAATGCTTCTCTCTTGCTGGCGCAATCTTCAGATAGAAGATTTTCCGGCAGGGTTGTCTGCACAACATCCTTCCAGGCTGGCTTTTTGGATATGGGAAGCGGAAGGGATACACCGCGCGGTGGCCGAGACAAGCGAAGATAATTTTTTTTGACTTCCAGCGCATTTTCAACTTTTGTGTGTGCCTGTGTGCTTGATCACGCACACACCTGGTACACTAGCGCAAGTAATTCAACAGAAATGTCTGTATTTTTGGACTTTTGGTCTCCTAGTGTATCCTTCTGAGACCCATTAGGTAATCGTCGAGAGCGGTAAGACATCGTTGTGTCGAGGGCGTCTGTCCCGTGATTCTTTTGCTAGGACGGCGGCATCGTTGACGCCGGCCAGGCAAGGGAGAGAGAGGTTGGTGTGTTGATAATGTCCAGTGAGAGCTGCTCCCGACGGATCGGGACGAGCCATCTTAGCCAAAAGGGGAAATATGGGGCAGGTTATGGAACACCTGATTGGTGGACAGCTTCCTGCAGGACTCCATCACGAAGTGCGTGCGATTGGGCCCACCAATGCCTTTTGTGCTTTTCGAATGCTGGAGGGTAAGAAAAGGTGTGATGTGACGAGGTTCAGATCTTTCATCCTTACAATAGAGTATACCCAGCGGCAAGATGATGAAAGAGAGAGAGGACAGGCACACAACGGTAAGCGTCAGAACGGGCGCCCAGCGTCATCACAACGGATGTCTACTGGTTTCGCGAGACTCCAAGGTCGAAGGACTGGAGTGTCCAGTGTCCGCGACGGCTGGGATTCCGGCGGCGTACCTCTTGGCATCACATGGATGGGGGTGTGAAACCGAAAAGCTGCAGTGTGTTTTGCACACCCCGGGGGTCAAAGTACCGTACCGGCAGCTGGATTGCGTCGCTCTTGACGCCGTTGTACAGCAGTTGCGGCGGTCAACAGTCAGCAAGTCGAAACTGACAGCCAACCAACTTCGCAACCTCCATCAAAGGCCCCCAACAAAAAACAGTTATGATTATGCTAGCAGTGACCCAAAAAAAATAAAATCGAAACGACGCGAGATAGCAGTCGGGAGGGAAGCCGAATGAAGGGCCGCGAAGGAAGCAGCCGTCTGGGATGCAATTTTGCATGTTCCATGTTCCATGGTGTGAATGCTTGGCTCCAAGCTCCGTGGCTGTTGGCAGGCGGTAGGGCGCAGGCTGACTGCTGGCTGCTGGTCCCTTGGGTCCCACCCGGGTGTCATCTCGGTGACTCCTTCCGCCAGGGAGCCTGGACACGCTGCAAACCTGGACGTGCTTTCCCGATGTGGGCAGGTGTGCAGCGCAAAGAAAGCACCGGGCAGCTTTCTCTCGAGAGCGAGCTGCATTGCGCGCAGACGGGATAGAAAGTTCAAGGGATGATGAAGCTTCCTCTCGATCTTTCGGAGAGTATGACTGCGCGAATTCCTCCAGTGGAGTAAAATCGAGTCACTGTCACAACCACAATCATGAGGCCTCAGTTGCGGCCAATTTTTTTTATTTTTTTTTTTCGCGACTGTTGGGTTGGTATCGGTACATTTTGTACGGATCTGTATGGTAGCGTAGACAAACAGCGTGCCGGTGACGTGTTCGCAGACGGGCTCTTAAATGCTTCAATCTCCCGGCAGGTGCGAGGTCTCGTGGCAAGCTGCCCATCGTGGGCGCACCCATTCTCATCTCGAGCCCTAAATCCCACACGGCCACGCTTTGTCTCTCGATCGCCCCCTCGACAACTGGAAAAAGACGTGTAATAGGCTTTGCAAACGGGTTGTGACAGCAGCCCTTGAAACACACCACGAAACAACAGGAACAGGCACGGGCGCTTGTTGCAACGGCAGCAGCCCCGAGATTCCCTGGCGCCGTTTTTCCCATCCCATCACATCCAATCTCCATGTGCAGATTTGCCTAGCTATTGGGCATAAACGAAGCCGACTATCCGGTCAAGCAACGACGCATCCACATGGGGAAATCAGGAATGTCCAGATTGGCGCTGCTCGCGTCGCAGAGGGCCGGCGTGCAAAAGCTCTTAAAGCAGCTGGCCCCGAGCAATCGGCGTGCTGGCCAGACGATCCAAATTTCGTGGACTTTGACCAAGGCATTGCTCGCCTCTTCTTCTTTTGACTCTCCTTTTTTGTCGTCAGCAACCGTCAGACGCAGCCTTACGTTTGCCGAAGGCCGTAATAATCATTCTATTAATACGGACTTTACCGATACCAGTACCAGTACCGGTACCAACACCCTTAGCAACCATCTCAGGCACAGCTCCAGTTCCACGCCCACGGCGACGGCCACGCCCGCACCCACTACCGCTACCACTAGACTCACGCCGCAGGGGAACCCAGGAACCCTCCTCGAACGCCTGGTCCAGCCCTGCCTCGACCACGTCGGCCCCGTTGCCCTCGCGCTCCCCCCGTGGATTTACACATTTGTTATCCTCGCCCGACTCCCCCTTCTGCTGCTCTTTCTCTCCTTCCCTCTCCCCCCAGCTTCTCTTTCTCTTTTATCTATTGCCGGCCCTGCCATGGCGTCGTATGCGTCCAGCACATCCTCGTCGCCCTCCACAGACATCTCAACACCCCGATCCCGCTCGCCCTCATCCGTGGCCTCGGCCCGCTCATCACACTCATCCATCTCCAGCTCCAAGCGCATGAGCATATCGTCGTCGCGCAGAATCTTTGCTGCAAACCCTATGGCGTCCGTCGACATCGAAGCCATTGAAGAGGCCATGCGCATGGCCAAGCTCGACACACTCCGCGGCTATGCGCAGAACAACTACGCCGAGGTGAAGCAGCTTTGCCAGACCGAGTACATCCCCAAGCACCAGGCCCTCGGCTACCAGATCCTCAACGAGCCGATGTGGAACAAAGGTGAGTCAACCGAGTCAAAGCCTAGGCATTCTGGCACTCCGGCATTCTCTAGCCCGAGCCAGACTGCCAGTCCCCTCCGCATCCCCAACTCTTCCCCAGCTTTTCTCCATAGCCGCCGACGCGGGGTCCATGGCGTCCTTGGCTGCTGGAAACTACTTCACTGTGTGTTTCCCCAGCTTTGTCCGAGAACTCAGTCATCTCAGCAGCTGGTTTCACACTTTCGTTGTTGTTGTTTCCAGCTTCCTGTCTGCCAATCGCCGTCCCGTCGTCGTCCAGTCCTCCCATTGGCCATCCCTATCCCCATCGCCTACCCATCTACGTCACTCTTGCTTGCACCTACCTTACATTCCCCTCAACCCCAAATCCCCCCCTTAGAGCTCCCCTCCTCCTCCTCCTCCTCCTCCTCCTCCTCCTCCTCTTATCATTGCTCTCTACGTCGTCCTTCTCTCCTAGCATATCTGCCCATCATGCCGCTGTCTGCGAAACGCGCACTGGAACGTGCAATGGTCACTGACAGTCTTGCAAAAGGCCTGTCGTTTACACCTGAGCAACGCATCGCCAAGAATCTCACCGGCCTCATCCCGCACGTTATGGAAGATGCAGAGAGGCAGTGCGAGCGTGCGCTCAAGATGATTCGCACGCGCCAGACCAACATCGACAAGTACTTGTACCTGTCGTCGCTCAAGCGCGAGAACATCGACCTCTTTTACCGCCTGCTCATCGACAACGCCAAGGAGCTGATGCCCCTGGTCTACACCCCGACCATTGGCGATGTCTGTCTGCAGTACTCGACTCTCTACACTCGGCCGGAGGCGCTGTACATTTCGATTAAGCAGCGAAAGTCAATGAAGACGATCCTCAGGAACTGGCCCTACCCCAACCCCGAGATCTGCGTCGTGACCGACGGGTCGCGCATCCTCGGCCTGGGTGATCTCGGTGTCAATGGCGTCGGCATTCCGGTAAGTGCTTCGGCATTTTGTCAGCAACAGGCAACTGGCGGTCGCTGTGTGATGATCAGCCAGTGGCGGGGCCATCGCTGCGTGAGCGGAGTCGGCTAATTTGCATGCATTAGATCGGCAAGCTAGCCCTGTATGTGGCCGCAGCCGGTATCCACCCGGAAAAGACGCTGCCCATCGTTCTGGATTGCGGCACCAACAACGAGACCAACCTCAAGGATCCGCTGTACCTCGGCCTGCGTGCCAAGCGGCCCTCCGTTGCCGAGCAGCAGGAGTTCATGGACGAGTTCATGGAGGCCTGCCGCGAGGTCTACCCGGATATGGTTGTGCAGTTTGAGGATTTCGAGAGCGAGAAAGCCTTTAACTACCTCGATCGCTATCGCAACAGCTACAAGTGCTTCAATGATGACATTCAGGGTACCGGTGCCGTCGTGCTTGCCGGGTAAGTGTTTTGCCTCGCTTGCATGCCCAAGGTTGCATTCCGGGGTAAGGGTTAAGCTAATCCATCTGATCATCAGTTACATCGGTGCCGTGAACCTCTCCAATGTTCCCATCGAGGAGCAACGCCTCGTCTTCATGGGCGCTGGCTCGGCTGGTGTCGGTGTCGCTAAGCAGCTGGTTGAGTACTACACCAAGCGCGGTCTGTCAGAACAGCAGGCCAAGGACAAGTTCTACCTTGTCGACACCAAGGGTCTGGTGACCAAGGACCGTGGCGATAAGCTCGCCGAGCACAAGAAGTACTTCGCCCGCACCGACAACAACGGCCGCCAGTTCCGCACTCTCGAGGAGGTCATCGAGTATGTCAAGCCCACTGCCCTCATCGGCCTGACTGCCACCCACGGCGTCTTCACCGAGTCGGTCGTGCGCGCCCTCAAGGCCTCTGTCGACGGCGGCGGCCACGGTCGTCGTCCTATCCTCTTCCCCCTCAGCAACCCCCTCAGCAAGGCCGAGTGCACCTTCGAGCAGGCTGTCGACTGGACCGACGGCACCGTCATCTTTGCCTCGGGCTCCCCATTCTCGCAGTACACCAAGAACGTCGGCGACGTCGAGGTCACTTACTACCCCAACCAGGGTAACAATGTCTATGTGTTCCCTGGCATTGGTCTGGGTGCTATCCTGGCTAAGGCTTCCCGTGTTACGGATAATATGATCTATACCTCAGCGGCGGCCCTCGCGGGTACCCTGAATGCGGATGAGATTCGCAAGGGTCTGATTTACCCGCGCATTGAGCGTGTGCGGGAATCCAGCTTGGTTGTGGCCCGTGAGGTGATGAAGGCTGCCCGGAGGGATGGTGTCAGTCAGTTGGATGAGTCGCTGTGGCAGCAGTTTGAGGAGTGGGGTGATCCAGCTCTCGATAAGTGGATTAAGGATCGGATCTACAACCCGCAGCTTTGAACTGGGCACAGAGGAGGGTGACTGACTGAATGAGAGGGGGTGTGTCATTTGTGGGTACAGCATCGGCATTGGTTTTTTTAACTCTTTTTTTTGGTCATCATCGTCATTATTACCTCCTTCCCCTTACACCCAGCTGCCAACTTATTTTGGAAGATTCCCCAACACCAGTACAGCCCGTATGTTGGGTGTTGGCCTTTCTTTTTATTATTATCGCGTTGATTTAGTTAATCTCGTTAGACGCGTGGTGGTTTTTTTTTTCGCTTTGGTTCCTCATGTTTCATTGTATCTCTTTTTGTTCGGGATGGATGGGAAGGGAAAGAAAGGAGACAATCATTGATTCATTGGGATGGTGTAGAAGAGATGGAGAGTGCAAGCTAAAAAGGGACGCCTTTACGTTACTTAGCGATTGGAAGTTCCTACATAAGTCAATGAAGAAATGACACTTGCATGCTAAAACCTGTCATGACCTTTGGGGTGATGGGGTTGGTGTGCAATGTAGTAATGGATGAAGGTTGAAGGATAGAGTGGTTGGTTGAAGGATAGGTGGAATGGAAGATAGACAACGCAATGCAATGGAATGCAATAGGATATGAATAATCCATTTGGTGTTTGAAATATTGTGCTATGGTAATGTGACTTGTCCGATACCTGCACTGAAGGTACGATGAATAATGAAAATCTGAGCACGATTGAGACCCAAGGCCTTGGGGTAAGTCCTATATATTTAGAGTCTGGATGCTTAGAGATCGCTTCTGGGAGAGCTAGAGTTGCTTTTAAGTCTATTTAGCCTATATTTGAATTCATCAACATGGAATGAGTCAGTCAACTTGAATCTGAGAATCGTCGCCTGTTTTCGTCTTTGTTCAACCGACCTCCCACTGGACCAAGCAAAGAGAGCATATCAACTTCTCCAACATCACAACGCACATGGACTGACTAGTATAATCCAAATGACTGAATTCATTCTGTAGAATGCCAATCATTACATCCCCTAGTTCACTCCATTCCCCTACTATGCACCCATGAAGTTACTAAAGAAGGTGCTTGTCATGCTAGCATTAGAGGGTTTAAATTGTCTTGTGTTAGCTTAAGACGTGCTGCTTACATGAACTATGTTCTAACTTGTTAGTGTTGCTCTGTAAATCAGACATTTGCAAAAAGGTTTTCTAGGTGCCTAGTTAGACACTGTGCACAGTTTTCATGCCTTTAATTTCACTCCAATAACCCTTTAGTTTAACCCACGGAGCCGTACAACCAATTTGACATGTGTAGCATATATCACTGTCACCTCAAACATGAACAGAGATAGGGAAAAAAAAATGGCAAATGTTGAAAGCATGTCTCAGTAAGCCAATCATGAATTAAGCTCCTAGGGCACCATACAACAACCAAACCAACAGGGAGACCGCAAGAAGACAGATATTTAAAGTTCATTTCCCACAGAAAGGATATAGAACTCCTTCGTCTTCCGAGGCTCAGCAGCCACCCAGCCAACTCCCGAATTCTTCGGGTGCCTACCCCAGTAACTACCTCTCCTGGTGACAAGCCCCACAATCGTCTTCCCTGGCGGAGGCCTTACCTTATACACGTCCTCGCAGTCATACACAATGACTTCCTCCAAGTTGGGACAGCTCTTGAAGGCCGCCTTGACCACAGCATCTGTAGCAGCCCAAACTCCGCGTAGATCCAGCTTCCTCAGCGCCGGCCACTCGTTCCGCTTCTTGTCGAACACATCCGGCATGACCCAATCCAATAACTTCCGCGAGTACCCCACCTTCAGCTGGACCAGCGTTGTCCTCGAGTGTGCCATCAGCGCGTAAAAACCGTCCAGCCACAATCCCTCCAGGCGCCCACCATAAAACCGCCCAGACACCCACTGATCCTTCCTCCCCGAGAACTCGACGTACTCCAGCCCGGGGTTCTCCCAATCTCGAAATAACTTGGCAAGCCCGCCGTCCGTGAGGCACGGAGCTCCGGTGATCTTCAGCTTCCGGAGACATCGGCAGGTCTCGTGGATCGCCTCCAGCACGGCGTCATTCGCGTTAAAGAACTCCTCCAGCACGAGCGTCTCAAGCTGGGCCCCAACCGCGCGAATAACCCCGATCACCACGTCCACCGACACCCTCACCATCTGTCCCATGCACAGACTCAGCCTCTTGAGCCGAGTCAACCCGGCCAGCGCAGCGATCCCAACATCGGTGATCGCCCCTCCTCCCCCCGAGGAAACAATCTTCAGCCTCTCCAACCCCGGACACTTCTCCGCCAGCACAAGCAACACCTCATTGTTGAGCCCTCCACACCCAGGGCCAACGCGTAGCTTGCGCAGGAAGTGTCCTCCCCTCCCCTCAAGGAAGCGGATCCACGCCCGTGCGCTAAGATTGCCCGCCCCTTCTAGATCCAATTCCTCTAGCCGGATCTCTTCACACCCCCAATAAAGTTCAGCACCTCATCGTCGACCCCCCACGCTCCCCCACGCAAAATGAGCCTCTTCAGCGCTCCTTCCCCCTCTCCAGACGCAAGCGACCCCAATACGCGCAGCAGCTCCCCCGACGACAGCCCGCAACTCACGGGCAGCGCCAGGGTGTGCCGCTGCCCGAGGTACGGCAGGAAATGCTGCAGCGTGGCTAGCGTGAGGGGGTGCCCGCGCTGCACGACCAGGCGGGCCAGCTGAGAGATGAGAAAGTCCGGGAGGCCTTTAAGGGTCGGGACGCGGGAGAGGTGTGCGACGGCGATGGTGAGAGCCATGGTGACCAGGGAGCGGGGGCCGCGGGTGGTTCTCTGCTGGCCCGGTTGGCCCAGCTGGGCGGGGGAGGCGGGCTGGAGCTGGCTGGGGGTGTCGGGTTGGGCAGACGGTTGAGATTGAGTTGGGTGGTGGTTGGCCATTCTATTTTTCTTTTTATTGTTTGTTGCGTGTGTGCTTGAGAAAGAAGAGTGAATAAAGGGGGATTTTTTTTGTTAATCTTGGTGTTGACTTTTGGTGGGAAAGAGAAAAAGAAGGCGGAGGAGGTGTTCATATAGGGAGTGAGCACTGATGTTCAGATGCTGGCTGGTCACAATTGCAGTTGTTCTGGTGTATCATTTCGTCAAGTCTCAAGTGAAATGGCATTGCTGCCCAGAGAATGACACAGACTTCGTCCATTATCCGTGTGGTTTGCGCTCAGTTGTAGCATTGGCGGTCTCCCTAGGTAGTCGAGTAATTCACAAAGTAAAGTTGTATGTGGTATCTCAACCCCGATAGCACGAAGGGTATTTACCTAGGCTTCACATCTCGGTTTTGGAATCTGCTATAGAATTCAAAACGGTTAAGCTCTTGGACGTTTTGTAATAGCTCAGTCCACAGCTGTACGCAGACATGGTTCACACAGCATTTATCATCGAATTGTCAGATATCTGGAACTGGACAAGAAAACTAGTAAAGATCTTTCTTGAGTGTCATGGCATCCAGATCACATAGCAAACTTATTCATTCCCATTCACAAGAAGTTTTCATCCTGAAGACCTTGCTATAGAGTTACGCCAATAATTGTTCATGTAACTCATTTGTGATCATTGATTTGTGGATCTGTGGATGGTTGTTACAACTCGTCCTCTATGACGTCATAGTCCAACAACCGCCCGTCCTAAAGAGTTTAGATCAGAGCGGCTCTACCCGCGCGCTAGCATACTGCCAAACCTGACGCATACCTCGTCCCAAACCAAAGATGTGATGAAGAACACAGTGCTGGAACACCAGCCGATTTATACAAAATTATTTTTAACATCAGTATGTTGATTTGATGGATAACGAATCGCTTTTTGAGACATCATCAGTTGCTATCCCTTGTTTCTGTCGGCTATGGTGTTTTGAACAAGTTCAAAGTCATTGGATACAAAATCAATAGAGGGCTCCTTGGTGATATTGCGCAGGTGATTGGGAATGAACAGATGAAGCTTGATGGTAAATTTCCTTGTTGAAATAAGCAAGTGAATGATAGACAAGGAGCCGCAGAGCCTGAGGTGATTCCAAAATTGTTGAAGTTTGTCCCTACAACATGAATCTCGTGTCTCCCTGCATGGCATGCTTTTGAGTTGTGAAGCCGAGCAGCACATTCCTCTCCCGCTTGGTTAACCAATACAGCTACAGCGGAGTCTCTGTCTAGGACCAACACCCAAAAGTGACTCAAGCATTGGTTCCTACTTTCTGCAATCCCAGTTTACACAACAGGGTGGCTTCCCCCGAGGAGCAGGCGATAGACCTTTTGGAGATCGATTGTCCACAACATTTACACCGGATTGCCCTGACAGGCCAGCTGCGACTGCAAAAAAAAAAAAAAGAACAAGAAAAAAATGGACAGGCCAGCAGAAGCCTGCTGTGGCTTCAAGTCTACCCGTCGCTCGCAATATCAGGATAAAGAAGAGAACAATGAGAAGCATACTGGTAAGCCGAGAGCATAGGGATGAACCATATAGCCAGATCTAAACAGGAACTGCACACGTGAGCCGTGATCGCAAAGAACAAGGGTTTTTTGTAGAGGCATTTTACTCAAACATAGGATTTGCAGCGAGACCGAAACCTGAACAGACCAGACGAATTATTATTTAGTCACTCATCTGTCTGATCAGCCTGTACAACGCTGTCGACCCCATCTGTTTTAACATCCTACTCACAAGATATTTCCATCCGTGACTTCATGACGTGCCAGTATTAGTAGATAGCACTCAATGTCAAGGATATATCCCAAGTAACTTCTCTTGTCTAATTTGGTGTAGACGCAATCTTGACGATATAGGATTCTGCTTGGGATCAGTAGTGATCGAGGGCTTCACGACGCTTAGAGTCCAATGTTGTCCAGCATGGGCTATCTACCTCACAACCAGCTTGTCTTGACGCAGCTAATGCTGGTCTCAACGAACGACGTCGAGATCGTTACTCCTGATCGTATGGTCCAGCTACCTCACGACCAACCCATTATAATACGGCTAATGCTGACCTTGACGACATGCTAATCTGAATGGCATCGATTGCGATCAGGATCACAATCAGATCAGGAGTGACCTAACGACGCTGAGATGCCAACCTCAACGGGCACAGTCCTTTTGCTTCACGACCAACCCCATAAGTGATCCCGCATAGGATCAGTAACCATCAGGAAGACCTTACGATCACGAGATTGACATGGTCCGCCTACCTCACGACCAGGCCATTACGACATGGCCAATGGTATCCTCGACAATATTGGATTCTGCTCGGTCTCAGTAGCGATCAGGATCACAACCTAGTCCCCCTAATGCCGCAATTCCTCCCCTTTCCGGCACAGTCTCCTGCCTCACAACCAGCTCATCACACTTTCTCATAAGACCAGCAGCAATCGGCTCCTCGCCCTCCTAACGCCGAGACCCGCACTCTTCCAGCCACGTCCACCAGCCTCACTCCCATCACATCGTGACTCACAATGCGGCCAACGCTCCCCTCTTTACAACAATTGTTGGAAGGAGGGAGAATATCCCGGAACCAAAACCGCTATTCGCCAGGAAAGCACATGCCCCGTCAACACATCGACCAGAAAAGTCCCGCTATTGTGCGAGGGGAGCACCAGCACGGGGCGTGGGACGCGGGTCCGCTGTGCCCTGCCCTGGGTATATCTTTCGGCGCCGGAAGCGAACTCTCCTGTAAATTCTTTTTTTCTTCTGTTCCTTGCACTATTCTGTCTTCTTTGGCTTTGTCCTCTGGCTTTTGCAGCTGCTGCTCCGCCCGCCCACCGCCCACTAGCCACATCAGCAAGTTTTCTTCTTCGTCTTTCTGGCACCAGCATTCGGCGGCGACAACGGCCGCAGTAGCAATAATACTAACAGCAACAGCAGCAGGTACAAGTCCTCCTACCCTCCCTTCGGCTGGCCTCGTTTTTTTCCTTTTCTTTTCCTTTTTTTTTTTTGCGATGGCCGACTTCAAGAACAACGCCAGCGCCGGCAGAGCCAAGAATGTCGGCATTCCGAGTAAGTTTTAACTTCTCCTTCGTTTGGCTCTGCGCTTTCTGCTCAAGTTGCCTACCACGGTTTCCCCATGTCCTGCCCGGCCCTCTCTGCCTTCACGTCGCTTGGATTTCTCTGTCCTGCCCTGGGTTGGTTGGCTGGTCGGTTAATCGGTTGGTCAGTCAATCAGCCAACCAACCAGTTGGTTCATGGCCAGTTGAGCTTCAAGTTGAAGTCTTTAAATTCTTAAGTCTTGTCTCCTCAGTGAGCGGTTGAAAGAATCAACCTAGCTTAGGTTGATTGAATGACTTCTTTGACTTGACGAAGTTGCCTACTTCCTACACTGGTATCACCTCCCCAATCCCTGATACCAGAACAACAACCCCTTGATCACTTTGACTTCCTGTCTGAACTTGTGACATCCTGAGCAACATCACACATCTCGGACGAGATTCACATCCTGTCAAGGAGTGATGTCATTTCAAAATATGGCGAAAGATTTGTCCGGTTTTTATTATTTGGGGCTGCTTCAACCCGTTTAAATCTTTGTGCAGCCCTGCTTGAGCACTTGACATCTCTGATGTTAGTCTGCTGAATCCGCGCTAATGAGCATACCTCTGATTTTCTTAGTTGATCCTGCCTTGCTCGCTTGGGACGCTGCGCAGCAGACGTCCTCGTCCTCGTCTTCCTTGCGGACTGCTACCTGTATGCACTCCGGCGAAGGTCTTGTTCGTTCTCCTGCTGCAGTCCGCCCTGGCGCAGTGCCGTCTCGTTCCGCTCGGTTGGCTGCCCCTTCGTTCTCGCTTTCTGCGCCTGCCGTCTTGTTTACCTCCTCGCGTGTGCCAGGCCTTTCTACTCCCCCAGCTCCTGCTCACGCCTTCGCTGCCGTGCACGCCCACACTGGCCACCTCTCCATGCCGGTTCCCTCCACCTCCTCTGACCTCGATGCCATGCTTGAGGAGGTGCTTACCCGCTCGTCACCCGCGCTCCAACTCGCTGTCCCCTTCGACTCCTCTGTATTGGGGCCCGCTGAGGCTCCCTTCCCGTCGTCATCATCGGCGTTCCCGGGGTACCCCGACCCTAAATATGCGGCCGTCTTTGAGGGATATGACAGCATCCGGGGAGCCTGTGACGATGACGAAGATGATGACAGCGATGTGTTTGATGTGCTGGCTGCTCCAGCCAATGTCTTCGTCATGCAGACGCCCGCTACTTCAGCCCCTGTTGCTCCCAATGTCGATTTCGCCACGTGCCCGCCTGCTTTCACTCTAGCTGCAGCCCCTGAGAGCGACTTTGCGCCCGCCGCCAGTTTTACTTTGCTTGCTGCTGTGCCGGCTGTCACTGCTCCCGTCGTGCCTGCACTCATGCCTGCTGCGCCCGCTGCCCGCGATCGCCAAGCGTTGGACCAAGCCCTGCGAAACATTGCCTCCATCCAGCCTATCGTGCCTGTCGCCGCGTCCCAGCCCGACAGCATTACCCGACGGCCCCTATCTTTGGCTCAGCTCGAGGGCCTGAACTGGATGGCCCAGATGGAACAGACCCAGTTCCGTGGCGGCTTCATCGATGCCGATAAGATGCAGCTCCTGGCGTACATCATCGCCGACCGGTCTCCTGAGCAAGCAAAACCCAATCTGGTGATTTCTAATGTGCAGGGTCGGGATGCGTGGGCCGTCGCTGTTCAGGAGTTCCGCGATAACTACCTCGACCAAGCCATTAGCCAGACCTTCAGAACCGTCCCATGGGAAGCCAATGGCGCGCGGAGCGGCGGTCGGTCTCAAGCCGACACGCTGCGCCACTTCGACCTCGTCATCGTCTCCTACCAGACCCTGAAGTCTCAGTACCAGAGGGAGCGGCGCCCCAACGACCCACGCGAGTCCCCCCTCCACAGCATCGACTGGCATCGCGTCATCTTTGACGAAGGAGACTTCCTCAAGGGAGGGAGACAACCCCACAGCGCAGGCCTGCTATCCCATCCGGGCTACGTATCGTTGGTGCCTGACCGCGAAGCATCCGCTTGACTATGAGGCCAACTTCCCGACCATAATCCAGTTTTTGCGCATCGAACCCCTTGCGAGCCACTTCTGCGCCGAATGTGATTGCCGCGCGTCCATCGATGATTTCGGGGGCAGGAGCTGCAACGCTTGCCAACACGCTATGTGCCGACATTTCTCTATGGTGAACTACATTTGGGCGAGGAAAAACCCCAACCGGACCCGGACTTATCGGCACTTTGATGAATCGACTCATGCTGCGGCGGAGGGTGAGGAGCGACGTGGACCCGCCGGTGGTTCAGAGGGAATGGCTTGCTGAGGCCCACGTCGATTTTGCCGGCAGCATCATGGCCCAATTGCCTTAGTTTTGAGTAAGTCGCAGGGGATTTCGGCCCGACAATGAGCCCTCTCTCCAGGTTGAGTGTGTCGAGCCTCGATGACTCTAATCTCGTGAGCTGCGACTGCGATGACCAGGTCACATCGACCTTATTATATCAATACTCTCAACATGATCCGTTATCCAGAGGAACCGTATCGACTCCACGACAGGGCATTCTTTGAGTTCGAGCAGGGCTGGTTTTGATTGTATTGGCTTGGTGTTCGACTCCAACACTTGATTCTGCCCCGTGAGTCTTGTTCCTCAGAATCAGATACCCGGGGCCGCGGGCTACCAAGAGCCATCACGACCGTTTCGGGTTATTACTTTTGGCTTCGACAGATTAACTTCTCTACTTTTTCACTTTGGGTCGGCCCAGCTTCCGCATAGTTTCTTTGTCTGCGAATGGCATCGTCTTTTGACAGCAGCTCGGGCAACATGCTTCTTAACATCTTTTGGGTTTTATGTTTTATGTGGGAATGGTTATAAGGGCAAAGGAATATTAGGGATTTGCATCACAACAATATCGTAGCATTCGAGACAGATAAATACATGGCATGTGTGTCGCAGAGCGGTGCAGGGCGTAGTCGTGTGTTGCGATGCAAAAACCATGGTGATGTGATCCGTGAACGATGCTCAACCGCAGCTGTTTGTTCGGCCGACCTCAAGGGTTCAAAAATGTAGCTTATGTAATCAAATTCCGCCAAGCCAAAACCCCAGCTCCGCAAAGGTGCGCTCCACCCGCCAATCCCAATGCGGGGTAGCTGGGGGTAAATTGCGGGGAGACCCTATGCTCTCGAGGAATGATTGGAAGGAACGGGGACGTCTTCCAAGGCTCACAAGCTCCCCCGCCGTGTCTCAAGAAGCAGACATATGCATGACAAGACCTGAGCCAGGGAAGGCTGCGGTCACGAGTGTCCCTGAGCGTCCCGTCGTTGTCAATCGTTCAGGTCGTCGTTTTAACTTCTCGGCACCCGAGTTGCTCTTCCCCTCATTTCTTCCCAGTCTCTCCTCTCTGGTCTAAGCGGGCTTTAGATCAACTGCCTGACTGATACTTCCTATCAAGATTGCAGCTTTACGCGTGGCTACTTTTATTTGAGAACCGGTTCTTTGGCTCACCGCTGGAGACGCTCTTCGAGTTGTTTCCTCCTTGCTGCATTGTTTACTCGCCCATCTGACTCGGGCTCGCTTGTTCCTTGGCTCTCGATCCGGCCTTGGACATTGTGTACATTATTATATCTCCTCTGAAGTAGTATTATCGAATTCCACGCTCACCGTCGGGAGCTCTGAGCTACGGTTTCAAAGCACACGAGCCAGAGACCTTCAGCGACAACTTGACTGACCACACTATACACACACACACACACACACACACACACACACACACACACACACCACACTCTAACTTCACCTCATCACACCCTTCGGCTGACCGAGCTAAGTATGACGACGACGAGCCGCCATTGATTCAGCGTCTAAATCCTCAACAACGGCATCCAAGCCTTTTATATCGTTCTTCCTTCCCCCCCCCACCCAACCCCCCTGTCTTTGTGACATATCTATTCTGCGGTCTTTCGAGCCAGCTATTGTAACCCGTCCGCTAGCTCTCCGAGATGAAACTTGACGTCCTGGCGCTGGCCGCTGTGGCCGGCGCATCAACGCTGACCCCTAATGTCCTCCCGTTAATCGTCCGGAACCCGTATCTCAGCACCTGGCTCTACCATGCCCGCGGTGCCCCTTGGGACAATTGGCCCATCTTTTGGACTGGTGCTCATGTGCGTTCTCTTTTTTGTGTTCAGCTTACTAGGACGCTCAACTAACTCAATGTTTTCAATGTCTAGGTCGGTTTCTCCGTCATGGCATCCGTTCCCGAGACAGGAAAGGTCTATCCTCTGCTCGGACGACCACAAGACTCCCTTCGCTGGGATCATCCGCAGTATAAGATCACGTACCCCGAGTACCTCGGTGCGAACTTCGATGCCTCAACCACGAACCTAACATACAGAATCTACGGCTTCTCGTCATCCAACTCCGCACTCGTGACCCTGTCATTTCTCTCCCCCATCACCCCGTCCTCGACGTTCCGGCAGTCCATTCCCGCCGCCTACATGACCATCTACGTCGAGGGCTGCATCGATCTCAACATCTACACGGACACCAACGGCGAATGGGTCACAGGAAATAGGAACAACCAGATCAAATGGACACTACACACACCGGTCCGCTACGGCAATGGCCAGGGGACGGCCCTCAAGTCGTGGAAGGTGTCGCGGGTGCACGAGCAGCTCTTCACGGAATTCGCTGACCACGCGGAATGGGGTACGCTCTACTTCTCTGCGCCGAGCGACGTGCACCATCAAGCTGGGACATCGGCCATCCTCCGCCAGCAGTTTGCTGAGCACGGCGCGTTGAGCAATACCGTCGACAAGAGATGGCGTAAAGTCATGCAAGAGGAGCCAGTCTTTGCCTTCTCCAAGTCCTTCAACCTCGCCGGCAAGAAGAAGGTAGACCGCTGGCCCCCCAAAGCGGACAGCATCACCTTCACCTTCGCCCTAATCCAGGACCCCGTCGTCCAGTTCGCCTCTGCCAAGGGCCTCATCCACATGAAGCCCCTCTGGCAATCCTACATCCACACCACCGATGAGTTGATCACCTACCACTACGACGACTTCCCAACAGCCGCTGCCCTCGCCCAGAACTATTCCGACACCCTCGCCATCGACGCCTTCAACTCGGGTTCCTCCGAGTACAAAGACATTGCCGCTCTGTCAGCCCGGCAGGTCCTCGGTGCGACGCAGTTCTCAGGCACACCCGACCGGCCCATCCTCTTCCTCAAGGAGATCTCGTCGAACGGGAATTTCCAGACCGTCGACGTCATTTTCCCTTCGTTCCCCTTCTTTTTGTACACCAACCCCAAGTGGCTGGCGCATTTGCTAGAGCCGCTGCTAGAGCATCAGCTCAGCGGGCAGTACCCCAATGATTACAGCATGCATGATTTGGGGGCTCATTTCCCCAACGCGACTGGGCACCCGGATGGGAAGGATGAGTACATGCCCGTGGAGGAGTGCGGGAATATGCTTATTATGGCGCTGGCGCTGGCTAATGCGCTTAAGGATGAGGATTCTTCGTCTCCGGCGTACCTTCAGGCTCATGAGACGGCTGCGGAGGTGCTGCCTTACTCTCCTAGCGGGGCGTCCGCCGATAAGTACGGGTTTGACTTGGTCGGAAAGACATCGGGCGAGGAGGCAGCGACCCGATGGCTAGCCCGGTCATGGAAGCTCTGGGAACAGTGGACGGGCTATCTTGTCCGCGAGTCACTCATCCCGCACAACCAGCTTTGCACGGATGATTTTGCTGGCTGGCTCGCCAACCAGACCAACCTCGCGCTCAAGGGGATCATCGGCATCCGCGCCATGAGCGAGATCTCAGAGATGTTGGGGAAAGTGGATGAGGCCAAGCACTATCGCGCCATTGCAGAGTGGTATATTGATAAGTGGCAGGAGTATGGCATCTCGAGGGATGGTACCCATGCCAAGCTGGCGTACACCTGGTATGGGTCGTGGACGACGATTTATAATTTGTATGCGGACTCGCTATTGTGTTTTCATGTTAGGGAGTCCGAGGGGAAGGGGAGTGATTATGACGACGCAAAGGATCAGGTACCCGGCCGCCTGAGGGGCCAGAAACCCCTGGGTGGGTTGAGCAGTCTTGCGCGAAGGGCATCATTGGTCAGGAAGAGGAGCGAGGCGACTCAGTACAAGAAGAGGGAGGTGTTCATCCCGGACAGGATCTACCAGATGCAGAGTGACTGGTATTCTGCTGTTCTGCAGCGATACGGACTGCCGCTGGATTCGCGGCACTTGTATACGAAGAGCGACTGGGAGTTCTTTGCTGCCGCCGTGACGAGCAAGAAGACCCGGACGGAAATTCTGACCGCGGTGGCGAGGTGGGTGAATGAGACTTCGACTGGTACGTCCCCGCTTGGTCCCCCTTTTCTGGTGGTGATGAGCATCGACTGACGAAATCGCAGACCGCCCCCTAACAGATCTCTACGACACCGAAGGAACGGGCGGGTATCCAGGTATTCACTTCATGGCGCGGCCGGTTGTGGGCGGTCACTTTGCGTTCTTGGCGCTGGAGGGGGCTTGCGGGGGGAAGGCGATTGAGGCGCTGAGGTTTCTGGATGAGATTGAACCTAAGGAGTTGGATGTTGTGCGGTTGTTGAGGAGGGAGAGGGAGCTTGGCTTGGAGCTGCAGCAGAAAGAGGGATGGAGGGGTGAGGACCTCTAGTAGCGGTTTGGTTGAAAGTTTGAGCGGTGGCGTTGGGGTTGGGGAGATGTTGTTGTTGTTTTATTGGCACCTATGGTTACGGAAGTAGGATTAGGAGTACATTGTATGTGTTCTGATATTGAAAGACCGGCGCTACTTGTTTTGTGCTTGTTATTTCATTTCGGGGATGGCTTGCTTGGTGCTTGGGTGTTTGTCCTGACTCCTTCAAGGTCGCCAAAGTTTGAGAGTTGGCAAGCGTTCGAGGAGCGGGAAGGCCTTCGGTCGGAAACTGGAACTGGAATAGCCATCGACACAACGCAAGACAGGGCGACCAATCGCCGAACAGCACGAGGGTGTTGATCGAACCCCCCGAATTTTATGTCTTGCGCCACAGAAGGCTGTGTTGCTGCATTACCCAGGATATTCCGCCCATCTTCGTGAGTTAAGGGGAAAGCCCTTGGCCGAGATAGATTTGAGCCAGCCTTGCAATTGTGAGTCTAACAAACCTCGTAGAGTATACGTTGCAATTTCAAATCATCAAATCCACACTTCCAAAACTCAAAAAAAAAAAACAGTGGTTGCAGCCGACCGCGTCGCGAAAGCGTGAATCGTAATAGAATGATTCTGGATCGATAGCGGTCGCGGAGCCTTCGATCCATTCTGAGAATGCGCTAACCATATCAGGTTAGTACAAGGTCTCGGCTGCTGAACCTTCTTGGCCCAGAGAGAGTCTTGCTCAGCGTCAACCACAGCTGCCAGGAGCTGGAGCCTGGGCAAACGCCGGGTGCGCCGCCTCTCAAAAATTTCGCCTCCTGGCTGCCTTCCCTTCCAGGTTCCCTTTCTTCCCTTTCCTCCTGCTGCTGCCAGACCCAGTGCTTGACAGTGTCTCCTCTGCCTTGTCAGTCGTCACCTGCCTTCATCATCTGCTCCGCCTTGGCCTCGCAGCCTTCTTTCTGAATTTTTTTTTAAAACCCCTTTCTTTGTCCATCCAGGCGGACGCCTTCCCAACAACTTTTACCTCTTCCCATTTCTATCCAAAAAGGGGATCACAGCAGCTCCCTCAGGTTTTCTTTTTTTTTTTCCCCGTCTGCAAAAACAGGCCACAGGCCACCACAGTCCACAGCACGCACGCGCCTCATTTCAGCTTCCAACAAATCGTGTTTTCTCATTTATCTCTTCCCTCCTCCACTCCACAACTCACGGCTCGCTGCTCCAGCCGCGCTCCACCCAACAAAGTCGGCTAGGCTAGTCTTTCCCTTTCTCCATCATTCACCCAACCTTCGAACACAACGACGTCACGCAACGAAATCCATCAAAATGGCGACCACTTCGATGGATTATGAGAACGCCAACGGCGATCGTTACGAGGGTATGTGCTCGCAATCCATGCCATGCATCCATCAGTCCGAGTCGGACGCGTGCCCCCCGACCGCCGATCGACGGCCACGCGCACTCGACCTTGACCACCTGTTACATCAGATTGATTCACCATCCATCATCGACACGCCAAACAATGCTGACCTCTCCATCTAGACGACGGTCATCGCTATGACCGCGACCGCAGCGCTTCCCCGCGCCGCGATGACAGCCGCGATGAGCGTCGCCGCTCTGTGTCGCCCAACGGCAATGACCGGTAGGTCATCGACAGTACCCCCTTCTACTTCAGTCTTTGCCATGTCGATTGGGAATTGTCTGCTAATCATCATGCTTCAACAGTGCTCCTACTAAGAGCGAGAACGCTCCCAAAGAAGAGGATAACAGCGCGGTCAATCCTGGTTCCAACCTTTTCGTGACTGGCATTCACCCTCGTCTCGAGGAGTCGGAGATCACTCGCCTGTTCGAGAAATATGGCGAGGTCGAGAAGTGCCAGATCATGCGGGACCCTCACACCGGCGAGTCGCGTGGCTTCGGCTTCGTCAAGATGATGACCTCGGAGCAGGCTGAGGCCGCCATGGAGGGCCTCAAGGGCGAAATCATCGAGGGCCGCACTTTGAACATCGAGAAGGCTCGTCGCTCTCGTCCTCGTACCCCGACTCCTGGCAAATACTTCGGCCCCCCAAAGCGTGGTGAGCGACCCTCTTTTTCTCTTTCATCTGCCTTCTGAGCTAACCATGTATGCAGACCCTCGTCGCTATGACGATCGTCGCCGTGGCGGCTATGGTGGTTACGGTCGTGATGACTCCTACCGCGGCGGCCGTGGTTATGGCCGTGATGATCGTGGCTATGACCGTGGTTATGATCGCGGCTACGACCGTGGCTACGACCGCAGCTACGGCCGCGACTACCGTGATGATCGTGGTTATGATCGCCGTGACTATCGCGATGATCGCTACGACCGTATCGATCGTTACCGCGATGATCGCGATCGCTATGGCCGTGACGATCGCGACCGCTACGGTGGCCGTGGTGGCCCCGATGACCGCCGTGGTCCCAGCTATGACCGCGACCGTTACGAGCGCCCCATGGACCGCGACCGCGACTCTCGTCCTCGTGATGCTCCTCCCAGCGGTACTGGCTATGACTCGGCTCCCCGTGGCGACGTCCGCGACCGTGAGCCTTATGGTAGGACTCGCTCGCCTTCCCACTCCCGCTATTCCCCTCGCTCCCGTTATTCTCCCCGTTACTCGCCTCCTCCCCGCTCCCGCTACTACTGATGGCTGGGCGTGACGCGTGTGTGTTTAAAAATTTAACTGATTATCATAGGTGGCCGCTAAACCAAACACACACCCCACCATCGATCTTCCTGGGCGTCAAATGCGTCAAAAGGGGCGGCTAGCTATCCGACGAATGTTGCGGCTCGGATTTCCTTTATCTCTGGTTTTCACGTTTGGCGAGGGCAAATAATTCGGCGGATGTCCTAAAAAAAATTCGATCGATTGGAGTTTCGGCAGGCACATGGAGGGTACATGGCCTTGTTTTCCTTTTCGGCATATGGCCCGTTTTCAGACAAGTTTCCCTAGATCTTAGCCATTTGGTGGTTGCGACACTTCGACTCTCTTGATGGCAGGAGATCTGGCTCTCGATCTGCAGCAGCATTAGTCGACATTTGTCATGGCCTCCATCTTCTTCTCTTTTCCCTCCCCCCCCCAACCCCAGCCTAACTCCCGGTTTGGATGCACAAAAAAAAAAAAAAAAGACACGGAGCAGAGATGGGAGCCGCCTCTGTACGATTATCTCTTTTCTTTTGCGCCTTTTATTTACGGCCACACACAAATAACGGTAACGGCACCGCTACTACCGTGACGACTTTGCTTCAGCAGCGCAGTTTTTCGCTTAATTCTCGTAGTCGGCATGATGCGAAAAGGCAACACATGACAACCTCTAATTTCCCTCACAACAGCATTAAATCGTGATCAGCACGCCCCATACATGCCCGTGGCACTTCTTTTCACACCCTTTTCAGGACTGGCAACTAATGAGACACGAAGCCTGTACTGAGGGGTCAGTCGAGTTTCTCCTGGCTCGGCTGTGTAAAAAAAACATTGCGATTTTTGAGAACGCCATAGTCAATGCAGCCGTGTCGCCATGTTCGCTTTTCACCTGCTATGCCTTGAATGACCTTTCACCCATCCAGCTCCAACTCGCCCCGTTATAACCTTTGGAGCCCCCCGCCCATCACCAACGTGCTATTGATGTTCATCAAACCCGCCCGTTCAACCAGGACAATAACCTAGCTCTGGCATCTGTCGGTCGCCCAGTGCTGTTGGGAAATTAGACCACCACTTGCGGTTGGCTGGTTTCGTTGTACCCCTGTTACTAACACGGCCAATAGGATCTGATCTAGTTTGCGAACCAACACCTAAGGCACGTAGCGACCATTTCATTTTCAGCCCATCCCTCGAAGTTCGGTTCTAGAAGTTCCGACAGGTGATTGACCTGACTCGAGCCAGCCAGCCTGCAGGTATCGGCTTCGTTCTGGGTTTGAATCTGCACTCGGATTTCGGCTGGGTCGGGATCTGGTTGGAAGAACAAAGAAAATAGGTAATGTTTCCCCTGTTGGTTAAACTAGTCTGTTAACTGAGTCGAGTTGGGGTGGTGTGAGTTGGTATTGGTGTTGGTTGATTTGATGGGGTGTTGGTTTGCAGGTTCTCAACTGCAGAGGTTGTTGGCCGGTCAATGACGGCTATCAATATTAAGCTCCGGGTTCGACGAAGGCCGGGCTTGTTGAGTACTGAGCCTGACAGCTCGGGTCTGTTGGGTGTCCCAACGGACGAAAACTTGCCTGCTGGCTAGTTAGAACAAGCAGGTTGGTCCAGTTCCGGCTGGCTCTCGGTTCAAGTATGTCACCTCGACGCAGACCAATATATGGAAGCGACAAAGAGAGTCGAACAGAAAGTACAGAGCTGGGAGTTGGAACAAAAATCGAGCAGGAGGAAGGAGCGGGATTGTTAAGGTGTTTCAGCAGAATCATCTATGGGATTCTCGCGCCATGCTAATTGTGTCTGCCATTATTGTGAACTGAATGGCGACGCAATAAGCTCTTGCTGATTTGCTGATCGTTACCTTCTCTCTTGCATGATCACACTCCTGCTTCGACCTGTCAGGCTGCTGGCCTTTCAACCTCTAGCCCCAGACTACAGCTGTGAGGCTGTTGCTGCTAGAAGGCTGTGAGTATTGCAGTCTGGTAATTCTTTTTCCCCCTTTATCTCAGTGTATTAATTGTCAAGAGGGCCTTGTTCGTATTAAGTTTTTTTTTTTTCAACTTCTCTGGGGTCGACTCTCGAGACCCCCTAGCTGTCGTTTGTTCGATTAATCTTGTACTTTGCAACGAGGATTTTCTAGGTTGTAGACAGTCAGTAATAGGTAACTAATCCTTTCAACTGTATTCCTGGTTGACATCCTCTGGATGGGCATGCTCTATTGCTGATACGTGTGCTCAATGCCCTAACTCAAGCTTCTGGACGGCTTTCCCCCTCTACAGCAATGAGTCATGGTTACGCAGGAGGCTGTGTTCTATGCGGCATCACCTTTGGGGAAGTGATGTTCTGGACAAACCAGGCATGACAGCAGCATCTTCTGTCATTCTTTTTACCTTTTTCGAAAGACATTGAAAAGAAACTCTGCACGGGAGTGAAATAGCGGTAAGCTGCAAAGAAAGCGGCGAACTATTCTCAAATAAGCAGCGGCGCTTCACACGTGAGCAAATACTTTGACAGCTTAGAAGAGTCAAAAAGCTGGGCACAACTGCGGCCAGAAGCTTTCTCCATAAGACGCCAAGCATACCTGACTGATCTTCATCACAACAACGGCTCTCACAAATTCGGGAACAAAGGGTTACCTAGGTTGTACCACAGGTTTGGTATGGCGCAAGCTGCAGATAACGGTATTCCCTTCGCACGAGGGTCCTTCAATCCTTATCATCAACCCTTCTGTAGTAGCTTGGGAGGTTGCAAAGAGAGAACAAGTGCTCGGCTGAAGTTTACTGTTTGGAAGGGAAGCTCGTTTAAGTCCCCATCTGTAAGGCCCCAAGGTAAGGTAGTGTATATGCGCGTTACATTGCAACCACCACTGCGGGGATGCAAATCACATTGGGGGAAGGAGGATGACGAGACGCCGCTCGGCTTGCCGAGAGTGCTACGTGCTTGGGTATGTACCGTGCTTAAAGCGGCAGAGATGGGAAGCAAGATCCCCCCTTTCCCCCCAAACCTACGTACCTACCTACCTACCTAGGTACCTGACCCAACAATGGATGAACGAGGCATCGGTTTCGCTTTTCAAAAACTCCTGGAAGATATCCACACACACACACACACACCGCCCCGCGTGTCGCGGGTTTTTTTTCTAAATCGCCACAACGGACAAAAGTTAGCATTACTACATAGGTACTTAGCGATCTTTTACCCAGGTGACTGAACCCGCAGCTCTCAATGAGGTGATTACAAAGCTAGATGACGACTGGGGAGGCGGAGTGGTGCGCTAATGTACTCTCGGCGGGCAGAATGGCCGATATCTCCGAACGATTTGCAGACCTGCTACAGGGCTCCAGCCGCAAAAGCTTGAGCAGAGAGCCAAGATCCTCTGATGGAGACGATATCCTTGATTCGGGTGGTGCAAAGTTACCAAAATCCACCTCCTTCTTCCTCGACTTACACATGCAAGCCGCATATAAGTTTTGCCAACCATGACAGTTTTGAAGGCCCGGAAAATTTTCGTACACTCTTAATAGTATTATAAGTACAGAAACAATGTTTTTATTGATGTTTGTGAGTTTTGCGGATTTATTATTGCTGTAAGTGCAGTGTATGCACTGCTGTGCGAGGTAGCGTACAGGTATAGCTTGAAAAATTGTTAGTGAGTAGCGCCTATGATTGGCCAAAAAGGCAAAAAAAAGATAGTTTTGTCCCCATCAGAGGGATAAGGGACTCTAGGCCAAAGCTGACACTCTGTCCAACTCCGGCAACAGCAGCAGCAACAGCAGCCAGGGCCGTCGCCGACAAGAAAAAGAAGGGAAGGGGTCGAGAAGGCGGTCGGTCAGTTAGTCGGCGGGTCGGGCATTGGGGCGTGCCGTTTGCCGACGGTCGGGTGGGTGTCCACTTGCTGCTTGGATGCTGGGAATGTGGGCCTTGCAGCAACGAGCAAAACAGCGGGGAATTCTATTGAAATGAGAGGAACTTTGGACAACAGAATTTAAAATAATAAATAATAAAAGCGATCAAAAGTGCGCTAACTTGCGGCGATGATGATGCAACACAGCAGATTGGGGAAGGTGCTGGGTCCATTGGGATGTGTGAACCTACAGATTTGTGCAGAATAAACTTTTTTTTCTACCTCTAACCTGCTCGCTGGTTGACTGATGTTGAGAAAGAAAATCGGGACTTGACGGCTATGGGTGGATGACTGGATGGACGGGCACACAGACACGAGCCAACGGACACAGGCACAGGCACAAAAGCCCAGCCAGGCACGGATGCGGTCACTCGTGGCTGTTGCTCACACTTGCTTGGGTGGGAAGGAAGAAGAAGGGGGGGGGGAGGGGGGGAGGGAGAGGCTTGGACCCAACGCCCACTACCCGACGCCGCCGCTGGCCGGGAAGCTTTTCCGTACATCTAAGTCACTGATTGGAGATTGGAGTCAGTCGGTCAAAGGCACCTTTAACTCCGCGCAGTCCATAGCAGGGTACCTGGACCCAGTGACTCTATCCATCATATTACCATTTAGTGTGTTAATGACCTATGGTATGTGTCTTATAAGATCTGGGGGACCTTTAGTCCTGAGCGAGACTATTCATCTTCTCTCCCCCTTACCCTGAACATCTTTTGGACTGACACATAATCCTTTCCTCCCCGTCTCGATCGCACTGGATGAGGATATGAATGAAATGATGGTGCTCGACACAACATAGCCTTCTTTAAACGCAAAAGCTCACTTCCCCGCCTTCTTTATTCCCATTCCATCCCATCCTCATCATCATCCCCGTCGTCGCCATCGACTTCAGTGCGATTCGTAATATTAAGCGGTCTCGAAATCTAGCGGATCAACAACATCGTCATCCTTGCCGAATTCGTCGATTGGCTTGCTCCACTGGGGATCTGAAAAGTTTCTAACCCTTACTCATCAACACTCAATTCACTGTCTTACTCTCAGTGATAGCCCTCTTCCTGCTGGCTGTCAGCACGAGGGGAAAAAAAAGAAAATTTCTCAACCAGAACCCCTGAGACCAACAGTGAAGAGCAAACATCAGGAGTTCAACACCATGGCAGACCCTTCATCAGAAAAGGCCCAGGGCTCGGATCCCGAGAAGCGCCCACAGTCAAGCCATTCCCATCCCCACGATGACTCCATCTCCGAAGTCAGAGAAAAGCCAGTCTCTGAACCAGACGAAGGGAACGAGGTCCCCTCACGAAAAGATGACTTATCCCGCATGAAGAGCCACGCAACAGCCACTAGCGTCGCCAGCAACGCCGACTCAACCCCTTACACTCCTCCCGAAGCCAAACCATGGTACAAACAGCCCAACCCCCTCCGCTGGGGCCGCATCCCCCCAGTCCCTGAGCAACGCACTGTCTGTCCCGAATATACATCCGGCTTCTTCGGTAAGCTCTTCTTCGAATGGATGAGCCCGCTCATGCGCACGGGCTACAAGCGCCCGCTCCAGCCTAACGACATCTACACGGTCAACCCCGCACGCGCCGTCGATCCCCTGACCGAGCGCCTGCGCGAAGCGTTTCGCAGGCGTGTCGACGAGGGAAGTAAGCACCCCTTACTTCGTGCCCTGCACGAGACCTTCTTCTGGGAATTCTGGCTGGGCGGGCTGTGCAGTCTGATTCACTCCATCCTGCAGGTCATGTCGCCTTTTACGTTGAGGTTCTTGATTCAGTTCGCCGCGGACGCGTATATCGCGCGGATGCGTAGGCTACCCACGCCGCATGTGGGGAGGGGGATTGGTTTGGTGATTGGGGTCACGGCGATGCAGGTTGTGCAGAGTCTCGCGGTGAATCATTGGATCTATCGGGGGATGCTGGTGGGGGGTATGGCTAGGGCGAGCTTGATTAGTTTGATTTATGAGAAGGCGATGGTTATTTCGGGGCGGGCGAAGGCTGGGGAGGGGAAGGAACAAGAGGGCAAGGAGCCGAAGCCCGGGACGACTCCGGATGGAACGGGTTGGGGAAATGGCAAAATCGTATGTGTATTATTGGCCTTGTTTCCGGTGGCTGACGAGGAGAAGCTAACAAGTCCCAGGTCAACCTGATGAGCGTCGACACTTACCGCATCGACCAAGCATCTGGCCTTTTCCACGTCATCTGGACCGCCCCCGTCTCCTGCCTCATCACCCTCGCCATGCTGCTCGTCAACCTAACCTACAGCGCCCTCGCCGGCTTCGGTCTCCTCGTCATCGGCATTCCCATCCTCACCAAGGCCGTCAAGAGCCTGTTTGTGCGGCGCAAGGCCATCAACAAGATCACCGACCAACGCGTCAGCCTGACCCAAGAAATCCTCCAATCCGTCCGCTTCGTCAAGTTCTTCGGCTGGGAAGCCTCTTTCCTCAAGCGCCTCGAAGAGTTCCGCGCCCGCGAGATCTCTGCAATCCAGGTCCTGCTTGCTATGCGCAATGCGATTATGGCTGTGAGCTTGTCGATGCCGATTTTTGCGTCGATGCTCGCGTTCATTACGTATTATCTGACTCATCGGAATTTGTCGCCTGCGGAGGTCTTCTCGTCGCTGGCTCTTTTCAATGGTCTGCGGATGCCCCTGAATATGTTACCCATGGTTATTGGCCAGGTTACGGATGCGTGGCAGTCGCTTGTACGCATTCAGGAGTTTCTTTTGGCCGAAGAACGGGAGGAGGAGGCAGAGTTCAACCCGAAGTCTCCTTATGCGGTTGAAATGAGGAATGCGTCGTTTACTTGGGAGCGTACGCCTACCCAGGAGAGTGAAGGCACCATTGCTGGACCGAATGCCGGCAAGAATAAGGCGGAGAAGGCATCCAAGAAAAAGCATACGGGCGACAGCAGTTCTCCTAACGACTCCAGCGAAGAGGCTAGTACCCTTGTCGAGGAAGAACGGGAGCCGTTCAAGCTGCACGACCTTAACTTCCAGATCGGTCGCAATGAGCTTGTCGCGGTTATCGGTACCGTTGGAAGCGGCAAGACGTCGTTGCTGGCGGCTCTGGCGGGCGACATGCGTCAGACGGGTGGTAAGGTGATACTGGGTGCGTCAAGGGCCTTCTGTCCGCAGTATGCCTGGATCCAGAATGCGACGGTGCAACAAAACATCCTGTTCGGCAAGGAGATGGACAGGGAGTGGTATCAGAAGGTCATCAAGGCGTAAGTTCCTTCCCTACCTATCGGCAACTATATTTGGGGTTTCTGCTAACCTTTTTTTTTATATTAAATCTCCAGCTGCGCACTGCAAGCCGATCTGGACATGCTGCCCAACCATGATCAGACCGAGATTGGCGAACGAGGCATCACCATCTCGGGAGGCCAGAAACAACGGTTGAACATTGCTCGTGCCATCTACTTCGACGCTGATATCGTCCTGATGGATGATCCCCTGAGCGCCGTCGACGCCCATGTCGGTCGGCACATCTTCGACAACGCCATCCTCGGTCTGCTCAAGGACAAGTGCCGTATCCTGGCCACTCACCAGCTCTGGGTCCTGAACCGTTGTGATCGCATCATCTGGATGGAAAACGGCCGCATCCAGGCCATCGATACGTTTGACAACCTCATGAAGAACTCGGAGGGCTTCCGCCAGCTCATGGAGACGACCGCGGTTGAAGAGAAGGAGAAGGGACAGGCGGTCGTTGCAAAGGCCCCTGGTGAGGACGCAGACGAAGGCAACAAGAAGAGGAAGAAGGGCAAGGGTCTGATGCAGGCCGAAGAAAGAGCCGTGTCGAGCGTGCCCTGGTCGGTGTACAGTGCATACGTCAAGGCATCGGGGACTCTTCTCAACGCGCCTATCGTGCTTATCCTCCTGATCCTCTCCCAAGGCGCCAACATCGTGACGAATCTGTGGCTGTCCTGGTGGACGGCAGACAAGTTCGGCTATAGCATGGGCGTCTACATAGGGGCCTACGCCGGCCTGGGCGTCGGCCAGGCGGTGCTGATGTTCGCGTTCATGGTTTCTCTGTCCATCTACGGCACTACGGCCAGCAAGAACATGCTTCGCAACGCTGTCACGCGCGTGCTGCGCGCGCCCATGTCCTTCTTCGATACCACGCCGCTGGGCCGCATCACCAACCGCTTTAGCAGGGACGTCGATGTCATGGATAATAACCTCACGGATGCGATGCGTATGTATCTTTTCAGCATCGGAGGTATTGTCTCCATCTTCGCCCTCACCATTGCGTACTTTTATTATTTCGTTATCGCCCTCGTGCCGCTGTTCATTCTGTTCTTGTTTGCTACGGGCTACTATCGCGCTTCAGCGCGGGAGGTCAAACGGATGGAGTCTGTCCTGCGATCTGTCGTCTTCGCGAAGTTCAGCGAGGGCCTCTCGGGAGTGGCATCGATTCGGGCGTATGGCTTGCGGGACCGCTTCGTGGCCGACCTGCGCCGCGCCATCGACGACATGGACGCCGCCTACTACCTGACCTTTTCCAACCAGCGCTGGCTGTCTCTCCGCCTGGACATGATCGGCAATGCGCTGGTCTTCACAACCGGCATCCTGGTCGTCACATCCCGCTTCTCTGTCAACCCCTCCAGCGCCGGCCTCGTCCTCTCCTACATCCTCGCCGTCGTGCAGATGATCCAGTTCACCGTGCGCCAGCTGGCCGAGGTCGAGAACGGCATGAACTCGGTCGAGCGACTCCTGTACTACGGCACCCAGCTTGAGGAGGAGGCACCTCTCAAGACCATCGACGTCCGGCCTACCTGGCCTGAGAAGGGGGAGATTGTGTTTGATAACGTGCAGATGCGCTACCGCGCGGGACTGCCCCTTGTTTTGCAGGGTCTGACGATGCATATTCGTGGCGGTGAGAGGATTGGGATTGTTGGGCGGACGGGAGCAGGCAAGAGCTCGATTATGTCGACGCTATTCCGGCTGGTTGAGCTCTCGGGAGGACATATCACCATTGATGGGATTGATATTTCCACGATCGGCTTACAAGACCTGCGCTCCCGGCTAGCTATTATCCCGCAGGACCCAACACTGTTCCGTGGAACGGTCCGCTCCAACCTCGATCCGTTTGGTGAACATTCTGATGTGGAGTTATGGGAGGCCCTGCGCCAGGCGGATTTGGTGTCACCTGACGGCAGCCCGACCGCTCCTTCACCAGACAGCAACCATAACAATGCCAAAGAAGGCCGCATCCACCTCGACACCCTGGTCGAAGAAGACGGCCTCAACTTCTCCCTCGGCCAGCGACAGCTCATGGCCCTGGCCCGCGCCCTCGTGCGCAACGCGCAAATCATCGTCTGCGACGAGGCCACTTCGTCCGTGGACATGGAGACGGACGACAAGATCCAGGCGACCATCGCCTCTGCCTTCAAGGGACGCACACTACTCTGCATCGCACACCGGCTGCGGACAATCATCGGGTATGACCGGATATGCGTGATGGATAAGGGGCGGATCGCGGAGATGGGGACGCCGTGGGAGCTGTGGGAAAAAGAGGGGATTTTTAGGGGGATGTGTGAGCGCGGAGGGATTCGAGAGGTGGATATAAAAAGGGCGGCGGGATTGGAGGTGACTGAAGAGGATGTTCGAGGGGGAGAAGAACGCTGTAGAGTTTGAATAAGTGGTTGATGGGGTACCCAAAAGCGATAGACTTGTAAGGCGTTTTAATTTTCAAGTAGAGATAGAGAGCTATGGCTCATATCTGTTATATGGTTTAATCTTGACCTGGTCGGCACAAGTGGACGATGTCTGCTTTTTGGAAGAAGAGAGAGGATAGGTGAAAATTGGATATTCAGCTAGACGGATCCACGACTAACCACATCACGTCCATCACCCACCGCCCAGTCAAAACGAATCAACAACTCGCTGCCACAAATACGATGCTAATCTATACTCATTACCTCGGTACGCATCGTACGAGCTACCTAACAATCCTAAAACCTATTTACCTGAGCAGCTGAGAGACAAAAACAAACATGTCGATTCGTGGAGAAACAGAAAGTTACATAGGTGGTTAATCCGTTGCCAACAAAACACCCCATGTGATCCGTCCGTCCAGTTGTCAAATGAGAAAGAAAAACAAAAACAGGCGGTGAGTGAGAAAGAAAGGATAAACAGAAGGGGATTGTATCAGCATGCAAACATGACCCCGCAGCCTATCAACTCCACACCACGCCACGCCAAAGAGAACTTTACTTTTAAAAAAAGGGACCCCCTCTCACCTCCCGCCCTCATCTTTTGAAGTGGAAAGAAAAAGGAACCTACGTTTAACACAGGCCGCCCTATTTTTTTTCTTTTTCTTTCTTTTTTTCCCTTTAAAAGAAAACCAAACAACCCTACCCAATCTCTCTCCCTATCCCTCAAATCAATCAATACCTACTCCTCTGACTCCCACCCCCGGGCCTCTGCCCTGCCGATGACGGACCGGCAACGCCCCCCGCAGGCGGGAACATGCCCGGCTGCTCGTCCAACAAATCATCCAAATACGCGCTGGGCGCCCGCCCTCCCGGACTAGGGGGCCGATTGAGGTTGAGCGAGCTGGTGCTATAGTTGCGAGAGACGACGCGCGGGCCGACGTCGGGCGAGTCGGGGGGCGAGACAGCTGAGACACCCGCGCGACCACGGGACGATGGACGCAAAGTGGACATACTGATCGAGTTGCCGCTATGGTGGCCGCCACCGCCGCCACCGGCGCTGCCGAATTGGTTGGCGATGGGCGACGCAGGAGAGGCGTAGAAACCAGACGGCAGGAAGCGAGAGTCGCGATTGGCAGTGACGCCCGCGGCGGAGGAGCCGGCTGCGGTCGGGGAGAAAAAGAGGTTTGTCTGGCTTGGGGTCGCGGAGGGGGTAGCTCCGCGATTGGTACGGCGGACACCGATTCCTGCGCCGTTGCTCGAGCTGCCAGCGCCGGGGCCGCCGGCGAGAGAGTGGGAGGATTCGCGCTCAAGGTACTTGTAAAATTGGGCCGGGGGAGCAGGGAAGGAGGCGGCGTTCTTGTCCATGCCCTTGCCGTGACCGTTGTTGGCGGCATACTGCGCGCGGGCAGCCTCCTTGATAGAGCGCCGGAGCATGAAGGCGACCATAGCACGCCATGCCAGCACGGCTAGACCAAAACCGCCCAGGATTGCGCCGACTGCGATGAAAACGGTGCCGTCAGGGAGAGTTGAATGATTCATGAAAGGTGCATTCTTCGTCGGCGGAATGGTGGGAGGGGGATACGTGGGGATCTCGGTGTTGACCGTTCGGGAGAGCGTTGGCATGTCAGTAAGACGACTGTAAGTGGTCGACGACGTGCTCGTAGTCAATGCCGGAAGGTTCAACCTCTCCGACGTGGTCGATGTCTCCGGCTCATCTTTCGTCTCCGATGTCTGAGCTGGGGGGGCTGGTGTTGTCGTAGTCCGCACGGGAGGAGGCTGAACAATCGTAGTTGTGGGTGGGTTATTGTTGTTATCATTGTTGGCACTCGTAGTCGCTTGCGGTGGGTTGTTTTGTCTCTGACTAGTCGTCGGCGCAGCGGCAACTGATGTCTGGCTCTTGCCATCATCGTCCTGCGCCAGGACGCGGAGCGCGAAGAAGGCCGAGAGAAGCAAGGCCCTCTTCAGGGACAGCGGCGGCGATGTCATTGCGGCTGCAGGCCTGGCAAAGACAAAAGAACGGTTGCGAGGATGGGCTAGTGGGAGTGTTTTCGGCGATGTTGTGGATGGATGAATAGACGACGGCGACCGTCGGATGTGGGAGAGTGAGTGAGGGTGAGCCGTGGGTGGCTCTTTTTTCGAACAAAAGTGGCTGAGTGCTAACAGCTGACTGCGAACGCTCTCTCGGGAGACCGAAGAAACAACGGAAATGCTGTCCAGACTCGCAGGCTTCGCAATTACACAGCGATCAGCTATCAGGACGAATGCAAGATTCAGAAAAGGACTAAACGAGGGGATGCGACGCGCATGTTCACGCCGGCGACGAGCTGGTGTTGGCGTTGAGGGAGTCGATGGGTCGAGTTTGATTAATTTTACGAGCAAGCCTCGATGCTGCCCACAGGGAGAAAAGGAGCGCGCGAGGGACTCCTGCCGTCTCCAGGCCCTGTCAGCCCAGCTTGCCCAATCAAGCAAGCATCGGCAGGTACAGGTACATGATCTATTGACATCTTCAAGAGCTTCAACGATCGAGTATCATGTTCACCACAATTTGTCTTCAAATCGAGTTCCAAACAGCAAGATAAAAACTTTGAAATTCTCCCCTTGCCATCGGACACTTGCATACGAGTGCAGATCCAGTTTTACCTGACCCTTCCGCTTGGTTCCCGCGATAAGGCATACAGGAGTCCCTGCATGTGTCCCTGTACACTGACCCCACGGTGGATCTGGTCAGCTCCCGACTTTTGATTGGTGCCCGGAACTCCACAGCTGGTCTCTTTTACTCTGCGCTGCTTTGTAGTTTACATACAACTCGCCAAGACTCTCCAGCTGCTGACAGTTGTCACCTGCCAATGCATGTGCACCGAGCTCAGAGCCAATCATTGGTTTCGAGTCCAAGTTTTCATTCTCAAAGAGCAAAAGACAACACTCAACAAGCTCTTCAGCAACATCGCCCCAGCAACCATCATATTCGGCTTAATACCTGTCTAAATTATAAATCACTTCTACAGTACTGTCTTGACCACAAAGACAACATGGGTGTCGCCAAGCGGACAAGAAAATTTGCCACGGCATGTCACTCGCTCTCACCGGCCTCGACGGTCTCACTTATATCGACATCCATCGTCATGCTAACCTTGGCATCAGGTCAAGCGCATTATCGGCAAGCAGGATGAACGCCGTAAGGCAGAGGCCGTCAAGAAGGCCGAAGAGGAGAAGAGGAAGAAGGAGAAGCAGGCAATCCGTGAAGTGTGCGTATTGCCCTCCTCGTTTATCGGCTGTTTATGAGAGCCATAACTAAGGCCATATCATATCAGACCGCAGATGCCCTCTTCTATGTTCTTCGAGCATAACGAGGCTCTCGTTCCTGTAAGTATTCATCGGTGTCCTTGGTTATGATGATATGTACTGACCAATGCTCGATAGCCTTACAATGTCCTGGTGGTATGTGTTCACCTTGGGTTGCCAGGTGCGACCCTCAGGAGATGGCTTAAACTTACTGACCCATCCCAGGATACCAACTTCCTGTCTAGGACAGTTGGTGCTAAGCTTCCTCTTCTCGAGAGTGTATGTGGCGATATCCTACCCACTCCCCTTTCAGGCTATTGTTTTGCTGACATCTTGACAGGCAATGGACTGCCTTTATGCTTCAGTCAACATTATCATCACATCCTGCGTTATGGCGTACGTAGCTGTCTATAAGTTGTCGTTGTTGTTAATGTCGATGTTTTGGTACCTAACAATGTTTCTCCAGCGAGTTGGAAAAGCTTGGCCCCAGGTATCGCGTTGCGTTGATGAGTGAGTCCTCGGAAGCACCGCCCAGGTCTTCTCGTCACACTAACTCTTTCTCCAGTTGCCCGCGATGAACGGTGGCAGCGTCTTACTTGCGATCATAAAGGCACATATGCTGATGACGTATGTCTATCCTTCACTGAGTCCAACTGAGAAGTCAACCTAGCGTACTAACACCTCGTCCAGTGCATTGTCGACCGAGTCCAGAAGCACCGTATCTACATTGTTGCCAGTACGCCTATCCTTACCTTTTACTGTTAAACATTTACAGTCATACTTACACCAATCACAGCCAACGATCGCGACTTGAAGAGGAGAATCCGCAAGATCCCCGGTGTGCCGATTATGAGCGTCCAAAAGGGCAAATATGCCATCGAGCGTCTACCCGGTGCCCCTGCATCCTGAGCGTCAGGCACCGATGTTTCATTTAGAGCATGGCGTCCACCAATATTCCTGGCAGGCCATGTAATACCACATCAGCTTCTGATGGATTATTTCGATGGCCAATCTGCAAGGCTGATTTTCTCTTCAACCGGTGTAAGCCCAGCCAGGTTCAGGAAAAGGCAACTCAACTTACAGACTCGCATGCCGCGAGTCATTCGTTGATCTTTCAATATTTTCGAGCATGGAACTGGCCTCGTTTATATTATCACAATCATCAACCGAGATACCCGACACTAGCCAGTCAATATTTGCCGGCGCGAACAACAAAAAGGAAGAGGGATATGGGGGATAGATAAAGAGGGTACATGCACAAATGGGGTTGAAGGTTAAATGGAACAACGGTACTAGGTAGTTTGATTGATTCTTCGTCTTTATGTACGAATGAAACGAAGACAAACCAGACAAGATGGAGTTTGGGATGCTTTTTACAATGATGTTGCATACGTCCAGTAGGCTGCCACACAAATACACAGGCCCGATTGGATCTCCGTTACAAATGTTACCCAGTCATCAATCCCTTACGGTCTTTTTTTTTTTTTTTTTTCCTCCCTATAACAGAACATAAGGACACTATCATCCAGCGCCTTCCTGCGCCAAGTTAATCAAGCAGAAGATTACTAGCCCTTAAGACTCCTCTCAAGCCATTGCAGGAATAGAATGCCTAGTATCAAACTACCATAATCGGGAACTACCAGAACCCCAATATCCCAAAGTGTGGCAGCTGATAAACGACAACCATCCAGGAACATAACCAAAACACAATAGAACACCTGACTCCTTGCGCCGGCGTTCCCGGGGGTAAACATGCAAATATATATGAGAACCCTCCAATACAACACAATAAGACGGAGCATGCTGTTGGAAAAAGATGAGGAGAGTTGAGAGCCGAGAGTTTAAAAAAACGTAGTAAATTTCAACGTCAACCAACCTAAACCGGGGCGAAGCCTAAACTACCTAACCACCAATTTTTTTTCTCTCTTTGTTGTTTCAATCTAATTGTTTTGTTTTTGGTTTGTTTTAGAGAAACACCAAGTTTTTTTTTTTGAGATTCCACCAACCATACCAGGACCCCACGCCAACGCTCCTTGCTCCCTGCTCCGGAACCAGATCATGCTTTTCCCATGCTCGTTCTTGCTCTCTCTTTGATTTGTTTTCTTTTCCCCCTTTGCGATGATGGAAACAACATGTCGTCGAGTATTATATGACATCAATGTCGATGTCGTGATGGAGATGTGTTTGTGTGCATCTGTCTATGTCTGCGTCTGTGTCTGTGTATTCGGATGGTGGTTGAGGGGAATTTGATGGAGTAGGTAGTGTGATTCACTCAAGCCAACCACTCCTCGTCGTCCCGCTTCAGGCCACGCATGACCAGGCCTTCTTCCTCCTCTTCATACTCTTCACCTTCGGAATCTGGAGGGTCCTGCGGGTTGATGATGATCTCCCCATTTTGCTGATACAGGTTGTGATATTCGGCGAGCGTCGAGAGGTAACCGTTCCCAATGATCGGAGGAGGGCGAATGTTCTTCTTCGCCTCATCCTCAAGCATCCACGTAAGACCATTCGCCTGCTCCTCCAGCGGGAACACCTCGCGCGCATACTCCTCCAGTCCCCGGGGACCCTCCCACAGCTCCAGCGCCACGCGCGGGCAGCTCTGCTCCAGCTCGATGTCGCCAAAATATGGGGGTTGCTTCGTCGGGTCGTCGCCGCCCAGGGTAAACAGCTGCTCGAGCGCCTCCAGCTGGCATCGGTAGCCCTCAGGGATCTTAACCTTGACCTCAATAGGGCCGCGCTTGTAGCGAACAGGCCGGCCGACGCCGCGCGAGAAGACCTCACACGCCTCAACGGGCGACAGCATCTCGTAGGCAAGGGCGATGCGCTTACCGCCCCACTTCTTGACACCGTCCTTGAAAATCTGGAGGATCGCAGGACCAACGTCGTGTTCGGCGTCGAGCCAGGGGAGCTTGGCGTCGGGGTGGAAGGGGGCTTGCCAGACGAAGGAGCCGTCTTCTTGCATCTCGGTGCAGAACAGGGGATAGGGGAGCGAAGTGAAGTTGTTATTATAGATGCCCGCATATACAAATGTCGCGGGCAGCCCCAGCTTCCGAATGTATTCCTCCACCTTGTGCTTCGATGCCCACAGAGGTAATGACGGCCAGTCCTTATTGTAGTAGTGGTGATCTGGCATGGATGAGTAGATGTAGTGCTGTACATTGTACTTCTTAGCGGCATCTGCGAGTGCCTGGCCGATCTTGACCTCGTCTCCATAGAACGTTGTGTTAATGAAGGCTAGTTGCGCTCCCTTGAAGAGCTTCTCGATGATGTCGTAATTTACGCCGATGCCCGAGTTGGGGCCGGTATTGGTGACATCGACCTCGCCCACCTGGCTATGCCCATTCCCTTGATTTTGGCCAACCTTCGCAGGCTGTGGCTCTTTGGTATACAGTTCTCCTTGGATAACGGTAACATGGGGATTTGTCGCAACCTCAGCGGCTACTACACCCTCAAGATTCCTAAGTTGTGCCCGGACGTGATATCCCACAGCGGTCGCAACTCTGATAAAGGAAGCGGCCTGCCTGCCACTGGCGTTGATAACGGCGATGGTCTTATCGGGGGTAATCATCTGTCTCTTGGGCGGGCGGAAGTTCATGGAGCTATTCCTTGATACAAGGGGAGAGGCGTCTGAATAGGATGATCGAGAGTGTTTGTGTCGTCGCTCTTCCTGCTGAACTGCGCCGACTGGCCTGATATCCCTAGGGCCAGGCCTAATGGCCAGCTCCGAATGAAGCTCGGTTGCCATCCGCGGGAGAGCCGGGCGAGTGTAGAGGGGTTCGACCGACTTGTCAATTCCAGTCGCAAGAAGAATTTCTTTTCTAATTAAGCCTCAACAGAGTGCTCAGCGACTTCTACCTATGGTTGCAGGGTCTCGTGTGTGTGTGTGTGTGTGTGTGTGTGTGTGTGTGTGTGTGTGATCGCAAGATCGGTTATTACGTAGAGACTTTGGAAATTAGAGAAGTGGATGTAAATCTTGATCCAGAAGAAGAAATCGGATAACGGCTGTGCTAAACCGACTCCCGAGAGGCTAGCGATATCAAGGAAGCGCACTGTAGATTATTTTCAGGCAGCGGTGAGGTAACCTTCGGGAGGCACTATAAACTTTTTTTTTTCTCGGGAGAAACCAGTTGAGGGCCTTGATGGGCAGGTCGAAGTAGAGGTAGCTGGTGCGGCAGATCGCCAAATGGACAAGGCAAGCTCGGCCGCAGATGGCGTATAATTCTTGGTCGCGTTTATCTGTTAGTGGGGTTCATGCCAGATTGCGGGGCAGGCCGCATGACAGGGGGGTTGATAAAGGTTGGTATCGCCCGGTATGGAATTTTTCTAGCGGATATATACGCAGACGACGTGAGGTGCGTGCTGGTCACCAGATGGCTCGTGCAGCCTTGAAACAGGTTAACAGGCTGATGAGGAAACAGAGAAGGAAACAGAGAAGGCGCGGAAGGCACGGAAGGTACGTGGCAGCCGAGAGACAAAGGGAAGAAAGGAAGAAAAACGAGAAAGGGGAGAATCGTGTTGCAGGTACGGACTATCGGACAGAATGGCCTGCTGCGGTGTGCAGTGAAAAGAAGGGGTGAGCTGTACACAAAAGTTGCTTTAGCAGACTGGCACCGGCAACAAGGGGCCAAGGGCAAAGAGCATCATGGATGGCAGGCAATTCATCATTTACAAACCACCCAGATCATCCAAAGTGACAGACGATGGAGACAGAGAGTGCCAGCAGCCAGAAGCACCAACAAGTGCCAGTGCCTGTCCACATGACAAAGCGCAGCAGGTATGGAGTCCATCTGCAGGCATCGTGTCGTCCTAGTGTAGGGCCGGCTGGGCTGCCCCGCCGTTTGGTGACAAGGAGTTCTGGCCGATGCAAACCTTCCATCGAGCCATCGGGCCATCAGCTGGGCGCCTGTCTCCATAAAAATCACTACAGCAAGCCCACAAAGTCCACAGCAGCCCACGGCCGCCCGCGCAGAGAAGGGCCGTGTCCTGAGCGCTCTGCGATTGCTAAACAGCCTGGCAGAGCGGCATCACTCCACCGCCAAAAGTCTTGTTTCCACCTTAGCGTCGACTTGGACGAACTTCCACCGATTTTCCACGGGGCGGAAGACGGGGAAGTGCATCCACTTGTATCCACACAACAAGAGAGAGATCTTCAGTCAGAAGGTAAGAAATATTCATTGGAGCATGCGGCTAGGGCCAAACGCAAGGCCCGGCCGCCAATCGGGGGCATAGCATGCGCGCCTCGCATGTGCAATCGCAGAATGGTGAGCGCTCGGAGACCGATTCATGCAATGCTCCAGGCGGCGCGCACATGGGAGCCACCGACTTCGGCCCAGTAACAAACACTCGCACAGCGCCCGGGCGCAGGGCGCTGTGTTGCGAGCCGGCGGCCAGCGGAGACCAGATGTCAGCCTGTCAAAGTCTCAGTCTCCCAGAACACGCCCAGCCAAACCGGACGAAGGACGGATCCTAGGCTCTAGTTTTCCGGAGGGACACATCCCAGATCCCTTGTGTCGGTTGGTCAGTCGGTCAGCGCATTGGAGCCTTAGTTGCAGGTTCCTTGCGACTCGCTTGTCCAGGAACTGGCAAGCAGCCTGCACAACTGCGCAGGGATCCACGGACAAGAAACAGGACAGCGGAACAGAAAATTTTGGAATCCATCCGGCGTCGTGGAGATAACAGACCACAGCTTGGTGTAACACGAGACACGCAGAGCAATATGCAGATGCGGCAATATCAGTAGCTCAGAAGGCGGCTTTCTGGCCCTGTTAAGGCTGTACATGCTCGTTGTACAGAGCACGTAATTGGTGATGGTCAAGCTTCGGCTGTTTCATTCCCGACACCATCAGCAGGTTAGCTCCTAGCTTTGCTGTGCTTTTGTTCCTCTCCCGTGATATCTGGTACCAGGTACCCACAGGGCAGGGCAACACACTCTTTCTTTCCGAATCAGGCAACTGAGGCACGCACAGCAAAACATGCCTAACCCTTGGACAAAAAAAAAGAAAAAACCTGCAAGGGCATTGGGAAAATCCTTCTCTCCACCAGCCACCAGAGAAAACCCTTCAAATCTGTATTTCGTCGGCAGCAATTGAGTGCTGTGCGCTGGGCCCGCTGGGGTTGGATGCTCCAGTCCGCTGCAGCTAGAGGTTGTTGTTACTTGATGATTACCTTCCCGATCCATATCCGAGGACAAATGCCCAGCAAATCTGTCTTGGCATGCCGGTTGGTCGGCTCGATGACGCGACTGCACCTCCTGCTGGGAAGGATGGCTTGGAAGGCTAGATCATGGCTGTTGTTTTTTAAGCGCCCGCCCCCAGGATCCTGATTCCAGATTCAAAGACCAAAGGCCCATGATCTCGAGAAACGGTCAGACCTATGTGTTACACACAGCATCATATCGGGGTGCCTGAAGATGACGGTATTGACTCGAATTTTAGACAAAGTCTCGGGCAGTGACTCGTTTTGACCCTGACCTTGTGGAAAGGGACAACCGGCATCGAGGGTATTGCTGACTGCCGACATGGGAACTTGCTCGTCGATTGCGAAGGAGGAGGGGAGGGGTTGTGGCAGAGCAGCCTTGGTGCGAAACGGAAGCCACCGCGCCAGCGGCTGCGTAGCCTGGTGTATGCGATATTTGCGCTGGTTCTACCTTTTTTTTTTTTTTTCGATGACCTCTTCTCTCATCAACCCAGACTTGCCATGACAGTAGCAGCAGCATAAGCATAGGATAATAATGGTGACAACAGTGCAGCGCATGGTCGATCACAACTCGCAGCCGACACAGATTTTCCATCGTTCAGGAGCAGCATAAAAAAGGGAACCAGAGACCGCTAGCATCGAGACTGGCTCACGGGAGAATCTCTCTTTTCAATTACGTACAAACTGCACCGCTAACACCATTAACTATTCGAGACCAATGGTCAGGCCCCTCCTCGGGAATCCTACCAGCTTGCGCAATGCGGCCACGAGGGACGCCATGTCGCCAACGCCGCAGCGAGATGCCAGCTGTGCTTTTCCGCGGCGACCCTGCAGTGCATGGATGCATCTGACGAGCCGTCATAACTTTTGTCCATTCATATGGTTGGCACTTGTATAAGTGTGAGGTCTTGATGTGTTGTCGATAACGCTCCGTATCGTGTATAGCTTCACTCAGTGCTCAGGATGATACCAAAGTCTCGACGGAAGCAAACCCCAGCTACTGCTAAGAAACTTTTCCAGGTTACGCCTTATGATGGACCCCAGACGGCGTAGTGTAAAATTTCTTTACTTCGGAGCCTAACACGATCCAACCCAGCCAAAGGCAAGACAACAATCAAGAAGACGCTAAAGCAACGTTAGCTAAGGTTAACCTGACCTTCCCCGCAATTTGACCGCTTTAGCGGATACTCCTCCGAATCGCGGGGAAGATTCGGGAATTCTGCTCTGCTTTGCTGCCGCCAGTCGGCTCGGCCTGGCTGGCTGCGAGACCAACTGCGGGAGATGTGAGCGCGCATTGCCATCGCCAACCCGAACCCCGGGGTTTGGGGCTGAAGCTTCAGATTGTCGGCGATGGTTGGCCCGAAATTTGGTTTTTGAGAGGACCGCAGATGAGAATGTCATCATGGCCCTTGCAAGGGGGCACCATTACGACGTCATCACCTGGTGCTTAGTGTGAGCTTGACTTAACTTTGGCCTGGTCCCCCCACGTTTTTCGCTAAGTATGGCCACGGCATTTCCCTCTTGGGGGTTTCCGGCCGGCCCAGGATGTTGGCCCGGTTGTTCTGCAGGAGCGTACAAGAAGATGTTACTGCAGTTAGGATGCGTTCCTTCAACTCAGGTGGGAAAAAAAGAAAAAGGGAAGCTTCTCCTGCGTATATACACTACTGACTATACCATACCATTAGCGAGGAAATCCTCCGTTCAATGTCCTCAGTGGCTGGATTCCTTGGAAGGTAATGTCTTCTGGACGGCTCACTCGGGCCACACGAGATTATCAGGCATATCGGTCCAGCTTTATATGCAATGATTCCCCCTGAAGTCTAGACTAAAGTCTGGAATGGTGTGGCTCGTACGTATCCAGGAATATGGCGACGTCCACGCTACCTGCATAGACAAGCTCATGTAGGCTCATGTAGTACCTGAGGGCTGGAAGACAAGATTATTGTGGTCGCTCTGATTTAGCCAGAGACTCTGCGCTTATAAGCTCAGAAAGTGAGCAAGTTGGGTTAGCAGCTCTTGAGGATATCTTTCTTCCCCTCTTTTTTAGGTATCCTTGGGGAGTTTCACTCCACTGTTGGGCATCGATGGTATGATTTTAGATTCACACGTGATGTCTAGTGCATGCCACTTCAGCCTGTTTGTCTACTATGCCTTTCACCCGTTGATTGGAACAAGGTCGGGCTATCTGATTCATATGGAAATAGTTCTCCTGCCTCGTCCGCAGGTGTTGTGCAGACACAGAGACATTGGGTTTAGCGAAGCAGTCAAAATACCTCTACCATGTGAACGGTTCACAAGAATACATGAAGACGGTGTAGGTTTCTTTAGTGGTTCTTGTCCATTTCGTCGCCGGAGGGTGTCTATGTCCTTTTCTCATCGCTTATTGGCACTATTCCATCAAGTCTTCGATGAGTTACTCCAGAGGACTGGCTGGGTCCGCCTAGAGCCGAGTTTGTGAGGCGCCCAGGATGGCCTTTCCCTCTTTTCTAAGTAAATATGATGTATATCCCAAAGGTCTGTGAACAAAACACCTGGAGGAGCTCATAACCAGTGAACATCACTGTAGTTACACTTGCGGATAACGATCAGGTCCATAGCGCTAGTTTGGTTATAACGATATGAACCTGGGTAATGGACTCCATCGTTATCAGCAGGTCTAACTGTATAATTAAAGAGGCGAGGCTTTACGTTGAAGCAAAGTTTGTTTAAAAGGGTGATCAACGGGCTAGGAACTTGCAGAGGTAATCTTCTTTGACAGTAATTTGCAGCAACTTCATGTTTTCTCATAAAACTGGCTACTAGAAAAGTACTGGAGTGTGGATTGTTCTCAGTCAAGACCGTGATTGTCCTCTGTAGCACACGTTCTTTGCCTTAATGTTGGAAGCGTAAGAGAGCAAGATGCTTATCGCACGTCCCTAACACAAGGACTTTTCTACCCCCCATACCGAGATCTCACTGGTTTATCTCCAAATCGGTAATCAAGTTGCTTGGAACAGACGGACAAGAAGCAGCTTCCACCGAGCCGCTTCTCTTAGTTCCAGTCTAATTGATTCAACTGTAGCACCTTTGAAGGAGAAGACGAGGAATACCACAGAGAGATATCGCATAAGCTGATATTGTTGCAGAGGCCTTGAGAGAAAAAGATGACTGGACTGATAAGTTTTATCAGCTGCCGATTTATGGTAGACCCAATTCTCAAAGCAAAAGACAAAATTCTCGGTACTAGCATCTAAAAGGATACAACTTTTATACCTTGGAGGCAGGCACGCTATCAATAACATCCACACACCAAGTTGTATCCATTGTTACATGCCTGGCGCACTCTCGGGGCTTGCTCAAGCCCCGAAGCACTTCATTATGCATTAAGGTAGGACGTGTCTACCATACCTAGATACATGACTACCACATTTTTAACCAAACGGAGGTGTCTTTCCGTGTATCCGACACTGAGCGGCTGCTTCACATGAGAGCTTATCACCGCGAGTCCAGTTTTCCAACACTTACGGGGCCTACTTTTTGACAGAAGCCCAGCTCTCTAAATTCTATGCCAGTTCCCTAGGCAGATGAGTGATGATTACATCCCTCACTCCTTAGGCGAACTTTATTGTTTAAACAGATACAGATGACGAACGGATGTGTTGCCCGTCCTTTGGGTTTAGAACTTGCCCTTGAGCAGGTTGGCGATCATTTCTCTGGCGGTGATGACAACGGTGCGCCAGAGGGTGGGGAAGTCGAGGGTGCTGCTAAAGGTATCGGCAAAGCCGAAGAAAAGCATGGGAGGGATCCAGCCGCGAGCGTACTCGAGGGCAAAGCAGCCTTCAGGCATCTTGTACTGCTGGACCTCACCGCGAGGGAGCCAGTGCATGCTGCCAGGAGGGTAGACCTCAGCCTCGTACTTGCCAGGAGTGTAGGCGACCTGGGTACCCGTCAGGATGTGGAAATAATCATCGGCTGTGTGGCGACCAGTATGGCCCTCGGTACCGATCGCAGTGCCGAAGATGATGAGGTACTCGGTGATGCCTGGTACTGAATTAGCAACGAGGCGTGGAGAGAAAAAGAAGGGCAGTCACGTACTTGCATGAATGATATACATAGCACCCATTGCACCACCGGCATTGTTAAAAACCCACTCTTCATCGGTGTTGATGTAAGGCTTCAGCTCGACCTTGCTGGTCAGCTCATCAACGATATATTTGACGATGGCGCGGGTGTCATTGCCGTGGGCGGCAATACTGCGCTTGGAGAGGTCATGGAGATGGTCCAGGTCGAAGATGTAGAAGCGGTTCAGGTTCTGCTCCAGATAGTAAACAATTGGCGCGAGCACGCCGAGCAGGATGGCGAAGATCTTGAGCCAGCCAGTGACACCACCAGCGCAGCACTTGGATTTCTTACAGTTACAGCCACTGCTGGCCGCCTGCTTCGACTTGGATGGAGCCATTGGGACGCGGAACCGTTCGACCTGGACCTAGGACCTGAGGCGGACACAAAGGGGATGTGGTGTGGGGGAGAAGAAAAGGGATGAAAAGGATGAAAATGATGGGGTGGATGGGAGTCGGGAAAATATAAAAACAGGGAAGAAAGATCGGATCGCGCGTGGTTGGGGGTTGCTGGGTTTGGGATTGTTGCGGGCGCGCCGCGCTTGTCAATCTCGGGGTCCTAGACCCCTGTTGGGCCCTGGCAGTCCTGGGGGTTTGTGCACTCTAGGAAAGCGGTGAAACCCCAAGGACAGGGGCACACTTATCTGTGGAGCGATAAGAAGCGTGCGAGCCAATCGGAAATCATAACTGCTCCCAGAGCTCTTGTCCAGATGGCAGAATTTCTCTTGGCAAACTCTTCTCAGGTTTTTTTTGGGGCTTGTTGTGGTGGTCTTTTTCCTATGCTGTACTGCTCTCCTGCGATCGAACCACCCGGAACTCAACTTGCCGGCAGATGCCAAGCGTCTTGTGATCCGCAACCGTTGGGGTCGGCCGTTGATTGGATTACGTCTAGAGCGAGCGACAGAAGAACAAAAAGAACAGTCCCAGTTTTTCGGGTGTGCCGAAGGTGTCGCACACAATTGGGACACCAGCCGCAGGTCCTCAACTATCGCAAGCATCTTTCAAAACGATGACGACAACACAGCCTACCCTAGCACTTCCTGGCCAGCTTCTCGGCCCGATATCAAAATATCAGCCCGGTCCCGGCACGCACGTTCATGAGTCCAATTTGTATTCGTCGCTTCTTGGGACCGTCCACGTCACCCAGCCGGCGCGCGCACCGGGCCCGGTCAAGCGCCTGAACAGGATCACACCGGCCCCGACCCCCGCCGAGCTTCCCACCATCTCGGTTTCGGCCGCGCGTCCCGCGGGATCCGCAGCCAGTGGGCTAGTGACTGGGCGCAAGCGGGAAATCCTACCTGAGGTTGGCAACATTGTGCTGTGCCGGGTCATTCGTATCACCCCGCGGCAGGCGGTTGTCACGATCTTGGTGTGCGGGGATACTGTCCTCGATGCCGAGTGGCAGGGCTTGATCCGGGTGCAGGATATCCGGGCGACTGAGAAGGACCGGGTGAAGGTGTATGAGAGCTTCCGGCCTGGAGATATTGTCCGCGCCGAAGTGGTATGTGCTCTCCCCTGAAGAGCAAGCAGTTTGGAATTTATACTAACTGCCCTTTGACCAGATTTCCCTCGGCGACCAGGCCAACTACTATCTCTCCACGGCACGCAACGAGCTTGGTGTCATTCTGGCTACTAGCGAAGCCGGTAACACCATGTATCCCGTCAGCTGGAGGGAGTATCGCGACCCTATTACGGGTCTCACGGAGCTGAGGAAGGTTGCGAAGCCGTATTGAAAGGCAACAATGTCACGAGAGGCCGATCTATCTTCCCAAGCCCCCCGAGAGCACGGCGATCACGACCTGCCATTGAAATCGCAGCTGAAAGCATCATTTGTTGTCAGTTAATGCCACCCGCATGGCGCACGGCGCAGTGGATAGCTCTGTTGCTGGACAGGGAGAGCATCCATCAACAGGCACGGAGGACTGCCCGGCTAACTGAGCTGCTGAGAGTGTGATTCTACACTTCTGCACTTCAGAGACGACGAGCCAGCAGGCTATATGTCGGTGGCTATAGCACTTGTCCTTGGGCCATAAAGAGCTGGCCGTAACGCTCTTTGCAGAGTTGTATAGCAGGCCAAGCTCCGGATATAAGATCAGTCAAGGGTTACGGCTACCAAGCATCAAGGAGCAATGGACGGGTATTCGATCCCTGACCCGCATGACATGCACCGAGGCGTGGCACATGCATTAGCGTCCAGACTCATTCCGGGTATGACGACACGGGATCAGATCTCATACTACGGCAGAATGAACTTCAAGAGGAGGATGGGACCCTGACTGCACATCACCTGCTAAGAGTGTACATGTAGCTGCGGATCTGAACGTTTGGCATTGTAATGTTGAGGGGAATCATATAGACACTTTTGAAAACAGTGGACATATTGGCACACAAAAGCGAATGAAAAAGATGCAACGATGAAACTTAGCCCCTCCTGGACCTGTCATTTGATGGTAGGAGCTGGATCTGGGGTTGCAGCCATGCGCATCGTGAAACGTCACAAGCAAACAAACAGCCTCATCCCCGGGCTCAGCCGTTGCCAAGACTGGACCCACTGCAACCCATGGACCCCCACTCCTTTAGCGCTCGAACTTGTGAAATGTCCAAGCCTTCGACACGAAGCCCACCGTATTCTCCCTTTCTTCTTCGGACCACATTAACTGACGGCTGCACTCTCTGTTGACGACGGCCCGGTGCCAATGCCGCAGGAGTGCGCCAGCAGCCTGAGGAGTACCGACATAACTTTGGGCCTCTCTGTGTCAATATAGCTAAGGCAGCGAACATGTCAGCTACCGCTACCGCTACCGCAACTACCGCCACTCCCGTCACCATGGCATCAGGCACCTTGACGACTGCACCACCACAATCCCAATCCCAATCCTTCTGCTGTCCGCGGTGCGGCTTTTCTCTCACTCTACCTCCGTTTGAAGAAACGCAAGCGGCGCTCTTAACAGCCCAAAAGCAAATCGCCGACCTCGAAGCCCAAGTCCGTCTGCTCAACCAGAAAGCAACCGCCGCCGTCGACCGCTGGGCCGACTACGAAGACGAGCTCGCCCGGCTACGAGCCCAACTCGATGCTCGCCCACAGACACCAAGGCAGCAACAGCCCCAACATAACGGCGTCCCCTCCCCATCAGCCCAAAGCACAGTCGGTGCCCTAGGCGATTCCTCGGACAAACTAGGCTTCCCCGGACACCGCCAACAAACCTCCCTCCCAACACCCCCCAGCTCAGCCGCCGGCCTACCCTCTCCCTCACCCTCCCGAACCTCCTTCCTAACTTCTGGCGCCGCAGCACGAATATCAGCCCTCCTCTCCTCCCGACGCTCGGCCCCGGCACTCAAACCCCTCCCCTCCCAACCCCAACAACAGCAACAACAATCCCAATCCCGACCCCCTTCCCAACCAACCCCCGGCAGTTTACTCCCCCCTCCCACACCAACACCGTCAGTGACACCGTCCGAGCAAACAGACACCTCAACGCTCCTCTCGATGTTATCTCAAGAAAAGTCCCTCCGCCAACAAGCCGAGACCCAGCTCCGCGCCGCGAGTCGCGAAGTAGAGGAGTTGAGTGCAAGTCTGTTTGAGCAAGCGAACGAAATGGTTGCTACAGAGAGGAGGGCACGGGCGGCGCTGGAGGCGAGAGTTGCTGAGTTGGAGAGGCGGGAGGAGGAGAAGGCGGCGAGGTTGGCAGTTTTGGAACGAGCAGTGGGGAGGATTGAGCGTGTTAGGGGGGTGTTGGAAGAGGGAGGGAGAGAGAGAGAGAGAGAGAGAGAGAGAGAGAGAGAGAGAGAGAGAGAGAGAGAGAGAGAGAGAGAGAGAGAGAGTAGAAGGAGCATAAGAGGGAGTTTGCAAGGAGCTGAGTAATTGAAGGATTGGGGGTTAGCTTGAAGTCTTGACTCGGATGATGGAAGGTTGTAATAGGGCTTCTGTCTTGGAAGTCTTCAAAGATGGCAGAGAGTTAGGGGCCGGGAAACAAAAGATAGAACGGGGTTTAGGGTTGGGAGAATGGGCTGCATTATACGGACACATATGATGAGCATTGTTTTGGGATATACTTGGTTGGTTTGAAAGGCGTTACGTTTTGGAAGGGATATCTGGGAAACGGTCGGGTGTAGCAAGTTGGTTGAAACATCACGCAGGGTCCGGTCGTCGGTTGGTATCTACACTGCTCTATGTATCGTCCTGGATGTTTGTAACACATCGTTGATCAAGGGTGCTATATTGGGATATGTACACTGCTGTATAATGCTCAGAACGAGCTCTTGGGGCCAGTTAAGTTACAGGCGTTCGTATGCAGCGGTTCTGCCATATTTGTGCCGACAGTTGCATTCTTCTCGATTCCTTTGAAAAGGAGCCTGAGCGCCATACTGATGATGTCTTACAAGTTGAAGACGTCATCCGAGTCACTGTCCATTCAGGAATCAGAGTCACACCAGTCCATCCAGGGGGAGTGAGAGTCAGAGCCGGCACCCTAGGCACTGGCAGCAGCGACGGGCTCTGTTTGAGCTTGCTTAGCCGGCGACCCCTCACGACTCTTCCTCTTCGGTGACGACTTCCTCTTGCCCGCCGGGCTGCTCTCGCGGCTCTTCTTGCCGTTGTTTTCTTGCTTCTGTCCATCAGAAGCAGCAGTCTGAGTACTCGTGGCTGTACCGTTCCATAATTCCAGCATATGCTTCACCTTGGGGCCCCAGACTTCTTCGCCCTTCAGCAGGTCTTCATACTCCATGCAGTTCTCACCCCCCAGCACGAACTGGCCCTGACGGGTACGCGCCAGCTCGGCCATCATGGCACCGCAGCCGAGTTTCTCGCCGAGGTCGTGGCACAGGCTGCGCACATAGAAACCCGAGCTCACAGTCATCCGAATCTTGGCCGCCGGGGGACCTTTGCCCTCCCACGGAGGAGGCGTATCAGGAGAAGGAGGAGGGGGGACTAGGTTTGAGCCTTTGCCTTGAGGGGGAACAAGTCTGGGTTCGCGAGTCGTTGCGGTGGTCGCGGCAGGTGCAGCTGTGCCTTCATTGGTCTTTTGCCGCTTGGAGGAGGAGGAGTGTTCCTCAAGGCTCTCGAGTCGGTCGACGGTCACCGGGGCGTCGTGCTTTTTACCATCTCTCTGGTCAAGAATTACCTGTGCGCCTGATGCAGCGTTCTGCTGCTGCTTTTTGGCAACGTCCCACACCGAATTGACCAAATTCTTCTCGTCTTGTCCAGCCTCCTCGGTTGGCCAGCGATGGGGGTGTGTCCCAGGCTCATACCATTCAACCAGCTCCAGTTCGGATACCTCGACGACACGAGTTTCGATTTCACGTGGGATGGGTTTACCTTCGCGAGCGTACTCATACAGAGGCTTGCCTTCCATCTTGAGCGCCGAATACAACGGCGGCACTTGTTTGATCCTCCCGCGGAAGCTCTCGAGCGCCTTCTCGACAGCTTCGCGAGTCACCCCAGAGTAGTCACCCTTCTTGATTATCCGACCAGTGCGATCGTAAGTATCGGTACTGGCGCCGAACAAGACAATGGTTTCATAGGTCTTCGTACAGGCCAGGAAGTTGTTCAACGCCTTGGTTCCCTTGCCGGCGCCGAGTATGAGCACGCCAGTCGCAAGGGGATCAAGTGTGCCACCATGCCCCATCTTCACGCGGATTTCTTGCTTGCACTTCCGGCGACGGTTTTTCTGGTAGTTCGATTCCTTTGCGCGCTGTGCACGCTCCTGCTCCAGCAGAGGCGCAAAAAGCTTGGACGGGTTGAAGTAGAGCTGACAATCGCGGATAACCTGGGCAGAGCTCATGCCGAGGGGTTTGTTTATGGCTGTAGAAGAGGATAGAGTTAGCAGCACAAACCAAGAAGCAAAGCGCCGAAGCCATCGCGGGATGCTGCTCTCGTACCGAAGACGCCCTCGAGAACCTTGTCTGTCGCCATCTTTGCCAGCTTCGGAAGTGAAAGTCGCATGGGCAGACGGGCGCAAAAGAAAAGAACGACGCAGGCCGTCGCCGAAATCCCCAGCGGCCAATTGCACAAGAAACGGAGGCAGCGCTGTTCTGAGATGTCCTACCCTTTTAAGAATGAGGGATTGAATGAGGGGATAGGGCGTGCGACTAGGAATTTCGGGAGAAACGCGCAAAACAGTCAGGATCGGTCCGTCCATTGTTGCCGTTGCGCGCTATCGATAAGAGTGGGGTTGACTACCAGGGTGCTCACTAACACACGGGCAGCGCAGCATGGATCCCCAACCAAGGATTCGCGGCTGAGGCGCGTCAGTTTAATGGATTTACCAGTGTTCCGTTTCGTCGGGTCATCGGGGTATCGCCAAAAGCCAATAATTTTGTCACAACTTCTATTCAATCACCCCTTCTGCCTTTTTAGTCAATTTTTATTTCATTTGGAACTTTCTTATTTTTGCCGTGAGTTTCTGACAAGAACCAAAACTTGAGTCGCACCTCATATCTTTCTGACCGTGCCCCCGCGCTCAAGTCAACTCAAGATAGTTCTCTTGTCTCGAGCCATGGCCGGCCGTCCCAGAAGGCAGGCGGCCAACAATGAAAGCAGTAGTACCGACACCTCCCGAAGAGCAGCCACAGAGTGCTTCAATGAATCAAGCATACGCTGGATCCAGGAATCGAGCATCCTCAAGCCTGTTGATCCCAGGGTTTCCGATCAAGACTGGCCATGCTACCTACTTCACAATGCGACCGTATACTGCAAAGACGGCAAGACATTGGTAAATCCGCTTCTTGTTCAGCTTCATGGCCCGTTCATAGTGCGCGGGATATTGGTGCTCGATCAAACGGCCAAGAAACATTGTACATCTCCATCATCCCCGCGACTACCCGTTCTCAATTGCTCGTTCGTTCTGACTGTTTAAAAGTAACCAGGCGCTGTACCGAACCTGTACCGATTGAGATCACTGGCTCCGACCAATATTCGTTCGGTGACCATCCAGTGCGTTTATGGGTTTCCGGTGCTTCTGGCTGGTTCGAAATAAAACCATCGCGCCGGTTTGAGCCAATATTCCGCGAGATCCACGAGGCTGTGACGCTCTACTACGGTATCTTCGATGCCTACAACAATCACTTCGCGGAAAAGTCCAAAAAGAAGGGACGAAAGACTCAGCCAAGCCTGGATACAGTCTTGTTCAAGTATGCTCTTAAGGCAGGCAATGGGATCTTCCACGAGGAAGCGAAAGCTCTATGCCACAAATGGGCCGATTTTCTCATCGCCCATTTCCCCAAGGAGGGCGCGTGTGATGGTTGGTCCTGGGAGAATACTGACTTCGCCAAGTGGCTGCGCGATTCTCATCCTGTACGTACTTTGGAGCTGAATCTGACGTATAATTCCTCGCCGCTAATAGCCTTCAGGAAGTGGAAAGGAAGCTCGCAAATATCGTACAGGAGATTGCTCCTCCCCTTCCTCCCCCTCCCCCCTCTCCGCCGTCTGTTATTGTCCCCAAAGCATCTGAAACAAGCCAACCTCCACGGAAGCGCAAGGGCAGACCTTCTAAAACAGCCAACAGGCCTAGTGATACCCGAGAAGCCAAGATCCAGGACTCTATATCAAGCAGATCGCATAGCCCTCATCCTAAGCCTGCGACTAAAGTCACTCCGGTTCCTCTGCCAGAAAGATACAGATCGTTCATCAATCAACCTACCGCCCTTCAAACATCGCAACCTACACCCGCGCGTCCTGTTGCTACAAGCCAGTCAGCGTCTAACCAGGTATCTGGCCCATCAACTTCAGAAACTGCAGACGAACTGAATGATGTGCCGATGACGGACTCGGATGCAGAATCCCCGGTCGATCGTTTGCTGAGCGTCTTTCGGGAACTTGCTGTAGAACTCGATATCTCCAAGGCGTCACCCTCAACAGTTTACTCGAAGTTGTTTTTTAAGTGCAAGATGAAGGAGTATGGGGTCGCAAAGGACATCGTCCTCTACTACTCCAAAGAGCTCTTTGCTCGTTTGGGTCCTGAGTGGAAAGGGACACGGTTCCTGAAATGGCTGCAGGAAGAATCGAACAAGCCATGGGTACCAATGACGGGTATCCGAGAGGAGGATATCCCTTCTCAGACCTACCGGCGGGCTACCAAAGCGGCAACTAAGGTACTAGCAATTCACCAGCCACTGGCTCCGTTGCCTCGACCAATCAACCTTCACACCAAACCCGACTTCCCATCACAGCAAAGCGACGAGGATATCTCGGATAGTGGTGTGGCATTTTTACGTCCACGGCGTGGCCGCAAGTCCGGCAAAGTAGCCACTCTTCGCCCACTCCCTTCGACTTCCAGGAAGCGTCCCGTCTCAGAATTGCTAGAGGACGTTTCTTCTTCCTCCGATGACGATGTTGGGGACGAAGTCGCTGCCATACTTAATCTTCCCGAGGATATTGCCGCTTCTGGATCTCGTCTACCGCTGCCTGATGGAGTCGTCCGCGTCGTGGTTCATGCGGAACCGCTGATGGATACAACACCACGTGGACCCAACGGCACATGGACATGCGAGCACGAAGGTTGTGGGTATGTCGTGCGGGCGGCAGAGGAGCAGGAGGGGCAGGATCTGATCCGTGAGCATTTCCGTGATCATGAGGCTGCGGCGGAACGGGCACAGCTTGTTGTGCAGGAGAGCCGCAGCCATGGGAACATACCTATCAAGTACGTCTATGCGTGTTTCCCTCCGGTGTTGTTACTCGTTGCTTCACCGGTCTCGAGTCCTGGTTCTGGCTCCCAAGTGGAAGCCAGGGGGTGAGAAATAGGAGCCGCCCCCCCCCCAAAGCGGAGTAGGCGACTAGTTCGACCCTCCCCCAGATGAAGTTTACCAAAGGCTCGTTGATAAAGCCACGCATGAGATTTGAAAACTGAATTTTCAACGCTGATCAAGCGGATAACTAACGATTTCCCGACCTGCAGTCACCTTCTTGAAAAGATACAAGCGATCGGCAAGGCATCTCTGCTACGAAAGAGCAAAACGACTGTTAATGGAGAGCCAGTATCACAGCCCGTAAAACGACGTATTCTCTTTTGAGCGTTAGCGCCCTCACGCTCGGCTATGACATTCAAGGATTTAGATTTTGCTTACCCTTTCTCTAATCTGCTGTGTAATTGCGCTGTTTTAACATACCCCCCTTGCAATGCTGCTGGGTTTCCATGAGAAACAGGAATGGCGTTCGGTTGGACTAGTCAAAGGGTTCTAAAAGGAGAGATTTTGGTTAAATAGGACAAATTGGACCGCATACATAACGGGCTTACGGACCTGTCTGTTCTCGAGACCCGAGATCTTCCATATCCTCAGAGCGATTGGTTCGGGAACAGAACCGGACGGCAAAATTACTACGTTCGCATTTTGCTGCAAATATCACGAGGAATGAATGAAAACGGAACGAAATAGCTGACCTGACTCGGCCAAGCTGCCAATAAATCAATCCATCCCTTCGGACGTTCAATTAACTCAAGTAGATCGAGCAATACCTGCCACTTTATGTCCTGTGTTATAACCTCCCCTCCGCACCCCCCTCCCCCCCAAAAAAAAAACATAATTGTCTCCTTATCTGAAAACATGGTACGAATCCTACGAACAGCAGCAATCACGGTTTCTTAAAGGCCATGACGGCGTACCGAAAGCTCCCGTTGGCATAACCTCTCCGCATAGCCCGGAAAGCTTGAAGAAAGGCAATGCCGTCACGGCCCTGGCTGAAAGCAAAGGCCCAGAGGGATGGGTTCTGGACTAGGGACCAGGAGATTTCCCTATCATGATTGTCAGAGGCAGACTTTGGGCGAGAGGGAGTAGAAATACGCACCATGTCTTGCTCACATCCTGGCTGATGTCCTTAGGTGGGCTTAACACCTCCAGCCCGGCGTCTGTTCCGAGCTCGACGTATTGCTGTTGCGTGCAAAGAGGAGGAAGGAGCATACCGTCTGTTCAGCCGTCAGTTGAATATACTTGTCCAAAAGAGTCGAAGTGCTAGTCATCGAGTACTACAAACCCTCGATCGGCTTGATATCTTTCTCAAGCAGCTCCTTCTCCAGCCCCTCAGCCTTAAACCAGTCCGCCAACACCAGCTTTCCTCCCTTCCGCAGCAAGCTCTGTGCATTGCGGAAGAAAAGCCCCTTATCCGGGAAGTGGCTAAGCGCTTCAGTAATCCAGACAATATCAAACTTCCTGCTGTCGTCACCGTCGCTTCCCGAAGCTTGTGAACTTCCCGAGAAGTGCTCCCCCATCTTCTCCGCATCCAGTTCTAAAAAACGAACTTTCCCTCCCCCCGCCAGGGGGATGAAGCCATCATCATCATCATCATCATTATCATTATCATCATCGTCGTCGGCGGCGGCAGCGGATATATCGGCAACGTTTCCGGTAGGAGCAGCAGCAGCAACTTTCTTGCTCAACCTGGTTGCCATCTGCACTTGCTTGCCGGAGATGGTAATACCGGTGACGGCAGCACCGAGGGTTGAGGCGAGGTAGCGGGAGGTGCCGCCTAGGCCGCAGCCGACGTCGAGGATGCGGAGACTGGGAGGACTGGTTTTCATGGTCTCGCCGCCATTGGGATTGGGATGATTGTCTGAGGGAGAGAGCTGAGAGATGTCAAGCAAGAGCTTGATCAAGTTGACTTGGGCAGTCTCTTTGGAGTCGGTGTTCTTGGACTCTGGTGTCGGCCAGTAGCCGTGGTGAATGTGTTCGCCCCTGGGTTGGCATGGTGAGCGCTCTGAAGGTCGACAGGAAAAAAATAAAAATAAAAATAAAAATTCATAGGCCATACCATAGGTTGAGATAGTAATCGCTAGCCAGGTCATAGTGTAACCTGATACGATCCTTAAGGGCCTGCATGGTGGTGTGCGCAATGCCTAACGAGGTCTCATATTTCTTGCTGAGCTCAGTAGGAGCATCAGGTAAGCTAGAGCTGGCCGGCATTATAACTATGCTTTATATCTTTGTTTTTACTCCAGGACGCTCTAAGAGTTCTTGCAATGGAATATGCTTGAACTGGTGATGATTGGCTTACAATCATGTGGACGGTGAGGGAATTGGCAAGGATTATGGAGTTCTTAGGGACGATCGTAACAAAGGGCCCCTGAAACGGCCCGAGGGGAGCTGCAAATGTCAGTCCAATGACGCAGCACAATCAGTTTGTTTCCAAGTGACTTTCAGGTAAACGCTGCAGCTTGCTGCAAGCTCCCTGACCACGTCATTGGACAAAGTGTGGTATTGTACGTAGCTTTGTCATTCCGCCTCGGTTCACATCTCATTGTGCAGGCCCATACCCCAAATTTCGAAACCTGGTTTCTCTTGATGTTGTTTGACAGTAGGTATGTATTGAAGTTCGGAGAGAGAGGTATCATGATTATTCATTGACAACACTAAGCAAAGTTCAAAAACAATGATTACCCAAAAAAAGCGTATCCTCTTAGGCATACAGTTTTGTAAAGCCCTCAGTTGGAGGTTGTAGCCAGTTCTTCTCATCATAACGCCATCCCTCCGCACCCTCAATAACATGAAATGTGTAAATAATCCTCCCCTTCTGACTCGTATTCCTCTCGCTCTTATGAAGCAAATTCCCATGAATCAGCACCAACGACCCAGCCTTCACCTCACCCGGCACATACTCCCCCTCCCTTGCCTGCCCCCTCAACTCCTCCCCGTACCCCTCTCCCCTCGGAAACCTCGACCCCTCATTCACCACCATCTTGGTCCCCTTCCCATCGCTCCCATCCCCATTTCGCACCAGCCTCTTCTCCACCGGCGCCCAGCGATGCGATCCCGGCAAGAAACTCAGACACCCATTCTCCAGCGTCGCGTCCTCCAGCGCGTACCAGAAGCCCACGGCGCTCGGTGGATCGGTATACAAGAATGTCGAGTCTTGGTGCGCCGGCACAGCCCCGCCAATCTCGGGCTGCTTGCAGATGATCATGCTCTGCAAGCAGCGCGGGTCAACGTACCCCAACTGGCGGGCGACGGTTGCTGGGCGGGCTTTCATATCCTTCGCTAGGTCCCATCCCTCGTCTTCTGGACCCCGTGCAAGCAGCGCCTTGAACGGAGCTGACAGACCGTGTAGATAGTGTCCGATTTTGTTGATGGCGCGATGCTTAGGACGCACGAGGTTTCCTTCGGAGTCGAAGGCATCTTCCTCGAAGAAGAAGCGGATTTTGTCACCTGAGGTGAGGAAGTAATCGTCGCCGACGTGGTCCTCGCCCGTTTCACCTCCCGTGCGGAAGCGGGTGAGCGGGTGTGTGGATAGGTCGAGGGAGTCGAGCAGACGATGAGTCTCGTCTAGAAGGGCGGTTACAGTGGTTGGGGGGAGGGCGTCAGGGATGATGAGGTAGCCGTCGCGGTGGAAGGCCGCAAGTTGCTCGGGGGTGAGCCCGTCGGAGGACATGGTGAATGAGTTAACAGCTGGGATACGGGATGGTTTTTGAAGACTAAGGAGAAGATGGCTTTATGAATGCAGGTGTTGATGCTGGTACGATCAGCAGTTGAAAGAGCATCAAGAGTAGTGAGACGGGCCAGTATTGCCCCGCTGGCGATAGAGGAGTTGGAGGGGTGAACTGCCCCGCGGATATCCGCTGTGGGCGATTAGAGCTCCCTATCTTATCAGTGGGGATGGTGCTAGCTGACAGCTAGGTACCACTCCCGGGGGTTAACATATCTCACAAAGTAGCACTTATTGGCCAAGAAATTCATGAGCAAAGAGGATAACATCTGAAATGTGAATCGTGCTGTGACTTATCGACATGGTACCAAAAGCTACCAATTCCCTGATATTTCAGCTAACCAAGTTCCAACCTACAAAACGCCCAGAACGCCCTCCCTGATTCCCATCCTAAACCACGACCGCGTATCCACCGCTGGCAGATAGGGTTTCTCTTCTCTTCTTCCCTTAAACCATCCTGCGCTTTCCCCATAACCCGAGCCACGGACCAGGTAACCTTGTAGGATCCAGCCCATCTCTTCCGAAAAGTAGTTGACTTCCCGTGTAATGAAGTCTGTCAAATCAGGCCAAGAAACGTGCATGGGCAATTGTGTCGGTTGGCAGAAGAGAAAGTATATAGGGGGGAGTTGAAGCGAAGAATCAAGGGCGGCGCAGGGCGTGGACATGAGTAAGACCCATCAGTACCGTATTACCCGATAACCATTGAAGCAACCGAAAAAAAAGCATCACACTCGACTCAATACGCCCAGCGATGGGAGCTCTCATCCAAAACAAAGTTGAGATATGGAGAGAGAGTGTGTGTGCGTGTGTGAGTGAGTGTGTGAATGTGTGTGAGAGTGTGTGTGTGTGAGTGAGTGTGTGTGGTGTGTGCATATGTCGGTCTCTCTCTGTGTTGTTGTGTGTGTGTGTGTGTGTGTGTGTGTGTGTGTGAAGGAGAGAGAGGGAGAGAGCATAAACAAACTGAAGCATAACATAACCATTCAAGCTCAAAGAAGGAAGCTTGCCAAACGATTCTACTTCCGCGACACAGCCTCCCAAACAGCCGCCAGGGCCGTAACGCCAGTCCCAACGAGGACGCCGCGCCAGCCACTATACAAGGCAGCTTCCACACGGGTAACAGCCCACGGGCTGAGCAGACCCCCAAAAGTAACCCCCTGCGCGTACACCACGTACGTAATCAGCGCCTTAGCAACGCTAAACATAAGCGGATCAACCGCATACTCCTGCTTCTGCTGCTTCCCCTCTGACATCCCCTCTCCCCCCTCCTCCTCCTGCTCCTCCTCCTGATTCTTATCAACACCCTCCCGCTTCTGCGACGCACCGCTCGGCCTGCCACGAGACCTCTTTGCCGGAGCCGAAGCCGGCACACGAACAGGCGCAGTGCCAGTCGCTGAGCTAAGGTTGAAAAACCACCCCGCCACACCGGGTATAATCAGACTCGTCAACAGCCACGTAGCAGTGCATGCCCAAAACCCGCTCGTCAGCAACGCGAACACGTCGGGAACATGCACCGGCTTGTCGCCAGTCCCAAGCCAGCTGATTGCGGGAATGGTAAACGCATACACATCCGGAAGCAGCTCCCGGCGGAGGTGGTACGCCTCAAAGAGCGCGGCGGCTGACAAGACGGCGTGCACGGTCGATAGCCAGGCGCGTGTCGTGTGTGCGGCGTCGGTGAGGGAGGTTGCGACCGGGGAGGCGGGGCCGACGAGCGAGGAGAGCTGTGAGCGGACGGCGACCGTGGAGCGGTCGACCGCTTGCGCGACGTCGGCGGGGGTTGCGGGGAGGGAATTGGTCAGACGGGCAGCTAGGGCGAACGCGCGGGCCGGGGTACGGGTCAGTGCCATCGAAGGGGTGTCGCTGGGGGCTGCGGAGGGGTCGGTCGGCGATTCTGACTCTTCGGATCTGGAAGAGGGGGAGAGGGGGGGTGGGCGCAGTGTCGGTTAGTGGTTTTGTTTACGTTATGCTGCTTTGGGATGGGTCTTTGTTTGGGTTTTTCCTGTTCTGCCGCGCGCGCAAAACAGAAACGGGGGAAAGGAGGGGAAGACTGGGAGATTGGTAACTTACTCAGTAGCAGCGACAGGCTCTTCGATCGGCTTGGTCGACTTGCGCCGGGATGGCTTTACATCGCCGGCAGCAGCTCCTGTCGCGGCGGCAGACTCCCTCTCTCTCTTGACTGGAGAGCCGCCAGCGCGAGCGCGGCTCTTGAAGTAATCGGTGAAGCGCGGGTCGCTCTGGTAGCGCGCAGCATTGTCCGAGAGGACCTCGTCAATGGCGATCTCAAGATCAGCCTTGCGTTTGCTGTCAACGCTATTTCAGGGCAGTGATGTTAGCAAGTTAGTCGTGTCAGATCATCATGTGCCTTGTTTAGCGATGGCGCATGATCGGGCTTTAAGCCAATGCGCAGTGCGACAGAAGGATTGAACCAAGATATAGCATAATTCACAAGGGCAATGTGGACAATTGACAGCGTCAATCCCTGCTGACGACTGATTATACGCAGGGAGACAACCTGGGGGTGAGGGTAGGGTGAGTAAGGGAGGACAGGGTGACGTACTCTTTGAGCCCAACGGCTTGCGCCAGTTCGACAAGCTCGGCCTTGCGCTGTCGCGCCAACCATGGATTCGCCATGTCGCGTGCTTAAAAGCAAATGTGTTTATTGGGGGGAAAAAAATATGTAGGATAAAGAAATGATACTGCGCAGCAAGCGTGCGTAAGGCGCAATTGGTTTTTGCTCGGGAATTGGGCCAACACTTGGGTTGCTACAGTAGAAATCGCGAGAGGGGGTGACGATGATATTGACGATCGAGATATGTGGAGGGGGAGGGGGCGCCGGGGCGGTAGGGTTACGGCTTGCAGACGCAACCTAGAAGCAGGTGAAGTCCCGCAGTGGGCAAGGGAGGCGAGGGAACCGACGTGGACTGTGCGCGCGTTGTTTGGGGTTGTTTGTTTTGCTGCTTGGACGGGCGCGTGGAGCTACGACTATTGCTCCCGCACCCACCCCACACCCCAACTGAACCCGCTAAGCACGGGCCACTGACAGGATTCGCCCAAGTCGGCGCGGAGTTTTGTTTCTCCGACGAGCCTTCGAGAGAAATGTTGAACAGCACCGCAAGGTGATTCTCAAAAACATATTCCCAACATTTTTCAGGTTTGTATGTACGTACAATTGGTGAAGGATGAGTACGGATTGCACCACAAAAGGGTCTTACGGTGCTAATAAAATGATAGAACCCATTGCAGAACAAGATATAAGTATTGGTTTCTGGGAACATTCCTGGGATACCATTGGGATCAATAAAACAAACCATGCCGAGGTGATTGTCAACACCAGCTTTAAGTCTTCAACTACGGTCCAATCCTTGTTCCTTGTATATTTCCCACTCAAGTATTTGGCCAAAGTGCAGACATCCCAAAATGATGGTGCTATCAGCTCTAGATGCATACTTGTCACGGCACCCCCTGTTAGTCTTATACGGCTCTTTCAGTGTCACTCTTGGTATGATTGCTGAGCAGAAAAGCATAATGATTCCAAACCCACAAACTTTACTGCCCCACCCCGGGTTATCATCAGAGCGGTTCGGCATGTTTGCCGCAGTTGTGCTGTCCCAGAGTCTCGAGTTCGCTAAACCAGGGTCATCCAGAATGGTGGCTCTTTGCGGCAAGGCTGGGCTGAGGCACACAAGGGGCACATGGTTGCGCAGCTCGAACTGAGAGCAAGGAACTGCTAGCACGGGAGACTGGTATGTTCGGTACGTCCGGGGTACTCGTTATTCCAGTTACACAGCAGCCAGGCCCAACCGCTGCATGCTAGCTGAACGAGGCGCGGGTCCAGTCGCCCGGCGAACCTGAGGTTCTGGAGAAGTCAACACCGTTCGATTCCCCAAACCGCTTGAGACCTCTTTAAGTATCTGTTGTTCAGCATGAATCACACGTACGCTCGTCCTTCTGCGACATCCATCTTGCTGGGATAGGTGCCGGCGGAATGTGCTTACCAAGAGTGATCTGCTACATGGAGAGGAGGGATTGCTTGTGAAGCCATCGGCGAGCGATATGAAGATGAGTATAAGAATAGGTTGAATAATGCCGCTTGGAGGCATGCTCGTCAAGAAACTTCAACGCCATATATGAAATATTTCTCTAGATTAGCCACAATCATGATGCTTCGACCCCAATGCTCTCTGAGGGCCATGGCCTTTCTGATCCTAGGACTCTTCATGCCTTGGACGGGCGCTCAAGTGCCATCCCAAACAGCAGGTTCAGAGCCAACGACATCACCTCTCCCCATAGTCACCGCCAGACCTGAACCCAGATCTTGGAAGACCGTCGTATTGGCCGAGCGAAAGCTCGTCGCCCAGGATTATTGCGGCTCGTACGACCGCGAAAAGAATGGGGGCGATGCCCAAAGCCCGATGAGATGCTCCTCACAACAATCGTTCTGTGAGCTCTTCCATAACACCGCTGTGAGATGTTGTCCGCCAGAGTACAATAACATAGGATCCGCGGCCTGCGAGTTCTTCACAACCTGCTATGGAAAATCGGATCTTCAGACTATGCCTACGACGGATCCGAGGGCGTTGACATGGTACAGTTTTCTCCTCATGCTCACATATAGGATAATCAATGTCGAAAGAGCTAACTATGTCTGACAACTGATCAACACAGAAGAGATTCCAGAGACTGTCAAAACTGTCACCTCGCTTTGGGACCCGGTTCGAGAACTCTATTCAACCTTTCAGATCGGAGACGTGATCACCACCACCGACAGCGAGTGTGTGAAAAACCTGATACACATTGGGAGCACGCAGTTCGGCACATCATGGGGCTGCTGGACAATCGCCACTACATTCGATGTCCTGATGACCCTCAAGGCTAAGGGCATTGACCGCCAGTCTCAGCTCTCTTGCTGAAGAGACCCCAAGTACGCCCAGAGCTACCGACGTCGGACAGCTTGGAGCAGATAATTCAGAGGAGAGCACTACAACCAACCATGGCTGGATGAAGATAGTCTTCCAAATCGTTGGCTTCGTGATGGTGGTTGTCATCCTCGTCGTTTGGGCTCTAGTCCGCCGATGGCAGAAGGCTCACCTCGAGAAGAGCCAGCAGCGTACGGCCGGACTGGATATAACGCAGATGCCCATCAGTTCGGCCCTCTGGTCCCCAGGTATTCAACGCTGACGGAGCTTCCGAGCCCTTTCCCGCTGCCCAATGACCGAGATGAGTCAGAACGGAGGATTTGGTATAGAGTTCAAAGTGTCAATGGCCATGATATGGTTGGAACAGTGCACTGCTTTGAAGCTGTGCTGGAGGAGCGCCGTTGGGCGTTTGGGTCCTTGAGTTATATTAGCTTCTATGTTACTTAGTTCTGCCTAGCTTATTCGAGTCCCATCTTAATGCTTTCGGAGGTAGACGGAGGAGTCCAAATGTTAATGATCAAAGAGGGTATCAGGGCTGCTATTTTGAAATGACTTTCTCCTCGCTACACAAGTCCCCCAGCGTCCAATCTCTCAAGTACTTCCTTATCATCTGAAAGAGCTCTAAAACCTTCGGGGGTTTCTTCACGGAATGCAGATCCAATTGCATATCGTAGAGGTATCGGATAAGCTCAGCCCTGGTGTTTTCCGGGATCTCGCCCGGCCATTTCTTCACCTTGTCAACCAAGGGCCACGCTTCTCCCAGAAAATTTCGCTGCCGGATAGGAGCTGCTGGTTCGGCCTGTCCGAATTGTTGGCTCAGTTGTACCCATTGCTCACGCCCTGGCGCACTCTCCCAACAGCGCATGGTATAGAGAAGACAACGCGCCATACCGAGAGAAGCCGCTGCCAGTTGAGGTGGTCTTGGTTCAAGGGGCCGTAGGTATTCATAGACCTTTTTGTATACATTGCATGCCTCTTGGAAGCCATCTGGGCATCGCCTGGAGACAAGTTCGCGAGGCTGCTCCAGTCGGTAATCTAGTTCAGAGCGAGTCGCCAGCATTAGATCCTTTGATTTGTTGCTGACTCGTACTGTATACTCACCGACTTGAAGTGTAGGAGTTCCAGGCATACCCTGAACCAATATCTCGATTATTCGTGCTAATTCTGCCACTGCCAGCTCAAAATCACAGTTATTAGGCGTCGCAAACTTGCAAATGGAACTGTGGTCGGCGTTCATTGGGACTGCTCTTTCATTTGGTTAATTCAATATCGCAGAGTCTTCGTCAGCTCAGCTTCAATGGCGACAAAGTAAGGGGTTAATGCCCATGATGAGGTACATACGATCTGTCGTGAAATCGGGTGGACTTGTCGTTCATAGAACGAACAATAGCTCGGAACTCCTTCATCCGCTCAACAGACCTCTTGTTGAGTTCGAGAAGAAATCTTGAGTTTTGTTTCAACAACTTGACGACATCCTTATTCAGAATAGATACTGGCAGTGGTAACTTGGTAAATCTGTCCACCCAGGTTGCTGTTTTGGAACCATGATGGGGAGTTCCCATGAACATGACTGCTTTGAGGCGTTCCAAGATGAAGCTGTGTAATTCCCTGCGATCATTGCCCTGATCATGGCTTTTTTTGTGAATGATCCCACCGAGACTGTGGCAACTGAAGATTATCGGACGCTTAAAGGTTGTCAGTGAACCCTGACGGGTTGAAGGTCGCTTGCAGCATGAAGACACTGACCTCCTGACTAGTATGGCGCAGTCCTTTCTCGTGCCTTACAAGGAAGTCCTTTGCCACATCTTCAATTTTGATTGTCCTCACATTGAGGAAAAGTTTGCTAACTTTGTATCCAAATGTAACAATACACGCACAAGGGAACGTGTCTTTGAGAAAGTCCCTAATCCATATTTTGTGGGTATCCGGACACGTCCAGGTCTCAATTGAATCAGCAAGGAAGCCATGGATTGCAACAATACTATTTTTCAACGCCCATTGTGTAAGTTGAAGAACTCCTAACACTAGGTGGGTCTCAGAACGTACTCAAAATCAGTGGCATCCAGGGGAGCTGCCAAGCTTGGATACACTTGCCATAGACAAAATTTCTCAGATGCCCTGGATATTGACTGTTTTGTTCATGTATCCGGTCTAACAAGAGTTGAGGGACCACTGAGCTTGTTAAGTGGTGTCAGCATTGTCAAGCTTCAACAGGCCTTGAACGGCTGTCGCGATAAGATTTTGGAAAGTGTTGCGATTGTTTTTATGAACTCCCAATAACAGGTTGGTGCCTGAACTTGAAGCGATCAAAGCTGCCTGCGGATGGAAAGGGATAAAGCGCTTATGAACAAGTCTCGACACGATGCATCATCAAGGTGTGGTTACTCATCGAGAGAGAGCTCGTCATCTAAGGTTGAGGCTTAGCGAACTGTAAAGCTGAATAATCATATCGTATATTCCAGCCTTGTGGGCCTTTTATTTCGGCCCAACTCCATCATTGGGGCCCGGGTTGGCTCGTGATAGTGGTGACTCTGGTATGTCAACGATTTTCTAGCCTCAGTCTCGACTCTGCCGACAAGTCGCCAACCAGGTCTATGTTAGAGAAGGTGAAGGTTGGCAAGTCGTTCTGACCGGCTGTTGAGCCGCGAACTTCGAGCGGGCGCTGTGCCTTGAGCCCCTGCAGCAGCCTCTGAGCCAGGGGGAAGCCCTTGGGGGAATTCCGGTCGACGACTCAGCCTGGAGTGGTCCGCGCTTGGGTATGTGTGATCAAGGCACGGGTCGGTATAACGGAACGGTTTTCAGTGAAAGAGAGAAGACGAAGAGCGAGGTATGCTCGAGACACCTTCTAGAAGGTCTCGGATATGAAAGCCATGTCTTGTTCCTTGGGCAAAATTTGGGAACCCCGGATGTTCATAATCCGTACTTATCCACAACATGCCAAAACATCTTGGAGTTATAGAAGCGACGGACGAGAACACATCCGGAACAAGGTTCAAAGCTTCGAAACCGGCCTTTTTCTCCACAACGAATACAAGATATGGCTAGCGCGGCCCGTCGAGTTCTCTTCGATTTTCTGCCAATCTCCAACCATATTTAGTTGTGAGCCGCTGTTTCATGTCTTCAGCCCGTTGCCGAATTGGTGCCCAGGCGCATGCATGTTACACTTACCACACCCGAACCGTCGCTAAAGGGGGCCAGCAAATGCGGCGAGCTTCTTTTGGATATCAAATCGGGACCCCGATCCTCGCTCTTTTTAGTCCTTCTCCTTTATACTATCAGCAGCAGCTGGGCCACGTAACTGCTTCCCGTTAGTAGCCCGACAGGAAACCAAGCAAGACAAAGAAGGAACGAGGTCTAACACAGTTGCTTAATCATCCTTGACAAAGCCCATGACAATTATTCGACCGGAAATCCGTTGTTGCAATTGATAGCGACTTGCCCGGTAGTGTAGCCAGCCGTCACGGGCCCTAAAGCACTGACAAGGGAGCTCAACATAGGCGGCAATCGTTGACTTAGACTATAGGTCTCAGCCATCAGACCTGCATCTGCATCCCGCATGCAGCTTTCGACATAGTTCCACGCTGATAATAGTAGCTAGAGCCTACACGAATTATCAGGAACTCCGAAAACAATATTATATATATATATATATATATATATTCAGGTTTTTGCTTCGGCAGTGTAAAATATATTCTTTGAAAATGAGCCATTTACCCCGTGAAACAGCACAAACTCTCAAGAGTTTAGACCAGCTCAGGATCTGCAACAAACCGCTCACAACCTCTCTTCACAAACCTTACCGGAACATGCCTTCCCCCATGTAACTTCAGCGTCAGCACCGAGTCGGCCTCCCGGAGAAGCTGTCTGCTGCGCTCCTGAGCGCGGGCATACACTGCCCTCCTCTCAGCAGGACTCATCTTCGCAACCTCCTCATCGCTAGCCCAGTCATCCACAGCCAACTCAATGCTGTACTTCTGAAAAATCACAGCCAACACAGCGTTCATCTCGACCATAGCAATCCGCCTGCCCAGGCATGACCGAGGGCCGTCGCTGAACGGCGCATAGCTGCCGCGCACAGGTCTATACAGCGCTGCGGACGTGTCGCTGCCCTGGAATCCGCCGTAGTCGGTCTTGTCTTCAGGAACGGCGACATCGTCCACAACTGTCCCTTCTCGTTTGGCGCCCCTCAACTCGTCTCGCGAACGATACCATCTCTCCGGCAGAAAGTCATCCATGTCATTCGGTTTACCGGTGCGCTCGCTCGGTCGCGTGGGCCACCATCGCGGATTGCGCTGTGCACATACGATCTGCAAAGCACAGCTCACGCCGGCAGGGAGCACATGCTCGCGGCCGTTGATGGTGATGCGTTGATCGCACTCTGGGTTCACCACCTTTGGGATGCCTGTGACGGGGGGCATCATGCGCAACGTCTCGTTGACCACAGCTCCCGTATAGCTGGCCATCAGTGCGTTAATGGAGCGCTCGTAGTCCCAGGTGCTTGGGTCAGCGCCGTTGAAGAGATTGTCGATATCCCGCTGCATGCGTCGCTGCGTGCCTGGGTTGTTGGCGAGCTCGAGGAGGGCGAAGTGCAGTGTGTTCGCGGTTGTTTCGTGACCGGCAACGATCATAATGAAGGCATTGCCGATGATCTCGCTGTCATTAAGTATATTCGGAACGCCATCTTTGCTCTCAGAGGCTGGCGAGGCGTTCCGACCATATTTGCTTTGGACTAACTGGCCCATGATGTCCATGCCTTCTTTTTGAGGTCCGCCACGTTTAGCCTCTTCGATCTTGTCATGGAGGAACTCATTCATATACTGGAGGAAGTTGATCTTTCCCTCATAGGCCTCTCGCGCCCACTTGAATGGGAGTATTTCTACCCAGGTTAGTGAAGCTCCCTTACATCAGGGATGGGGACGACGTACTAAGAGCAAGCGTCGGCAGAACCATGATGCTCACGATCCTTTTCAACGTCAATTCAAGCGAATCGGTAAACGACAAGGTGTGCCCTGGAGGAGGGCTGAGACTGCCGTATTTGGCCAGCGTTTGGATCTAGATCAGACGGCAGCTCCTGGCCAGGCCAGATCAAACGCAAGCCGAAGCCAACGTAGCCGATGATGTTGAGTGCCCAGCGCATAGTGTCGTGCTCGAGTGTCCGAATAGTTTTTGGTGGAACTTGTCTTCTCGCCTTCTGAGCCAAACCAGTGGCGCAACATTCCATGTGTTTGATTGATGGCCTCACGAAAGGTGTGGGCGGCATTCTTCTCATTGAAGCTGGCACTGGTAACTTTGCGATGCATACGCCACAGAGCTCCCTCGGTTGTGAGAACGTTGTTCCCGAACATTCTCAGTACTCCGTACTTCTCTATATCCTTAGGGAAAGCATCTCGACTATGCGTCATCTTCGCGATGACTTCGGGGCTCTGGGTGAAGAATATCATCCCCCCAGGATACACCACCAGGAAGGTATCAGTGCCCAGCCGGTCAAAGTGCTCCTGGCCAGTTCGATAACCCCATTCGGGAAGTAGGATACTTAAAGAGTTCGTCAGCTTGGAGTCAAGATCTAAGGGCCAAGATCCTAACGTACAAGAGCCAGTTTTCCCAGCATCGTCGAGGAAGCAGCTTGATCAAGGGCACCCATAAGCCGCATGTAAGTTGCCATGGACGGAAAAATGGGGAAACAGCTGGGCTAGAAGTTAGCTACAAGGTCAAGCTATCAAAGGCTGATGAAGGCATCACATACGCGTAACGATATATACCAGCCCGGTTTTGCGCGCCTGGAGGATGCTTTTCGTAAGAGCGATGATGTATGTGCAGATGCATAAGATAACGGCACCAAGGGCCGTCCTGAGAGATATGATTGCCATCGCGCCCAATTTTTGTTGACCTGTGACGTCGCAAGATCAATATGCTGTGCCGTTGACCCGCAAAAAAAGTGATCACTTATTTCATCTGATGTTAAAGTTAAGGCTAAGCTGCAGATAATAAAAAAACCAGCAGAAATGTGTCCAGATACCTTGATTAACTGTCCTGGTAACATAGATGAATGTTATGACGAGGAAGAAGCAGGTAAGTGAGGATGTCTTGGTGTAAAAAGCGAACAAAAAGAACAGACATCCTGATCCGGAGTTTTCGGATGCAAAAGAGATGCCAGAAGTGTTTCATCCATGTTCTCGCCGAGGAGAAAAGGGGGGGTGGTTAGTTCACATCCTGTCACACTCGCTGCTACCCAGGAATATGGTCAGGTCACACGGCTCAGGACTGGAACCGTGGTCGCATCTGCCTCCTCATTCTGGCAAAAATCCATGCCGTCCATCCTAAACGAAGTGATGTCTACAGCGAACTTGCAGTGTGGTTGAAGTCTTGTTGCATTAGTTCTCGAGAAGCTTTCTACTGAAACATCTGGCAGATCGCGCACGGATCAATCTGTCGACTAGACCTTCTGCGAAATCGGCTTTCGCACCCTCATGGAAAGCTGGGAGAAATCGGACGCCAATCAAATACGAAGTGTATCCCGGATAACGACATTGAAAAAAGCTTCAACAGTTCTTGGAGCTTGTTGGAGAGGGAAAGCTTCCAATCCACCGATTATTTGGGGAAGCGCTGCGGACCAGTGGGGCTGGATTTGACAGAGCCCACGAGCCATATCAGGTACGTATCGTGGCTAGGCAGGGGCCCCTATTGGCTGGGAATTGGAGCTCTTGACATGAAGCATTGTGTCCTTTCGATCTCTTGCGACCCCCCAACTGCGGAGAACGGTGATATATATACGAGGTCCGTTCGTGCTATAATGATGCATCTTTTACAACCAAGCTCCTTACGTTTTGATCTCTGATGGTCTGGTGGATTTACGAAGAAAACTGAAAGCTGCTCATGTATGCCAGCTCTGTTATGCGTGATATGCGACTTTACAGCAGCCTCCATGCCGATGACACTCTACCAACCTGGCATGTCTGCTCCCAAAACACATCTTCCAACCCAGCTACCTGCTCCAAATCCAAGCTCTGACCACAATGGTTTCCAAGCCTGAGCGGTGGTATCTGAAGTGGTTTATTCCAGTCAAGCCACGCTAACTCATCCATAAACAGGTCCTGCCTATAGGACATGTGTTAGGCATCGTTGTAGCACAAAAGGACGTTCGGGGCACGGACGTAACATCCTGTATTATCAATATTTGAAGTCCCCCAACGCTGGGAACAGTAAGTGGTTTGTTTACTATCGAGACAGAAGACACCAGACCTATTCATGCCCGCACCACTGATCTATCTGGTCAGTTATGATTACTGCTATCACGTAATTACCTCCACATTCCATTCTCGGAGCAGTATCTTAGTCTGTGTGCTGTTCTCTCAGAAGACGACGACTTATCCACCGAGACAGGCAGATACATATCATGCCTAAATCTTCCGGCAGGACTGTACTCTCCGACTCATCCCCTATTCGTGATGCTTGTTTCTCCGGGGAATATACTGAACCATACTAGCCATAAGTTGAGCATTGTCCGCTGTTTACAACCAAGGAACAGCCCTGTACCGTCGCGTTCCCATCATAAGCGCAGTGGCAACTGATGACTTCAAATCGGACCGTTGATTGGAATGATCTCGATCCCACAGACCTCGCACCCCGCATCCGAGAAGCCTTCTTGTAACTTTATCTCCGGAAGCAAAAGTTCGCATTCGATGGTAACACATTATCACGAGAGCCGACTCCTTCCGAGAAACCGCCTCTCACCTTGTAACACTCTTGCTAAACACCGATTGTACCCTGATCACATGCTCTGCGTCCATCAAGCTTCAATGACTCTGGGTTTGAGCCGGGCAATTCCGATTCCCTTCAACCGTAGATCCACCATGTCCTTTTCTCCTCGTCTCCTCGTCCTATCTTGCCATATGTCAGACGTAGGTAGGATATAAGTCAAGATGACAATGTCTGCTCCACTCATGCACCGCACAGTGCGACTTCTTTGGTATTGTTCCCTGCTTTTTGGATGTCTTGTCAGTCTAGGTCAGCGCGGATATCGATGTTGGTTAGCCCTCGGTTGTCTGAAGTGGTTGATCTTAGCTCGAGCATGTGACATGAGACCAGGATATCTCTTCAGGCCGGCTTCGTGGGATTGGAAGCATAGTTTCGCAAAAGTTTGTACACAATTGGACAGCATCTCCTCTCTAGTTAATTGCAAGGGAATTCTCAGATGAGATAGTCCTCGGGATACACAGGGTATCTATCTAGCTGCGACCTGCTCGATGATGTGGTCAGATTGAGCATCACACAAAGTGTAACCTTGGACTTGGTTGATCACCGTTCTACAAAGAAAGACTTATTTCTCTCAACGGACTCAAGAAAGCTGCAGAATGGAAAGCTCATATTGTGCTTTTTTAATGCCCTCATCCACCCTTATCGGACTGGAAGGAGCTCTCGTCACTGTGATTGCAATCTAGTGAGAATGAAACGCAGGCAGTCTAAAGCTCGAAACCTCCCACGATACACTCATCTTCCATGAGTACCTGATCCGGCTTACTCCTTCCTCACGGCCATGTCTTCTCGCTACCACAGCCCACAACTCTCTTCAAACCTCTTTTCACTTTATTTCCTTCCTCCTTATCTCCTTCCTTTTCCCAGCCCTCAAGTCTTCAATGTCCCTCACGTCTAGAGGACTGCATACCTAGAGTAGACTCACTTACGTGGTGTATGTAGTCGTGGTAAATGCGGCCCCAAGTTCTTTGCCCCTTTGCTTTCCCAAAGCAGTACAGCGGCATGCATCATTAGCAAACGCAAAACGCAAGGCAAATAAATTACCGGAAGGCAGTTTACGCAAGGCAGGAAAAAACTCAACGGGCAAACATCCGCCTTTATACCATCAACCCCACCATCGACAGCTTCAAAGCGGGTTTACGAAGCACAACAACACCCAACGCCAGATCCCCAGCGCCTGTGTGCCAAACCGCCCAGCAGTTTCCAACAAGCAAAAATCACAAAAACGGCAAGCAAAAGCAGCAAGAGCGTACAACTTAACGCGTAAATAATGCAACGCTATGTAATCTCTGTTTCTCAAATGCACCCTGTCCCGCCAATTTGTCCGCCACATAGACCCCATGCACCTCGAGGTCTTTCTGATTCCGAGGACGATAGTAAGTGGGATGATGGAAGCAAATGGAAACCTTGGTCAGGGGCATACCAAATAAGAAAGCCAAATCTAACGGAATAAATGCATAAAGCACAAGGCATAAGCGAAGAAGAAGAGATAAGGAAAAGGAAAAGAGACTAGGGCCCATTAACCATCATACAACCACTACCCTCAAACGTCCTCTTTGGTCATTACCATTGGTAGATGTCGTCCCTCGTCCGATGACCGGCAAAACCCCCGAACGCCCAATCCCGAGTCCATTTATCTCCCAACCACAATCCCTGACCAATCTTATTTTTTTTCTTTATCCCCGGAGAACCTAATCCCAGTAAGAAACAAAATGATGGATACCGCGTTGGACCGGAAAGAGAAAGGAAATGGAGTAAAAAAAATAAGAGAGGGGGGGGGGAGTTGGGTATCATCACCGTAAACACCCGAACGCCGTGAAAATGCATCTTCCCAAATCCCAAAATGATGGTTGTGCCTAGAAAAGCCGACAAACTGTTGCTAATCGTCTAAAACGAATGTGACCCGATAAAGCGCGCACAGGATGTATTGCATTGCTAGTCGAATGCTGCGCGTTGCAACAAGCTGGTCTTTTCTATGGCGATTGAAGACTGAATGAGATGACATCAAGGGATGCAAGTTGATGATGCTATTGAGGTCGATGACTGAGTAGCGTTCTTGTGGAAGAATCAATGAATCATAGATATATATGTCGTGCTTTATTGGACAATTTGGTGATTTGGTGTCAAGAATCCTCGTAACCAGTCTGCTCGCTCGCTGGATGCAGAGCATCAAGCAAGACTGCTCATCGTACCCAAGTTATGGGAGTTAGTGGCGATCGAAACGCTTCGACTCATCATCTACGGTGCGGTCAAAGCCGTCATATTGCTGAGCACCGGCAGGGGAAGACATATAGCCGGCGTTATGACCTTGACCGTTGACAGGATTGTAGGTGTTTCCATAAGGACCTTGGGCGCCAGAGGCCGAAGATGTGGCCCCCAGATTGTAGGCGGCGCCGAAGCCGCTCTGAGCACCGCCAGAATAGCTACCTCGACCAGCGTTATAGCAAGCAGCAAATCCTCCATGAGCACCCGAAGATGCATTTCCCCCCGTGGCGGAAGAGTAGCCATTCATATATGACGACGAGGGCTGGCGTGAGTGGCTAGCGCCGGTACCGGGAGTTGACGTGGACAAAGGCGGAAAAAAAGACTGTGGAGAATAAGAAGTCGTCGGAGCTTGGTGCTGCTGGTGATAGGATGCACCTTGAGTCCGAGGAGCATAGCCAATCTCAGGCCACTGAGGATAGGCAGTCGAGCTAAAAGAGGGGCCGTGAAGGACCTCCTGCTGCATACCGTTGGTAGAATGATCATAGCCCGTGGCCGAAGTATTATAGGTCACGGTGTTTTCCCAGGGAAGATTGGAGACATCTGAGAAGGTTCGTTGATGAGAAGGGCGGGTATTGGCAAAGGAGCCAGTCGCCGCAGAGTTGTACATGTTGGATCTGGGAGCCGGAAGAGGACCATTGGCTCCAGCACCATACCCGCCGTACGACAAGGATGGAAGATTTGAGCTGGTAGATGGAAGGGTCCGAAGCGTGTCTGGACGTTCAGCAGCACGGCCAACGTAAGTACCGAAATCATCCTCGTAGGACTCGTCCTGATAGTTGTCCCGACGTTGGCGCTTTGCATCGTGGCGAGAGGCGTCGTTGGGCTGGCTTGAGCGCCGGGAAGCATTAGCATGGCGGCGGTATAGCCCGGCAGAAGGATTCTCCAATGACTGAGTCCTTCTATGACCCAAATCTTTAGAGGTGCCCTTGGAAACTCGTCCAGTACGAGGCTTTGACCTCGGCTGGGACTGATCTCCCGAGATTTTGGGGAGAATCTCAATGTCCGGAATCTGAGTAAGCTCACCACTGTCCAAACGAACCTTGATCTCGAGGATAATGCGGAGAATGTCAATGGTCGAGTAGCCATCGCGGCACATCTCCAGAAGCCAGTCAGGAATCTGGCTGGACCCACCGCTCGTGGCGGGCGTAGGCACGTCCAGATCATCCATTTCATCCTCATCGTCCTCAACATCCTCGTCATCCTCAAGCTTGCGCTTCCTAGCTTCGTCGATACGCATTTGCTCGCGACGGCGGGGCTGGAGACTCCAGCTCTCGACGATGCCATTTTGAGGGGTACCACCCAATCTGTTGCTTTCGCTCCAGTTCTCAATACGGAGAACCTGGAAAGCAATGAGGCGGATCAATCGCTTGTTGTACTCGGTGGTGTTCCGATAACGAGCACGCTGGTAGTGCTTGCGGCACATCACGATCCAAACGTTTTCCGGAACCTGGCGGGTGCATTTTTTGTTTCTCCCAAAAAAGTGGGAGAGTGCCTTCCTCCAGGGTATTCTGGCAGTATTACTGTACAAATTACAGTTATCCATAAACTTGCAGACGGTGCCCACAAAGATATTGATTTCCTTTTCCAGTTCGTCCTTGTCGTGAACAAACTGGGCAGCCACCTCAATGACATGGCGGCTAATGAAAACCACGCGGTTGGGACCGGCATAGACTGGGTGGCTCCAGTCAATGGCGTTGATGATCTCGGCAACGGAGCGGCCATGGAGGCCAATGGGGGGAAGCGGCTCATTGAGCTGAACGTATCTAAAATTGGGTGGGGCAGCAAGTCCATAAGGATGGTTGACTTGGGTATTTGCAACATCTTGAATGACCGAGTTGGCTGTGGGGGAAACATTGGCAGCTCCCTCTTCGAGATCCTCAGCAGGGGTGTTGTCGTGTCCATTTGACAAGCCAGCGGAGGCAAAGTTGTGAAGTGTTGTAAGCGCGTCTTGGCGACCTTGACCTGAGGTGCCGGCGACATTGTTTTGGGTGAAGCGAAGGTTGCTCAGACTGCCAATGCCATTGTTAGCAACTGTTAACCTAACCAAACAGAGTAAAGGGAATTTGTTGTCTGGACCAAGGTGGAGATGTTGTGTCGTGAAGGAAGCAAATTCAAGATTGAGCGTGGGGGGCTTGTGGGGCGATGAGCGGGAGATGAACAAAGCCGCATCCCGTGTTACAAAAATCTCCGATAGGCTGTGATGATCTTGGCTGACGGGAATTTTGTGGGGCAGTGCAATGAGTTCCGCGCTTGCAGGATGCCAAGACACTCTAGCTCAACGTACAGCCAACTTTGGAGAGGAATGTTGGAGGAAAATAGAACAAAGACAGAGAGAGAGTATGACCAAGGTGTGGACATCAAAGAGAGTGTGAATGGGACGTGAGGATGATGATGAGGAAGATGAACGTTGGAGCCCGCATGCAGAGGTTTAGCTCTCAGGTTGGAGTGTAGCCCATATATTATATCGCATGCTTCGGTCAGAGTCTTGAAGTTGTGGGGTGATTCACGATCTCATCTCTCGTGATGGGATGTGCAAGACATGGGATCGTGTGCTGCTCATTTGGGGCTTACGGTCTGATACCATGAAGAGCATTGCCCCGGCTGGCTGGCACCGCGATCCCGAAGTTGTTGACTTGGTGTTGGCATGTCTGGACCGATGGATGACCTGCAGACCGATGTCTCTAGCTGGGCTTGTTGATCCAAAGCGGTGGTTGACCCGCTTACCCGATCGGGTGGTGCTACTGGTCCTGAGTGGTCGATCTGAAGGATAAACATCAAAAGAACCCCGCGTGCGGGTCCACATCACATTCCGCTTCGGGTGTGCGGTCTGATGTTTGGGAGGGGAGGGAAAAAAAATACACTGTCGCGGCACACCGCAAAAATGTATAGGAACAACGACACATGATTTCAGTGTGAAGGGGGCTTTGTGTATGTTCTGGAGATCATGCTTGTCGAGCCAGACGCTCCACCTGACAATGAGTTCTGGTCTCGCGATCTGAAGTTTTCGACCTGAGAGCAAAAAAAAAAAAGGCTTTGTCAAGGCTCCCCGCGAAACTTATATGGGATCGACGACAGGTGGTTTCAGAAAAGGGACTCTGGGTAACTTCAGGGGTATGTGCATCTCAAGCCAGGAACCTCATGTCCTTCCCGAGAAGAAGGGTATCTTAATGGTCTTGGAGGAGGATGGGAATAGCAGAGATCAAAGGACTCAGCAATGAAGCCGAGAAAAACGCAGATAGACTCACCCGTTGCTCATGTTGCCGTGCCTACGGATGACCACATCGGTAGGCGACTCGGGGCGACGATCATCCCCAGTCAGGTCAATGGTATCATGAGTGCCATGTAGACGGCGGTGGTACTCCTCCCGGGGTACCTCTTCAGCCATCTTCTTGGAGTTGCTGTCGGAAGAGAATAACGACCAGTCGTTGAAGGAGGATGTTAACGGTTGTAGCTCGCTGACTGTGGATAGAGAAGAGATGCGAGAGTGGGATCCGGAGCACGGTGCAGATCCGAAATTGAGTGAGGATGTTGTGGAGGAAGTGTAGGAGGAAGAAATCGAACCATGAGAGAGGGAGTATTTATGGGCGGGAGAAGTTGGGCTAATCGAGGGCCGCGTTTCTGTGGGCGAATCAGAGCAAAAGGTGGGGAGCCTGCTGCGAGGAGATGGGATCGTTATTGATTTCGCAGATGCAGTATCTATTGTCAGCGGCAATGAATAGCCTCCCGCATCCCACGGGGTTCGATGTCGCCTCAGCGACCGCGCCCCACTCCCACTCATTCTCCTTGCCGGGCTGCTGCCATGGGATGGAGGGGTTGGCATTGTCATTTGACCGGTTGTTCTCTCCTCAGTGGCCATCGTCAATGAGCTGGCACTGGGATCCTTTGTGCTGATGATGTTTGGTCCCGAAGATGAGACATTCAGGAGTGCGTTGACATCCATGGTGCCTTACTGTGGCTGTCAACTGCTGCTTGCCTGAGAGCCACGTCGAGACCACTTCCTTGCCAGTGATCAAAGACTGAATCGTCGTTTGTTTTGACAGTGAGAACGTGTCTGCAACACGACACTCGAGTACAGACAACACTCGGCTTGGACACAAGGTCCCGAGTTGACGAGTCCTTCGGGTAGAGAGTTCTTTCGTTCCTCAATCGCCTCTGCCGCGATGGTAAGACAGCCACTTTAGTGGCCTTCTCATCAAGCAATCGTGACCAATGTCGGCTTAATTCCACAGGGCCTCTCTCGCCTCGACCGACACGACGTCTCTTGCGCTTCTCCTCCAAAAATCACAAGATACAGACCCGGATAGCCAGGAGCCACAACACAAAGTCGCGAACGCCGTGGAATCTTCACGCGCTTCTCAAGTCAGTCACACTGCAACAAGCCAATGCATGAAACTGCAAGTTCTAACATAAGTTGGCAGTGGTATTGGACACTCAAGGGCTCAACATTGTTTCCGAAGCAGAGGACTACTTAGTCCTCAGTTCTATGTCGACAAGAATGATGCCAGCATGCACATCACTAGTGTAAAAAGCCAGACTGCAAGCGCGGGAGCAAAAACAAGGGGTCTCATTCACCTTCTTGAGAATCAATGATATTGGTTCCTCTGCTAAAATGTATCCGTTGAAGATGCAGCGAAGCAGTCGAAGACTGGGTCAGTCACTGAAGAAGCCGATAACGATGTTTCAAGTGCAAAGAGCGTAGTGGAGAGGAAGTGTTTCGTCATTCAGAAAGCGCCAGCAGAAACGGGAACTGAATGGCAGTGAGGCGGGTAGATCCTCGCGACTAAAAGCCGGAAGCTTGTCAAATAAGAGGATGCAACAAGCTTTTGATCTTGTCGATAGCAGGCGGCGTGGAGCCAGTGGGATCGACGTCTGAGACGATAACTCTCCGCACTGACGATGACGGCACCCGTGTATGTTCCAAGAGCACGCAAAAGCACCCCCAAAGAAGCACAGAGCCCGGTGTGACTAGACACAGCCTTCCGGAAGAAACACAGAGCCGGCGACAGGTGCGACTCGTCTATAAAACAAGTTAGCTTCGGATCGATTGCAAAGCGTGGCACACTTAACCTGTGCTGGCAGCCACGCCGGTGCAGGTAAGGAACGGATCCCTGGTAGAATGCCAAACAGATTCGCGAAACGGGTGCAGGAGTGGAAGTTTCGTTGCTTACCTGTTTCGTTTCTCAGAAACGCTCAATGACCTCTTTTTTTGTTTGGGATCCGAAAGTCGATGAGGTACTTCTTTCCCCAAAATGGTCCTTGCAAGCAAGATGCAGCCTGCCTCACCGCTAAAACCTAGGCTAGGAACAAAGATGCCTATACCCTCTGGACTAGGTAGGCTTTGGGTAAAGATAGCTATATCTGCAACTGAGTTAGACAATGATGGACACGGGCTTTTCATTCTTTGCGGAGGTCGAGTGCTCACCAGATACCCAAGAAAACTTAATGGCCTTGTTGTTTTCTCAAATCCGTTTGTTGGTCTTAACTCAATAGCACAAAATTGGACGCAAGCTGGAGTATCCTCTGATGACAGAAAGATAGGATGAAGGGGGTCAAGAAAGGGTGCCAAGCAACAGAAAAGGAAAGACGAGGTCCCATGCACATTAACACTGGATGGACGTCAGACCGTCATCTACGCCGCCACACGAATCGACGGCACAGTTCCTGGACAGTGCATTTCGTTCACTCATGGGCTACGGACGAGATGGCGAGTATGAATGCTGGGAAGTCCCTGTAAGATCTTCAACAGCGCCCAACGGCGCTTGCCGCAGTTGTTGAGGATGCTAATACAGACCAGGGTAGAAAAAGATGGCAGGAGCCCGTGATGTGTCAGATCAGATCAGGGGTGACCCAGACTTGCTCATGGGAGCAAAAACCTCCGGCAACGTAGGAGCTCGAGTGAAGGGGGATGACAGTCACTGACTGATGAATGGCAACGGCAGTTGGTCTAGAGTCGCATCCAAGACCAGACCAATGTAACATACGAAACCTGCAAAAGACGACCATGACAGGTTGAAACCATCAGCTGCTGATCATCGATGATAAGGACATGGGTTTAAACAAAGTTTCGATTCAGCCCAAGGGGAAAGGATGCAACCATCAAGTTGGCACAGCCGCGCACTTGTATGGCGATCAGATTTGCTACCTACCCGCGGACGGCGGAGCAGATCGTGGGTCGGTAAACGGGAATCGGGCATACGACGTCAACCTAATCTCATTCTTGTTGGCCTGTTGGAGGACTGTGCCACGGCATCTCGCCGTGCATGGAGCTCGTTCGCAGACAGTGGCCGCCCACTCTTTGTGAGCACAGGCAACTTGCTTGAGCTTGTTCCCCTTTATATCCCAGCTTTTGAGAGTCATTGGAGCTGGTAGTGGAACACCTCAATGGGGCTGTCTCACAAATTAGAGACCTCTTCCAGCAAGACAGAAGAAAGTCACTCAGCTTCCAGGCGTCCTGGGTTAGGTGCCATAAGCGTCAGAGATGGCAAGGCACAGGCTGCACAGCATTCTATGTCAACCTTGAAGATAGGTACTTTAGAAGCTCGGTCAGATAACTGAGATCAGTGTATGCGCACCAATGAGCCTGCGAAATGGTGACCCCACGGAGAGAAATATGCTAGACCCCGCAGCGTGTATGAGGCGCAGCCATTGCGAGATCGACGGCATGAAACATGCTGTTTGACTATCCGTTGGGTGGACTACTTGGATTGATGCAAAGGCCCATGATGAGAAGCGCAGAAATGCCTACATTGGGATCGGAAACATCCATTTCAGCTCTTGAATGGCCAGCCCTGTCTTCGGGGGAAGGACTAGAGTGAGTTTAGCTGCGAAATACATCCTAAACAAGGCATTGTTTCGCTATCAGAGCCAAAAAGGAAGAATATGCAAGCTTGCAATGACAAAGCCACTTCACAAAGCTTGTTTCTTTCAGTTCGATTTGAAGCAGGATGTGTTCGATCATCTGCAGCCAACTTGGTGCGCCACGTCTGGTTGGCTGTTAGTGAGCAGGTCACTTGAAGCAGTTGGGCAGCGATAGATGTTACTTGCTTTAAGGCCTGCTCAATAAAGCTGTTGGTACTTTCCTCTGTTGTAGGCTCTACAGAGGGAAATTAAACTCTTTGAAATATTATCTTTTATTTTTTATAGTTTTGCTATTTGCTGATTGCAATCTAGCAGAATCAAATACGGAGAATGTTAAGTCTCGGTTTTTTTTTCCGGGCGCACGATAAGGCAGAGATTGGCAGGTACTTCCAGAGTTAACACCGAGACAGAGCGTTGGTTTCAGGTGCTGACAGGGGTTAAGGCAAGAGCCTTGCCAAGACAAAAAAACTCAAAATCACTTCGGATCCACAGCTGAGGACCAAGATGGATGCAAATTGTACAGGATCGGCCATGAGAGACTTTGTGCACGATGGCTTCAAGCTCCAGTTCTTCGTGCGATTTCAAATAAGCCAGTATTCAACCACTTCCAAACCCATGGGATGCTGCAGATACACATCACCAAAATGGCTTGCCAAGACCATAACGGTAAGCGAGGTGTAAATGTGACTGCACTGGTTGTCTCAAGCTACGGAGTGCAACACCTTCTGATATCTATTCTTACTGCTCTTCACTTTACTCGGCCCTTGATTGTTTCGGCGAGGGTGGATGAGTATCAACAGTTCAGTTTACTCCCCAGGCTCTGATCCAAGGTTAAATTCTTCGCTATGATTCCATCCTGGCCCCAATTTTTCTTAATATTTGTTTTTTTCTTTTTGTACTGCTGCATACCGGCTAATTTGTGCAGCCTACATCACTCTGTTTGTCTTAGCCCAGCTGAGTTCTGCCATTAGAGGTAATTTGACTGTGTGTGCTCAAACATTACTAAAAGTTGATCACAAGATGCAGCCGATATAAATGTCGATATTTACACGCAGTATGAGCAACCAGAGCCTAAGAGGAGGAGCGACTGGTATGAGTTCCAGTGTGCTACAAGCTTGATCTTCCTATTTGTATCACTCTAGTTCCATGAGAATAGCGAATCAACACTGTTCATGTTTTCTCTCACGTCGACACATATAAAAGGTTCCCTGAAAATCCCCAAATTGTCCTGAAATGGAAACCTGGCTAAAGCATCGACCTCTTCCCACTCAGCTTCATCCCCCCCTCTGTTCCGTTAGCATGTCACCTTTTTCACTTGTCTCAGAAGTTTCTAAGAGATTTTTGATACTGGTTCACTTTCGTTACCCCTTAAACAATGAAGCAAGTGTGAATCTTGAGTTAGTAACAATTCTCTAAAGGAGATAACGCTTTCCGATTAAACAGTGTATTAATGTCTTGGCAGGAAACATCTTTCAAGCTGGTTTTGAACAATGAAACCTGTCAACAGCCTGTCACTCTTTAACGAATGGCAAGAATTAAGAGTACTCCAATAAGAATGCAACTTGCTATCATCCTTATTTTTCCTGTATGCTTAGTGGAACCACTTCCAAGCTTTGGCAGGACGAGATAGGAGGGCACTTCAGCTCAAGCATACTTGTAACCGAGAGCAAGTTCTCTGCTTCAGAGCCTTGCAAGGATTGGCGCACAAATGTGATAGTTACCTCTACTTTCCCATATTTCTTGGCTCTGGGGAAAATAGCTCAGACAACCTAGACGGCCGCCCATGCTTGGGTCCTAAAACTTAACCACATCCCATGTGGAAAGGTCCCAGAAGTAATGCCAAGACTTCGGATGGTGTATGAGCTGATAGTTTGGTTAATCCTGAACTTAGGGTAACTCGGACTGTTCCGATTCCATGGACACGGTTCACAGATTCAGATGATGCGTTCAACTGGATGGAACTGAGACTTCTCAAGGTTTTCCAATTCTAGCATCAGCCATTGTCCTCATTTCTCTTTGCGAGTCTGAGTCTTTCCAACTATTGGATACACAAGAAAAAGTAAGCTTATGAAAGATTTTATTGATTTCCCAGGCAAGGCACAAGCTCTGCGCCACTTGTGCCACAGGACTCTAAAAAATCGATATGATGTTGGACAGGCAGCTGCAGCGTTATGGCTAGGGGTTCTAGAACTTCCCACATTAGAAACTTACCAGGTACCAATGTAACTGTTCTCTCCTCTTTTGCTTAATTTTCCGAAACATGCATGAGTTCATCCATTACTGAGAAAGCTCTGTCATACCCTCGACTTCAGTGAGTGTCTCCTGAATTCAACCTGGCGAAATATGTGTTATATCTAGCATCTCACAGATCAAATGCAACGGTTACCCGTGCAAGATATATAGAGCACTCAAAGTGTAACCATCCTATAGATGAAAGCCTGTCCTTCCTCCAACTTGCCTCATGGATTCCTGTGTCGAATAACAACAAAGACGTGGCTTCTGTTCCCCGAACAAGAAGATTTCCCGAAGGTGGTCATGTAGGATGATACGAACGCTTGTTGGTGATTCCAACCGTAGGGTGCACCGCTTGGATGTGGCAAGGAGGATATGGCCCAGGCAGACCAAGTCATCCAATGAGCATGAGTTGGTAACAACCGACCCAAATGTCAACTTGGTTGAGGATGATGCACGTTGCTCATATCCAACAAAGCTTGGAAGTAGCATGACACTTGGCTCTCCAATAACGGTGTCTTTATCGGCAGGTTGAAAGCTGCTTGGACTTGGGTGAAGGGGCAATTTGAGTCTGCGGACATTTTGTTTTGGGCCCAAGAGGCCAGAAGTAGAACCTAAAAGTAGAAACAATCAGAGCTCTGGGCTGGCGACCATGACGACATTGAAGCACCTATCAGCAGAGTCAGAGGGAGCAAGGTAACGAAGACCAGTGATTTTAGAAAAGGACCCAGTACTGTATGAAGTATCCAACCCAGAACGAGCTCTAGTGCTATATATCCAGAGAACCGCAAAACGGGAACATGAAAAGATCCTCCCACTCAATGTACAAAAGCCCCATCATTACTTTCATCCCCTCAGGTATCATGGTATCACAACCTGCTCGGCTTGCGCATTATCCCAACTTGACACAATTAATGGAACTGCTCCTCCGTCACACCCTTACCCATGGCAGCAGTGCTGCTCACACCGCCCGTCACCATCTTCTGCAGCTCATCCACGTAGTTGGCACCGCTCCACTTCTGATGCTTGACAACGTCGACGCCCTGGTCCATCTCGGGCTCCTGGACCATCTCGCCGTAGGCGCGCATGCCGCGAGCCGCGTAGGCCTTGGCGAACTGGTGGCTGATGAGGGCGGTCGTATGGAGGCCGGCCAGGGTGATGAACTGCCAGCAGTAGCCGAGCTTGGCCAGACGGCGGATGTAAGTCTCCTGGTCGGCGGGCGACATGGCCGCTTTCCAGTTGAAGGACGGGGAGAGGTTGTAGCAGAGCCTGGGAAAGATCAAGTCAGCATGTTGCCTGAGACGACAGAAAGGAAAGGGAACTCACTTCATCTCGGGCCAGACGGCGTGGACACCCTTGGCGAACTCCTCAGCCTGGGCATAATCGGGCAGCTTGCTCTCCATCCAGATGGCATCGCAGTACGGGGCGTACGAGATGGCGCGGTTGATAGAGCAGTCGCAGCCGCCCTTGAGACGATAGTAACCCTCACGGGTACGAGGAGCATCCCAGTCGAAGAAGATGTCCTTGCCGAGGAGGCGACGAGCAATAGCGCGGGCCTCGCGGTTCGAGATCTGCTTGCCCTGGACAGCAGCCTTGTACTCGGCAGCGAGCTTCTCAGCGTTGGCGTAGCCGCCCTTGGCAATAGCCTCGAGAACGGCTTCATCGAAGCGCTTGAGGTTGGCCTGGGCAAGCCACTCATCCTCAACAGCCTGCAGGGCAGCGCCAGTCTTACCGGCGCGCTCAGCAGCAAGCATGAGGTCGTTCAGGGGCTGCAGGTTGGGGTTGGTGCTGCCGAGGATGAAGGCGTGGTCGCGGGGATCGATGGTGGAAGTGATAAGGGTAGCGGCCTCGGCGTCGGTACGAGCAATGACGACGAGGTCGTGGCCTGGTCCTGGTTAGTCTCCTGAGACATCACAACACATCGAGCGTGGGAAGGCTCGGAACATACCCATGATATCGGCCTGGGCACGGATGGCAACCAGGCGGTTGATGTGCTCCTGGATGGGGACGAGCACCTTGCCGGCCATGTGGCCGCACTTCTTGGTGCCAGGGGCCTGGTCCTCAATGTGGATGCCGGCGGCGCCCTTCTCGATGAAGAGCTTGGTGAGCTTCATGACAGCGGTGAGACCGCCGTGGCCAGTGTCGGCATCGGCAATGATGGGGCGGAGGTAGTCGACATTGGGCAGCTTAGCGCGCTGCTCCTTGGGGACCGACATGCGCTCTTGGCGCTGCTTGCGGTCGTGGAAGAGCTGAGCCATGAAAAGGTGGCCGACCTTGTTGGGGACGGTGGTCTGGAACGGTTAGCATGTGAACGCCAAGGTAAAAAGAGCCCTCAACTCACATAGGGGTAGTCAGCAAGATCGGGGCCAGGCTCGTCAGTGGACGAGGCGGTGGAAGACGACTGCCAGCCAGACACGTAGACAGTGTCGAGGTACTTGGCCATCTGGGTCACAGCAGTGGGCTCAAGGCAGCCGTAGGTGTAGCTAGCATCACGCTCCTAGAGACTCAGTTGTTAGCAGGAAAGCTGAATGGGCAAGATTCTGGCCACAAAGACCTACCGCAAAGCGCTTCTCGAGGATCTTCCACAGTTTCTTGGCCTGCTGGTTGCTGGCATACTCGATCTTGAGGTTGCCACGCTTGTTGACGATCTGCTCAGCGGTGAAGGGGCGCTTGGTGTAGCGCCACCTCGGATCGCTCCACCACTTCTTGACCTCCTCAACCTCCTTCGCGAAGAGCTCGTCCTCCAGCGCGGGATCAACCGCGGGGTTCTGCATGTTGTTGGCCGCCATTGTGTGCGATTTTTGTGTGGTATAAACTAGAAAGGGTATCCAACAGAGGGTGACACACGACTCGACGCAAAGGAGAATGGGGTTAGTGCTGAGGAGGGGCGGTGGTGGGATGGGGGCAGAGACAGCCGAGAGCTGGGGAAGAAACCTAGAGAAGAAAGGAAGGAAGGATGAAGGAATGAGAAGGGAACGGGTTCAATATGAAGGGAACAGGGAGACAAGACGGCCACAGATGACTGAGCAGTCACACTCCTCAACAGGAAACCGGAACGGGGCTAGGCCGGGCAACCGTCGGTGCAAGCGGAGCTAGGGACGGGACTCGGGAGCGCGCGTGCACGCATTTGGGCCTTCTGGGCCCTCTCTGGAGACTCTCTGGGTCTCTGGCAGCGCTGGCATGCATGCTCCGATAGCCATGCAGGTCCAGGGACGCTCGTCCAGTGTCGAGGCCAGGGAACCGGGATGGCTCTGCCATTCGGGAGAGATCGGTCTAGCGGCTATTCCCCTGTCTCCACGGCATCATGACTCTTGCTTACAAGTCTCACCAGTTTCTAAAACAGCAGCCATTGCCGACGCCTTGGACTGACGGACACCTTGATGAGTCGATAGCTGCGAAGGCCGTGCCTCCACGCCTGTCTGCGAGCCATTGTGTCTGTGTGGCTCACATTGGGCCCCAAATGAATCGTCGTAACGGTCATGGGAGTCATGGGAGTCACGGAAATATTGCAAAAAGTCAACACTTCGACCGCAGCAACAGGTCGCGGTCGTCGTCAAGTGTCAAAAACACTTCCCCTTGAGCCGAGCTAACGCCCTCCAATTGCTCGCCGCCCCTCGGTACCCACCACTCAAATTGCCGAGCCGGAGCCGGGAAGGGGGTGGGCAATCGAGGGACGGAGGGAGAAGGGGGGGGGGGGCGTGTGCCACAGTGTGGGAATCACCCATCTCTTCCAGCTATGGATGCCCGTGGATGTCCTTTTGGCTCTTCATGGTCCCCCAGATTGCGTTCGCTGCCAGTGAAGCAGGCGAATGGCCCCTCCCCCGCAGCAATGGGAGGGCGCATTTTCGGGGAAGATCCAACGTTGCCCATGGGGAAAGGGAAGGGTGATGGCCGTCATCGAATTCCCTTCGACCTGGGACAGGGCATTTCCAGGCTTGTCAATGCCAGCGACGGTCATCGCGACGGCAAACGGCCACGGACCCAGCACAGCACGCAGACCTCCAGAGGCAGGTCAGGATTTTCTCAACAGCAATCGACAATTGCCCGTGCATCGGGCCAAAAGCCATCCCTGGTCATCCAGCGCAAAAGCGCAGAAGTGCAGAACCCCACCTCTGGCATGTGAAGGTGAATGGATGCGTCATAGGCGCACCTCCAGACTCGGCGGCCTGGCGACACACCCAGCCGTCCAGCATCAACCGCACGCGACTGATCTTCGTTGCGGCTGCCCTTCCGAGAAAAGCCGCCTTTGATTGGCCAACCTCCCCTTGGACCGTTTTGACCTCGGCTGCGGCTGCGCGATCGCGACCTCGAACATCCGACGCCATTCCCGACCCGGCTTGGGCGCATGGTGCGTCTAGCGGGGGCGCACAGTGTACAAGGCACTTCCTTGACCACTCGGTCTTCGCAACCGCGAGCCTCGTTGAGCGCGGGCGAACTTCGGTTTTCACATGTAGCTCGGGGTCAAGCGCATCGTCATCATCAGTGATACAAGACTTTTCCATGACTGTCAATGAAGTGAATCAGTTGAGGTCAGAACAAGGCACATGCATTCGGTAGGTAAGCACTTTGCACGAGATGAAGAGGGAGAATTCGGACCAGCAAAATGAGGAAGGAGTTCACCTGAGGGCTCGGAGACATCAAGACAAGCTTTTTGAAAGAACTAGCCAAAATAAACCTGGGTATCTTGAAGTTTAACCAACCTGTCCAGTATGTGGGGTTGTAGACATCATTAGAGTTCATCGTCCTCGTCGTCGTCAGAGAGGAAGATCATTGTCGTCCGCCGCTGTTCTGTCTTCTCCATCCTGACAGCTGGGGTTGGAGCCTTTGAACTGAACTCCTCTGTATCTGCGACTTTCTTATCTTGCACCTCCGCTTTTACGCCCTTTTGCTTAAGCGACCCCTCCTCTCTCATCTCTCGGTTTCCTTGCACTGTCGCATTGGATCCCTTATTCGAGTCTTCTTCCGGCTTCTTCTTTGCATCCTCAGTCTTACCGTCTTTTACCTCCCTTACGTCGCCACCGGCCTCATCTTCAGCTTTCATCTGGGCCACTTCTTTCTCTAGCACCTTGACTTCCCTGATCTTGTAAAACAGATCTAAGCAATTTCGTCTCTGCTCTGGACTCCAACTCTCTACTACCAGCGCAAAATCCGTGGCACTCTCGAACCCAAACTCTTTGGCCATACTACAGAACTGCCGGAGCATCACATCTTTTGGGGGCTTAAACCTGTAGTGCATTTTCCAGGGATAATTAACATCCCCGCCGCCATGCCTGTCAGGGATGCCGGGACTGTGATGGACAGCCGTGAACAGTGCGCTGTCGCCCTCCAATACATCCGCAACTAGCTCGGCCTTCCGAGACAGTTGTGCTTCTACGCGGCTGCTGCCGATTACTTCCGAGTTCTCGTGCGTGTACTCGACGCCGGCCGATGCAAGGATCGCCGCAATGGCATCGGTCCGGGGCTTGGAGGCCTTGCGGGCCCGGATCAGCTCCTCTTGATTTTCGGCGGTCAGCAGCTTTGCCAGCTGCGCCATGCCGCCGTGCTCATCATCGCGACTGTTGTCCCCATCCTCCTGCTTGAGGAGGCTTAGCGCATCATCATCATCATCATCCTTAAGATTGACATCGATATCGCTGAGGAGGACACCCGCTTTTGCCTCAGCGATGTTGGTCTTGTTGACAATGTCACGCAGAACGACCTGATCAGCATGGAAACTGAATAGATTGTGGAGTCCAAAGATTTCACCACGGCGATGCTTGTCCTCCTGCACACCCTTGAAATAACGTCGCTCTGTTGAAGCGTTGTAGCCAATGTTGGCTTGCTGCTGTTTGTAGATTTGCCGTGCATAGACGATCTCTTCGATTGTGCCGGCTGAGACGAGACGGAACACGTCAACATCCCGCGACTGTCCGATCCGGTAGGCCCGGTCTTGAGCCTGCAGGTCATGAGACGGGTTCCAGTGCGGGTCGAAGATTACAACCTTGTTGGCGGACGTGATGTTGAGACCCATACCACCAGCCTTAGTTGAGATCAAAAAGACAAACTGCTGTGGGTCCGAGTTGAAGTCATCAACGGCCTTTTGGCGATCCTCATAACTCAGCGACCCGTCTAGAAAGCTCACATTGTAGCTGGTATTTTGAAAGAGACATTGCAGAATGCGCAGCAACCGAACGCTGTGAGAGAAAACGAGCACCTTATCGCCGTTTTCGTGCCAGAAACGCAACAATTTCCGCAAAACTTTCCACTTGCCACAGAACTCTGGATTTGCCAGGTTCACCATCGAGTCCCTGTTGCGGTACATTTCCTCCCACCCTTCCGGCAAGCATGTTCGCAAATTGGCAAGTTCCGTCTCCTGTTTGTCCCGAGGGTCTCCCGTTGTGGGCACAAGGAGCGTCAGATGGTTAGCAATCTTTTGCAACGTGACGATTGATGGAAACACCACGCTCCTCCACGACCGTCCATCTGGCAATGTCTTATGGCAACACCAGCCGCTCTTACGGCCTGAACCGCAGTCGCAGGGATCCGATGCTGAGATGATGTATTCGATCTGTTCACTGTCCAAGAAATTTTCGTAGGCTTCTCTCTGTAGGGTTGTAAGCGGACAGAAAACCACCTTGTCGGTTTTCTTAGGGAGTTGATCAGCGATGAGCGTCTTCATACGCCGCAAAAAAAAGTCTGGCAGCAGGTTGTAGACCAGCTTTTTGGCAGTCGACCTAGCCAAGCTGAGCTCCTTCAAAGTAGCATCATGGGATTGCCCAACTTTCAGCGGTTTCGAAATCGCATGGTCCCAGTCAGCACGCGTACCAAACTTTCCAGGGTTCGTCCAGTTCAAGAGTGTCCAAAGTTCTTCGTATTTGTTTTGGATTGCTGTGCCCGTCAACCCAATCCGACAGAGCGCGTTCACGCAGTTCATAGACTGTGTGGTTTCGGACTTGAGGTCCTTGAGTACATGACACTCATCGGCAACAACGCAATCCCATTCAACCGTGTTGACAGCCTGATGCATATTCTTGTAAGTCGTGTATGTTGTGATCATGATTTCAAGTCTGCCAGCCTTGGCCGCTGCGAGCACATCGTCCTTGCCTGAACCGTGATAAATATCAGCATGCCACCATCCCCACCGGCTCAGCTCGTTGTACCAGTTGCGGATCAGCGAGCCGGGGCAAACGATCAACACCCTTGGATACCAGAGATCGCCAGCTGCCCGGCGCATTTTCCGCATCCGTTTGGTGTCACGCTCGTCTCCCGTCTTGCCAAAGGCGGCTGCTAGAAAGGCAACTACCTGCACGGTCTTGCCCAGGCCCATGTCATCGCCCAAGATACAACCCTTCTGGTAGACGAACCGTTGGTGCAAGAACTTGACGCCGGCGATTTGGTAGTCACGGAGGTACTGAGCAATTGGGGCAGGAATAATACCGCCGGAGTATTCCAGCTCGATGTCTTCATAAGGGCGACAAAGCTTGATGCCGCTAGTCTCGTCGAATCGGGGCCGCACTTCGAGCGGCTCATCCCTTTCGTCATCCGAGAAGTAGATCTCAGAATAGTCAGGAGGTAGCTTGAGAGCAGCGTTGTGTAGGAGTTCCCTCTTCTGATTAAACTCGCGCCGGCGCTTCTGGAGGTAGTCGGGGAGAAAAGCATCGCAATCGTCGTCCGAGATGTTTTGCTTGTCCGCCTGACACTGGCCGGAGCCTTTTTTCCCCGCAGCCTGGCCCTTGCCAGTAGCACGTCGCTTGCTAGCCCTTTGAAGATTTGACTTCACGCTTTCTTCGGGTTCATCTTCGTCTGTCCAGGTGACCTTCTCTTCAAAATCAGCGCTGGGTTTGCGCTTCAGACACTTGCGCGCAGGCATGGGGGATTGGAGATCATTGACGGAAGACGCGGTCGCATCATCATCCAGTGTCTCGATATAAGTGCTTGAACTTCGTGACATTATGACTGCAATATCGCATGGCCGTTGCTACACTGGGAAGCAATTGAAGCCACCGGTTGCGATCTTGGAGGAAGAGGGGGAAAATATGCAGACACGACGCGTATAGGCGGGGAACCGTGTCGCGACCAAAAGGCGGGATCACGTGGTAGTGGAGCACAACTCAGCAAGGACTAGCTGAACCAAGAACTCAGCCAGACGACCCAAACTGTTTCTCCTTTTCTTACTTAAACATGCTGATCTTAAATTCTGAAGACGAGAATCGACTGAAAAAAATGACTAGAATTAACAAACATCTACGGCCGTCTTCAACGAGGGGTTCAATCAATCGCTGGACGGCTCGGAGCGTGTTGGCAATCACAGCACCAATCGCCAAGTGCCCTCCACAGGGAGTTATCAGGGATCACACTGATTGACGCTGATCCAATAAAAGGAACAGTTAGGCTCCTCAAGCACGGTATTTCAGCTAAGCTCGACTCAGGCAGAACACAACCCACGCAGAGCTTCATGTTGGGTAGGACTTCCCCTGCCTTTAAATGATCCAGGACCCTAGCCCTTAGTCAAGCGCCTTGTGATGCGGACGCCTTCTCCTTACCCTTACCCCTCCCTTCCAGACCCTGTCCATTAGGCTGATCTCCTTTGGAACTGTCTCCTCCCTCTCTCCTGGACCTATCATTTTCATAATCGGCCATGGACGGAATAACCCTCTTACACCATCCACACCAGCTCCTCCTCTCTCGTCGTACCTCACGCCCCAAAATCTCGCCCTTTATAATCTCATCAGGAAATTCAGGAACACACGCTCCGACCTTGACAGTCCTCACTATTAGCTTCTTCACAACTCCGCCAATGCCTTCAACTTCATGCCGTTCGTATCCAGGCTTAAACGCCGGACTAGGAGTGCGTCGATTGTCAAGTAAGTGGCTGCCGTTAAATGGAGGAGCAGTACCATTGAGTGTTAAGGTTCCCTCTGGTGGGAAGGAAGAGAAAGGCGACGACACCGAGCCATTTGAGATGGTGCTCGGAATCAGCGGATTGTCCGAAGATAATTGCTGCTCGTGCATGTGCTGTAACTGCTGGAGTTGCTGCTGCTGTTGCTGATACTCGGTGAAGGTTTGAGCCCCCTTGGCATCTTCGGCATCGCCATCGGTTTCCTGTTCACGCTCGCGGGCTGCGCAGCATTCTGACTCGCGCCCGCACGGGACACCGCGGTCTCCTTCTCCGATACCAGTACCGAGACCTCCAAGTACATTTGTGTACTGATGGCGCCATCTCCAAATACTGAATCTCGTTAACTCCGGGGATCTTGTCAGTGAAATAAACAGAATCTTACCTTTTGTAATCGCCATCGTCGCTACGGATGGACCTTCCACAAGGTTGACACAGCCAGACGCCTTCAGTACCACACTTGCAGATTGCCCTTTCCATGTCGTCTGAATTGACGGGTATCTCTGGCCCAAGAGGAGGCTTGACGAGAGATCCTAGCGAGGCATTTACACATGCCTGGCAAAGTCGGCGATGGCGGTCACGCAGGACAACAGGGGCCGGTTGCTTAATGGTACAATTCTGGTACGCCGATGAGCGCAAAGACTGGTAAAAATATAACCAAAGGCTGAAGTCAAAGACTTACCCGGCATACAACGGTGCCGCAGCGGCGACACTCGGACACAAGATCCCTCGCGCAACGGCCAGACTTGCCATTGTATGAACTTCTGCTGACGTCCTCCATGTACCACCAATTACCTGCACGGGCGCGGTAACGAAGCGTTGACTCTGGGTCTACGGGCAAATGATCCCAAGAGCAGCGCAGTGTTGAACCGATCAGCGACTTGCGGTATTGCAGCAAGCTTTGCCGGATCTGGTGGCAGGTACGCGACAGATTGTCAAGCGTGTTGAGGTCGATGGACGAAGCCACCGCCATGATGATACTGAATATGTGACATGGCAGTCAGTGTCAGCGCACCCTCCTGTAAGTTCAAACAACCAGAAAATAATGTGCAATTGACATCGTGCAGGGGTATGAGGTTAAAAAAATAGGGGTAAGAACCCAAATAAACAAAAGATGTTCAGTGAGGAAAGCGTACGGATAACAGCCCAGCGCCCGCGTTACAGCTTTGTTTTGGTTAGGGTTCTCTCTTGCAACCGACTCATGTCCACTTCGCTGGTTTGCCGCGTCTGCAGAGATGTTGACAACGTCTCCTGTTTCGCTATCTCGGATGGCCACCGTCGCAGGGTGAGGCTTCACGGCATCCACCCGGCCATTCCATGGACGATCTCCGTTCCTTTGGGCTCCATTCTCCTCCTCATCCAAGTCGACAAATACGGCCATTGTGGAAGATCCCGCGATATAGCGCTATTGGATATTGACAATTGGGTCAGGCAAGTCTCAGCGGTTGATTCGAATGATTGCTAGGTCCCCTGGCACTCTTCTTGTGTTTGATCAAGGATCGTCGCTATTTGCGTGTATGATATGGAGGACTTGATAAATAGGTGGACAGGAAGGTTTGTGAAGCTGATAAGAAGCGTTCGATCCGAGGTCACAATCTGCAAGCGAGATACGAGGGCCGCGGTCGAGGGAGAAACAGAGGAAAATATAGGATTAATAGCTTAAGAGAGCTCGTACGAAAGGAATCATGTTAACTTTCTGGATACCAAGAAATGGCCTTCAGAAACCTGAATTGAGCTTTGACACTGTCTTGCCGGTAGCAAGAGGCAGGTACCTGTCCTTGCTGGCCATCCTCCTACTCGCAGCTTCCATGTCTGTCGTGTGCGGATGGACATGCATCGATGTCAGCAAAACCACCCCGCTTACCGCAATGAGGGGCTCCCACCTACGGGCCTGGACCGGTTAAGCTCTTGGCGGGGAAGGCTGTGGCGCCACCAACGCCACCGGAAAGCCCCCACATAAAGGTGGCTGCTGCACCTTGGCCATGTGACATCTGGTGCTCTCGAGACTTCCGAGAATCCCCTTGCTTTCCTTTTTTATGTCTTCAGTCTGCCTTGTTCAGCTGAGATCATCCGCATGTTACTTCGTCACATTGTCATGTATTTGAAGAATTCGGACCATCGATAGCTTCAACTTCAACCGCCTGATGCGGGGGTCGTGACGCCTGTATCCTGTAAGCAGTTGAGGAGCAAGAAATAACTCGACCTGCGGCCACGTGGTGCAAAAGGAGGTGATGAAAAGGATGTGATGAAAGGAAAGGGGCTGCATGAGCAAGACCCAAAAGAGGAGACAAGAGGGAGGTGAATGGCTTGAGTGTGGTAGAAACAATGACCTGCAACTCAGATCGATAGATGCTCAACGTAGAGGGACCGCAAAAATTAGAGATGATCCTGTTATAACAGCAAGAAATATACAAGGTACAATTGATTGCATTATACAGTGAGAGTGGGCGAGCCAGAACAAAGATGCCAGCCGCCCAATCTCGTCGTACACATATCCCCTGTCTACCGTGACTTAGGTATCCGTAATTTGTGAGATACCAAAAAACCCTCCATGACACGATCCATCCCAAGGTGCGCGGAGAACACCTTTTATTCCAGCCAAATAGTACAGTGGCGGCAAATTGCTCTTCGGCTAGCCGTGCCGCTTCGGCTTTAACTTGTCCAAGGAGAAGCAAGGGCTCAACGTCCGCGAGCACCTGCAAGGCCATGTAGTGTGACAGCATAAAGATTGTCGAGTCAACAATGACTCGAGAACCTCCATATACCTCGATCTGCACTGGCCAAAGCATGAACGGGGATTGTTAACCTCTTAGACGTCCCAACTTCGTATAACTGAAGTTGTTTTCAAAGGAACAGCTCATAGCTCCCCGCGCAAGATCATTTCCTTCCGGATCTGTCTCTCTTCTCTTGCCGCCCTCTTCACAGGGCCCCAGCGAGCGCGAATCTTCTCCTCCCGTTCCCGTATGCGCTTAGCGTGTTCGGGAGTTGTCTTGCAGCACATCAGCACGAACAGCTTGCTGCAGTTGAAGCGGCGAGCAAGGCTCAAGACGCTATTCTTGATAGGATCCTCGGCGCGCAGCCTCCGCATCTCCTCAATGTCCTCCTTGGTTAAATGATGCCGCGGGTTTGACGGCGGTTGCAGATCCTGTCGCAGAGGGGGGATGTCCTCAACGTTGAAGTCTCCCTTCGGGGGGTTCATCTGGTCGTACTGAGTAAGTATATCGGCTGGATTGCTCGAACTTTGTGTTTGCGTTGATGCTGATGGTTGGGAGAAGAGCTCTGATGCAAGGGCAGCACGACGGCGAGGGTCGGACTTGGGAAGGAACTTAAAGGGAGTATGGTAAACTGAAGGCGCGGAGGAGGGAGGGTTGAAGATGATCTGGTCCGTATCGGGCTTGGTCAGGAACGAGGGGTGCGGGGGGATCCGGAGCATGCGGCGATGACGTCTCGACGTCGACGCATGACGGACTGTGGCCGGTACTCCGATGGCATTTGTGTTTGTGAAAAACAGCAGACGGGCTGAACTAGTCGTCGCTGCTGTCGCAGCGGGGTGGAGGGGATTAACGGCGCGGCTGGCGCAGGCGAGAGCCGGCCGAGAGAAGATGGCCTCCATAGCTTGTTTTGGTGTGATTTGGCCTTGATCCGGACTTTGACCTGAGCCTCAACGTTGGTGAAGAGCAAGAGGGTGCAATTGGCCGGCGGACAGGCGCTTCTCGAGGGTTATCGGGCCGCCGTCCAGCTCCTTCAGGCTCGACTGGCTACACACTGAGGCCGCGATGTTGAATTCAACTTTTTCTCGGGCATTCAAGGGCGATGCTGTCACGTGGTAGTCCGTGCACAGAGGGGTAAAGGGCCAATCAGAGTCAGGGTCGGTCTGAAGGCCACTGCAGCCCCGTCTTTTTTTGACGTCCAATGGCTCCCATTCGCAGCATCGGCGAAGTGGAGTTCCCTAACGGAGAGCGGGGACCGCAGCAACGACGACGACTTTATGTACCTGTGTAGACACGGCATGCACCACATATGCTCCATTTTCCCATAATCAACAATCCTGAACAATCTCCCCAAAGTCATACTTTCTCTCCAAATTGTCCCATATATCTTTCAAAGGTTGTTTCTCAAGGGACGGAGGATCCATTTCGAAAGGTCTTTCATTGAGACGAACGTCGGTCAACGTCATCAGCCAATCTCAGCCGTAGATGCCGCGATCTTGTCACTTTCTTTGTTGGAAGTAAGCGTCCAGCTCTCACTATTACTGTACAAAGAGATTAGAAGGCTGTTTTGACCATTGACGTATACAAACTGGCCATGCTCTTTGATTTACGGTTAATGGCTTGCAGACGTAGTTCAGGGGCGTGTTCCTTCGCTCAATTCATATGCTTATTGCAGCCGTGCCTCTGCCCTGCGCTGTGGATATACTAAGTAGGTACTCAGGCCCGGTGCTCATTTGCGCCCATCATTTTTTTTCCCCTATAAACCAATATATTCTCATTTGAGCAGTTCATTCCATCCATCTCTCTCAGCAATGGGAGGGCATTTGCCCGCCTTCTTGCCCAATCTAAAGCTGTTGTAACTGCGCATGTCCACGCCTACAATTTGACGCTATCAACAGAACTTTAGGAACCAGAAGATGCAAGTTTCAACGGGCTAATGGATGCATAAGACTGAAGCCCCGAGCTCGGGAGCCATTGCGACAGCTGTATACCGGACGGGCTTAGCACTGAACTTGGTTCAATCGATAGGCGTCCCTTCATGCAGGATTGGGGGATTAGGGGCACAGAATCAGGAACAGGCAACCTGTGCAGTCAGGGTTGCAGCGTGCCCAGTCAGCCTAGCTGTTGGCGCCTTAACAATTCATCCACATGCGTGTATGTAATTACTTGGTGACATAGGTCATCGATGCGTTGCTTGTGATGGGACAGAGTCATGGTTGCGTCCCCACGTCGTTTCGAAGCAACCTCCCATTTTTAACAACCTCCCAATCTACCAACATGCACCCGTTTCGGATGGCTTTCCGTTTTCGTAAATCTTGCACTGTTTTAGGAAATATTTGAGTGCTTGACATACTTGGTTGCCGGAGTGCTCAGCGCGTCCAGTTGGGTGTTCAGATGGCCTACAGAGAATTTAATTGGTTCGAGGGCGGCACAGAAATGGGAAAACCTTTTCTCCGTCCGTAGGCATAAGGCGCGGACTTTTTGGGCGCCGGAAGGGGCACCGGACCGGGGCCACCCGCAGGCGTCCCATGGGGTTCTGGTTAGCATACGAGGGTTAGGGTTGGCGTTAGAAGCGGAGGAAGCCAAGTCCAGTTCGTCGCAAACCCTCCGTTCCTCTCTCCGAACGGAGTGACGGGCGGAGTTTCCCAATTCAATATAAGTACAAGCAATGCCTCAAAGCAGGCTTCCACGAAGACGATTCCTCGCGTTCCTGTACGGGTGCCAGCACTCTCAACCTGGAGTGTCTGACCCTACGGAGGTAACGGAACGAGGGCAAAGGTCCTGGCCCAGCCTTCAAGATCGCCTTTGCCGCCTGCGATCCTCCAGTTTCAGCCTTGGCAGGCCCCTGTGCGCCATCGGCCAGTTAGCGCCTGGTGTAAATTATCTGTATATTTTATACCCCATCATGTATAATTAAAGCTTCAATACGACTCGGTCATAATGAACTGCACATCCTTCTTTTGTGCCCTTGTTGTGCAATTGCACAGACAGGAGGAGGTACCAAAAGGCAATGTAAGGTGAAGGTTCCAGAGTATATCATACCCTAAACGTAACATGGCTATATATAAGGCGCTGATGTGCATCGACCATTTGTGTAAAACCAAGCAGAAAGTTTCACCCTAATCTTCGTACATTCCTTGCTGTGTGATCGCTATCTGCGTGCTTGGTCATCGGGCCACTCATAACTTACTGTGTTGCCCTCTGAGGATAAAGCGGCACAACCAAGTCGAGTCACAAATAATCGCCGAGTACGTCATACCCCGCGCACGATCGCCGCATTTGCTGTGTTGCTGGCACAGCAAACTTCGTACACACAGAGTAATAGGTACTTCAACTTCATACTGGCTGTCATTGTGTAGCGTGCATAAATACGGACTTCTAGCCCCGCTCTCCACTTTCGCTTGTAAGCCCTCCACCAACCCTCTCTACTGCCCCTGTTCGCAGCCTGTTTTGTCACCACAACCTCAGGGGATCTGAACTCTCCATCGCTGCTGTGGATAGTACAGTGAACGCAGCCGAGGGACCGAATCCAAGTGCGAAAACACCGACGTAGACTGGAGCTGTCCTTTTCCGTTCCTCTGCGCATTCGTGGTCCATCGCACGTGCAGCTAGCTCCCAGCCGCCACAGCGGCCAAACCCGTGAAACCTGCTTGCAAACGATCAGATCACTTGCTCAGTCTTCTTCTTTGCGTCACACTCACACACCCAGCCCGCAGCTTCAAAGCCAGACGTGACAACCATCCTTCCCGCAACCATTGGTTCCAACCCTTAGCACTGCAGCCCTCTGACAGTGGCCGTCCATCCTTGAATATAACCGTAACAAATCACAAGGCCTTTGACCCGTCATACACACTATTTGGAGTTTTTCATGCATCCCTTGGCCGCGGGGCTGGCTACGTATCTGCGACAATACACCGGCGACAATAACTGCGGGCTCGTCAAGCATTGAGCGACACGACCTGTTCTCTCCTCCATCAACGTCGCTAGCCAGCACACCCTCAGTCTTAAGCTTAGTCGTGTTCGCGCCATGACTGCATCCGGTTCTGCGCCCTCGCAGGGCAGCCAACCCGCTCCCAAGGTGGCTGAGCCTTCAGGATCCGATTCTGGCACCGGCACCTCGACCGCACGTCCTGCTGCACCCGAAGCCGAGGAGAAGAAAAAGAAGCGCAGCCTGTTTGGCTTCGGCAAGAAAAGGGCCGAGGAGTCAACAAAGCCATCCTCGAAAGAAGCCGCAAAACCCACGAGCAATAAGCCCCCCTCTGCGCTCGCTCAAACGACAGCGACAACTAACCGGTCGACCGCCACCTCGTCTGCTCAACCTGAGCACCCATACTTCTCGCCCTCGTCTCCAGGCCGGCCCGGCTTCCCTTCGTCTCCCCGTATCTCTTCGCCAGCGAGCAGCCAGATTTTCGAGCGCGACGTACAAGAGACGGGCTCGATCCTCATTCCCAACTCGCCCGCCATCCCCTCCCATATCCAAACCGAGAACTATATCCCTCCTGTGCTTGACGCATCCTCTGAGGCTATCACCGATAATCACCTAGACCCAGACAACGTCGAGATCATCACGCATGCCTCGCACCAGCCCATCGGAGTCGGCCTAGCGGCCGCAACATCCTCCGCACTCAGCAGCCCGCACGAACCTCCCGCACACTCGTCCTGGACCGACGAGCTTGCCGCTTTTTCGGCCCGCCGGTACCCCGCCGACAGCGCCTCCAACTACGGCAGCCTGGCCGACACGACCGACGTGCGCCGTTTGAGCTTCATCTCCTTCGCCGACGTCGTGCAAGCCGAGCAGCAGCAGCTCCGCGAGCAGCTGAGCGGCGGCGAGCCAGGGTCCCGCGAGAGCACACATCTCATTGCGGGTCTGACTTCGCTGAATATCAACAGCAGTAGCAGCCCGCGGAATCGCTCGCCCTCTCCTGTACGCTCGCCAGTCTCTTCGGCCGGTAGCAAGTCCGGGTCTGTGACAGGCGTCGATCTATCTCCTCGGCTGCACCCGACTGTTCCAGCCGCGGCCGGGAAACAGTCCCTAGGCAGTCCGACCAATCTAGGGCCAGGAGGCTCGGGCCTGCCGCCTGCCCCTGTGGTTACTGGCGAGATCGCGGTTGAGACTATGGCGCAGGCGCTGAGGAGGACTGGGAGCGGAGACTTAAGCGGATATCCACATGTGGCGAGCGTGAGAAGCTTTCCCGTGAGCCCTATTTGAATCTTTCATGGAAAAGGTGGGTGGTTTTTGTTAGTAGCTTGTGATGATGCTGGATATATGGTATCATATGGTTTTGGGTGACTACAACACTTAGCCTTAAAATGAGCTCGGACCAGCGCGAATGGTTTTTGGCGGTACAAAGGATGATGGCTAAAGGCAGGGGTGGTGAGAGTGTTTCATACAAAGCTGCGTTGGAAGATGGGCGTACGCAGGTACTTTGTCAAAGTGGCAGAATTGCAGGATACCCAGCTGTTTTCTTGTTGCGTTTCTTTCTCTGTTGTCTGGCTTTTCTTCCTCAAGCCGACTTAGGACTGCGGCGGGCAGTGACTGTCAAGATGTATTCGGTATGAACTTTATTTGATCTTTTCTACTCTCTTATTCGCTTTGATAAGAGTAAATGCTGGGTGTTTCGGGCGCCTGCTTTTGTCGTCGCCACTTTATAACCACGTTGTCTTGGCTTGGTTCTTGAACTAACATTCGTTTGGCGTATGTGTTGGCCTTCAAGATAGAATACAATGTTATGTCGACACGTTTTATCTAACCTTACAGTGGTCCTCTCAGTTCCTATTTCCGCTTTATGTTATGGCGGCTCAATGATTGTGGTATATATCATTAGCCTTGGTCTGAGCTAGTGCTACTGGCTGGCTGGCAGGAAGTGAGGCAGAAAAGAGAAGCAGAAAGATGATAAGAGAAATCAACAGAGCCCATTACCAAGGCGTTGTTGTTAGTTCAACCTCGCAAGTCGTTGCCCTCACGAGCCATCTGACTGCGCCACCCTCAACAACAGCGGTAGTTCATGCTTCACGACCTGCTGGTCATCTTTACGGCACAATAGACAACTTTATAACCTTCTCGTTAACCCCTCTCTCCCACAGAAGCGGGATTCGAAAGCTGGTTGCATGGTGGTTGGCCGCACACCGTACCTGCCTTCTGGATCACCACAACCTGTGGCTCATGTGCAAGTCACCCACTTTCGAGTCTGGCTTCCAACACTTTCCCTTTCCTGCTTACTGGTCCTTTTTATCCTCCCAGTTCCCAATTTCAACATTACCAAATTGCCCACGCTTGTATTGAAACAGAAGGCCTTGTACTCTGCCCCCATCCCTTCCAACAAGGTACAAGTCCTACTTAGAGCACACTCAGTTGCAAAGATCCTGAGTGCTTTGGCAATTTGATCATCAACTACCGACTCAGCTTCTACTTGCAATCAAACACCTTGATTTACTTTCTTAAACAGCCATGCTACACTTCATTCAATGGCAATCAAACATTGGTTTCGGAGTAATTACAGAAGTCGCCCCGTTATCACGAGCACACCTGGGTGCATGCTCGAAAGATACGTTTACAAATTACGGCCGCACCGGCTGCTGATTATGATGGGCGTGAACCTTCAAATGGAATATAACCGTCAAGTAAAGCAAACAGTACATATTATAAGTATCACACTCCAGACACAGTTTGATATGTTGCCTTTGCCTGTCCATAGTAACGCAAATCCCTGTCCTTCATACACATATTATCATGTTCCGCCAGACGTCAAGACAAATAGTTGGTATCAAGGAATTGGTATTGACCCAAACTCTTACAAACCCCAATTTCATCAAAACGAGACCTTAGAGTAAAATATGATTATCAATATGTGTCACGAGGGCTCGTCATCTACGCTTGAGCCTTCTCTACGTGGACACAGTGCTAAGGAACAACAAATTCTTTTTAAGCCTGGCTCTTGTCCGACTCCTTAACGGTCTCAACCGGTACCGCAGCAGCCTGGTTTCCAAACTCGCCGGTCGGAAGCATGTTAAGCTCATCTTCCTGCTCATCAAGATGGCGGAACTGTATCCAGAACATGGTGCCACCAATGGCAGCAAGAACAGCGACAACGCCATAGTTCCAGATCAGGTTCGGGTCGTCGGCCAGGGGAGCCAGCGCGAAGCCGATGGCCGACGAGATGGCGTTCATAAAGAGCGCAACTGACTGGACCATGGAACGCATGTTCGCTGGAGCCTTCGAGTGGGCGTACTCGAGACTGGTAATGGAAGCCATGATCTCGGAGAAAGCGATTAGGATGTAAGAGCCAGATTGAGCCCACATGCTGATGTTGACGGGGTCGCAGTCGTTGGCGTAGTGGCCGCACTCAGAGCGCTTGTAAATATAGTATTGGATGACGCAGGCCCAGATCATGGCGGCGGAAGCGACGAAGTAACCGACAGTGATGCGCTTGAGAGGAGTCGGGTTGATACGCAACTTGCGGAGGGCAGGATAGACGACGGTGTCCAGGATGGGAATCATGATAATCAGAGCAAAGGGGTTAAGGTTGGTCAACACGTCGTTTGGAACACCATCAACACGCATGGTGGCAGCTTGGGATATGAGGTTGTTGTTGACTGAGAGAGTTAGTATTTTACATATAGATATCGGGACAAAAGTCCTTACTTTGGTTGTAGCAGATCCAAAAGAGAGGATACCACAGGAATACAGCGCAGGCATTGAAGCCACGGCGGACCTCGTCAACCCCTAGTCTACATTAGCACTGATATCCACTTCTTTTTTTTTTCTTTTGGTATAACTCACAAGCATCGTTGAAATCCATCCACTTAGGCCTGGTAGCATCGTCAAACTTGGAGGGCTTGACGTTCTCCCAGAAGGTTCCATCATGTAGCTGCTTCCATGTCTTTACAGGATTGAGAGACCAGCGGCCCTTATTGGCAAGCCAGAACAGCTTGAACGACTTGCCGAGGGTCGACGGCTGAGGCGGGACACGACGGTACCGGCGGCGGCCCCAGAGCATGACAAGCGGACAGAGGCACAACAGGATGGTAGGCAGGGTGAAAGACAACCAGAAGCCGACATAGTGCTCGCAGTAGACCATGGCGAGCTGGCCCAGCAGAGCGCCAATGTTGATGAATAGATAGAAGTAGTGGTAGACACGGGAGGCAGTAGTCGCAGGATCAACAATCACACGCTCGCCAGTGGGCAGCGTTCGAACCACCATCTTTTCCAAGTCAAGCTGCTCGACAATCAGAGGGTTGACGTTGGGCTTGAAACCGCCGGTACCGACACCGACCAGGATAACACCCAAGCAGAAAGCAGCAAGCGAGCCATTAGGGTTCTTAATAACAGGAGGGAGACCGCAGATGATGAAGAGAACATGGCCAATGATGTCGACAAGAAGGGCGGTACAGATGGTTCGGTAACGGCCAAGAATAGAGTCGGCAACGTAAGCACCAAACAGAGGCATTGTATACTGCCAGAACGAGTTGAAAGTCGTCAGGGAGAAGGCAGTGCGCTGGCCAAGGCCAAGAGCACCAGCTTGCCCATGGTTGATGTCACCGCTGGCGCCGGTCGAGGAGTTGGGGGGGAGAGGCTGTTGAATGAAGTTGGTAAATACGGCAGTGGTACCGTAGTACGAGAATCGCTCGCACAGCTCGATAAATGCGATAGTGTAGATGTTCAGCGGAATCTTGTCGGGAACACGACGCAGCGTCTGCATTTCTTCTTCAGTCGGTTCGCCGCCATCGGGCGTAATTCCCAGTTTATCATCTTCGGGACGAGAGGGCACATGGGCCAAACCGGCATCCTTCTCCTTCGAGATGGTTTGAACATCGTCGCCAGTGGCGACTTTGGTCGGTTCTGACGCCATGGGAATGCGATGGATGCCTTTTGCTGTGACAATCGGCGCAGGGTTGAGGAGATGGTCGCTTCTTACGCAGGCATGCAGAAGAGAAGGACAGAAAAAGCAGTACGACTGGGAGAGACGGGAGAATATAATGGTGCTCGGGCGCGTAAACACAGTTCCGTTCCACACGCAGCAGCTGCCGCAACCTGCCTACCATGAGGAGAGGTCCAGACTCACATGTGCCCATGCAACGTCCACGGTCCAACAATGGTGTAATGCATCCACTTGTTGCGACAAACATCAAGGGCCTGCAGTGTTTGGCGACCGATTGGCACGAGGGATGACCCGACCACGAGCAGGGCCAAATGTCCAGCTCTGGCAAGAGGACGACTCCAATGTCCTTCGATCTCTTGTCACCTTCCAAGATGGATCAAGGGTGCCAAGAGATAGTGGACGCGGGGATGGCGTGCCGCTGTTTCCGGCCAGTGATGTCCTTGCATCCCAGGGCCCAGAGCCTCCCAACCGGCAGCTGTGGGGGGAAGACGAAGACGACCATGCAATGGGCATATTTTTTCGGATTTGTTTACAAACAGTATAGGGAATGGAAGTTTGCTCCATTGAAGACCACGACGACAATGCTAACGGTTGAGGGTAGCGTTGTCTGATCTACGGTGCCTCTCTCTTTGTCTCCTGCATGGCGTTCATAAACTGCCGGACGGCTAAGTGGCTAGGCATGTCCCGTCGAAAAAGAAGCTTTTAGGCTCTAAAATCCCCGGCATCTCATGCCGTTCGACCTGCAATAGCCCCGGAACGGTGCAATGCTTGGCCATCGCCAGCGTCGCAAGCTGGGGTGGACCTGGGAAAGCCCGTGTTAGTTGAGCTTCCTAAAATGGATGCTTCCCCATGCTGTCGCCAGGCTTGGCGACAGCGATGATAAGTCACGATAGTGCCTGTCCATGTGGTAAGCCGTGCTTGGCGATCTCCTCCCCGCCGTTGCCCCGGGGTTGAAGCTCACGACTCCGGCCATCCTCCAGTACACCGTGGCTGTCATGACCGGGCAGAGCGATCCGGGCTCCAACAAGCTAGGGAGCGCCGCTCCGAAACCGCCCCCGTGGGATTTTCGTCGCGCCATCGCTGGATCGTGCTGGTGCGATTTCCAGAAAAGCTGTGGGACCATCCTTCGGTCTAGAAAAATTATTTTGGTTTTTAGGACGACGTATTTGACCCCTTCAATGTTTCTGAAAAAAAAAAAAGGCTTCTTGAGGATTTCTGAGGTTCATACAAGGAAGCGATATCAGCAGCTTCTATGTCCAAGCATGAGCTGCCCATGCAAAGAGCACCCAATGGCTTCCAGTCGATGATAACTGCAACTACTGCCCTCTGTCTCCGATGCTCGCATTGCGTCGGCTTAGGTCCTTGCCCTCCTTCCTTAACAGTCGCTGGTGCTCTTCGTCTGACAGTGGCCCACTGTCTGTGGCTGACAGCCCACCATGTCGCCCAATGATGTGGTAACCCGGAACATCCTGGTTGAATCTTTTTCCCGTTTCGATTGCCCAGACCGAGGTTGCGCAGCGGTTGACGACGTTAGATGCTGCAGCGATATGTTGCGACATTCTTCTGGCAAATCAGAATGCAGCCTGCGCGCTTATGCTGAACTTAGTATGAGCCTGATTGTCTATGGCTTCATTTCATTCAAGGACCTCTTCTTCTATCTCAGGCTTTAATCCTTCAGCCCCAAACTCTTAAAGTGAGGTTTATGTTCAAACCGGAGTTGTCGACTGCACGTGGAACGAAGCAAACCCCTTGGTCAAAAATGGTGTTTACAAATACTTGGCCTTACCTAACAAAAAAGCAAAGAGCATCGATGAAGGATTGAACTTGTTGATGCACCTGCCAAATTGAGATATTTCAACGAGGCCCAGCTTCCAGCATCAATTTTCTGCTCAAACTATCACAGTATTCTCATCTTTCCACACATTCAACAATCACATCATGAAACATACTATACGAGTAATCCATACAGGCCATTCAGCTCCAAATGCTGATACCAACCAAACCTTTGGAGACAAAAGCCAACACCTTTGAGCCGTGCACCTATGACGTCACGAGTTGGGGAAATACCCCCAGCTCTGTATTATACCATGTGTTGTGTAAGTTACGTACCGGCTCTTGCCCTGGAGCTTGATTCGCGTGGTGGATCCCCTAGGTCAAATTACGAGTCCGACTTTTCATCCTTGACCGCTCACTGAAGAGCTGGTAGCCGCTGAAGGACTCATTGACCGATTTCTGACCCTATCATCAGGAATGCTGGCAATTGCTCCAAGCAGGTAATCTAAACAAGTCGCTGCTGTGAAACTCCGAGCCCATGTTGGTTTGCGCCCCTAAGCTTGGTCGCTCCAGCACCTGCAACGTCCCTGCTGAACATCTCAACCCCGAGAGCGTTGCCTTGATTACGATCCAGAGACGTTTCATATCCCCGGTATCCCCGGGTTTGAAGCGTCACACGGGGGCCGGACCGCGAAAGTGGAACGCCCGTTTCCGACTCAGGGTAGTATCCGTCCGTGACCACTCGGGTTCCTGCCGGGTGTTACAGTCGGCAGCTGGCTCTCTAAGAACGGCGGAAGCGTCGGAAGCGGCATGATGCTGTTCACAGATCTGTTCCTCCACAGAGTACGCAAGGCGAGCTCATGGGTTCCGAGTCTCGTGGTGCTTTGGCAATTGACATCGCCGACCTTGATGAACAGCCAGGACATCAACACGTGTCCATCCCTAGACATATGAACAGGGAAGCCGATGGCATTGGCTTAAACGCCCATTCCAGAGCTGTTGTCATGTTGCCCCCTTATGAGTAATACTCGCTGTTCCGAGAAGTCCCCGGACACAAGGTGAGAGCAAGGAACCGCCCAGTAAAGCCAACAGATAGTCGTAGAGGTTGTAAATAGTATCAACACCTTCACCTTCAAGTCATCACAGCTCCAAGAAGTATATAAGATGCAGAGGGTATCAACACCTTCACCTTCAAGTCATCACAGCTCCAAGAAGTATATAAGATGCAGAGGAGATTCTGTCGAAAAAGGCGGCATTGATAGATCGGCACGTCGATATCCGATGTGGAGATTTGGAGTCTAACACACCGTACTAGCAACACCATAGGCTAGGACACTACCCGGAAACGGACCTCGGCAGTCGCCCCTTCCGAAGCGTAACGAAAAAAAAAAAAAAAGTCAACATCTCTTATCTGCAAAGCATATCTCTGCCAAGCACTCCCTCAAGATCATCCTTGAAGTCTCAAGCTGTGACTCGACCTATCTCCCGTGTAGTCATCGATATTCATTTCGCCCTCCTCCTAATTAACACCGCTTAGCCTATCCTTGCCCACTTGAGATCCCTCGGCTCGTGGAAACCGACGGCAATACACGCCAGACGCACCGAGATCAAGTCATGACAACACCGTCGGAAGGTTGCCAAGAGGCAGACTCCAAGATATCCGGCCTTGACAAGGGCGAACATCCAGGCCAAGACCCTGCAGTGGATTCTTCATCCTTCCGAAAAGGAGGTTCCGCTGACTCGCCTAGTCTGTCCCGAGACTGGGGCAAAGACGGAAGCCAAGCCCGGGAAAGGAGTCAGAGTCGGCCCCGAACCCGGAGTCGGAGCCGGAACTCTGATCGCCACCAAAGCTTGTACTCATCATCCTCAGAGTTTGGTTCTCAGCAAGCGACCGCCATATCAGCGCCAGCTCCTGTGATCTCTGCAACCAGCAAGCCCGAGCTTGACCTCGAGAAAGGTCAACCACAGCCAGAAGTTTATCGAGCGATCATCGTCACACCTCCACCATCACCGCCAGAGCAGGCTGCCGACGCCAGTGATCATCCGATAACGATCAGGGCCAAAGATGACGATGCTGTCCCTCCAGATCCCCATCCTCCTGCACCCCTGCTCCTGGAACCGACGCTCTCAGCTCCCCCCGAAATTCCGGACTCAGCCTACGACCGCTTCCCGCGACATCGCAAAATTATCATGGTGGCTTTGCTATCTTTCTGCTCTTTCCTGGCCCCTGTGTCCAGTACATCGGTATTGGCGGCTACCCCTGAGGTAGCAAGTGAGTATGGGACAACAGGTAGCGTGGTCAATGTGGTGAACGCCATCTATATGTTGATGATGGGAGTTAGTCCTGTTGTTTGGTAAGTGTTCCCCTGATTTACTTGCTGATTATTGCTGCTTACTGCGTTCGGACAGGGGTCCCTTAAGTCAAGTATACGGTAGGAGGAGGGTAAGGTTCGCCAAACGGCCGTTGAGAAAAATATAGAGGCTGACCATAGCAGGTTAACCAGGTCACCGCCGTGCTCTTCTTTGGATGCAGCATTGGGACAGCCTTGGCCCCGAATCTAGCTGCTTTCTTTGTCTTCCGAGTTTTGACGGCATTCGAAGGAACCGCCTTTATCCTCGTGGGGTCAGCATGTATAGGGTCAGTACCACCGTCGCCTACACTCTTTGTAGAATTGAAAGGCCGAACTAACACAGTCCAGAGATATCTATCGTCCAACAGAGCGCGCCACGGCCTTGGGATGGTTCCTCTCCGGGACACTGATCGGTCCAGCTCTAGGTCCCTTTATCGGCGGCATCATCGTAACCTACACTTCTTGGAGAGTCATCTTCTGGTTACAAACAGGTCTATCAGGGCTTGCAGCCTTATTCACCTTAACCCCTTTGCTCCCCGAAACTATCTATTACCGCCGGGCCGATGAGTTAGCAGGCTTCAGCCGCAGACAACAAGCCCGCATCCTCTGGTCCCTCATCAACCCCATCCGCGTCCTGCGTCTATTCGTCTACCCCAACCTGCTCCTTGCAAGCCTCGCTTCCTCGGCCGTCATCTGGAACATGTATGGCTTGCTGACGCCTATCCGCTACGTTCTCAACCCTCGCTTCAACCTTACGACTCCGATGCAGTCCGGCCTGTTCTACCTTGCTCCTGGAACGGGATACCTCGTGGGCACGTTAATTGGTGGCCGGTACGCAGACCATGTGGTGAAGCGATGGATCAAAAAGCGTGGAGGCGTCCGTGTGCCTGAAGATCGCCTGCGTTCTGCGCTGCCCTTCATGGGAGTTATCATTCCCGGATGTGTGTTGGTGTATGGATGGGGTGTGCAGAAGGAAGCTGGAGGGATTCCTCTCGCAGTTGTGACACTCTTTGTGCAGGGAGTTGCCCAGCTGTTCTGTTTCCCGAGTCTTAACACATACTGTCTTGATGTCATGCAGGGCAGGGGCGCTGAAGTCATTGCTGGGAACTACTTTGTACGATACTTGTTTGCGTGCGCCGCTACCGCGTGTGTGCTTCCGGCCGTCGAAGGTATCGGGGTCGGGTGGTTTTCCACTATTACAGCGGTGTTTCTGATAGCCAGTAGCGCAGGCATTGCAGCGACTGTCCGTTGGGGCAATGACTGGAAGCAATGGGTAGACAATAAGCGGCGCGAGAGGAGGAGGGCAAGGAGGAAACATATGCAGTAGAAACTTCGGAGGGATGAGCAATTCTTGTATAACCACGAGAGAGAAGCGTCTGTTTTAGTGATGCTTACTACCAGCTATGATTGGATACGACTAGACTTCGCATAAACTTTCCATAGATAACAGATTCTAATAGTAGATAATCAGTATAGAATTACTGAGAACCCAACTTTGTCGTATCTTTCCGATAACGTTTTCCTCTCGCAGGTATCAGAGCGGAGAGTGATTTGTGAGGGGTCTCCTACATGTCCCCATGAAGTCTGCCTTAACAAGCAAGAAAAGGATGCCCCAACATTTGCAGGTGATCAGCCCATTGCACCTGCTCAGATCAGCTTGCCCATGCCTTCACTCGGTCAAACTATTCCTCTTCAATATCGATGGTGGGTATGGGAAGTGGGCAGGTGATGTCCTGGTGTCCTCTTTCCGTGCACTTGGCGATGGACGCGCCGCATCATCGAATCAAGCAATCAATGTTTAAAAAATGCGACACTCACCCGAAAAAGCTCCGTGGAACATCCAAAACGTCGAGCCGATTTCCATATCTTTTCGTTTGTGCGCTGTCCGCGTCAATGCGATCCTCTTGCGCTTGAGTGATGCCCCGCGCCCAAGCACCTCAGGAAACCGGTCCTCCAGGAATCCTGAAAAATGACCAGAACCGTCGTTTTACTGCTACTCGACAGTTAAGGCCTCGAACACCCGTCTATTGTGGGCCACGGCTCTGCCGGAAACTTTTGTTGTGGTCTGTTTTTGTCGTGCTAGTGATCTATGTGTTCTGGTTGACTCGAAATCTTCAGTTGCAAAATGATGCAAACCAAGGGAAGCATCTTCCAGTGGAAACCAATGGGGGTAATAACCAGCCCGGAACTACTTTTATTATCACAACCGGGCCGACCCAGGCTGTGGCTCCATTAAACGCCATGAACATACCGAAATGGCTCTCGTTTGGGCAGTGAGTAGCAGCACCTCTCCCGAAGACATGGAAAGGTTGCTAACTTAAGTGAAGCCTCAATGGATTCTTCACTGGGCTCAAAGCTCTGGTGTCACCCAGAGAGTATAGACCTGAATATCCTATATCATCTGAAGAACGAGCAGATTTCCCCTTCACCGTCACATATACCGGCTTACCTACTCCTACGCCATACAACCCTTTCCCGGCATATGATTCGGTGGACTACACGCTGCGGTACCATGAAGTCGAAAAATGCTTCCTGGATAAAGATGGCAAGGTCCCTGTCCCCTCGATCTACGCTTACCCGGGTGTTGTACAAGGCCAACCCCGACATATCATCGGTTCGTACGAAGTTTTGGGCTTCAGGGATGATGTCTGCTTTGATAGATTTGGAAGGTTTGGACCCTATGGCTTAGGTTACACCATAGAGGAGGGAGGTTTCGGAGCTGGCCTTGACACTGAGAACGAAGGAAGTGAGGTAGTATGGGAAAGTACGGGCAAGATTGACTACAGCGCAGTCGACTGGGGAGACGCACAAACTCGATGTCATCAAGCGAACCAGCACCGTTTCCACGACGCGATCGAGCATGGCGAGCATCTACCAAGCTTTTCAAATGAGCCGTCAGACCTACCACGCTCTCCACGGCCTTCATCTTCCCAACTCACCGAAAGAGAAACACTACCACGAACAGCAATTGTCATTAGGGCATATACTGGATACTTGTGGACGGCACATGCAGTCCTCAACGTTCGCGCCATGATTTCAGAAGCAGCACTTAGCTCAGGGGCGGAGTATTCAGTTCACATATTGCTTCACGTCCGAGATGATCACGAGCCCATCTGGGCGGACCCAGATACGGTGCAGGAGATTTTAGATCGGTTCGTGCCGCCAGAATTCCATGATATTTGTACGCTCTGGTCAGAGGCGCAGATGCGTGTTATCTATCCGGTGCGGTTCGGTCCAAGTTTTCGTAACCCTAGCGGAACGGACATCCATGGGGTTTATCGAAGCGCATACTTAGCCCTTCAGCATTTTGCCATGAACCACCCCGAGTACACGCACTTCTGGAACTAGGAGCTGGATATGCGATGGCTCGGACACTACTACGAGCTCTTTGACCGACTTGACCGCTGGTCGCGCCAGCAAACGAGGATCGAAATGTGGGAGCGCGCTGCGAAGTACTACATCCCTGCCTACCATGGGAGCTGGGTCAACTTTACTCGTCTCGTGCACAACGAAACAATAAACAGCGGCCAGGTTCCTATCTTTGGGTCTGTTGAATTCCCTGGCCGCATACCGACTCGTTCGGAGGCCCTTGGAAACACCTTTCTACCACCATCTTGCGAACCTTCGGCCTTGCAGCCCGATCCCGACCCCGTTCTCTCCCGTTGCGGCGTTGGCGAACCTGCAGATCTCATCACCTTAAATCCCCTCTTCGACCCGGATGCCTCCGGCTGGGTCTTTGAAGCCGATGTGACTGGCTATCCTCTTGACCTACCCATACCTCCACGACGGACGTCCATCGTGACAGCTTCGCGCCTTAGCCGCCGGCTGCTGTCTGTCATGCACGAAGAAACCTTCCGGCATGGCCATGCCATGTTCGTGGAGATGTTTCCCGCCTCCGTAGCTTTGCATCACGGGCTGAAGGCCGTGTATGCGCCACATCCAGTGTATGTTGATCGTGCGTGGGATGTGGCGTCTGTGGATCAGGCATTTAATGGTGGAAGGGGGAAGACCACATCAGGGCCCGGGAGTCCGTTTGGACTGAGGAATGAGCATAATCATAAGGGGACGACATGGTACTATCATAGCGAGTTTGCGGGGCTGTTGTGGAGGAGGTGGTTGGGGTACGCGCAAGTGGATGGCAGGGTGTGGACGACCGAGGTCTATGAAGATGGTGATGATGGCGGTTTAGGAGGGAGCAGGAACCGTGGCGGCGGTGAGCTCCGTGGTGGAATTGGGGAGGAGAGCAGGCCGGGGAGCACAGGGAGGATGTGTTTGAGGAGTATGTTGTTGCATCCGATCAAGTGGGAACATCCGAATGACCCGATGTAAGGGTCAGTTTTCACATTGATGTTGTTGTCTCTGCTGCTGAAAAGACTATTTTGCTTATCAAACCTTTCATTAGATTGGAATAGGTGTTAGGTGTTTAGCTGAGGCATTTGTTGGTCATGACTGTTGGTAAGACATGGGGGTCAAACTGGGGATGAGACTCGGAGAAGTCATGGATAAAAGTCACGAGACCAAGAATTCCAGTTTTCATGTCGCCCTTATGCTAGATGTAAGCAACGGGAATAACTAAGATGAGTGTTCCAAGCTGAGTCCTAACTGACCGTGGTTCCTTGAAAACTGTTGAGAAAACAGGAAGCAGATCTGCTCAAAACTCTCTCTTTGTGCAGAGAGGAGTGTTTGTGCAAGTTTCCCCTGAGATGGAAACCCAATCCAAAAAAAGGATCACAGCCCTGCACAACAGCTTAAACCCCGTCCCGGTCAAGGCAGCCGGCCCGGAACCACACACCCCCCACGTTCCGGGGTACCCAAGCGCGTTGCCAAGAGCCGATCATCCCCCGGATGGTGCCGTGAACAGTGGTCATGTGCCCTTCAAGAACCTCGAAAAGGCTGTGGAAGTGGGAGATTCGAGAAGAGAAGTTCGGCGCGCACAGTTGTGTTACGTGCCGGAGTCTGTAAGCTATCTCACCGCCTTGGAGGTTCCCAGCTCTGTGCTAATTTGAGCTTTTTCGAACTCGGTGCCTAGACTTCTGGGTCGTAAAAGCAGGATTTGGATGTCACCAGATTGGCATCATGAAGTTGAAAATGGCTGACAGTCAATGGATGAGCTCAAAAATGATCATTTCAATGGCCTATTCTGTCATTTGATATGTATCTGCGTAAGTATACCTAACATTACTGGAATGTGAAATTAGAGCTGCCAAATTGGCAAAGCGCCCGGTCGCGGCTTGCACTTACACAGTAGACCTTGGATACCGGATTTGGTAACTCTTCCTCGACAAACTCCTGAGAAGCGTTTTGTCTTGGAGAATGTTGTTTGAGGCAATTCTGTCATACTCTTCTTGGGCTACAGAAATATCAAGTCTTTGGTGCCTGATTTTTAATGCTTCTAATATGCGTAAAAGCCCAAACATCAGAGATCGTCATAGTGGATCCGAGTGCTGCATTCATCTGGTCCACATCCCGCAGCAGTGGCCCGCTCTCGCAAAGAGAAGCCCCTTGTTGACAGTGACGACACTGGGGAGCTTGGTTGCGACCCAACGTTGGGCATGTTGTGGACTTTCGGTGCAAGTGTTTGAACAGGGGTCTTGTTAGGGAGCCGATCGTTCTCTTTAAAGCCGAGGGAAGGAGTGAGAAAAAGTTATAGTTATCAGCTGTCGGACCGTCTTGGATAGTTGGACATGCCAGTAAACAAGTGCGTTGCCTGAAACCAAAAAGCAAGCTATAGTCAGCTTGTGCGCAGTCGCGGTTGGTTCCTAACGGCTTACACCAGTTTGCCACTTGTAACATCTCCACTACAGAAAAGCTGTGTTTGCTGCAAGCTCTCATTGAAATTACCACCACCGCCACGGCCCAGAACACGAGTTTCTACTTCGAAATCGCGTCTCACCACGACCTCCGCTACAAAAATCTGTCCGTCGACGCTTGCTTCGTGTGTCCTGAAGTTCAGCTGCAGCGATATCGGCCCAGTCTGTGGCGACCGTCAAAAGGGTTGGGCTTGCCAGGTCTTACAGGTCCCAGCTAAGCAGAGAGTGGGCTGTGTGCAGGAAGGAATCAGCTGGCCCAGGCAGCTCTTCTGTCCTTAAAACAACCAAAGCTTGCAAATCCCAACATCGCAGACAAGTGTGCTTGTGGTGTGTCCACACAGGAACCACCGAGTCGAGTGAGGCAAGCAAAACCTATCTCTTGCGGATCTCGCTGTTCCCAGCCGGACCTTCGCTATTTCCCGAGTGTGCAGTTGGGGGGTTCCCTCTGCTTTGCCCTTTCTTTGCTTTTGGGTCCGCGTGATCGCGTCACCCAAATCCGTCCATAAAGGTACCCAAACCCCCCTTGCCCATCATTACAACCGTTCACCCCCATCACCGTGCCCGTGACTGGCTGTCCATATCTGTGGCCGGCGACAAAGACGGAGATCTATTGTGAGACAGCATTAAAACGACACGCAAACCTGTCTTTGCCTGCTATAGCTCTTAACTTCCTCGCTGTTCCCTCCATCCATCACCCAATCGTTGCCCCTCTTACCCAACAATTAAGGCGACCTCGGCCAACCGACTTTGTTCGCGAGCACTGGACTCACTACGATTGTCGAAATTAACAGCAGCTCTCAGCACTTCGTGTTACCATTGCATCACCTCTAAGAGTCCGGACCTTGTCTCGAACACTTCATCCTGTCAGCTGCCGCATAGCGGGAACGATTACAATGCCTGTCAATCAAGATCACCACCTCGCGGGTCCGACCAACCCGGCAAACCCGATCAACCCGGTACCCCCTCGCTCGCGCGGGTCAACTGATGATTATAATGTCTATGATGATGCACGCACCTACTATACGAGCGAGGAGCGGCACAGGAACCACAGGGCCGGTCCCCGGACCCGCACTTATTCTCAGGTAAGCAGGAATTGGAACAGAACTTGGCTTTCTGTCAGCTGCTAATTGAACAATTTCCCGTTTCAGAACAGTTTACTACTCAAGCAGTTTGAGAGACTGCATCTCCATGAACCTTACAGACGAGGCAGCCATGGTATGACCGACTCGATTTTCTTGAACTGACGCATATCTTGAGTGCTGACAATTGCTTGGTGAAGACGAGTCAACCCTTCCTCATGGCCGTAAATTTCTCATCTGGGTCGAGCCAACCCTCGAAAGCCTCCTCAAAATGGAGGATACCGATCAAAACATGCAAATTACAATCGAGGACAACGGGCCGAAAGTGAGGAGAAAGTTATTGGAGACAGAGCCAGAACGTGAGAGAGACTAACGGAACAACTCTCCAGGTGTTGACCCTTCGTACTGCTGCCTCGAATGGCTACAACCGCTTTGACATCCGCGGCACCTACATGCTTTCCAATCTCCTCCAGGAGTTGTCGCTCGCCAAAGAGTACGGCCGTAAGCAGATCATTCTCGATGAGGCGAGACTGAACGAAAACCCGGTGAACCGGCTCTCTCGAATGATTCGCGACCACTTCTGGGAAGGCTTGACCCGCCGCATCGACGCTTCTAGCATCGAGATTGCTGCCCGTGATCCGAAGGATTGGACAGACGACCCCCGCCCTCGCATCTACATCCCTCATGGTTGCCCTGAACAGTACGAATATTACAAGAAATTGGCCGAGGAGAGACCCGAAATTCGCCTCGATGTTCAGATGCTTCCCGAAAAGATCACTCCTGAGCTCGTCCGAGACATGAACGCAAAGCCTGGTCTCTTGGCGGTTGACATGGAGGAGGTCATTGATCCCAAAACGGGAGAGAAGACACTCCGAGGTCGGCCTTTCGTCGTCCCCGGAGGCCGCTTCAATGAGCTGTATGGCTGGGACAGCTACATGGAATCTCTCGGCCTGCTTGTCCACGGAAAAGTCGATCTTGCTAAGTCAATGGTGTTGAACTTCTGCTTCTGCATCAAGCACTACGGAAAGATTTTGAACGCGACTCGCTCTTACTATCTCTGCCGGTCCCAGCCCCCCTTCTTAACAGACATGGCCCTCCGTGTCTACGACAAGATTAAGCATGAGGAAGGCGCCCTTGACTTCCTCAAGACTGCTTTTCTTGCAGCCATCAAGGAGTATTACAGCGTTTGGACGGCTGAGCCCCGCCTCGACCCTGTTACTGGCCTTTCCAGGTATAGGCCTGAGGGTCTCGGCGTCCCCCCCGAGACAGAGGCGGGCCACTTCGTCCACATTCTGGAGCCTTACGTTAAGAAGCACAACATGACGTTCAAGGAGTTTGTGGATGCTTACAACTACGGTAGGATCAAAGAGCCAGAGCTGGATGAATACTTCATGCATGATCGCGCGGTCCGTGAGTCTGGCCATGACACGACATATCGCTTTGAGGGTGTCTGCGCCAACCTGGCCACGATCGATCTCAACTCACTGCTCTTCAAGTATGAAACCGACATTGCTCGCACCATTCGCAATGTGTTCAACGATCGGCTCGAAATTCCTGCTGAGTGGTGCCCTCCCAACCTGAAGCCTGGCCACGTTGAGACGTCTGCCATCTGGGATCGTCGGGCCAAGCGCCGCAAGCTTGCCATTGACAAGTACTTGTGGAACGAGCAAGAGGGAATGTATTTTGACTATGATACGGTCAAGCGGAAACAGTGCACGTACGAGAGCGCGACAACCTTCTGGGCGCTTTGGGCAGGCGTAAGCAGCCCCAAGCAGGCGGCGGCCATGGTGACCAAAGCGCTTCCGCGGTTTGAGGCCTTTGGTGGCCTGCTCTCTGGAACAAAGGAGTCGCGTGGTGAGGTCGGTCTTGATCGCCCCAACCGCCAGTGGGATTACCCATATGGCTGGGCGCCTCAGCAAATGCTGGCCTGGACTGGCTTGTACCGGTACTCTTTCACAGAGGAGGCTGAGCGACTAGCTTACAAGTGGCTCTTCATGATCACCAAGGCATTCGTGGATTTCAATGGCGTTGTGGTTGAGAAGTATGATGTCACTCGGCCCATTGACCCTCACCGGGTTGATGCTGAGTATGGAAACCAAGGTCTTGACTTTAAGGGTGTTGCCAAGGAAGGGTAAGTGTCTTTTCCGATTTTTGAGGCTTCGAGAATGGCGACTAACTATTCCTGCAGCTTTGGATGGGTCAATGCCAGCTACATCTATGGCCTTCAGATCATTAATGCCCATATGCGCCGTGCTCTTGGCACGCTGACACCCTATGACACCTTCATTAAAGCAGTTCAAGAGAATCAAGCCAAGACCCTTTCTGAGATGGTTTGATTACTCAAAGACCATTCCCCGATCAGGGTGGATGATTTTCCGGCCCATCCACGGCCTCGCTCTTGTTACATAACGTGTGTGCGGTTAAAGCCTCTGCATCAATTTTGTTCATTGAACACTAGGGAAAGGGTTAGTGGGATCTTTGGCATTTGGCTCATGGGTTACACTACTTAGCTGAGATTGTGATACACCATGAAGTAGGATGCACTCTGCTCCCAGGACTTGGGCGTTGAGGTATTGGGCATTTGATTGAGGTACATACAAATGGATGCTTGGGTGGCGGAGAAGGTTGATTCTGACTGCAACATGAGCTGAAGGAGCAGATAATTTCAGCATTTCAGCTTGATCAAAGTCAGGTGGCTAGACTGGCTTGCATGGGATATGGCGATCATGGGTCCAGGATGGCCTGGGTGGTTAAGGCTCCCGGTTATTGGGGCTCATTAGAGGGCGCTTGCTCGGCTAGAGCGGACATAAAAGAATTGAGTATAGCAAGGTGATAACAAGGCTCGGGGATACTCCAGGTTAAGGGAGGGTGAGGAGAGTTAATGGAAGAATTGTACTTGCTTCCTGTCCCACCTTACTAACTACCTACCTAGGCTGGATAAAAGGAAAAGGGAATCACACAGGGATCCTCAAACATTGTGAGGAGGGGCTAATCTGGTGAGAGGAGATAGCTCCAGCTCATTCTATCTATCGGGGTAGACATTGGTCCATTGGTACGAATGGATGGGTTGAGTGTTCACGCAGCTTTCACTGCCGACCTCCAAGTTTGCCGAAAAATGACGGTTTATGTAATGGTTATTCTCGTGTACTGTTGGCTTGTCTGTAGGAAGTGTTTTAGCATTTTGTTAGTTTTATCATTTCTGTAACACGCTGGGGCCTACGTAGGGTCAGTGATGGAGCTTGTGGTACAGAACCGACTGTATGCACTACTCCGTACCAGGTGCCCTTCGCCAAGTTGCTTGTCCATCCCAAGTGAGCCTTGATCAAGGGTTGTTTGAAAACCAGCGAGATCTATCGCACAGTCCTCACAACCAGTGATGACTAGAGATGTTAAAATAGGTAGGCATCACAGCCTTGCCAGCTTTGTTCGCCACGAGATGTTTCCATACATCCGGCACAGGTCACAAGCTCTTCATCCATCTGCGGGTCTGGGGATTCGAGTCTCGATGGTTCTGCGGGTTCACCGCAACCGAAGGGCCGGAACCAATGACATCGCAGTGCCAAGTTAAATCTTGATTTCTCGGCATGCGAACCGCGCACCTGTTTGCCGTCTGCCCCGCATCATTTTTTCGAATTGCCCCGCCGCATTGATGTGACCCCACTGGAGAGAGAAAAAAATTTCCCCTCAACGACGGTAAGGGATTGGATGGTGACAGTCGGATAGCTGCCGCTGCGGTTCTCAGTAGGGACCTCTTTCCTGTCTTAGGAGGCATGGGGGGTAGCCGTTGGCAGCCGCTGGATGCCGTACAGTATAGGCGCTATCTCTAATCTGGAGTTTTGAGAAAGTTAAAAAAGAGGCTCACCATGACACTGATTAATCCCGCGCATTTCCCCTAGATGCTTAACTCTTGGGAAAATGGATGCAATAAGGGGATCTGCTTTCTTTAGCTTCTGTCACCACCTTCAAGACCGCCTGCTTATTTCCCCAAGTTTTCTCTTGCCTCTGGCAATCCTGCCACGGCGATAAGATCTAAGATTTTTTTTATCCCGCCCCTTCCATTGGTGGGGCCCGTCGAGCAGATCTCACGCGGCGCACACGCACCCGCTGAGCAGTCAACGGTCAAGACGGCAACATCACTGAGTTAGCCTTTTGCCACGGGTCCTTAATTGTGTGCCAAGGGAAATATCCTTGTTCCTTGCCTCTCAATTCGTTATCCGGTTGCCTTGTGTGAAGTGGTTCTGCGTGGGCAAGACTGGCCATTACATGGCGATAGCCCGACTTCGGCATTGGTCCGAAACACTGCGCCGGCAGCTTTTACTTTCGAACTAGATCGATTGCTTCTGCTTTTAGCAGATCGACTGACTGGCCTTAGCCTGACCTGACCGGACCTGCAGCTGGATAATTGGCTTTTGAAGGCCGAGAAGTTGTGTGGTACTTGATCTTGTTCGGCCAATTGCGAACATCACCCAAGAGTCCCTCGTGGTAAACTCCTTCCTTCGGTCTCAGCGTCAGGTGCTTCGGACAACCACGCGACCTACTTCCTGATCGATCACTGTAACAAACACATCGGATAGCATCAGCAAACATGTGCGGAATCATCGGTCTGATTCTTGCCGACTCAACGGCCATTGATGCGGCCGTCGATCTTCACGAAAGCCTGTACTATCTGCAGCATCGTGGTCAGGATGCTTGCGGTATCGCCACCTGTGCTGCTGGCGGTAGGATATTCCAGTGCAAGGGCAATGGCATGGCCTCCAAGGTCTTTGAGGATGGCAAGCGAATCGGCGACCTTCCCGGATACATGGGCATTGCCCATTTGCGGTATCCCACTGCTGGCACCAGCTCGGTATGTTGCCCCTCTGCCTGTTCGCCCATGTTGTCTGGTTATCAATCTAACTCTCCATATAGAGCGCTGAGAGTCAGCCCTTCTACGTTAATTCCCCCTATGGCATCTGCTTTGCCCACAATGGCAACTTGATCAATGCCCCAGCCTTGCGCAACTTCCTGGACAAGGAAGCGCACCGTCACGTCAACACAGACTCAGACAGCGAGCTGATGCTGAACGTATTCGCCAATGCCCTCAACAACACGGGTAAGGCCCGTGTCAACACCGACGACATCTTCAGCGCCCTAGTTGAGACGTACGAGCGCTGCCAGGGCGCCTGGGCTGTGACGGCCATGATCGCTGGTTTTGGCATTTTGGCTTTCCGTGATCAGTATGGCATTCGCCCCCTGATCATGGGCAGCCGCCCGTCCGCGACTATCGATGGAGGGATCGACTACATGTTGGCCTCTGAGAGTATCGCTCTCCGCCAGCTGGGGTTCAAGAACTTCCGCGACATTCTGCCAGGTGAGGCCGTCTTTATCCAGAAGGGCGGCAAGCCCCAGTTCCACCAGGTCACCCCGGCGAAGAGCTATGCGCCCGACATCTTCGAGTATGTCTACTTCGCCCGCCCGGACACGGTCATGGACGGCATTTCAGTCAACAGCAGCCGTCAAAATATGGGCGCCAAGCTTGCCGACAAGATTCGCTCGGTTCTGGGAGAGGAGGGTCTCAAGGAGATCGATGTCATCATCCCCGTGCCTGAGACCAGCAACACTGCAGCCGCTGTTGTGTCAGAGCGCCTGGGCAAGCCCTTCTCGAACGGCTTCATCAAAAACCGTTACGTTTACCGCACCTTTATCCTACCGGGCCAGAAGGCCCGCCAAAAGAGCGTGCGCCGCAAGCTGAGCGCCATGGAGTCCGAGTTCAAGGATCGTGTGGTCTGCCTTGTGGACGACTCCATTGTTCGTGGCACCACCAGCCGCGAGATTGTCAGCATGGCTCGCGAGGCTGGCGCCCGCAAGGTCATATTCGCCAGCTGTGCTCCGCCCATTAAGCACCCTCATATCGTGAGTCACCATCTCCTTGCTCTTCTCTGGAATATCAAGCTAACCGCTTCGTCCCATTCTCAGTACGGCATCGATCTCGCCACCCCGGCCGAGCTCATCGCCCACGAGAAGAGCCGGCAGGATATCGCTCGGCACATTAACGCCGACGAGGTCATCTACCAAGACCTGGAGGACCTGAAGCAGGCCTGTTTCGCCGTCCTTCCCAAGCCCCCGGCCGACAGCAAGGTCCCCGTCGTCAACGATTTTGAAGTCGGCGTGTTCTGCGGCGAATACAAGACCGAGGTACCCGAGGGCTACTTTGAGCACCTGAACGAGGTTCGCGGCAAGAAGCGCAAGATGGCCGAGGAGGCTACCCCTGGCTCTCAGACACTCGTTGGCAATGGTGGTGTAGTCAACGTTGCGGGCGGCAATGGCAATAAGCGGGTCGCTGTGGATGGCGATGATGATGCTACGCCTAGTGGAGCGCAAAACGGCGAGCAACCGCCGGTGGTGTTGAATCGACAAGACATCAGGTATGCGTATGCCTAGCTGCGGGGATATTGTTCCTTGCTAACGACCAATTTTATAGCCTGCACAACATTGCCAACGAGGCTATGAACCACTAAGCTTGTTTCCTCCTTCTGAATACCAGTAGGCCGAGCAAGGTCATCTTCACACCAACATGTGCATGTTGTGTATAAACAGACACCAACGACCATAGATCTGGATGGGTGGTGTAGTGTTTGCTTCATGTTGCACGACTTACGGTGGGATACATCATAGATCCCTGGATCTGGGAAAGAAAGCCTCAGAGTGCAACGTGTGATGAGGAGAGGTTCTTCCGATGTTCTGCTTTTAGGTGAGGGTTGGGCGGATGATTGTTTGTGGTGTCTACTCTGTGATTTGTTGTTGCATTAGGTAGCGTGTTTTTGTAGATGCTGAACAAGTCGAAAAAGTAATGTCGTAAATAAGGCCACGAATCGTTAAATTACATCGACTTTTGACGGACAAGATTTATGTGGGGTGCAAACGTAGCTCGACAGTAAAAGCCCGACATTATAGACTTCACGGATGGACAGGGTCAAGCATGACGTTACTCAGGAACAATAGCATCGAAGCAATGCCGCCATTTCCAAATGGGGGACATAAAAAAGTCAGTGATTACACAATCGCTGATCGGGAATTGAGCCCGATGCGGGGGTCGAACCCGCAACCTTGAGATTGGACGGAGATTCCTTAAGAGTCTCACGCTCTACCGATTGAGCTAACCGGGCACCGGCTATTAGATTGTTAGTAGATGGTACTTCACTGTGTACTAAGTACGGCTCAGGCTAGACTTCCAAGCCACTCTCTATCAGGCACTCTACGGTTGGCATTATTTTTGACTTACAGACAATGCTACTTCCATGGGCTAGCAAACTGCGTAGACAGTTTTTGAGTGGGGAATACGATCATGTTGCCGGCCTCAGGGGGCTGCAACATAAGAATCGAAAATCCATGAAGATCCAAAAATAAGAGAATAACTCTTTTCTTAACCAGGACAGTTTTGATCCCTTTGCGTGAGACATGTTTCCTTCAGCTGCACCGTTATTTTACTACAGAGATACGTATCCATCAGGTAAGGCAATTGCCGGAAACTGCGAAATCTTCTCATCCGGAAACGGGCTTCCAATATTGTTGTCTGCCAAACGTCTTACATCTTATTCGTCGCGGCAAGATGGCATCTCGAGTTCACTCATTGGCTAATGCCTGCGCCCGACGTTGTTCTTCATCCTCCATGGTTTTCGCCTCCAAAGCGTCATTCAGTTCCAATCTTTGCTCGATAGCCTCGCAGATGGTATCTACCGAGGCCATTGCACCTGGGTGGGAAATGAGTCAGCCTTGAAGCTTGGCGTGTGCGAGGCCTGGTGGTGATCCTGGGAAGCACAGAAAACAGAAGTCGGCCAGGACAAGCGAAACATAGCTCAGATGACCTACCATCTGAAAGTTGGATGGGTTGGTTAGCATACAAAATGTCGGGAGCGGGAAACAGGTCCATAGTAAGCATACCTCCAGTGTCCCCACAAGCTAACGTTCTGCAAGAGGCATGTCAGTAATACAAGCGACGATCAACAATAACTGGGAATTAATCGTACTTGCTGATTGGCTGTAACAGCGATGTCAGTCAAGTGTCCAAGAGCGACTGGTAACCTTTACTTACCTTAAGAACCTCAAACCACCCCATAATCGCCCTCGTGCGGCCTGCAATATGGACGTCTTCCTTTACGCCCCAGTCTTGCTCAAGGACACGCATCTGTTTCTCAGTGATTGGGTGTCGCCACATGGCCTGGAAACATGCGTTAGCCCCTGAGCAAAAGAACGATAATCTAACACGAGGGTTGGAGAAGAGAGGGAGATGGGATTTACTGTGTTCATAGCTGGCGCCACCAAGATGATCTTTTTCTTCATATCAATGCTAGCATCTGTGTCCCAAGCACGAATGATCGAGGTCAACAAATTATCGGACATTCCATTTACAATCTAAACAGGGCAGTCGCGTGAGAAGGAGTCCATGACTTCAACAAAAGAGCAGTCACATACCTTGGCTAGCGTATTGGCGCTGAGGGCTGTTGTTTCGTTAGCCGCTTCTTATGCATATGCCTCCGGGAAACATGTAGGAGAGTGGCATACGCGCTACTACCATCAAGTCGGCCCCTGTTCCATCATATGTTAGCAGACGTCAGGGAGTGAACTACGTGACATTGTTTGACATACATCTCCTCAACCTATTGCAGGAGATACACATGTCAGCAGTCTGCTGGAGTCAGAGGATGCGGTAAACTTTGACTCACTCGATATGGAGGATGTTTGCGCCGCGCTTCCATGGTTGAGGACCCCATTCGTCTTGGTCTCGGTAGACGGCATCGACATTTGGCAGGTGCAAAAGAGACAAGACTGTAGGCTGTTCTGGGCTTTGGCCAGCCAGAAAGTGTGTGGCCGATTCGGTTAAAACGATCCGGATGGAGAGAACACCCTTATACTTCGCCAGGGCTTGGACGATGACAGGGACTGGAAGGCAGTGATAGGTCAGGACACGAAAGCGGATACACTGGAGGAGGACCATTGGCAGGTTCACTTGCTCTTGATAGTGGCTACGGAGCCGGATGCCCTTGACTGGACGTCAGTGTATTGTTTCAAAAGAAAAAGAGCTGAGTCGAATCATACGCCAACAGGAGGTGCTTCTTTCCATCTTTGCGTGCCGCTACAAGCGACGCGATGGCATTGGCCTGGCTCTCTGCGTAATCGCTTTGATGTTCATTGGATACGGACTGGACCATTATGGAAGAAAAAACAAGGACCTGTCCTCAAGACGTTTCTATGCGACGAGACACAAGAATGTTAAGACTCGGGTTGTGAGTCGGCAGCAACCAAGATATAGGACTGTTATTGGAAGCGGCAAAAAGGTTAGCCTCGGCGACGGTTGGCCTTAGTCTTACTATCCAATCTAGATCCCGTCATCTCACATGACTATGTTCAAAACTTAAATTGATCGCCCCCGATCTGTTTTTAACTTAATGAAGCAAGACAACTGTTAGTGAGAAATTCGTATCATATTTAAGCCATTCACAGGTATCATTAATATATGTATTGCATTGAGCTTGACATCTGTTGCTTACATGGCTTGGTCTCCACGGCTAAGTACTCGCAGTGGGGCTTTTGTGAGGTGACGTGAACCCCTCAATTACCCAGGGACCAACTACGTCATAACCCTAACCCCTTCCTAGCCCGGAGCCCAGAGATCGGGGACACGAAGTTCGTCAACAACAGGAATTATTAAACGGGCCATACTTCAAACACTCAGCTTTGTTACGAAGAAGTTAGATGCGAGCTTATCAATAGAAGGATTTGTGATGCAATCCGTAACCGTAAGAAAGAAACCTTTAGTCCTGCATGTTCTTTGGGTCATCGTGGGAAGAGCCATCTCAGAACCAAGCAGCGGACACAGGCCCCTTGCAGCTCTTAAAACGTCTTCACAAAATCGACCAATCAGACGCGTCTAAAGCTCATGTGGGTCAAGATGCGCGTCACGATCTCGAGCTCTTGGAGCTCTTGCACCGCCATGGACCAACTTTTTGAGCTACCCTCCAATCTTACCATCCGACCACTTCCAATTGTCTTTTGGTTCAGCCCCGAAGTATCTTTACAAAAATTTCCACTTCTCTGTCATTGAGATCTCTTATATTATTTCTCATTTTTTCTACACAAAGCCAAGTTCACACTCCGATTAGCGATGGCGACACCAACGGCCCAGTCCGGCAACGCGACACCCGCATGCGAGCTGGATCCCGAAGAGACCAAAAAGAGCCTCAATGTGTCACTTGCCGACCTCTGCGCCAAGGCGACCGCACTGTATGCCAAAAAGAAGTATGAAGAAGCTGCGGAAGTTTTTGCCCAGGCCGCTGAAATGCAGGCTGAGATGAATGGAGAGATGAACCCCGAGAACGCCGAGATCCTGTTCCTTTACGGTCGCGCTCTCTTCAAAGTTGGCCAGGCCAAGAGCGACGTTTTGGGCGGAAAAGCTCCCGATGCAAAGAAGCCAGTTTCGAAGGCCAAGCCCGAGAAGCAGACAGGGTCATATGCTGCCGCGGAGAGCAGCAAAGCAGCAGAGAAGAAGCAGAACGGCGGCTCTGCTACTGCAGAGGTTCCAGCAGCTAAGAAGGGGCTTTTCCAGTTTGAGGGTGATCAAGACTTCGATGACTCCGAAGAAGACGAAGAGGAAGGTGACGAGGAGGAGGAAGAGGAGGAGGATGACCTTGCCGTCGCCTTTGAGGTTCTTGACCTGGCGCGCGTACTGCTCAACAAGAAGCTCGAGGCTCTCCAGGCCGAGCAAGCAACAAAAGAAATAGAAGCCCAGGAGCAAGCAGGCAAGGGCAAGGAAGTGGCCGTTGAGATCACAGAAACCCCCGGTGAGACTCTGGCGTCGGAGCCGGCCACAATTAGGCATATCAAGGAGCGCCTCGCGGATACACACGACCTCCTGGCTGAAATTTCGCTCGAGAATGAAAGGTATGTCAGAATCTCGTCGCACTGTCGCATGAAGGGATCCTAGCACGCCACTCCCTCCCCCTATTGCTTCTTGGGCTTTGCTTCGAAGCAAACTGACATATCCTCCCCTTCGCCCCGCACTATTTTACATAGGTATCATAATGCGATTACCGACTCGCGCGCCTCGCTGAAGTACAAGCAAGAGCTCTACCCCTTTGAATCCGAGATCATTGCCGAGGCGCACTTCAAGCTGTCCCTTGCCCTCGAGTTCGCCTCGGTGACTAAGAACCCCGACGACGAAGCGTCTTCTTCCAGCGCAGCCGTCCAGAAACAAGGCTACGACCCTGCGCTCCGCGCTGAGGCAGCTGCCGAACTCGAGAAGGCCATCGAGAGCACCAAGCTCAAGCTCCAGAACAAGGAGGTCGAGCTGGCGACGCTGCATAACCCGGAAGACAATGAGACCACCCGGCGCCAGATCGCCGATGTGAAGGAGGTGTTGGCTGATATGGAACAGCGCCTGATCGATTTGAAGAAACCCCCGATCGATCTTAATGCTGCGCTAGGCATGCCTCCTGCCGGCTCATCCTCATCGGTCACCAAGGTGTCAGAGGACGTGGCCAAGAATGCAACGGACCTCACTGGATTGGTAAGGAAGAAGAACAAGCGCAAGGCCGAGGAACCGGAAGAAACAGTGGCAGCTGCTGAAGGGATTGAGGCCAAGAAGCCGAGGGAAGAGGCGAGCTGAGCATCTTTCGGCGGGCAGGGTTACAAGTAGAGGGTCTTTCCACTTTGTTAGGCTTACATGGCTTTGTGCAACTTTTCTTTTTTGCGGATATATGGCTTTTTATGGGTTTTCCTGTGTCTGCCCTCTCGGTGTCCTGGAGCTGGAACAAGGGGAGCTGGTACTACTTGGGAGCTTGCTTAGTTGAGAAACAAGACAACAAAATGTTGATAATCAGGAAGTTAATGCAACACGGACCAAGTAAATGATAACAAGGGAAAACAGTAAATCGGGCAATTGGGGTATTGTATTACGCGAGAGTCCTTTAGACGATGATATCCTGTGACATATTCCCCTTCTCGAACTCCAACCATCACGCCTTCACCACACAGTTAATAAAGTAATTAAGCATGGCTTGGAGCCGATGTCGCCACTTTCCGCAAGTTAACCAAACTCAAAGCAAGTTTGCTCGACCCGTGATCCATTATTATAGGCACCAAACTTTCTAGACGTCAAAGCTGGAAATTTTTCGTTGCACCAGGCGCCAGCGCCCCGGCCTGCGACGAAGACCCCTGCCCTTGCCCGCGCAAGTGAGCTGAGGAGCCTTTGAATAATGACTGCCAAATGTAAGCCTCGCTCAGTAGCAGCTCAATATCCTTCTCGGTCCAATCGCGCGTGGGTAGCGATTGTAAGAACATCATAATCTCCTGGAAATCCATCTTAACGAGGCGGTCAGACCATTTTACAAGGAACGCGGCGCAAACGTAAAGGTGGAATTCCGAGAAGCCCTGTTCTTCAGCCTGGAGCGTCAAGTGTTGTTAGTTAATGCCAAGCAATGCAAAAGGTTAGAACGAGAGAACCTACCATATATGTGTCCCACATACGGATTGTGTTCTTGACGCTGATCTCGCGCATCAGCAAACAGTTCATCCAGCGGAAGCTGAATTGAATGAATTCAACGTTCTCCTTCTCGAGATGTCGAGCTAGGCCGGCGTCGATGCGGGCAGTTAGGTCGCGCAGGGCAGCAACCTGCCGCTGGATGCCAGGTTGGGCCACGATATAGTGGTCTTGAATACCATCCAAAAGCTTCGTCAGGCACCAAAATGAGTCAGCTTCGACAGCATCCAGCACCGCCTTAGGAAGCTGGCCCGGGTCCATGCCACTCTCAATATCCGGGTCCGTAATGTACATTCCTAGAAACACCTGCCAGAAAGGCGTCACCAAGTCATTGATGCCCTGGACGTATCCGCTGGCCGGATGTCGCACTGCCCACACGTAGAGAATTCGCTCCAAAGATCGCTGTGTCGCTTCATACCCATATAACTCAATATGAGGATTTGTCCGTGGAACATCGATACTAATCTGATGCCAAATGGCCTCGTCCAGTCCTCTCCCACCCGTTCGCCCAGATGATGCTGCTTGAGGCCCTCCTTTCTCGAAGGCTTGCCGCACGCCATCCAAGTACTCCTTTCGCTTTCGCTCTAGCGTCGCCACTCTCCTCTCAGCACTGGTGGGAAGGTAGCTGAGCAGGAGCTGCCACGTCATAGCGCGGACCTCTTGGGGAACCCCAGACCACGCCAAGGCTCGCAATTCGGGGAGAGATATTGTAGATGCTTGTAAGAGGCGCTTGAACTTGTTGATCCTTGTTATTCGCGAATTGATCTCATCGATCTCCTTCTGAGTGGCATTGGGAGGTATTGTGGGGTAGTTTATGAGATGCAACGCATTTGCAGGATCGCGCAATATCTCTTTGTACTGTGGTCGGAGGATCTTGCCCTCGCTCTTCTTGGGCATTGGATACATGCAGGCTGGGCGTTCGACGGCAATGTCGGCGCTGTCCGACATTCGCCGTCGCGATTCATGACCTGAGGGACTATCGTTTCCAAGCCCGTTTTCGGCTGCAGTTTTGCTCTGTTCAGTCATCTTTCTCGTCCTCCGTTTCATGTTGGACAGACTCGGTAGCCCAAAATCATCACCATCATCAGATTCGTAGATGTACATGTCTTCGGCATCGTCGATGTTCCAGTCATCGTTCGTGTTGGACAGAAAGTTGATGTATGATTTGAACGGTGGAGAGGAAGCCTTAGAGCTGCTCTTTCGGGCCGGTGAAATAACGGAGTGGCGATCCGTCGAGGGGGGAGTCCTGGGGCGAGTGCCCGATCCAGTGATGTTCCTGCTCCCAGTTAGCAGCAGCCATGAAGTGATCCATAGCGAGGACAGCGAACTTTAGCATGTCGGCATGGGAATAGGCGGCGCCAACCACTAGATTTGAATCCCGAGCAGTCTTCGAGGCCTGGGAGTCGCGAAGAGGGGGTCGCCAGAAAGGTGAGGGGGAGCTGCGGGGGCTAATCAGCGGATGAACGAACTGGACAGAGGGAAGGGGGAAGCATACTCAGACTTGTCTGGACCATAGTAATGAGCCGTTAGCGCATCAAAGATATAGCCAAAGGCCTGCAACTTAGTGGCACATACCAACTTGGACCATCTCCTGCTATTGAGGTGTCAGCCAGACCAGAACATCTGGAAAGAGAGTGGCTGTCTGCTCATGAGACATGAAAGACGTGCCTTGCTTCCCTGATGAGGGGCCTTCTTGCCGCCGGCGGAAGAAGGAAACATTATGAATTATTATTGATGTGAGCAGCTCAACGGCATGCCTACTGTGAGGGTGTTTTGGCGATGTGTAGGGAAAGGGCACTTTGTTTAGATGGCCATCCGGTTGCGCTGCGCTGTGCCTGAGGAGATGTCGCCGGCGGGACTAGGTAACAGGGAAATTCGTGCTATGGGCGATTGATGTCTCGTCTTCTGGACTGGTTGCAAGATCAGGTCCTTGCCTCAATGTCCTGGCGTCCACGGGTGAGGGTTGGATGTCTTGTGTAAACGCACTTCGACGTGCCAGTCGGTGGTCTTACGGCACAGAAGGTGCTGTGGTCGGACTGTAGTACGGATAAAGCCAGCTGCTTGGCGGCTTGGGCAACCGACCATGACACTCGGCGCTTCTATCTGCTGGTGGGTTGGCCGTCGGGCTTCGGCAGGTACCACCACCACTTGATGAAAAACAGGTGGACGGGGAGGGGAGGGTGCTCTCCTCCCTTGGCTGCAGTGCTTGGCGAAGAACGGCAGACGGCGGCATCACTCCTGGTTGCTACAAGCCCGCCAAGCAGCCTGCCAGCCAAAACCTTGCCCCACTTTGTTTGGTGTTTCAATAGCTTGGCTTCCTGGACAGTGCGCGAAGAAAGGGAGCCTGGAACGCACTGACTGCGGCGGAAAACGTGCAGCGTGTCAAGGTAACCAGACCCACTATTTCACCGGCAGGCCCTGCGCTGCTTCGACTTTCTGTTCACTACGCCCTAAAATCCAGGTCCTGCTCTTCTAGACGAGCAGGTGTAGGTATCTTTGCCGCTATTTTATCAACCACCGCTTCCCCTTTTCGTGCTCGACAGTTTGATTCGCCATCTTAGGCGAGAGGTACTCCCAATTATATTGAAAACCATCTACGATCTGATCGTACAGTCGAATCTCTTTGACGTCCCTCTTTCGAAGCGCAACCAACGGACAACACATCACCGCGATGACGGAACCCGAGAACTTCGATGACGAGCTGTTCGCTGATCTGTAAGCATTATTAAGTGTGTTATTCTTGAAGCTATGTTGACAGTAATATGATAGTTACAACGACGATGAGCCAGCGAAGCCAGCGACTGCCTCAGTGACCGATCAGCAGGCCGCTATCCGGTCTATCGCTGAGAGCAACGACTATCGTGCCGCAGACACTAGTCAAACCCAAACCTTGAATGGGGCTGACAACCCCCCAGAGAACAACGATGATGACGATGGGGAAGAAGAAGACGATGACGACGACATCGACTTTAACCTTGGCGATGGCCCGTCGACTACAATCACCACCCACGCCAGTAACGATTACAAAGAGGAGAAACCAGCTCAAGCTGCACCGCCTGTGCCTGCTGCTCCGTCCAAGGGCCCGAATGCCAAGGAAGATGGGTAAGTCAAGTTCCATTGCTTGATGCTGTAAAGTGTTCCCAGAGCATATAACCGCCACGCCGAGCTTCCTTTGTGGGAGGTTGCCCATTGATGTCTTTCAGTCGATGAGCATCAAATCGGGTTAGGAAGCATGACGATGGGCACAGGAATTGCGATAGACCTCCGGAGAAGGAGTTTGAAAATTGGGTCATGAGGATTGAGCAGTGTTTGGGCATGTTTCATGGGCAAGTTTGCTTTGAGGGCTTCCTCCAAAAGGGCCTTTCGCACGCCTAGGGCATGATGTGGGCAAGTTAGGTGTTGGCAGTTAGGAATACGGGGTGACTCTAGGAGTCATGGGAAGAGGAGGAACTGGTCATGGCCTTGAACAAACGCCGACTTCGATGATCCCGCGCCGAATCAACATATATGAGGAGTTGCTCTCCTGTCTTGTTAGCCAGCCGCAGATAATCTTGGAAGGAGTCAGATACCCACAGGCCCTGTTGGAGTCTTCCGGGCTACTCGGGTCCTGGCATCTTAGGACAAGATTTGGCAGCGAATAGCGCAGCATCAAGGAAGAAAAGAAGTCAGCTAGGAAAGCAGCTAGCTTGAGTTTAGGCAAAAAGAAGCTCGAGACAGGAACAAGAATCATCAAACTTCGACAACAGCATCGCCATCATCATCATCATTGGCAACCTGCACCTGCGCTGCGCTATTCTTCTCATTAGTGGGAACTGCTGTAGCGTGCTCCATCTGCACCGGATTCAACCACGGGCGGTCTTTCACCCTTTGAAAGAGCGTATACGCAGTATGCTCGACAACAACCGCTTTCGACACGCCTTCTCCGCCGGCTTTATCGCTACGCCGTCAAGGGCCGTCTGGTGCCCGCCGCACGCCAACTCTCCAGCGCTATTCCCATCATCTTCCTGTCCCTATCAGTTGCAGGTGGCCATCGCCATTGCCAAGTCTATGTTTCTCAAGACCATGGTTAACATGAGTATTATGGTCCCATACCAAGCAAACGCTATGGCGACCTCCATGGTCATATGGTGGATAAAAAGGACAAATCTCATGGCTTCTCTTACTTGGACTTGAACCAGGATGCGGAACGTTGTTTTCGTCCGTCTGGCCCTTTTGCTCGCCGTTCAAGCCCTCTGAGACCTTACCATGTTCATTTTGTCCACTAACCAGCCAATACTTGCTTTGGTTCGCAAAACAAATCTGATATATTTTGCTCTGGGAAGCATTCTTGCTTGTTGACATCGCTGCAATACGTCAACGAGCAATTTTGCCAGTTCCTTTTGTAGCAGTTTATGTTTTAAGATCGTAAGGCTAACACATCTGCACAACTATAGGAAAATGTTTATTGGTGGCTTGAACTGGGAGACGACAGATGGTAGGCACCGCATTTAATAACATCCTCTCCAAGAACAATCACTAACGCACCATAGAGTCCTTGAGGAACTATTTCTCTCAGTTTGGAGAGGTCGTTGAGTGTACCGTTATGAGGGATAGTGCCACTGGTCGCTCTCGTGGCTTCGGCTTCCTGACATTCAAGGACCCCAAGGTGGTCAACATTGTTATGGTGAAAGAGCATTATCTTGACGGCAAGATTGTGAGTTAAGCCCAACGCATGTCTCCACTGTTTGCCATGCTAACGCTCTGCGTCATAGATCGACCCCAAGAGAGCTATCCCTCGCGACGAACAAGAGAAGACATCCAAGATTTTTGTCGGTGGCGTCAGTCCGGAAACGACAGATCATGAGTTCCGCGAGTATTTCTCTCAGTTTGGTCGAGTCGTCGACGCTACCCTTATGATGGACAAGGACACTGGCCGTCCGCGCGGTTTCGGCTTCGTTACCTTTGAAAGCGAGGCTGGTGTCGAGGCCTGTCTGAACGCGAAGCTCGAGCTTCACGGGAAACCGATCGAAGTGAAAAAGGCTCAGCCCCGCGGCAACTTGCGCGACGACGAAGACGCGCGTCGCGGCAAGTTTGGCCGCAAAGGTCAGGGCATTGGCGGTATTGATGACGCTTTGAACACAGGCATGGGCGGTATGGCAGGCATGAGTGCCGCAGCCGGCATGACGCCACAGCTCATGGCGCAGTATATTGCCCGTATGCAGCAGGCTTTTGCGATGATGCAGCAGCAGATGATGATGAACCGAAATATGAATCCTGCCATGATGCAGTGGATGCAGATGCAACAGATGATGGCCGCCCAAGCAGGCCGTGGCGGTCCAGGAATGAATCCTATGATGGGTGGCATGAATCCTGCCATGATGCAGCAAATGCAACAAATGATGAACCAGCAGGCCGGCGGTCCTGGTCCAATGCCCCAACAAGGCGGTCCTGGAGGCCCTGGTGGTCCTGGTGGCAGCGGCCCCAACGCCGGCGGCGCCAACCAGAATCAATCTCAGGGTCCTTCTGGTCCTGGTGGTTCCAGCAGTGGCGGTCCCAATCGTCCTGGCGGCTACAACGGCTACGAACAACAGCAGCAATATGATCAGCAGCAACCGTCACAGCAGCAACAAGGTCTTCCCCCTCGTCGTGGTGGGGGCCGTGACATGCATGGGGGCTACAACCAAGGTTACGGCCCTATGGGTCCTGGAGGCCCTACTAGTTGGGAGGGCATGTACGACGATGTCCCTCAGCCGGTCATGAATCAGCCTCCCGGCCCTGCTGGTGGCGGCTATGGCCGTGGTGGTGGCTTCCACCACAAGGGTAACCGCGGCCATCACCAAATGGGCGGACCTCCGATGATGGGCCCTGTCGACCCGAACAATGCACCTCCAGCAAATGCCCCCACGGGCCCAAAGAACGCTGGCAAGCCTGGCGCGAACTATCGCGGAGGTGGACGGGGTGGGAACCGTGGGTTCCATCCTTATGCCAGAAACTAGAAGGATTTTGTCTGTGGAAGGGGCCTTCACTGATGATGAAAGAAATGGACTCGCTTCTTCTCCTTTCCTCTCCCTAGTAATGGTTTGGAAGGATTTAGAAGCCATCGTGAGAAACATTTTTCATATCAACCGCGTTGGTTTCTGCCTTTAAACCTCTCTGTTTGTCAATCCAGAATGACGGACAATGTGGGTGTCTGCCATTATTGTACTTGGTATCTACCTGTTCTACTCTCTCTCCTGAGATCCTGGTTTTTAACCAGCCTAGTCTTGCTAGGCTCACTGACACCTTTTTTTCCCCTCTCGGGTTTCATTAAAAGGGACATACGGACTTGGTTCATGCTTTGGCTGGCTTATGGGGATTTCGTTCGTAAAGATAGCCTTTTTATGGCTGGTATAGGACAAGTGGACATCGCTGATTTCGATGCCACAAAACAGAGAGAGGGCTGTCTTTCATGGCGTCGCTTGCAAGGCTAGCGGTATAGCAAGACTGGACACCGGCGACCTTCAGAGATTTCGGAGAAGGGTTACCGATACACAGAAATGGAAAACGGGAATACAGCTACGATAGCCCATCGTTGCTTAGGCATGTAAATGATATAACCGCTTAATCGTTGCTTCCTGGGTTTAATGGATCGCTTGTTCGATATGAAGAAAGTGATATGCTCTAGATATATTCACTGTAATGCAGATCAAGGCCTCGAGGCATGTGTCTCATACCGCCTGACATGAACATCAAAAGCAACAGAGGCGGCCGGAATAAAGCACCAAAAAGAGAATGAAGCGTTCCTCGTTGCTTTGAAAAGGTTAGTAAGCAGAGAGTTGGGGGAAAAAAAGGAGATTGACTGGAGCGCGATTCGAACGCGCGCCTCTTTCGAGAGTAGAACACCACCCCGCCTGAGGCAGGGGAAGAAATGTGAATTTCTTGAGTCTACCGCCTTAGACCGCTCGGCCATCCAGCCAATTGTGTAATTGTTGTGGGAGACATTTGAAATTGGGGTTTATAAACGGACATGCAACGTGGGGCGGGGTAAGGAAGGGCAGGGTTGGGGTTGAGCATGACCTTCCCATCTCTTTTATGCATTGTTCTGCCACTTATTTTGTCATCAAAGACAATTGGTTTTGCGATATATATTTGAATTCCCTTTGTTTAATTCTGTATCATACGTGTTCCCGATCTCATCGTACGTGCTGAGTCAGGGATTCGACAATTGTGTCGGTTTCGAGTAAGTGCTGGTTTATGGTATGTTGAACGGTATGTGGAGGATAAGGTTTCAACTGTGAACAAAGGTGATACGATCGTTTTTATGGGGTTGGAGAAATCGCAGTAACAGGTTGGTGAGACAGCTTGTTTACCTGTAGAAAAGCTTCGCATTGCTTGAGCTTGTCTTCGTGCCTTTGCTTTATATGGCAAGTAAACTATCTTCTTTTTAAAGCTTCTGGCGCGAATGGGTCCTCATAGTCTGAGTTACTCTTCCCTGCCTCTTGGCCTTCCATATCCTGACACACGTTCTTGAATAGATAATACACTATCTGAAGAAGAACTCCTATCTGCGTATCGTCACAGGAAGGGAAATAGGTTATAGGTGATGACATGGAAAGTAAATGAGTGTAAGGAAGGGGTATCCAATTCAATACCAAATCCAACCAATAAAACTTTTAAAAGCAAGATCAAGAATGAGATGATGTGTTATATATAAACAGACCGGCCGCAACATTTGGATCAGTGAGAGAACGATCTCTTCAGATAAGCCACCAGCGCCATTACATGAGCCGTACCATGAAACGCTCAAATATATGCCTTCCAAGAAAGTGTATAACCGAGAATCAGCTAAAATCATGTCCTTTACCGGTCCGGTTTAAACACGGTAGCCGGTAGGTAGATTGGCTCCTCTTCCTCCGGCAGCCTTTTATCCTTTGCGGGAGGGGGCGGGGGAGCAGGCTGTTGATGAAGCGGGGGAGGAGTGCCACATTTGAGCGACGCGAACGAGGGCCTCTCCTCAAGCTTCGAAATCGGCAGTGGCTTCCTAGCGGATGAGCCCGTCACCATGTCGCAACTTCGATTCCGAGATGGCGGACGCGGCAGGGGGTTTTGTGGTGGGGGGTAGGGTGGTCGCTGCTGCTGCTGCTGCTGTTGGTGCTGTTGTTGCAATTGTTGCAGGCATGGCAGTTGTGGCTGTTCAACCTTCGACTTGATCGCTGCCGATGCCGAGGGAGATTCTGGTCTAGCATCACTAATGTTGTTGTTGTTGTTGTTGTTGCCCATATTGGTGATGGTGTGCTCGACATCTGCCAGCAGTGCGTAAACATCTGTATCAGCGTATACACGGATGGTCTCTGCACGGCGCAGACGTGGCTTCTTTTCTCCATCATCACCTTCATGCTCATCGACTTTGTTCCCGTCGCCCTCGATGATATCAGGGTCTTCAAACAGGGGCTGCTCAATGATAGTGGACGGAACGTGGGCTCCGCCAGCAGCCCGCTGAGGTGGCGGTGAAGGCGAAGGGGTAGGCTGACTGAAAGTTGTCTTGACCGGGCTGCGTGGCGGGGTCACCGAGATGTTGTTGGCCGCATTGAGTGGGCGGACACCGATGGCAAGCTGCAAGGTCTCACTGAGGTTGACAACGCCATTGCCGTTAGGTACAGCGAGCGTGACAGCAGCAGCAACGTGTTCCAGAAGCTTTTGACGCACACGGGTACGACGGTTCTCAGCCTGCTCAAGCTTGGTAATCCAGTCGTCAATGGAACTATCCAACTCAGCCAGGGCTTCCTCTTGTTTCAGAATGGACTCGACGCTGAACTTCGCAGTGCGTGGAGACCGGAGATACTGGCAAATGCGCGTGTGCAAGTTGCGTCTGCCAGCACGAAGTGATGTATACGTGCGACGTAGGTATTCACAACGCTCATCCAGTTGACGGAGTTCTCTGGACAGGTTGTCAACGTCCTCCTTCCTGAGAACCTCAAACCGCCCTGCCTGCTGAAGAGCCTGTTTTTGCAGAACGGAAATTTCCTGGGGGCTCAGCGTATTCACTGCATCGACTGCCTTCCAGCCCTTCGGAAGCACTTCAAAGGCTCGCCTCTCAGAGCTTTTGCTCCTCTTCGAGCCAGACCGCTTCATCGAGGCGCAGCCAACGGTTTCGGCCCGTTTCCGCGGTCGCCCCCTTTCCATAATGCTCGCCGACTCTGACTGAATCCTTCTATGCCCAGGACAAGCTGTCGTATTGTCATTTGTCTCCATGCTGGTTGTCGTAGCAGGCAACTCTGGGATAGTTTCGGTTTTCTGTGTGCCCCCAATGCCACAGTTTGTAGGCGGGTCCCAAGGCTTTGGTGATGCTCTGGCCTCAACTGGAGCAGACATAGGGGTCGGCAAAGTTGAATTGGTAGTGCTTGTAGAGATAGTTGTGGTCGCAGCTGACTTCGGTGTAATAGTCGCAGAAAAGGGTGTGAACGGTGTCCTTGCCCGAGGGGAATCGTCGGTCTTGGCCGAACGGAGTGGAGTGTCAATAGAGGTGTTTCCAGATCTGAGTCGATTAAGCGACATCTGCCTTGTCAAGCAAAGAACGGTTGAAGTGTTGTTTGGTATCACGAGCGGAGTCAGATTCTTGGGCGACATTGGTCGCCGACCTTCATTTGGCGGCTTTTGCGACTCTTCTTGACTCCATGAAGCTGGCTTGAGCTCGGGCTTTTCATCCGAGGCTAGAACACTACCACACGTTTGGCCGTTCGTAGCATGAAATGCCCTCCATGAGTTTCCAGGAGCGCTGACAGACCGCTCGTGGATAGGGTGATGACCAGGGATAGTAGCTGGTTGCTGTTAGCATTCACTTTGCAATTCCAAGATATACATCATATAGACATACGAGAATCCATGGCAATTTCATGAACCGTTGTCATCGGACCGAGCTCGGGGACGCTGATTTTTCGCCGACGTACAAGGCTGTTCTCTTTGATTCGTATCCTGAGGCCTGAAGCAGTAGTTGTGCCGTCACCGTTCTGACCCATGGCCAAAGCGAACGCTTGCTCAGGGTCCAAGGCCTTCCCCGGAGCAACGTTGGTCGGCTTGTTAACGGGGAAGAGCTGGTATTTTCTCTCTGTCTGTTGCTGTTGTTGCTGCTGCTGCTGCATCCTCCAGGAGAAAGGCTTCTCTCCAGCCGGGGATGCTCTGCCTAGCTGTAAAGAGAAGTGAGCTTATGGTACCACGTAAGTAGGCACAGTGTCATTGCGTACCGACTCATTGCAAAAGGCTTCTTCTTGCTCAGCGGCGACCTTTGCTATATAGTTTAAGGTGGGCGAAAGGTCATCCTGGTCAAGGTCCAACATGCAACTGACAATGTGGGCCATTGGGGTGAAGTCGAGGGCTGGCCGGGGCTGGTCAGCGTAAGAGGTTGATGGTCACACACACTAGCCCAGAGGCTGAGTTGCACTGGAACTACTTTCTGAGGCCCGAAAGACGGATCAATGACCCCTTCCGTACCAGCACTTCGGAGTGGCTGATATGGAGGATAGCAGGCGACCGTATATATGTGAACTTGTGTGAAGAGTGTCTGGTCGAAGCTACTAGGTGGGAGCGCTGTATGCTTCTTCTAGTGACAGCCCAGGCGGAGGTGAATTCAGGGATTCGTCATTCAGCCCGATAACTGGAGTGACACCATGAGAGAGCTCACGAAGACGGGCCTCCGTGGGGGAGCGGAGGGTCTCGTAGGGCTTTGTATTTGCTGGACATATCGTAAGCAAGGAGGACGATGCTCAGGCAGCCGGTAGCCCCTGGTGCTCAACTCCCTTGTTACTGCTGGGGACCTCCTTGGGCACCGAGGCGAGGATGGCAGCCCGAGTTCTGAGACAGGAATTTCCTTCTTTTGTTCGCGACAATGCTACCTGCACCCCAGCAGCAGCAGTGGGGGGATACGCCATGGCCATCTCGGCGTGACGATGAGGGCGAGGCGAGAGAGGGGCACGGCACACGCTGTGACAGAACGGGAAAGGTAAGAAGCAGCTGCAGCAGGGACTGAGTGAAACGGTTGTGGACCACGCGTGACTGGAGGAGAGACCCTTGTCGGATCTGTTCGGTACCGTACCGGGAACGCTGGCCTGGGGCTGGGCTGGGCATGCATCACCATCCTGGTAACGCCCACGCTTAGATCGATTAGGACTCGCTGCAGGGGTGTTCGTCACACCACGTTTGTTTGCATCAACCAAAAGGCTTGAAGGCTCGCGCGCTCGCCGGAAAGCCAATGACAGAACTCTATATATAAAGGCATCATGAGGCAGCGCTATCGCCGGTGATACGCGGCATATGTGTATGTGCCCTGTTGCAAGAGCACCATGGAGGCCTGCAATAGGTATGCTGTACATACGTGCGCATATAGGGATGCCTGATAGAATAACAAAGTTGGGAAATTAAGATCCTGCGAAATCCAATGGCTATCTCTTCTTTCCTCTGGGATTGATGTATCGGATCGTCGGTTCATTGAGTTCAGTTCTAAATCCAAGTGCGAAGTGGGCTTCGGATGCTGTACTGAAAAGCACATGGAGAAAACTACTTGCTTGAAGAATGCCAGCCAACCAACGACTTACAATAGTAGTAGAATTGATGTTGCTCTTGAGCCATGTTCTTGGTCCGGAGATCATTTTGACGGAAATGAAGACCCATCGAGATACTAAGATACCCCAAAACTTGAGCACACCTTTGGGAATGGAGAACCTCTGAGCAACTCACTCTCAGGTTCAACCCCGCACTCGGTGCTGCCGCTATGTCTCTCGCGGACAGCAAAGATGCTGTGAAGATGTCGGATTTGCAATTAACGCATCAACCAGCCGCACAGACTTCTATCTAGAGCTTCTGCAACACCAACATACACGGTCGCGGGACATGCGGGGATGCTGCGGGGCTAAAGTGAGAATCAACCCCGTGATCACAAAAACTCTCAAGGCATGTCTGGGTGTTCAATGTCATTCCATGGATCAAATTGATTACGAGAAGCTTGATACAGAGGTAGGTCTAAACATTAGAAGCTCTTGAAAGTTGAACAATGGTCATGAGTGCTTTTCTCACCCTACAAGTACAGGATCAAAGGCCTCATTGGTGGGAGCAAGATCGTTCAGGCGACAGGGAGTGACAAGAAGTGAGAATCCTAGGTCATCGGCAGGTGGCAAAATGCAGAAAAATAGACATGACGAACATTATTGGAAGGATGGCTTTGCGTCCATATGCCCCATGTCTCAAGTTTGACAGCGAACTTTTCTGGAACGAACCTCTGGAGAGAGTTTGTTATCCTTGTGGGTATGAATAGCGTGTTGTTCAAACACACGTGGGGCTTTCCGCACTGTGCCCAGGCTCAATTCTGGAGAGTGTGGTTCTTTGAAGCAGGCTGCCAGCACCACTGAGCAAGGATGAAACATCCTTAATGGCAAGACATCGGCTTTGTGTTCAGCCCTGTTAACTTTAGAGCAACTCTTAAAAATTTGTGGAATGTCATCAAGGAACTTACGTGTGTAACAAGTATTATAAGAGAAGCATTCATAACAAACCCTCAGGCATAGACTACCGTGCCTCACGACTTCCACAAAGTTACATCTTGGCACGCGATCCACTGGATGCACAAGACAAAACGGCTATCAACCTTAGCGTGACGCCTCTCTGCCATGCAACAGAACCCTTTTTGTTCGTGTCATAACGACCTCACTCTAGGTAATTTACGCTACTCATGCAGGGCTTTCCAAATTGCAACAACACATTTCCAAAAGGACAATGCGCCGCTTAAGCGATTCCGGCTCCGCAGTCTGGGTCCTGACATGTGGCCCCTGATCTGTTTTTGAAACCTCACCCAAGTCACCTAGCTCAGCACCTACTACATATCTGCTCCATTGTTTTTTCCTATGCAGAGAACACCCATGCCATCGCAGAGGTACGTGCTGATTGTAAAAGGGGTGAATTTTGCTTGGCGCTTTCTGATGATATTTTTTGGCTTGGGAGCCCGTCCTCCCCATGCATCACTACCTGCATGGGCGCCGCATCCCCCATTGCCTGGCGATGTGACGGATTTGACCCTTGGAGATGCAGCACACTCCGATGCCAGTTTGCAAGGGTTGGAACTCGATAAAAACCCCAACCACGACCCTCTGAGCTTCACGACAACGAAGCCATAACCTGGCACTCCTCTGCCTCCTACCTACCGGTACCTGCACGAAAGTCCTTGGGTTGCATTTACCACCACCAGACCTGCAAGCTTCCAGTCACACCGGCCACTTCCCCATCTCCGGCGGTGAGAGTCCAACTTGCGGCCTTGTACCGAGATATCCTACCATTTAATTTACCTGTCGCCAAAACCCCATGGGTCATTGAACTGAAAGCTCTTGTCTTTCCCACTGACTGCATCTTAGTAGCATCGATGCTACAAAACGTCGTTTGTGAAGGATGCAAACAAGTTGCCACACCAAACAATTGATGATCGGTTCAATCGAGTGAAGCGTGCCATGATCGCCACCACCGGTTTTTTTTTTTTTTCGGAGCATCAACCGACCCAAGAAACTCTCTCGTCAGATACATCTGGGCAAGTGTTTAACCAAATATTTTGTCCACATACCTCTCTGGCTATAGTTTCCCCACGACTGCTCCGTGCCTGGGAAATCCTCCAAACCAAAGATTACGGATTTTGAAGCTACAGGCGTAGTCCAAAGCTCGCACTTAACCTGTAACTATATTGTTCTCATAGTATACGCTTCATGAATCACAGATTATGATCCCTACAAACGGCCAAGGGCCCCACGCGGTTAGGCTTGGAAAAGAGACCAGGCAAGCTCCCAGATGACTTGGCTGCTTCAAGCCACCTTACAAGGGGGCCGCGTGGTCAAAGGGGGGCACTTAACCGAAATGATAAAGACGAGTGTTTCATGAAACATCCGCTGTTGTTTGATTCGTCCGCTAAGAGCCACAAGACTGATCGACCGGTTGGGCAATCCTCCGTGTACCAGAATAACAAGTGAGGATCGATCACAATCGACTCGGCGTATATACATACAAGTACGTACCTACCTACATATATTCACGCATATATGTGGTGGGCAAGTAGCGCGTACTGGGGGAAATAAATCGACAAGTATAGGACCGAGGCATGGGAAGCTCCATGGACTGAATCCCAACTCCTTGCTTGCCTTGCTAGTCCTTTCGTATAAACCATAAGGCAAGGCTAGATTGCTCAAATGAGCTTACAGAATTGGAGCTCCGCATATCGTCGAGAAAACAAAGGGAGACGTGAGTCAGAATCTCAAGAGTTGGCAAACGAAGTAGTAAAGCGCAGTCCCTGTTCTTTCCCTCAAAGGCAAATGCCCTTTGTAATTCATTCATTAAGGTTACAGACCCTCCATTTACATTCAAAATATGCAACATATCCTCCCAAGAGTCAACACTCGTCAACAAGTATGGTCAACATCATACACGTAACCTCATACAATGAAGTAAGTTGCAGTTGGCCATCATACTCAATAGGCTGTATCCAAAACTAAGCAGTCCTCCGAATTGTATAAGACAGGTAGCGTTGCAATGTCAGACAGCTGTGAGGGATAGAAATCAGATGTCACATCAGCAAGTTTATCATTTGCCCTGACCATAACCTTGTTGGCAAATCCACGGTAATGGTGGTGCGCCATCGATGTAAGCATATATATCGTGATCTCAGTTTTTCCTCAATTCCTGAACAAAATCTCGTTTCAATATGACAGCACTGGAAATGGGAGATAACACCCATCTTGCCAGATCTCATCATACGATTTTGACGTTGAGATGTTGTATCCGGCAGAACTTAGGTAAAGAACAGAGATAACGTTATCATTAACGACACTCGAGCACTAAAAGAAGTTACGTCGTCACGCCGACAAGGGTACGGAGACCTACTGTTGTTAGCCCAGCGAGTGCTAAACCTTGCTTGGTAACCCGTACGCTACATGGCCCGTCTCATATTGCAGGCACCTAATTCCAGCATCTGCGTTTTGAACCAATCCAAATCACCACAACAATTACTGGTAGATGACTTGGGATCCAAAAGATGCTACGTCTGATTACCTGCATTGTGTCCTACGCTCCTAAGCTACCATTCAGGCAAGTCGCCAACAAAGGTCCATGGGGTTGACATCATAGTGGTCACAAGAGCCGCCTGCGCTGAAACTTGCAGACACCCAGATGCAGGCGTTTGGATGCCTTGGTATAACAGAGGACAGTACGGGGACACATTGGCAGGTAGCTACGATGAAATACCGCAACATGCCTATATCCTTACGGGTATACCCTACATCCTGTTTATTCTCCCGAATTTAGAGCAAGCTGACCACCCAGATGTTAGGTTCAGAGGCATGCAACCAAGCACACAAGTATAGTAACTTTTTCATGCTGGATGAGAGCACACGGACGCTTTATGGTGTTTTCACTCATATCCCTCTTGCTGGACCCCGACTTGGCAGCCCCAACCCACGAAGCAAAGTGGGCCAAGGGCAAGGCTGACAGTCCTTGGGACCCTGTCTAGGAAACATAGGTACAGTATACTTACCTACTGTATAACAACAATTGAAGTTTTGGTGAGAAGCAGATCTGTAGGTATGCAAGCACCAAGCGAGGAAAGGTTCTCATTGTCAAGCGACACCTAAAGTGGGGAAACTACTGTAAAGATGCAATCTGTAACCTTGCATAAGGTACTGTGTATATACAGTTCACTCCTATTTTGATTGTTACTGCAAAACTTTGGGCAGAGGCCCTAAATTGTAGACAGCAATTTTCTGGTATAAATAGCCAATTTTGAATCAAAGCTAGTTTGCATGATCAACATTGGACTCTCTCTCCTTTGATACCACTTTCTTCCTCTCAAAATGGTTGTTTTGTGGTTGTGTGGTGATGTCGTTGGGCAAACTCTGGCCCCGAAGTCTTGCGTTAAAGAACAAACCCAAGGGTATTGTTTGTCACGACACGAAAAGATGTTCCTAAACATAGTGGCAGAATGCACTAATGTGCCATGTTTTCTTGTTAACCCCTTTCCTAGCTGGGTGTCTCGATGTGAATTGGCTCCCTCCTGGGAGAGAGCGTGCCAACCTGCTCTGCATCCATTAAAATACCTCCTGGTTTGGCCGTTGGCGCAACACTTCGGGACCAGGGGTGTCCCAACGATATCACCACTCAACCACAGAAACAGCCTCTTCTGAGAGCAAGGAAGAACAGTATCACTCAATTGAGAATTTATATTTCTTGATCATTCGGACTAGATTTCTACAGGCAGTTGTGAAATTTTTGGGGGGAGAAAACCGCACCTCTAGTGATTGGGCTGACCCAACCCGTCTAGAGTCTCGCACTAACAATCGAACAAGGGCTGAACTGTGCACAACAACGCCGAAGATTGGACGTAATGGGTGGATCTAACCGGCGAGGTCTGAGCGGCCATGTGCCCACGATGCTGACAAGAGGAGTGCGATAGATTACCCTAAGCGGCAACGGAGTGCTTAGCCTCCGCCGTTCTCGGGGCCCTTCCACCTGCGGGGATCAAATTACATGCATGCCTCGTGTACTTGTACTTGGGAAGACGCGATCTAACCCCACGCTCCCGAGCTGCATGGCTTGCGCAGCTAGCTTCGCTTGGATGCATGGCAGAAACTTCCTGAGACAAGAAGATTGAGTTTTGTTGGTGGGATCGGGGTTGCCAAGGCTGTGGAGAATCCTCATACCCCCCACCAAGCAACACGAGGTGAGCGCCGGGTCTTCAATTTGTCGTTGTTGTTGTCCTAGAAAATCTACCCATTCTGCTGATAGATAGATCTAAAAACATGCTATATGGTTTTCAAGATGGTCTTCAATTAAAGGACTAAGTCAAAGTCATCATGATCATACAGGAAGCCATCAGGTGTAGAGGACCAAGGATAACAACTCGAGAAAGCTCCTAAACAGTGGCGAAGACAGTGTCACCACCCTGACAGGATTGATAACAAGACGTGTAGGTATACTGACCACTTTCAAGAATTTGGCACCCAAATATTTCTCAATGCTTATTCTATTATTCTATCTACCCAATTCATGAAGGTAAGAGGATGGAAGCATATCCAATACCACATGACTACATCCATCTCCACTTCTATAGTTGTTGTTCTTCTGGAACTGATTGTTTCGAGTGACCTGTTTGACAATCGTCATAGTGTTCGGCAGCATGAATGATCTTCATGATGGTCGAGCACCGACCGAAATAGAGGGATGTCCACCAAGCTGGTTCGGAATATAAGCCGACGCTTATCCCTATATTACCAAGGCATATACGTAGTTGTGATGTAACATTGAGCTGAGCAAAAAAAAAAAAAATGCTTGTGTAACATTTACCATCCAGTAGGCGCCCAGCAAGCCCTTCTGAAATGACAAATGTTATGTGAAGGTGAGTTCGCATGGTTGCAAGAGAAACAAAAGAGACTAGATATTGCGATGATGATCCTGCCCTCGACTTGAAGGATGATCAGACTCATGCGTTCTCTTAAGACCAACTTCTCCTCCCAAACATACGCTCACGAAGAGGAGGATTCACACAGATAAGAAGCTCTTTCCCCAGGTTACCAGGATATTTTTCCTATGCTTCGCGTTCATATCAAGAGCATTAGAGACATAAACCCCGTGTCACCGCTTTCCAGCTTGCAAGCTACCAAGTTGACTTTGGTAGATATGTGAAAAATTTTGAGCATAAAATAATAGTTTGCCTAATTGTTCTACTCCTTGAAGCAACTGAAGTCAAGCGTACATGGTTTGATGACGACACTTTGTCTCTACAGGAACGAGAATTCTATACATTCAGCCAAAGCATAAAAGGCAGCAATAAGAACCGAAGATTAAGCAGCATGAATAAAGAAACATGAATTTTCTATATAAACTTCTTAAGGCTTCGAAACAGGTTGAATTGTATGAGTGTTGGATGAGTGTTGGGCATTTAGCCAGAGGGCTTGCCCTCCATTATCGATTGGCGGCACTGTTTACTGGCAAGAGCGACATTCAGCGTTGAAAAAAAAAGAGAGAGAGAGAGAGAGAGAGAGAGAGAGAGAGAGAC